CACCCCAACCCCCCAACCCAAACCCCAACCCCAACCCCAACCCCAACCCCAACCCCAACCCCAACCCCAACCCCAACCCCAACCCCAACCCCAACCCCAACCCCAACCCCAACCCCAACCCCAACCCCAACCCCAACCCCAACCCCAACCCCAACCCCAACCCCAACCCCAACCCCAATAAATCAAATTATTTACATAAAATTTGCTCAAAATTAAAAATGCATGTTTTAAAAACCAAGAATAATTATTAATTTTATCAGAATGTAGAAGTAGATGATATTAGAGTAGGTAGGAAAAATTTTGTGCACATTTGAAGTAGACTGTTTAATAGATTTTCTAAGATAGAAAAAAAGTAAATATTTTTATTTTTTTTTTTGAAAGAAGAATTATATCCAAGTTTATATTGAATGCATTTATTAAATAAAATATATATAGATAGATAGACTAAGAAAAATTATCAAAAATTATAAATAAATTCTTCTGATTGATTAATTGTTTGATTGATTTGTTTGTTTTACAAAATTAAAGAAGTTAGTAAAAAGATGAGAATTATAAAAAGATATATTAGCAAGGGCGAAGGCTATTTAACTTTAGTTCCTACTGAGGAAGAAGATTACTGGCACATTTATAACTTAGTTTCTAACGGTGATATTGTCCGTTCTGCAACTTTCAGAAAGATAACCAAGGAGTCAAAGACAGGAGTTAAAGATGTCATTAAAAAGAAAATTACTCTCACTTTGAAGATCGTTGCTATTAATTACTATGCAGGCGAGTTCCTGCAACTTTCTTTGAAGGGAAGAAACATAAAAGAAAATGATTACCTAAAGATGGGTTAATTCCATACTTTTAATTTAGAATTAGACTAGCAGATTACTATCATTAAATAAAATTGGGATTCTTTCCATTTTAAGATTATTAAGGATATTTCTGACCCTACTCATGATTCAGAACTAGCTGCATTTGTTATGGATGAAGTAATCAAAATTTTTTATTAAATTTAAAGTTTGTTTGAATTTCAACAACTAAGAAAAGAAATGTTAAATGCTTTTTGAAATATAGAAAAAAATTAATTAGTTTGTTTTTGTAATGATGAATTATTTAATAAATGATAGGGAATAGCACATTTGTGTTTCATAAAATCTTCAATTACAATAATGAAGCATAAAATAGAAAAGCACATACCTAAGAAGAAGAGTGGAGCCGAGCAACATGACAAGGCAATGGAAAAGTTCTTCGAAACCTGCTTTGAGTATTTGGTAACTGTTAATTATGATTAAATAAAGTGCCTTGTTATTGCTTCTCCTGGTTATGTGAAAGATGATTTCTACAAATATATATAAGATTAGTTGCAGAGAGCGGATCTAGCTGCATTCAACAAGAGGTCAAACTTCCTTTAAAAGATAGTCAGAGCTAAGTCATCAACAGGATATTTGAATAGTTTAAGTGAAGTATTGAGTGACCCCACTATCTAAGAGTAGTTAAAAGATACAAAGGCTATCAAAGAAGTGAGAGCTCTAGATGATTTTTACAAGGTATCAAAGATATGAATTATTTTATTAAATAGAATGAAAGTGTTTTTATTTATTGCTTTAAATAATTTTATTAATTACAAAATAGGTTATGAGTAAAGATCCTGATATGGTTTGCTATGGATAAAAGCATGTATTTAAAGCATACGAAGATAATGCTATTTAAACCTTACTTTTGAGTGACAGTCTTTTTAGAATTAAAGATTTGAGTTAACGTAAAAAATTCAATAATTTGATCGATGACACTAAGAAGAAGGGAATTGACTCTTTGATTTTCTCTAGTTTGCACAGTAGTGGAGAAAAATTAAATAATTTAACAGGTATAGCAGCTATCCTTAGATATCCTATCCCTTATGAAGACGAAGAGATGGAGTAATCTGAAGAAATAGTTGAAAATTTTAGAGTAAAGATAGAAGAAAGAGAAGAAGTCGAAGACGAAAAATCCATTATGGGAGATGATGAAAAATTAGAAGCTGAAAGAATAGCAAAAGAGTTAGAAGCATTTTCTTTAGATAATTTAGACGAAGAACAAAAGCAAGATGAAGACGAAAATCTTTGAAGTTTAGTTTAATATTAGTTAGTATTGTAGATATTTAAATGATGTTTATAGCTTAATTTTTATATAATTATTCGCACATACATAGCAGTTCAATTTACTTATAAAATTAAATATTGCATTAGTATTTAATCTAACAAAAAAGTTGTTATTTTGAAAGCTTTCATTTGATAAATATCGACTTCAACTTTAAGCTAATTTTAGAATTTTAGGGTTTAAACAAACCTAAGAGTTAATTTAAAATTTCATTTTAGCTATTTAAGATAAATTGAATGAAATTTAATTAATTTAAATGTTTTTAATTAATTAATTTGGTTTCAAAATTAGTAACTAAATTTAAATTTTATTTTAAAAAATGAAAGTATTTTTTGAGTAATATTTAAATATTAAATTTGTACTACTAATTTTTAAGTTTATTTTAAGTAAGGAGATATTAGTTAAAAGCTTTATTTAAAATAGTAATCAGTTTATTCAATAAAAAATCAGTTTTAAATAAGCTAATTTAAAGTAAATTTTTACATTTTTTTATTAATTTCAACTTTTTTTTTAAATAAAAATAATTGTTTTATTTTTTATTATAAATGATAAAATTATTTAAAAATAATTTTTATTTATTTATAAAAATATTCCTAAATTAATTGAAAATCCAAATCTTAATCAATTAAGAATGAATTTGTATTTTTAAAAAATTAATTTATGCTTTTAAATTTTTATTCAGAAATAGATTTGAATTTTAGTGATAAATAAAATTAATATAGAATATTTTAAATTTTGAATTAAAATTTAGTTTATAATAGAAAATAATTAGTTAATAGTTGTTATTTTTAATTAATTTAATAGGCTATTAAATTTAGTCTTTTTTGTGAGTGAAGGTTGAAGATATGTTTTCAAAATATGTAATTTGACAGCAATCTAATTGGTGAAAGTAGAAATAAGAAATGAAAATATGTAAATTATGGTCAATCAATTTTGAAATAGTAGAAATTAGAATTAATAAGTAAATCAATAAATGGTGAAGCTTGCATAAAAAGCTATTAAATAATTAAGTAGAATGATTGAATTATTGATTAATGGTGGTAGAAATGTAGGATTGGTTATGAGGATATATAGAAGATAGATAGATAGATAAATAAATACTAAGAAAAAGATATTTTGAATTGTGTGTGTTAATATTGAAAAGAAATAAATGGATATAATTTTAAATATAGTATTGTTTGATGAAATAAATAAACACAATATTTTAAATATTTTAAAAATGAAAAAAAAAAAAAGATATTTAGGAACATATAAAAAAATGCTGGAGAGTGAAGGATAAAAGAATGAAGGAAAGAATATAAATGAAATAAGAGAAAAATACAAGGAAGAGTGAAAATAGTGTGGATAAAAAGTATAAAGAATTTCAAATTATTTTTAAAGAGGGTTCAAAGTTATTTAGATTTTTTTTTTCTTCTTCTCCTCTTTTTTGTGAATGATCAATGCATAAATGAATGAAAAGTTCTTTTTTCTTTGTTCTCATGTTCTATTGAAATATGCAGAAAAAATTAGAAACAAATAAATCAAGAAAGAAAGAAAGATGGGAAGTGAAGAGATACAATCACTTAATACAAATAAATTAATTAGCAAAGATAATCATATAATATTTGTAAATTACCATAGAGTTTGCATTTAGTTATACAAGCATCTTAAAAGGAAAAAGGCAAAAAAATCAAAACAAAAAAGCGAAAAAAAAAAATCAAATAATTATATTAATATAATCAAAGAAAAAAGAGAAAACAAACAAAAATGAATCAAGAAGTCTTAGAAGCCAGAAAGAAATTATAAGAAAAGATTGGTGACTCCAGAACCGGTGGTAAGGGTACCCAAAGAAGAAAGGTCAAGAAGGTTACCAAGACCCAAATTACTGATGACAAGAAGCTCAAGACCGTCATCAAGAAGTTCGGTGTCCAACCTTTCTAAGGTATTGATGAAGTCAACATGTTCAAGGACGACAAGACCATCTTACACTTCGATAGACCCGAAGGTAAATAATTTATTCAAACTTTGATTGAATAAATAATTTCTATCTTATATTAATTAATTTATTTTATTAACAGTCTTGGCCTCCATCCAAAACAACACCTTCGTCGTTATCGGCAAGAGCGAAACCAAGAGTAAGGATTTTACAAATATTTAGTTTTATTCCATAATATATATGATCATTAATGAGCTCTTAAAGAAAGAGCGAGAGAGAGGAAGAGAGATTTTAGTGTTGATAATAGTACCTTCTTTAAGTGAATTAGCCTTAAAGTTAACAATATAAGGTAATAGTAATGCTTGAACTTTGTCGTTAATAAGGTAGAGTAATTTATCAAGCAATATTTCTATCATACGAGTATAGTGTTTAAATTGCTACTCCTTTAGAATAAACTTTTGTCTCTATTGAAACAAAGATAAAAAGCTAGATAGATAGATAGATTTAGATAGAAAGATTCTATGATTTATTTAAATTTTATACTACACTACTTCTAGCTATGAGTTAGAATATTTGTTAAGCATTCTCTTAGTCTGATTCCTATGGTGAATGCATCATGCATGCCATGTTTGTTTAAGATGTATCTCTCTTTAGTCCTTAGAAGCAAGCAACTCTTTTTAATTATAGTTGAGACCTTTCTGATTTAGATTTTAGACTAATAAAAGAGTTGTTTAAATCTTTTTAAAAATTAGAATTCAGAAATTTTGTAAAAAAATAACTAAAAATTTCTTTCTACTCTAATCTTACTTACTTACAACAAACGAATTTGATTAGATTTTTGTGTACGGACGGCATGACGCATATGCTTAAATAATAAAAATAATCACATTAAACTATTCAAATTAAAAAATACTTAACATAAGATAGTCAAAATTAAAATATTTGTAAAAAAGCATGAAGATTAAATGAGCAATAATCCTGCTTAATTTTTTTATCAATGAGTCATTAAATGAATTGCTTAATTCCTAAATAATTAATGAATTAATTAATGAGTGAGTGAGTTGTTCTTGTTGGTTTTACTTTGATTTTATCTAAAAAATGATTTTGTTAGAAAATACACCTATCTATCTATTCATCAATCAATCAATATATCAGCCCTTATTTGTAAGCAAACGAATCTAATCAATTTTTAAATCAAATTTAGAGATCTCCTTAATTTCTTTCTGTTGTTGATTCTTTCAAGTCTATTATAAAAGAAATACTTAAAGCCTACTTCAAACCTTAATTAATTAATTAATTAACATCTACCAGGTCTCCTTTTAGATAATTTTAAATATAATTAATCTGATAGTATTTATTAACTGAATTCTACTTCTTTAATAAGAAATTTAAAGCTGAAGGATCTCTTTATCTCTCTCTCTCTCGTTTAATGCTTGAGTTATTTAAGCTAAATAATAGCTTGTTAATGATGATATTAAAATTTTTCATTCTTACTTAAATTTGTAAATTAATATTCTTTTAATAAATAGACGTCAAGGACTTATTACCCGATATCTTACAACACCTCGGACCCAAGTAACTCGGTGACTTGAAGGACTTATTGGCCTCCATGGGTGGTGAAAAGAAGGAAAAGGCTGGTGATGATGAAGAAATCCCCACTCTTGAATCCAACTTCGAAGAAGCTACCAAGAAGGTTGATTGAGAAGGTTTGCTATGAGAGCTCTCACTTAATTATAAATACACATAAATATTTAAAGTATTTAAAACATATAACCCCTAATTCAATTTAATAGCTAAGGAAGGTGAAGACATACATTAAATTATATTGGCATTTTCCTTTAGTAAAACTACCTCACAGGCTAAAATAAAAAATATAGTTCTCGATTTATATATTTTTATATGTTGTTCTTTTTTTTATCTGCTATTTTTCTCACAGCTGTGTTGAAAATTATTTAATTACAACTATCATTTATTAATTATCATTCATTTACCACTTCTGTCTGTCTGCTTCAAATCATTCATTTTATTTATGAAACACCTTCATTCACTCCCAACAGTTATTTAAATTTCTCATATTTTCTTTCTTTACTTTTTCTTCAGAAATTTAAAAAATTGTCTACTTTTTTAATTCTATCACCCAAATAGTCTTTAATTCTACTTCATTCATTTGTGAAAAAATATCTTCAAAAAGAAAGAGTGTTTGTTTGAAATTTGCAGTCAATCGATCGCAAATATTTTGTACTTTTTGTTGCTCCTTAGAAATTAAGAAATTGAGCCTTCAATAAATTTGAACTTTTAAAAATTAAATTTTTTGACTTTGATTGAATAATTAATTAATTTGTAATTTGATAAACAACTAGAAACATGCAAATTATAAATTTTAATTAAAAAAAATAATCAAATTTAAAACAAAATAATTTTATAAACAAACAAACATTTTAAAAATAATTTTGTAAAAATAAAAATAAAAATTTATGTGAAATGAAATTCTATTAAAAAAATATTATAAAATTTAATTGGCTGAAAATGTGTTTTAATTATTTTGCTTGATTGATTGATAGATTGATATTATATTTATTGATTGATTGATTTATTTTGATCAATACTATTTTAATTACATTTTATCATCATATAAATAGCTGACTAAATTATTATTTGCATAATTAAAAAAAAGTATAAAAAATTAATTAATTCTCCTTAAAACTCAAAAAGAAATAAATATAAATATAAGATAAAATGGCTCGTGAAAGTGACTTTAACAGAAAAAAACTCTAAAATACTAAGATTAGGTAAATCTTTTATTTAAAATCAAATAGTTTAAGTAAAGCAAAATGATAAATTATTAGACGTGACAGAGCTAAAAACATCAGAAAGCAAAAAAAAGCTAATGAATAGAAGAGATCCCAAGATGCTCAAAAAAATGAGATGAACGTTGAAGAAGTTGCTGTCTTAGATAAGAAGGGCAGAAGAGAATTAAGAAAAAAATAAATTAAGCTCGAAAAGAAAGAGCGTCTTAGAAAATTTAGAGAAGAAAGATAAAATGAAATTAATGAAGAATAATGAATGATCAATTTAGTATTTATTAAATATGTATTTTTTATAAATAAGTAAGAGTTGACTGATGGTTTTTATTAATATTCTTAAAAGTTGTTTTAGCTTATTGCAGTCTTAAATAAAAAGTTTTTAATTCAATTAATTGGTAACTAACTAGCTGATACAGCCAAGTTGTTTTTTAATTAGAATATTTTATTAAGCTGTTTGTTTTCTATTATCTTGGCCTATTTTAACCCTTAATTAATATTTATATATTTAATTATAATATAAATTGATTGATTATCTGCTTTAGGCCTAACCAGTTGAAGCAAATATTCAGCTTTATCCAAAAATTAATTAGAAAAAATTTATTTTATTTTAAAAATATCTTTTTTATTTGAAAAAAAAGATCCAAAAATAAATGAGAAAGATTTAAAAATTAAAATTTAAAGTAGGAATAAATGTGTTATCATAAAGATTTTAATTTATTCAAAAGTGGTGTAATTAATTAATTAAAAAAAATATTCTTGCTAACTAATTAATTTATTTATCAATAATCAATTAAAAGTATTCATTCAAAAATCGTTGAATTAGTTCATTAATTAACTAATTCGTAAAATTGTAAAATTAAATTTTGATAAGAATAACTATCGTATTCTAATAAGATAATCTCAGCCAACAAATTCTATTAAACAATCAAAAATCAAATTATTTCAAATATAAGAAACTTTTAAGTATTGTAAACATCTAAAAGCAATTAGCAGAGATTACTTAGATTACTAACTTTAGCGAATTTCTTAGTTTAATATAACTCTTAGCAATAAAAATAAATGTCTGTGTCAACATATAATTCTCCCTAGAAGTAAAATTTAAGACATGATATGTCTCTTCCGCAATAAAGTAATAAAGAGAGTAAGTAATTGTAGATTTTCTAAAAATTCTAAATAATTTATTTAAATTTTTTGAAAATATCATAATAGAGCATTAGGAAGTTGTTTATAATGAAAGCAAAACTAACATCAATTTCTACTAGAATTAGCTAGCAAATGGCTACATGTTTTAGCCTAATCGATATCAGTAAATTTGATAAGTGTTATAAAATATGTTTTAATTATTATTTAAAATAATTAGGTCTTTCAAAAACATTAATAGTGACAAACAAAAAAAATAAACAAATCCTTTAAATGATTTGCAATAGATAAAACTTTATAAAGAAAGTTAAATTTTTTATAAGAATGAATTAAATTAAGATAAAAGTAGTATTTATCCCTAACAAAATTTCCGTGTTAGGAGCAATCCTGTAAGCAAAGTCGGTAAAAATCTTTAAAATGATAGATAGATGATTTAATTAAAATGTAAAATTAAAAAAATTAGAATCAAGTTCTAAGTAGGATGCACGGGAAAATTAGATTAATAAAAACGACTTTCAATAAACAAATAATGCAGAATTTTCTATTTAACATCAAAATGTTGATACGAGTAAAAGTGCTATTGAATCTCTAACTCCAAAATATTAATGTAAATAACGAAACGTTATATTTAAACTGAATCATGATTTTTTTAAGAAGATTTTTAACAACTTTATAAAAATTTATTTAATATTTAAACATAAAATGTATTTGTTTATTTGTTTCTTTGGATATCAAACAAGAAAAACTAACACTCAATTACCAAAGTTTATTTAATTTCTTTTAATGAATGAAAGCAGATAGATATTTAAACAGAAAATCTCACGTAAATACACCATAAAGTCCAAATACTAGTTAATTACAGATAATTTAAAATACTTCTTACAAAAATGGCATGAAATTTGTAAAGGAGAATAACCCACTGCAGTTTTTAACTATGGCTGAAAAAGAGGACAATATCTAAAAATAGAAGAAATCTTCTATACAGTAAAAAATTTCTAACAAAAACCCCAGAGCTATTCTCTATCCATTAATAAATACTTCTTCATTTAGTAAAGCAATCATTAACTTGCTAACATTTATATTTATAATTATTATTTTTTATTAAAAGTAAAACCTGAATATTAAAATGTTATTCGTTTAGAAAAAGACCAAATTAGTATTGCTTAAAATAATAATTTTACTCAACAATCTTCTTACAAAGTAAATGCTCCATTTATCTTCATAGATTTTACAAATGCAATATCTTTTTTACACTTTTTGGATATTTTGAAGTAAAAATAATAAAGATTCTAACAAAATTATTATTTTTTCATAAATAATTTTTATAAATTTTGGTTGCTTAAAACACAAAAACTTTGAACTTGAAATAATTAATTTTATTTAATTTATTCTTTTTTTAATGAAATTTAAAATAAAAATTATGATTCAAGAAAAAGTATTAAAAAAACTGCTTTTCTTTATAATTAAGCAAAAGCTATTTAGAAATAATTTGAGCTTTTTATGTGAAATTTGATGAATTGAATAATTTTATGATTTAAATAGTTTTTATGAATACATTTTTTCAACTTAAATAGTTTATTATCGGAAATGGCAACAATTCTTAGCTTGTTAGAGAAATTTTACAAAAAAAGGGAGGCTGGGAAGAAACTTAGTCCCATAATCTTTATTTTCATTTTAATTGGTAACCTATAAGCTAAGGGATACATTTTGAAAGAATAAAAAGCACAAATTTGCATAGATATGTTGTAAACCATTTTGAGTAACATAAAGAAATATCATCGAAAATTAAATTAATTAAGAATTTAGAAAATCATTGTAGAATACAATAAATATATTTATTTGATATAACTCCAATTTCTTATTGTATTGATTATGAGCTTGATAATTATGAGCAGGAATTTGAGGATTTTTTAAGTTTTTTTATGAGTAAATCTCATAACCCTTCCATGGACTACATGTCAGTTGAACTTTTAAGAAGAAAAAATTACTATAAAAACTCAACATACCCAGATAAGTAAATTATTGGGGCTTCTTTCAAGTCAAGGCAAAGTGCTTATTAGGGATACTCATAACCTAGAAGTCACTTTACTATGTTTAAAGGACATAATATTTGGATGATTAAGCCTGCTGAGTTTAACAGAGGTAGAGGAATTAGAATATTTACATCTATCCAATAGCTAAATAAAATTCTTTCTGAATATTAGGAAGACAATGCGAAAGAAATCGCTCGCTATTAAAATTAAATTTAAGGTTTTAGCAGTCGCTACAATGCTTTTAGTTAAGATAAAAAGAGGTCCAATTCAAGCTATAGCTCTACAAAAAGATATGGAAAACCAAAGATATCGCAGAGATACGTCATATAAAAATATATTGAAGCACCACTTCTAATTGATGAAAGAAAATTTGATATTAGAATGTGGGTTTTAATCTCTTTTGACAATAAATCCTATGTCTTTAAGTAAACTTATTACAGAATAAATCTAATGAATAAATTAATAATTCATATTCCTTTCTTTTGGCTTAATAAACATGCTCAAAATTTTTTTAAACAGTCATTAATTCGTTAGAAGTTCTAGACTAAAACCATTTAAAGTCCAATAGTTTGTTTTAGAAACATTTCTTAATTTTTTTTATACAGTGGAAATTCTTTAAAAAAATATATAAAACATATGTTCAATAATAAACTTAAAAAACCTGTTTCTTATTAATCAAAAACTCAATAAAAGAAACATAAATAGAGATATATATATAGATAGATAGATAAATAGATGAGTCTATTTTAAATTAAAAAGATTTTTAATACTTTTTAATAAATTTAATTTTTAAATTTGGTTGATTCTTAATGAAAAAAAAAATATTGTAAAGTAGATAGAGTTGAGAAAAAACACCTCGCTAAGATTTTTATAAAAAATAACTTTAAATATTCGAGAGGATTTTTTTAAAAGTGAAAAAATACAAATTTTTTATTAAAAATATTTAATTCCAAAGAGAGAGAGAGATTGGGTAGGGTTTATTGACCAAATAATATTTTTAAATTAAGCAAATTATGTAACATTATTAACAAAAACATTTTCAAACAGGAGTTAAGTTAGATTCCGATTATTGATCATTTAATGAACTTTTAGATGTATTTAAATCACTGTTAAGCATTAGAATTGATAGAAATTTAAAGAAAATCAACATTTTTTTTACAAAAAGCTTGAAAATAGTTATATTTACTTTTGTTCATTACATAAAAAATTTAAAAATAAATTTGAATTTAATTTAATTAGAGAGGGATACATTAGAACAGCATGCGTAAGTTATGACACAAGCGAATAATCGTTAAGCAATAATATAGTTCATTTAACAAATAATGCAATATAGAAGTATGCCAAAAACTATGGGGAACACGAGCAAGGAAATTAGCTCTCATTTAAAAATTTTGAAGAATATTTAACTAAAAAACGGATTAATTGCAATTTTAATGCAAAAATATTGCCAAAAATAAAAGATGTAATGTCTCTAACAATAGACTCAGTTAAAAGCAAGTTAAACCCCTAGGAGAGAAAATTTTGTTTTGAAATTTTCGGTTATGACTTTATAATTGATAATAACTTCAATCCTTGGCTGATAGAAGTGAATACTAATCCCTGTATCGAATAATCAAGTGATATGCTTTCTATCCTACTAAAAAGAATGCTGGGTAATTAAATTAATAGTATATTTGCTTAATAGTTAATAATTATAATAGAATTTAGTCTAAAAAAATCGAGCTAATAAATCATCCATCTTACATATCTAAAATACTTTTCAACCATGTTATTTATAATAAATTGTTAATAAAGAATATTTTTAATTTGCCATAGAAAATGTTCGTTTAGAAAGACCTAACTATGATTAGGCAATTACAAATAGGTTATTATATTGTAATAAATACAAAATTAAATTTTTATTTATCATAAATTATTTTTATAAAATTTAATCTAGCTTACAAATCAACAAGAAACAAAAAAATATTAATTTACTATTTACTTTTTTATATAATTATATAATTATATAATTATTAAATTAGATGATGCATTTAAATTAACACTTGATTAATTATTTAATCCCACTGCTAAGTAAGAAGAGTCATAATATCCTGTAGAGGGTTATAGTAACAAAGAGAATATGTGGTAAATACTTAAAGTATATTTTAACTAATTTATGTTGAGATATTCAATTTTAATGACAAAAGGGAGTAGCTCATTTCAGGGACATACCAAAATCTTCGCGGATGCCAAAGTTCTTTAATAAAAAAAAAATGACAAAATCAGCTGTTTTTTATAAAGAGAAATGAATTATAAAATATCAGAAAATGTTAATATGCAGAAATTAAGTAAGACAATAATAAATTTACCCTACAAAAAATAATGCAACCAATCTAATGATCAAGATATAAAATAAATGTATGCAAATTAATTAATTCATTCATTAATATTTTGATATTATGTAATATATTTATATTTAATTGTAACTTGTAATTAATTTATGTAATAATAAATAAATATTTGCTCATTTTTAGAATAATTAAACCTAAAATTTATTTTTAAGTAAAAACTGCATATTTTTTATCCATCACTTTTATTCAATTTCAGTAAATCAAATTTATCTATCTATATAAAACAAACAAATAAATCTGTGTGGTAAAATTTGCAACTACATATTTATCTAAACTAATTGACATTCAATCATTTTTATGTTCTCTAAATTTTTTTGGCATCTTTATTTTACAATTTAATAAATTCGATTCCATTATTAGATTTAAAAGCAGATTTGCTTGACATTTAAAACATTTATGAAATCAAATCAAGTTTTAAATTCATCAGTCTTATTCCTTTTACATCTAACTAAAAGTATCATCTATTTAAAGAAAATATAAAAAGCAAATCTAAATTTAAAAATCTTTATTTATTTATTTATGAATACATACTAGCAAATAGTGATTTCAAATACACTTAAAACAAAATTAAATAATAATTTAAATATTTTAGTCTATTGGAACTATGAAAAAATATTATTTTATATTATTTCAATTGAAAAGCCAATAATAGTTACATATATAATAATTATCCCTTAACTACTTTACCTAATTAATATTAATGTATCTAAATAAAACCAACAATTTTTCTGTTTGTACTATTTTTGAAAATATTTTCTTTGGCTTTTTTCATTTTAGTAAAATAAATCTTCAGTAAATTTTTTGAGATGACTTGATAGGATGGGATGGCTTATTTTTTGTGAGTTCAGAAAAACGATGTTAAAACTGAAGGTAATTAGCTAAATTAAATAATTTATTTTTAATTTTCTTTTATAAAAAGAGGAAGTAAGTTGAAAGCTTTTTCTTGAAAAAGTAAAATTGTAATCAGATGTTGAATATTGTGAAAAAGCTTATTTATTTTTGTTAAAAGAGAATTTCGATAAAGATTACATTGCAAATAAATAAATAGGTAAGTAATTATATCTCAATAGTAATTATTTTGTTAAAACGCAAAGTAATAATAAGTTTAAAATTAATTTGCTATAATATGCAAATAATATTTGTAATTTTAACATCAAAAATATAAAACGTTTTTCTTACAACTATAATTTTATTCCCAAAAAAAGGAACAAAATTATAAAAAAATGAATGAACAAAAAATAAGTAAACAACATATATTTATGTAGAAAAATAAATTGCACAGTTATTTTTTTATTTATTGATAAATATCTCAATTTATCTTACAATTTACTAGTTAATAATTTATAAATTTAATTTACTATCACATTCTTATTTACACTTTTTAATTAAAATTTAGATATGTAAAAGAATTAATCAGACGAGAAATCATTAATATCAAATACATTTTTATTAATTTCTCAGTGTCATCTTTCGTTTTTATATTTTTTACTACTTCTAATTTACATCTAAAATCCAGTTAACTATTCATTTATTAAACATTTACTTAAAATTTTAAAATTATGCTGAGTTGTTCCCTAATTAGCTCTAACTGACTGACTATAAATGAGTCAAAAAATATAATAATCGAATATTTTAGAATTTTAGAATGAATAAATGAATGAATAAATCTATATATTTTCTTTTTAGAATTTACTGTAGGTGTTAAAGGATAGGTGGATGTGAATTTCCAACATCTTCTTTATTAATTTGAATTTAAATGATTTCAATTAAGAAGGATAATCATTATTTTATCAGTAATCAGTGTTTAATTAACTTAACAACATTTGTAATTGATTTTAACAAATCCCCCTATCATATGGTAAAAAGAAGTATTATTTTAATTTTACGTTTGGCAATTAATTAATTAATTTTTGTTAATTTAGTTAATATTTATCGATCATTCACGCATTTAAAATCTTTGGTAAATATTTATTTTGATAATTCTTCTATCATTCGTCATTTATTAAATGACATTTGTTTATTTCTAAGGTGTAAGAAAATCAAAATATTAAATAAGTAAATCAACATCATAGATTAACTTGCATGCACTTGAATTCCAAATTCTAGCAATAAAAAATAAGTATTTAACTGGGTTAAACAATTTGTTGTTATAAATATTAGGATTTTTAAATAACTATTTAGAAAGATAAATTACTGTTTTCAGTCACTAAAAAAGTTAATTTACTTTCAAACAATATTAAGTTATTACAAACAAAAAAGTGTAAAGCAAATCACTTTTGAGAGATGTTGGATTTAATGTTGAAACTTTTTAAAAAAATCATGTGATTATAAATAAATTGGATGGCATTTTCTATATCATAAATTTCTGATATCTTTCTTAATTTTGATTAATTATGTACTTAACTAAAACAAACAGTTCATGTGATTAAAGCTTATAGACAAATAAAATTCAGGACAATCGAGTTATCTGTTTTTTAATGAATATATATTAAACCTGTGGCAATCCTAAAATAAATTACAAAAACAGTGTATTTAGATCTTACAAAAATCAATATGTGACATAAATAAATGTGCCAAAATTATTAGCCGCCTAGCCTGATCTTATTTCATAGTCTCAAAGTATAATAAAATTTATCTAGATAATCTATTTCAGCACACATCTATTTTAGAAAATTAATTGTGTTTTATTTCCGTTTTTTTAATTTAATTTGTTAGTGTAATAACTTTTATAATGAAGCTAAGGACTGTGTAATCTAATATATCTTTTTTTAGTTGAGATATTTTATTGTGGTGTTGAAATAAGAAGAAGAAAAATTAAGTTTTAATAATGACTGGTTAGTTGGTAATGTGTATATATTTAAATGTCAAATACAAGTAGACAGACATAAGAAATTAATTATCGAATAATAATATCACTGATTTAATACAATAAATTAGATGTTTTATTTGTTTATTTACTTGTCTGCTTTTTTTATCAAAATCAACTCATAAATTCTTAATAAATTTAAGATAATTAAATAGAACAAGATTTAAATTTTTAAAAATTTGTTTGTTTTACTAGATTTTAATGTAAGATCAAGTTAGAAAAAATAGACAGCTAAGATATGAAATGAATTTACAGGCTAATTATTAGTTCTATCAAATTTATTCGCAAAATTAAAAATAGAGTGCTCTACTTTTAAAATTTTTAATTAAATGATAAGTAGACTTTCTTCCTTTCTTATTTTCTTTGTTTGTTTATTTATTTATTTATCCTACTGGTTTTGTATTTAAATTTTTCCACAAGAAAGAGTTCTTGCAACTTAATAAATTACATGTTAATAACCTTCATTAGAAATAGAATAATTTTTCAATTAATTTTTCGTTCACTTTTTTTTTGATAGATTTGAAACTTTAATTTTTAATTTTGTCCTAAATAAATACTAAGATTTCAAAGAACAAAGTATTTATAGAGCAAATTAATAAATTGTAAGAACATTTTTTTATTTTATCGTGTAAATAGAGCTTACAAGAGCTGCATGCTAATTAGAAAGACTCATGTTAAGCTTATAAAAAAATCAGTCAGTCTCAAATTTATCTGGTTGTGCTAAGTAAAAATTAAAATTTGAGATGAAATAATTTAGAGTGGAAATCACATGTAAAATAAAAGTTTTATCATCTTTAAGAATGATAACCATAAATATTCCATATATATTATATCAATCAAAAGAGAAAAATTTAACAAAATTAACTCATTAGCGAGTTAATAAATGATTATACTCTTTTACCACAGATTTTTTAATTTATTATTTTAACATTTCTACAGTAACTCTTTAAATAGGATGAAGGATACTTACAAAAATTATTATATCTTTAAGGTAAAATAATAAATAAAAAGTCTAACAGAATATGAAAGCCTGTATTCAAGTCCTTGAATTAACCATATATATATTGCTGTTAGTAATAAAATGCAAATTAATATAAAATATTTACAACATTTATAATATATGTAGCACCTATAAATATTGATTTTTCTAAGATATTTTATCATTAATTTACATCACAAAAAGTAAAATAAAAATTTTTTGTATTGCTTTTTTCTTTCCATAATGAAGAGTAGCTTTTTCAACTTGATATATTTATTAATTAATATTCAAGAATAAGAACCATTTAAGAATAAAAATTCCAATTACTTTTGCCTTTCATTTTATAAAATTTGAGAAATACCTTCCGGTTGCGTGCTTGCCTAATGGGACATTTAATTAATAGAGCCATATCAAAAACTAACTAACGAGTGGGGAGCAGTGATAAAAATTAATATTTGTAACGACATTAGAATTCTTTATTAGAAATTAAACAACAGGTATGTATGAATATATATATGCACTTGGGTATGACTTTTATATTAATTAATTAATTATTTAATCAATAAATCAGTCTACCTAATAAATAATAACGGGTTAGCTATTTATCTCGTTTAATAAATATTAGAGATCCAATGAAATTAAAATTTGAGATGGTTACTCAACAAATCTCAAAATTTGTAAATTAATAAAGACTTTTGTGAAAAGAGATCTGACATTGAATGAAATATCAGAGAAATTGTCTGTCGAATTCATATAATAATTAAAGTATAAAAAAATATATAAAACAGAAATTCCTGAAAAAGCAAATAAAATCAATCAATAAATAAAAATTTTTGTAATACAAACTAAAAACACACACATAAATAATAAGTCACTCTCCTCTCCAACTTACTTACTCTGAAAGAAGTATCCAAAAAGCACCATAATAAAAATATTAACTAAAGAACTCACAAATACCCGATAAAGTTGGCTTAGAAATATACTTCAAGCTATTCCTGAACTAGTGCAAAAATAAAGAAAAATATCAATCAATTTTTACTGAATATATAAATAAAATGATATAAAAAAGTGACATTGAAGGGATTATCTGCTAAGACATAATCGAACAATACTAGTAAGAATTCGACTTGCTCAATGATGATTCACTTCTTTAAGAATTCAACAAACTGTAAAAATCCAACTTCCTCAAAAACATTTTGCGTTCTTTTTACGTTTACATCCTTGAAGAAGGAGACGAAATAGTTATTGAAAGCATCGTCTAAGATTCTAAGAAAAATATTAACTAAATTAGAAAAGAATTCAACGCCTTTACTAAAAATAAAAAATTAAACCAAGCAACTCTTCTTTCATTCATGAAAAGTAAGAGATTTAGTAAGATTTTTTACTACTACTTGAGCTATTACAGCCTTGACTGGATTATGAAGGGATCAATCCAAGACGTTTAAACTCATGTCTTGTGTATCACCCACTTAAAGAGATGCTTCCACTCTGAAGATCTCATAAATTCAATCAGAATTTACAAAAAACACATTTGAGAAAATTAATCAAAAAATACTTTAATTTTATAAAAATAAATAGCAATAATAAATACAAACATACATACATACATGCAATAAATTAATAAACAAATAAACAAACAATCAAACAAAAATATAGTAATCAATCTATTTTACAAATAAAAAATTTCTTATTTTATTAAAAAAATACATACCTACCTACTTACTTAATTAACAACGTGCTTTTTCTTTTACCAACTCAATCAAGCTTCAGCTAAAGCAAATAAAGTTCAATGAACTTAAATATGCAAACTTGTTATGCGTTAAAAAGGTTCTTCTTCAATGAGAAGCTTTGAGAGAAATAACTAAATAAAACTAATCTTAACTAAATAGAAATTTCAAGCGATCCCCTTTAAGCAATAACAAGCAAGCAATAAAGAAGCACCTTTTTTATAAAAAAATTTCTTGATCAAATATATTTTATAAACAAAAACCTTATATAAATATTTTTTAGTATCAATAATTATATATATTAAACTCTATAAATTATCAAACTATTATTATTTAAATTTTTATATGCAACTCCATTTTTTTTCATTTTACTTAATGTTATAAACTTTAAAGAGGACATTTCTATGAACCGGACCTTACTTATTATATATTATTTAAAGGTGTAAAAAATTCAAAGTACTTCTATGAAATAAGTAAATAAATAAATATAGATAAATTGATTGATTTATTGATTCTTATATTCTCATTGTATACATTATATAAGGAAAAATTAAAAGATGAAGAAGAATTTCTAAATCAAGTAAAATTAATTAATTAAATAAACAATAAATGATTGATTAAAGAAATTTTTCATTTGACATGATTTTCAATGTAATATGATTTAAAAACATTTAATAGATTATAATTAAGAATTTAATAAATTATTTATCTAATTTTCTGTAAATACCAAATAATAAATAAAGAAAACCTCTTTGTTTTTCCCAAAATATCGCTGTCCATAAGTTTCCCTTCAGTAAATAATACAAATACAGCTAGTAAATAAAAGCTAACCTTTGATAATGATTATTATATAGTATTTCCTTAATTTAGAGATACTAGTATTACTTTCTTAAGAGCTGTCTTTATTATTAAATTACTTTAAAATTTTGAACAGTATTTTGTGTTTACTTATCAAATTCACGCAGCCTGCCTGTCTACTTTCTTTTTTTATTTATACGTGCAAGTGTGTATAGATAGTAAAAATTTTGGGATTATCAAATAAAAATTTATAAATATCTAATTTTCACCTTTATCTGGATTTTAGATGAAAAACCAATTAATTATTTGATATTTCCACATAAGACTGTTACAATCTACCTAATCTTCTTTATTTATTTGTTTTTCAATGATTAATTAATATTTATTTATTTAGCATCATATAATTCAGTCATGTATTTTATAAAACGTCACTATCCAATCCAATTAGTATTGGAAATTTAAATCAAATTTTTCATTATCATTTAGCTATTTACTTGCTTACTTAAATTATTTCATTCAAATCGTCTAATTAGAAACCACTCTTGAATTATTTCGCACCAAATTTTAAAAACTTATTATTATTTTTATCTTCTTACTTGTTTGAAAACTAAATTTAAAAAATAGTTTGCATTCTGATATCTTTAATCGTATTTTTAAAATAGGAAATTAATCATTTATTTATTTATTTAATTTAAAAAATTATTTGAAAAAAAACCACAAACAATCTAAATGTTGAAGAATTTTTTTGCTATAAGGCATACAAAATTCTCATATTCTTGTATAATATTACAAAAGTTCTTCAAATAATATTCTACAATTGATTCAATTTTCATAAATATGAGCAAATGAAATACCCATTTGTCAAACTGAGCCGTAAAATTTAATGAGGTTTTCGTATTTTAAAAGACTTTTTCTATTTGCAAATACTATCATATATATCAGAACTAATTATATCAACTGTAAATTAGAAAACTTCTAATAAGATAAAATTTTCTTTTTATGTATTACAAAATATTAAATAAAACTTCAATTTGTGGTAATGAATACGTCTATGTTAAGCTTTTAGCCTGTAAACCATCAATTATAAAGCATAACGCGTTGTTCAATTTTTTAAATTTAGTAGTATTTTGTTTTCGTCTTCAAAAATTAATTTAAATAGCTTCTAATTAGTATGTTTGGGTGTGTAAATAAAATAAAGCCATTTCTAATATTTAGATTTTTTCATAATTCAAAAGTAAAATAATTCTAGACACAAATAATAAAAGTAAAAAGACTAAATAATTAATTTTATTTAAATAAAAAGTTAAAAAAGTTTGAGGTTATCTAAAACTCAACCTAAAGAAAATTAAAAATCGATTTTAATATTAATTTGCCTACATTTTATTTTCTTTCTATCTAAATTAATCTGATTAATTTGTTTATTTACGATGAAGTAAAGATATTTTCTAAATTTTTCATAAATTAGTATTTACCATTCTCAAAAGTAAGCAAGCAAGCAAGAAAGCAAGCAACATTTTTATTTTTGTTTTCAATGTAAAAAAAAACTATTTCAAATATAGGAAATTTAAAAAATGATATTTTTATATAAAAATTTAATATTCTAAATTTTTTTTTTCAAATATACTTTTTTTAAACAACATAAATAGAATAAAAATTTGACAGAAGAATTTATTTCTAATTATTTTTAGCACATTTTTCTTATCGACCTAAACTTTTAGAAAAAAAAAAGATAAAATGGATTCAATTTTACTTTTTAAATAAGTATTTAAAACTAGTTACTAGCAATTTTTTAAAACTATGAATAAATAGTCTTTTCTAAAACATAAAAAAATCAATTATTTTTAAATTATTTAATCATATTTTAATATTAATTACATACAAAAGATATTTTAATAACTCAAAAATTTATATGTATTTCCAAGTGTTTTTGACTGTAAACCAATAATTTATATTACTAAAATACATTTTTGAAACAATTGAAATTGATTTTAACACCAGCCAAATCTGAGTAAGTTTATATTTAAAAAGTTTCTAAAATTTAATAGGTTAACTTCAAAAATATTAATCTAAAACACTCTTGATTCTTTCAATTCTATCTAAAATAGGGGGGAAAAGTTAAATTAGTTTTAATAAAATTTATCTTTCATTTTTAATTATTTGATACTCATTTAATTTAATCACCATATTATTTCATAAAAATTAAATTATTGTGTATCGATGTTATTGTTAAATCAAATACATACATACATACATACATACATACATACATACATACATACATACTTACTTACTTACAAATATTTATATTTCGCTCACTATAATAAATATAGTTGATTTAATTAATTGCTTTAAATAAAATAAATTTAATGAATGATAATTATTTTAAAAAATATTAACCTAATATTTATCAATGTAATAAATACTTCATTCTCTCTCTTCTCTTAATTTTTATAATTTGTTTACAATTTTTTTATTTTAATTTCATCAATAATTATTCATTTGCTGATTTATTCATTAATTAATTCATAATTTCTTAATTCTCTTTAAAATATTTATAAAAAATGAAGAAAATCATTATTGTAATAAAAAAATTTTTTATTCATCTTTAAATAAAATATTAAAAAATAATTAGAAATATTTAATTATTTTAATTAAAATTGTTTTTTTATTATGCTATCCAAATGAATAATATCTGGATTTATTGCTATATTTTTACAGAAATTTGTAAATAAATTTATTAAAATTGATCTACATATATTTTTATAGAACCAAAATTGCATTTTTTTATTTCCTTTTTTGCTTACTTTAAGTTGCTTAAACCTGTTAAAAGTTGTATTTTTTTCTTAACTTCTTTACCCTACTCTATTTTAGAATTTTTTGAATTTTACTCAAAGCCAAGTACATTCTAACTTTCAGGTAAATTCTTAATTTTTTTAAACATTTTTTAAATATTTGAAAATTAATAACTTTTTTCTCAAAAGTTTCTAAATTCAACATAAAATAAATGAAAGTTTTTTATTTAAAAAAAATGTTTTATCTATAGAATTGTTATGTTATTTGCAAGCGATTTTGATATATCAAGTAAAATATCATTAAAATAAAATAAATTCAAAAAATTTTTTTATGTTTTAAATAGGCACTAACCATGGAAAATATCATAGATAACATTTATAGTTGAGTTAAGAATTAATGAATATAAAGTAATACAAAATTCTAAAAAAAGTATTTACAAGCTATATAATTGTGAGAAAAATAGAAATTGTTACATACAACATTTTTTAAAAATATCAAATAATTTAATAATGATGCATTTAAATTTCAAAGACTTTAAATTTTGAGCATAGGAAGAGAAGTATATTTAAATTTTTTAATTACCTATATCTCAATATCTGTTTAATAATATATGTTCTTGAATAAAAAAAAAGAAAATATAAATAAGATAAGCAAAGTATGTTATTAGATTGATTGAATTTAATTAGTTTATTTTAATATATTTATTTTTCTATTAATTTGAGATTTGAGCTAGTAAAATAACAAAAGAAATATAATATAATCGAGTTTTAAATAGTTAACTAATTAATTACTGTATTTTCTACTTTATTTTCATTATCAGATAAATTATTAGTTCAGTAAACAAACATTATGCTGCCATAAATCACTAAATAAAAAAAATTTACTGATTTTTCTACAACTCTTTAAATAAAAAGAGGCATAAGACTTTTCTTTTAATTTGGTAGATTTTAATAATAATTTCATTTGATTATAATAATTTATATAAATTAATTAATAAGGAATGTTAATTATATTTAATTTATTTTTCCAGTTAATACAGCAGTAATGTAACTGGTTGGTCGAATAGCAAACGCTGTATTTTTTTACATAGAGTGATAATTTAAATATTTTTTTACTGAACATATTTTTTCTTAGATCACTTATCAATTTAAATTTTTTAAAAATATAGCAAGATCACTTAAATTAATCATTAGACTTACAGCTATTTATTTTAAAAAAAGTAGAGGAAAAAAACTTGTGAATCCTAAATAAAATACAATATAAAAATTTTTTGGAATATGTTTATAAATAAATTAAGTAATAACAAGATAACAAAAAGACAGTTAATTAATTACTTAATTAATCTATATATATTAAGCTCATGAATTTATGTAGTAGAAAATATTAATAAATGTTTTTTACTTTAGAAATAGACTAAAATTTTCCTCCTGATATTATAAAAAAAATAAATTATTAGAATTATAAAAATATATAATTCAGATTACTTAATAAATAGAGACAGGAAGTGTAATTTATCTTTCTATCTCAAAAAATGTAAAGCTAACTCAATGCAAAAAAGATTTTGTAACAATAAAGTGTAAATATGCAAGTTTAAACAATAAGCAACACAATTTATTTTCATATATAAAAGAATTTCATAAATAAATAAAAAAATAATATTTCAACTAATGCAAAATAAAATCAGTTTTTTTATTAAGAACGACCTTGAAAATTTATTCGTTTATTTATTTAGATTTAAATAAGTCTGAAATAATATTTTAAGTTTTGAAATAAAATTATTTTTAATAAAGAAAGATAAAAATTTAAGAACGAACATTGATTTTATCTAAATTTAAATTTGTTTTCCTTTTATATTCTAAATTTAAAAATTATGGTTGACTCTAACTTTGTATGATTCCATCATTTTTTCTTTCTTCTTTTCAAAACTTTTTCTTGAGGAATTGAGAAAAAATTAGTAAGATAAAGATAATTTTTATTTATCTAGAAAAATTAACTGGTAAGCACAATTACAACGGTAATTGTGTAAGGTAAAATTTAAAAATAAGAAGTTTTAATTATTCTTTTACATTATTAGTTCATTTAAACAAAAGAGCATTATACTTTTTAATAGTATAGTATGACTATACATCTAGATTATCACAAATGAAGTTAAATAATTTTAAATATTATACTCAATAATCATTAAAAATTTATTTAGGGAGTAACAGACAGAGGATATATATATATAATAATAACTTCTTTTTCTTTAAGCTAACGAAAAACTTTTTAAATAAGAATATTTTTAAAATATTTAAAAAATTATTAAAAATATTAATATAAATAATTGATTTTAAAGTAGAAATTTTTAAAAATATAAACAATATTTGATATATTAGGAAGAAGGAACAGATCAAATTTAATAATAATAAGTTTTATTTATCAAAACAAACTAATAAATGATTTTATTTACTTATTTATTACTTTGTAATATTTAAAGAAAGCTAGAATATTCATTTGGTCTGACTAAAAATCCAATCATGAAATTAAATAAAGAATGATAAATTAAATAACTAACTAACTAAATACTTTTGTTTTTGTTTTATTTTTGCATAACTTTAAATAAAATCAAAGGTTTTTTCATGTTTATTTTTGCATAACTTTAAATAAAATCAAAGGTTTTGATTTGAATTCGTACTTCTAAAAGAAACTTTATTTTACCACAATCTACCTTTGGTAAGAATAAATTAATTTTTTATTGATTGTTTTTTGTTTTATTTACATTTGATCGTTACTAATATTTTGAATAATCTTAATAAAAGGAATAGAAAAGAACATTATTATTAAATTAAAATAAATATGAGAAAACTGAAAAAATATTTCAAGATACATGAAAAACTGATTCTTATTGAAAATATATTTTTTTAATTAGAAACAAACTTATTTTGCCATAATTTAAATGTGAAATAGGAACAAGATAGTTAGTAATATTCTATAAATATTTAAGTTTCGCAAATATTTTTTTTTCATTTTGAGCAAAAATCAGTCGATTGATTTATTCATTTACTCTATTTTGCAAGAAAGCAAGAAATATAACTAAAATTTTATTTTTTTTCTACTTTGTTTTTGAAAATCAATTATTTTGTATCAAATCAAAATTGTAATGACAACAGTAAAATCATTCATAAATACTAACTATTTATTTATTTAATTTGATTTTCTCTTTTCCACAAATGAAAGAGTAGAATGAATCCACTGATAAATTAATAAAATAGAATTTATTTTCTATCAGTATAATTAATTGTTCAAGTTATTAAAATTTATAATTTTCATTCATTGTGATTTCTTTTCAAAAGTATTTAAAATGCTAAGCTATTTGAACTGTGAGGAATAGCAAGCGATTTTTAAGTTGTATATCAAAAAATTGGATTATTTGCCATAAAATAAAAAATATTATTACTATTACGAATGAATAAAGCATCACAAAAAAAATGAAGAACTGTAAGCTTTATCAATATGCTATTTACCTAATTAAAATATCAAATTAAGTCAAATATAAAATTACAATATGAATGAATATAGCTAAATGAAATACTAAGAAACAAAATACACATAAAAATGATTTTTACACCTAAATTTCTCCCATTATTTTAAAGATAAAGATCAAAGCCATTCAAAATTAGAAGAGTTAAAAAAAACTTAAAATTAATTTTTGTACAAACCTGCTAATAAAAATGGTAAGAATTTATTTTTTTTTTGCTTGCTTATTGAATGTATATCTTGCCAGAAAGTATTATTTGATCATGAAATAAAATACAGAATGTAATGCTTCAAAATCGATTCAAATATGACTTGAATTTTAAAGTGCAAAGTTGATTACTTTACATAAGATTTCTGTTTAAATTGCTTTTTGCATGAGAAAAAGCGATTTTATTCAATTGCAAAATAATTTGATATGATTTGAAAGAAATAGCGATTGATTGTTTAGTTAGCTTTTTAATTATTATTGAAAGAATAAATATATTCAGTATAGTAATAAGAAACAGAATTTCCATAAAAAATATAGAACAAAAGATCTTTTGAAATAAAGAATAAAATAATGCACAATTTTAACTTATATGAAATCATAATTAATAAAATTTTACTAGGCAATAGGCCAAAAATATTTCTTAAAAGTTTGTCATTTAAAAAAATCATTTTTCGTTATTTGTTTTTAGATAGTTGAGCTATCATAGATACATTGCTCTTGAATTTTTATTTTTACCAATTACTGAAATGATTGCATTAATTACAATATCGCTTTGTGTAAAACGCATTTTTAAATTAAGAATTACCCAATTTAAAGGGGTAGGTATCTTTAGAAACTTAATTAAGCATTTATTAAAGATATACTTTATTAATCGCGTATTATTTGTAATTTATTGCTACAAAACTTGCAAATAACTGTTTTAGATTTTGTTTTTGTTCTACTTTCAAATATAATCAAAGAATTAAATAAATAAACTAGTAAATAAATATCTACTTGCAATAGAAATATTATTTTAAATTAACTTGATTTATCGGTAGCAAACATTCTCAATCAGTTTATTTTTTATTTTGCGTTATATTTTGCTTATATCACTATTTAATTACTTTATTTAACTTGTTCTTCATCTGTTTGTCTATGTGTCTATTTACCTTCTATTAATCTGTGGAAGTTTGAAAATGCAAATATAAAGCTTTTTAAATAATTTAAATATATGTTTGATCTATGTATGATCATAATTTTTTAGACATAACGCATATTAATCTTTTAAATAATTAAGTATAGTACATGAATTTTTGATCTAATTAATATCAGATTTAAATCTGCTAGTGCATTTTTCATTTATCTATTTAAACTCCAAAAGGGTCAAAAATGTATTTTTTAATAGAAGTCGCCCTTATTTCTTAAATATATCAAACAATTTAGGTCTTTATAAGGATAATTTCAGGACTCTAATTGCTTATCTCAATTTCGATTACAATTAAAAGAAAAATAGTAATTGATATCGATACTAAAATCTATTAATTAATACTATATTAAAGAAAGATATTTTTGGTAATAAATAAATAAATAGAAAAGAGGGAGGAGGGTAAAACAAAATATTAAATAAATAAATAAAATTAAACCTACTTTCCAAACAAGCAAAGAAACAAATAAAAATAAATATTAATAAAAAAGAAACAAGTGGTAAATTTATAATATTAAAACTTAAATCCTGAAGATACTATCAAAATGATGTGTAAGTATAGTAATTGATGCTAATTTCAAATAAGAAAGTACAGTTAAAGGCAATTAATTAATTTATTTATTTAGCTTGAAAAGCGAATATTTATTTATTGCACTGTCTATTTTACTGCATGGGTTTTTGTTAATTTCATAAACAGTGTAAAATTTAACTAATTCTGCTTTTTTCTACATCCGTCCTTAAAATATTAATACTACTGGATCAAATATTTAAAGCGAAGCAGTAAGAAATGCAGAGATATTTGATTTAAATTCGAAATATTCATGTGCTTTCGATTGTTTAGAAATTTTGTATTTAATTCATGAGTTATTTCTTTTTTTATGCTTACAGTAAGCAAAAATGAAAATACAGGTTTTTAGTAAACACAAACAGAAATGATAAACAAAATTTGTTTTGTGCAAATATAATTTTCCAAGCAGTGATTAATTAAAATCTCAACAAATATATCATTTTGTATTGTATGTTGAATATTTAACCCACCGCTTACATTAAAAATGCATGTTATTTTGTAACAAATTTATGGTTTAAAAGAAATTACTTTGAAAGGATATACAAGAAATTTAACAAACACTTACAACAGCTCTTATAAACCGATAAGATGATTATAATTTTTTTAATTCATAGATTTGAAACAAATTTTACTTTTATATTTATATTTATGGTATCGCATATAATAAGTAAATTTTAAATTGAGTATTTGCTTTAAAATCCTGACGGAAAAGGTTATTTGAATAATTAATTTTTGTAATCAAAATTTGTGAAAAAGGACTACAGAGTAATGGACAAATAGAATTCATATAATTAACATTTGTATTTTTATTAAGATTTTCTTCTTTTTGTGACTTACATTTACATAATAAACAATGCGATGATATCAATAAATAAAAATTAGATTTGCTGTTTTGATGATTAGATTATATCATGCAAAATAATTGTATTATATTTATTTAATTAATATGTTCATAAGAGATTAGATTACATCTCTATTTTATTAGATTGTTTTAGTATTTTTATTATAAATACTGTAATATGTATGTATGTCTGTAGTTCTAATTGACTCTCTATGGATGGGGAAGAAAACTAAATAATTAAATGAATAATAATTGCGGGTGACTTAAAAACCTCATTAATTACTTCAAGAGAATTGAAGCAAATCAAATAGATAAATATGAATGAATAATATCACTGTCTATGGGATATGGGAGAGTTATTATTTTAGTTAATTGCGCCTGATAAGTGGGGGGGAATAGTAAAATGAAAAAAAGAAAGAACCAAAGTATAAAGATTTACAAATGTAAACTTTTTTTAATTATTCTACTTAGCTTTTTTTGTTTATTTGCTTTGTTTGAATTTGCCTTGTGATTTTGGTTATGCTAAATAATTTTAAAGTAAATAAGTAAATATATATATATGTATGTATGCATATTATTAATGAAAATATGAATGTATGATTGATTTATTTATTTATATATTATCGAATGATTTAATGATTGATTAATCCCCTCGTTTCATTTAGATTAATAGAGCAGGTAGGTTAATAATAAAATCAACTTTTTAGTTCCACAAAATCAATCTTCCTTTGTTTGATTTTATTTAAAAAGAAACATAATCACTCTTTAAAATTCATTTACCGAAATTTCAATGATTTAATTCAATTTAATTTAAATTTGCGATAACTCTAATCAGTGAAATAAATAAATAATTAATTAATTAATTAATAAAATAATAAAACAAAAAACAGACTTCAAAAAAAAGGACAAACAAAAAACCCTACCTTGATATTACATACTGTATCCTCACATATCTAACTAAGGCTGCAATAATATTCTAAATAAAGAAATGAATATCTCTGAACTCCTCATCTAAGACTACCAATCAAAGTTTGAAGAACTTGATGAATGCGAATTGATGGAAAGATACAACCACATTTAGAAGTCTAACTATTTGAAGAATATCTTAAGATCATTCTACGTCTTTATGCTCAATGAAGGTGATGAAATAGTCATAGAATCTATAGTTTAAGATTCTTCCAAGACTATCAATTAAATTCGTAAAGAATTTAACGCCTTTATAAAGAACAAAAAGCTCAACTAGTCTACCTTAGTTTCTTTCATGAAAAGCAAGAGATTCAGTCAAATCCTCTACTACTACTTATGTTACTACAGCTACGATTGGATTATGAAGGGATCTATCTCTGATATAGAAACACACATCCTCTGTATCACTTACATGAAGAAATGTCTTAAATCTGACTCTCTCCTCAGCCAAATCAAGGTTTACAAGAAATAACTATGAATCCTAATTGAAGGAGAAAGACACAACAGTTTGTCTCTCTTCAGTTGAAGATTCTTCTTTTAAGAACTCTTCTTTCTTTACTTGCATTTTCTTTGCAACCAACCTACATCTTTTTTATGATAAAAATCTTTTCTTATCTTTAAGCGAGCCAATCTTTCTGCTCGTGTTTTTTAAATGCAACTCTTACAACTATAATAAAGCTTTCTTAATCACCTATATACATCTTCTTATAAATTAATTAATATAAACATACATATATATATAATAAATCTTTCTTAGTACCTTCGCTATTCTTTAGAAGGTCCAATGCTTTATAATTTCTTAGCTAGCTTCTTGCTCAATCCTTCTTTCTTGGAGCAATTTACTTTTACTTTCACTAATAACACCAATTTCTATTATAACCAACTTCGGAGAATAACCGGCCAAACCCTTCTGTTTTATCCAAAAAAACTCAAAATTATAAAATCAATAATATCAAGTTAATCCTACCATAAATAAATAAATAAATAAATAAATAAATAAGCAAGGCTAAAAGTCATCTAAATATACTTAATAATATATAAAATAATACTATGCAATTAAATTTCTGCCTGAAAAAATAACCAGCCAGAGGCATTTGAGCCTAGATAAGTAACATTAAGTTGAATTCAGTAAATAAGAATAATTAATTAGATCCTTTCTTAAGCATATTGCATAATTACAAACTTTTTTTACCTAAAAATAAATTGATTAATCAATTGATTGATCTATTAAAAAATAAAAATATACATTTATATCTATCTAATCCAACCTTTACATAAAATCAATCACAACAATAATAAATAAATAAAATTAACATATAAAAAATTGCTAATTGTATCCCAAAATTTGTTCATTCATTCATTCATTAAAATATTTGTGTTGCAAGTTTTATAGCTTTCAAAATTAATTTTAAAACTTCTTTTTTATTCAATTTAATTATTTCTTGAATATCAAGAAAACTGAGCATAAATGATATATAAAAATATCTCTTTTGGTAGAATATAGTTTAATAACAAAGCTAAGCCATACAAAACAAAGCTAAATAGAACACAAACAAACAAACTCGAATTCTTCACAAAAAGAGAAAACATTAAAAAAAAATACTTTTGTATAATTTAATAATTTGATATCAAATTTTTTAATTTTTTAAATAGTCCATAAATTTGAAAAACTGAGTAAAGAGAGCAATCACAGTATTTGTAAAGTATTGTATTATTTTTTATCTTGATTTTTTTAAGATAATGTCTCATGCTTTAAATAATTTATGGATATTGTGCATGAAATTAGTAAACAGTAAATATTAAAAAGATTAACATAGAAATCAATTAATTTTCCTCAGACATAATTTATCAGATTTGATAAATATTATTTTGATTAGTAAAAATAGGAGAAGTGGAATTATTTAAATAAAAAAACAAACAAATAAATATAGTCTGATTAAACATTATCTTAATACTAAGTTATTAAAAATTATCAATAAACCATTTTTTTTTTAAATGATAAACAGCAAATAAGCTTTGCAATTAACGACAACTTATTAAAATTATTTATTTACTTGGTTTATATTTTCTTTTCGATATAGCTTACAATAAAATTTTCGATAAAGCCAAGAAAAATAATAAATTTAATTATCAAATCAAACAAAATAATCACTTTCGCTATTTTATTGATTTATAAAAGATTTAAATATATCTCAGTTTTGTTAATAAATATAAGAAAATTTTAATTATCTTATTAATAAATATTCAAAAAGTTACCTTTATTCGTAATATATTCATTCTCTCATTTCTTCCCATAAAAAGATTGAATCAATGCTTGATCGCAAAATATTTAATTTGAGAGTATTTCCAAAAAATGTATTTAATTAAATATTATTTTATAATTCATTTAACTACACTTGATTTGATTTAGATAAAAAAACAATTAAAAAAAATACTTTATTTGAATACATTTTTATAAGTGGACAAAAAAATTATAAAGATTTAGAGGAAAATGATTGATTAATTTTATATATGTATGTAATGTTATTTGATTTGATTAAATGACTGACCGACTTTTCAATTTTAATTTTATTTTACCAAATCAGAATGAAATAAAAAATAAATGTATATCTTACAATTTATTAGAGACTACTTTGTTACTTATTTAGTTAGCTTAGATAGCTAGAGATGTGGCTAGTTTTTATTTTACATGAAAAGTTAATTGAAATAGAATCTTACATCAAATAATTTACTTTTAAATTAGCTATTCAAATTAAAGGCAATTGCCATTTACAATTTCTCATTCTTAAAAAAAAATTTATTTTCATTTTATCTAAGTTGATTAGATAGAAATCCTACATTCATTTTTACCTTTTTAAATATACTTCTATATTAGAAAAAAGAAATTGATAATTGTAACACAAAAAGTTGAATATTATTTTTTGCTTTGAAGCCTTTATGTGATATTAGCTAATTTTTGATTCTCCCTTTCCCCAAAGTGCTTTAAACGAATGAATAATAAATGAGAGAACTTAGTTATATATATAATAAATTTTTAGATATTCAGTGATTATTACAAATTTTGATTAAATTTAATTAAATTTTTTATAATTTCTATAAGAAATTTTTTTAATTAAATTCAATCAAATATGACATCAATTATATCATTCTTTTCAATAATAATATATTTTTTTTCTCATTCTTTAGCAATTATAGAGGACTGACTATACATAAATATATTTATAATTTCGCTCCAAATTCAACATATCGTAATCAAATCAGTCTCACTGACTATTTTTATATCTGATCGTTCACTTTTTCCTACAAATTTAAATATGTTTTTACTGATTTGTAATTTATTATACAAAATCTAATTGATTTATAATTATAATTATTTATATTACGAAATTATTAATTAATTAAAAGGAAAATTTAATAATTGGCCTCCTATCAAACAGAAATTATTGCTCTTATTATTTATTTTTTTATAGATAGATTATAGGCAGATTTACAAATTTATATAAAATTATGTTCTTTTAGCATTTGATTATCTTAATATTTTTCAAATTCTATAAGTAGTAACATTTAATTAAACAATAGACTTTAATCAATAAAATAAATAAAATGAGCTAAATATTTCAAGAAAATTAACGATCCTAATTTTGATTTCTTAAATATTTGTTCGGAGTGTGTAGGAATTAGAAATAAACATCATTCAAAAATATATATTCAAGAATTTTCAATATTTTTAACGAATATTTCTAATTAAATTATCAAATCCATTTAATCAGTCTATTGATATTTTGTTTCTTTGTTTGTATGTTTATTTCTTCTTTTTTAATACTTCGAAAACAATAAATAGATAGAAACGAAAATAATGTTCAGATAAGATCCTTATTCTAAGATTCAAGGATAGTTTGATTAAAATTGTTCATTTTGCAATACTCGAGTAGTAGATCCACTTGTTTTAAACTGTAATCATGAAGTCTGTTTTAGCTGTGCATGCTAAAAGGAAAAAATATGCTAGAATTAGTATTGCATTATTTTTACTATCCTTTAATATGTTTTATGATGCTTATCTAAATTTGCAAATTATTCATAAATATTAATATAATTTTTATTTTGAAATAACTTAAATAAATAGATAATCAGCATTTATTGAATGCATTGTTTGCAAAAGTTGCACTTTCATTAATCAGCTTCATTTTTCTAGTAGTCGCAATAAATAGATTAGCCATGGATTTAATATACCATATGAATAGCAAGAAAAGTAGAAAAATAATAATGATAGCAACTTTTAGGTTAGAGGAGAGTGCAATTTCATTAGAATGGCTAGACAATAAAGTAGTCTAACTAATCTTCATAGTAAAAGCAGTAATGAATAATCTTATGCCATGGATAAGTGCATGAATTATTTAGAATTAGGATAAAAGGATAAAAGCTATAATTTAGATTAAAACTCATAACTATCTTAAACTGCTATAAAACAAAGTTATAATTAAAATATTTTACAAAAATGCTAAGCAATCAAGAAAAATAACAATTAATCTGCATCACCAAAAGTGATAGGAAGATGCAGTAGTGAATCTAAATTAGTAAAACCAACTCAAAATATGAATAACAGCAATAACTACAATAACAATAATAAAAATTGTAATGTTATTAATAGCGCTCAAAAAATACCAAATTTCAATTAATTAAAGTCTAACTAGAATCCATCCTCATCCTATCTTAATATCTTCTCAAGTCGCTAAAACTAGCAACATTAGCAGATGCCTTTCTAATAAGAAAACTATGAAAACAGGTCACTGAAAAACAACTGCATAACTCCTGAAAAGATAACTGAAAAGTTATTAGACATGTCACTAGTAGACTCTTCAAATAGATGCAAAAGTTAGAGAAATTACACAATCAGCCCAAATAAATTTAATGCTGAATCCCCGATATATCAACAGAATAATACTTACCAGAAGCCTTAATTAAGCAGCGATAAGTTAGAATAATAAATTCCTATACTTTAGGACTAGATGCTAAAATAGAAGAACAACGATTCATTAAATTAAAATTGCCTTACTTAAAGTTAAATTAAGAAAAATAATATAGAATTAAGTGAATGTATTGAGCACAAAGAGCCATATAGCTTATTTTGTGAAACAGACAAAAGATTGTGTTGTGTGAACTGTGTCTACAAGGGATAAGGGAGCCACAAGAACCATAATGTGATGCCTTTAAAGCAGTCATTTAATTTACTAAAATAAGAACTAGGTAATTTTAAATCTAAACAAAAAGACAAGCTGCACTAAATAGACGAAGCAATCAGAATTCAAACTTTGAATAAGCAGGAAATGCTTAAGACATTTTTAAGCTTTAAAGAAGTAGCAAATAAGGAGTTTCAAAAATTGATTTAAGCTATTTAGCAGAGACAGTAAGTAGTTCTGGAGGAAATAAATTCATCATTCTCTTAAAAACTTCTAGTAATATATATTATCTGTTAGAATGATAATTAGAATTTTATCAAATTTAGATTTATAATTCATGAACTAGAAATTTGCATTTAGTTTAATAAAAAACCTGTTTTTAATTTTACAAATCCCGACACGAAAAGCTTTTAATTTAGAAACAAATCATATATTTGATCAGATATACCTATTACTATTTTACTATTAAAGGTTTCTTTTTCTTTTAAATTGATAAAAAATACAAAATTTATCTCGATCAAGTTAATGGAGCAATTTTGTGGTAAATTAAAATTTTATTACACTATGAGGGATTTGTTTGCATTTAAATAGAAAATTAATCTTATCCAAATAAAACTATCAATCCATTAAACATTATCTTAGTTAGTTAGTTTCGCCGATTTCATTAATATTTTAAATTTTAAATAGGAAACTGATGACAACCTTAAGTAACTTTAAGAAATTAGAGTAGAATTCAAAAACTTTAAAGAGATAGATAGCTAATTAAAAAACGGAAATTTCTAACAACAAGTTAAGGTTTATTCTGCAAAATAGTAGCTTTCTAAATCTCTTAAAGTATTTGAGGGGATATAAATTATAGAAAATACCAAAGAAGAAATAAATTTATTTGATTTCTAAACTAAGCACCAACTATTACAAGATATAAACTAGCTTGGTAGAATCAAAAATACTAAAAAAATAACTCACAATTAAGCTCAACAAAAGTCCACTTATTCATCTAATTGCAATATTTTGAAATCCTCTTCCTCTTTTATTGGAAGCAACTAGAAAGCGAAAATGGAAGAAGATAACATTATTGATTTAAGTTAAATGCAACATTTAGAATAGACTACGCAAAGAAATTTAGATTTAAAGTTAAGTCTAAATGCAGCTGGTGTGAGAGCATCTCTAGAAACACCTAGTGGGTAAAACTCTGTTAATTCTAGGTAACGAAACCAATCGAATACCTAAAAATCAAATTCTCTATCACAAACAAATTTTTCAAATTAAGTTTAACAACAATAACCAAAAATAAACGTGAATTAAATAATTTAGAGTATTCCTCACACAAATAATATCTTACCCGCAAAGGACTAGATTCAAAAATAAAATAACATTACTCCTCCTTAAATGGATTATAATATGAATATTTTTGTAGCTGATCAACTTAATTAATAGAACACAGTTTAAACAGAAAGATAGTCATGCTCATCTTAAGTTTCAAAAAAAAGTTTTATGTTTAACGATAAGCCTCCTTTGAATGTAATCAAGAAACAGTAAAGCAATTTTAAAATGTAAACAACAAATGATGTAAATTTGAATGGAACACCAAACATTTAATTCAATCAATGTTTAAATAATTAAATCAAGGATAATTAAGTGAAATAAACTAAGGAGAACCACCCATCTTCCTCACTCTTTTTATCGAATGATGGAAGTTATTTAAATATTTAATCTCAAAATAATGTAAATAGAAACATGCCTTTAGAAGCTTAAACAAACAAAAGTGAGGCATCGATACAAAATTAAGTATTGTATTAGACTTAAAGTGGTCATTACTCCACTAAAAAGACTTAATACAGTTCTCTTTCTCAAAACAATCAAAATAATGGAAAATTTGCTTCACTTACAGCACAAATTAAATAAATAACTTAAAATGTTCCTGACTTTTTTGAAAATGATGACCGTGACGTCATTGAAATACAAGAAAGTGATAAGGAAAACGCATTGCAAGAGCCTGAAGAATAAATGAGATATCTTAATTCTGTAAATTCAAATTTAGAATAAAAAACTACCTAATCAAAGTAATAAGAAAATTTCAACCTTACAAAGAATTCAACTATAGTAAAACAAAGTTATTTAATTAAATCGACGACTGATGATTTTAACAGTCCAATAGTGGCTACTTTCTAATAAGAAGCAAAGTAAAGACCTTCTATCCAAAAAAATGTGCCATAAAATATTTAATAAAATAAAGTTTTTGAGGATAAAACTTATTAGATATTAAACCAAACACAGTAAAACAGCAGTTTTAACAACAATATAACAAATTCATGTCTGCTTAATATGACTCAAATGTCTAACAAGCAACAGCTAGAAAACATGAAAAATTTTTAAAACTCTTGCAACAAAAGCAATACAAGCTAAATACAAAACAAAAAAATCAATGGCAGTAAATAGTTTTTTAATGATGAAAGCATGGAAAACAGTTGTGAAGGAAACAAAGAATTAATCCAGTAACTAAATGCAGAAATACTTAACGAGAATTTTACCCTCGAAAGTGATTAAAAAAAAGTTACTTTATGTGCATAATTAATTGAAAGTAAGAATTTAAAAGTAAATGACTCTGATCAGGTTGGAAATATTAACTCACAATAATTTAATAATTATACCTGTAATAATTTCTAATAGAATAATCAATCTATTCTATTTAATTAATCAAAAATATTAGATTCTCAAAGTAGAAATTAGCTTTTAGGAATTTTACCATTCAAATTGAGATCAAGTAATCTAATTTATTCTATGAAAGAAGATAAATTATCATCAGATGATTTTCATGAAAAATGCGATGGAAGAGGACCTTACATTATTTTAATTAAAGCTAACTCATTCATATTTGGCTATTATTCTCCTATTTCATTCGTTTAATGTGATAAATACATAACATGTTCTAACAGTTTTATTTTTTCCCTAAGCAATATCTATAATACTTCGCCTTTAATATTCCCTATTAAGCAAGATAAGAAGTTCATAGCACTCTATCAGAGCATTAAGAATCCTTGTTTAGGAAGCACTCTATAGAACAAGCAAGATTTATGGATCAAGTAAAAAATAAAATCATTAATTACAATTTTCTTTAAAATAGTTACATTGAAGTCAATTTATATGAATAATATTAACATATTTTATTTAAAAATAGCTTTGATGACCCAAGAAACTCAGTCTCATGTTTAGGTATGATTGATTATTCAAATGGTCAAATTTATTTATTTATAAATATATATTTGTATAAATTTAAGGTTATGCTTACTAATTAGATGGTTAATATGAAGGAAGCAAAATATTAGCTGGGTAATACACAGATTGGAATGTGCAAGGCATAGAAGTCTACTAAATAACATAATGAAGACATTTTTAAATATAAAAATATGTAATTATAAAATCTTCTTAGCGAAGAAAAAACAGATAAACAACAAAACCATTTCTCCAAAGTTAAAATTTTTTGGAATAATTTAAGTCTAATTCCATGGATTTGAATGTAAGTGGAATAATAAATAAAGTGAAGGACTCAGGATTATTAATTATGCGAAATTAGCGAGTTGTAGAATTTTTATTTACCTGGTATTCAATTAATGGAATTAGCAGTAAGTATGATTTAATTATTTACTTACTGACTCTATTTATTTGTAAATAATATTTTGTTTTTTATTTTAATTAAAATAGAAAGAAAATTAATAAATTTATACTCCTTCTTTCTTACTCACTGATTCCATTTTTTTATTTTAAATAACCGGTCAGCTCATTTAAAAAATTATTTATCTACGCTAACTTTTGGTTAATATTTTTTTTGTTTGCTTAAACATTTTAATTTTTCAAGCTCAAGTCTATTTCATTTTATTTACTTTAAAACTGTAATTGATTGTTAAAGCAAAGCTAGTATTTCTTTTCATAAATTGTATTTTTGATAAACCTTTACTTAAAAATATAGACCTATCAATCTATAAATCAAAAATCATTATTATTTACATATTTACATATAATAAATAATCAAATTTTATAATTTGTTATCAGAATAAGTAATATTCTAGAATTAAAATAAATTTACCAAAATAATATGAATACCTCTGTAATCATTATTATTTCTTTCTAAATAATCAATTTTAGTAATAGCTTTCAATCAATTTTCTTTCCTAATTGAGAATCAAAATTCTACCATTTATTTTTCTTACGTTACTTTTTTAATGAAATAAATCATCAAAGTATGATAAATATAAGAAGATTGTGTAACCATGACAAAAAGTTTTATATAAAATTATTTTTTATCATAGTGTTAAGTAAGATCTCAGGTTCGCGTTAATAAAAAAAAATATTTCTAAAAAAATATTACACTTTTCTTAAAATATTAAATTAATTAATAGTTAATCTAGTATTTCTATTAATAAATTTTATTTTTGATTAACTTTTATTCAATAAACATGATTAACTGTGATATTATCTTAATACATTATTGTGAGTAATTTAAATTTAAAGTTTATTTTATTTGTAAATAATATTCTTGAAAATAAAAAAAATTTGCCAAAATAATATGAATACCTCTATAATCATTAATTGTTATTTATTTTAGATTGTAACTTTTATTAATAACTTTCAATCAATTTTCTCTCCTTATTATACATATTATAGAAAAAATTAAACCATTTATTAATTTATTTATTTATTTAGATTTGCTATTTTAATGAAATAAACAATCATAACTCTATATTAAGTAAAATAAAAATATGAAATTAATTTACCTAAAAATAACAAAAATCTTTAATTATTTAAATTTTATCATAGTACTAAGTAAAAGTTCAGGTTCAGATTTATTAAAAAATCAATATTTTTAAAAACGATTACGCTTTTCTTAAAATGTCAAGTGTATAAATGGACTTAAATTTTATTTAATGTAATCAAAAATTATTATATAATTGAAAAATAAGCAATATATAATAAAAAACTTAAAACCATATAGTAAAATTCTTTAATTCCTTAATTGATTATCTATATCATCATAAAATTTCAAAAACAAATTTAAATCTTAAGTAAATACAAAAATATTTATTTTATTATCACAATCATAATAAATATTACAAACTTGGCTATATAATAGTAAAGTATTTGAATCAATCAAAAGAGGAAAGTTTATTTACATTTTTGCAATTATTTTCATAACTGTAAATATTTATAAAAGCAAGTTTGTGAATTATTTTATATTTCTGTAATTTGTAAACAAAATAAAAAAAATAGAGTAGAAAGAGAAAATAGAATAATTTTAGATCGTTAATTAATTAGTTAGTTAATAAGTTATATAGCTACAGTAATTTTAATTTAAATTACATCAACTTTATTTATTTATGATAAAAATTTTTTTTGTGAAGAGAAAATTTATTTTTAAATTTGTAGATATATATTACTAATTTTTTAAATATAAAATAATTAATTTACTATAAAATTACTGAATTAATTTATTTTTATAACTATTTTTAAATCTATAAGAGAAATAAAATAGCACTTTAAGTTTTATTTGACCCAGCAAAATTTTCCAATCTATTTAAATTTAGGTCAGCTTGTTTGAAGAATATATATGTATTTTTGCTAAACTAAAACTTCTAAATTTGATTTATTGAGTTCAGTGATTTGCTATAATTGAATATAGAAGAATGTAATATATTAATAATTCAATCACTTTCAGATATATATATAAATGAGAGTAAGTTGTAAAGCTCTAATTAAATTTATAGTTATTGTTGATAGATGTTGTAATTTAATGAAGCAAAATAATCAAAAAGAATATACCCCATAAATAACCACTACATAATTAGTCAACCACCCTTACTCACTTAATCAACAAAGAAATACTAGCCTAATAATAGTGATAAGAATTTTGTATTTTTTTTCTCATTTTTATTTGAGTTAGATAAATAAAATTAATATATTTAAATAAATAAATTTTTCAGATATTCTAATCCAAATATTGGCAGAGTTTTTTATTTTTATCAATGGCTTAGTCAATATAATTTCTAAAATCGCCCCATCCGAGCTCTGTCAATTCTTTTTACCTCAAATCTTTTGTTATATCGATACATAGCTTATCAATCAATTTATTTATATTATCCAATGCAGCTCTGTTTTTCTTGCTTTTTACTATTTTTTCTCTAAATACTTCTCTTAGAATTTCTTTAATATTTGAAACATCAACTAACCCGTTTGTTGGTTTCTCAAATTTTTCAAAGTTTCTTTTTAAATTGCTCTTGAAAACATGCCCACCAGTTCTAATTTTTTTATTTTTTAAAATTTCAACTTAAATATAACCAAATTTATTTCAAATTTAAATTTTCTACTACCCCTTTTAATTATATCATAATAAATTAATAAAATAGGGTAGTGACAAACGAAAAAAACAAACAAATAAACTCAGACAAACAGATATGTGGCAGTAGAACTTAAAAAAAATTTACATTTGATAATAAAAACAAAAGCTTTACCAACCTGAAAAAATACCCATAAGAATAAATAAATTAATATTACCTATCTTCACTACAGAGGTATCTGATCCATTCTTTTCTATCTATTGTCTTTGATTAATCTTCGTCAATATTATTCATTTCAGCTATTACTTTAAACGTATTAGGTTCTTCGTCCTCATAAATCCAAAGTAAAATTCTGAGATCTTGAACACTCAATCTATTTTTGTTATTTACATCACTTGCACTAAATGCACACCATGCTCTCATTACATCCAAGTAGTCTCTTTTGTGGATATTCAAATCTTTAATATCATCTTAGTAAACATTCATATCCTAAAACCTTTTACTTGTTTCTACTATTACAGAAAATAGATATCCTATTAATTCTTTATCTTCAAATTCACTTAATTAATTGTAAAGTAGTTCTTTTAATTGATCTCCTTTGATTACAACCTATCCTTTACTTTCTCTCATAAAATCTTGGTCATACACAGAAATAATTTCTTTCATGCGTTTTTTGGCATTAGGGTAGCTTTAAGTACCTGAAAACCTTTTGTTAAACAATTAAGAAATTATTGAATCGTTCTAAAAAAAGAAAGGGCTTTCTTAAATTAATATTATTTGCAATGCAAAAAAAGTAAGGCCAATATAAATAAAATTTTTCTGATGAAAGAATCTTCTTACTTTAAAAGGAAGTCTTAAAATTCAAAATTTCTATTAATCCAATCAGCGAATTCCTCAAAGTCAATATGGCGTGAATGATCTTTGTCTATCATCAAGAAACAAGCATCTGCTAAAGATTCTAAAAATTCAATTTTAGGAACAGGCACTCCTACTACTTTGCATAAACTCTTTATCACAGACGAGATAGTAAAAATAAGCTCTTGTTTCTCAATTGTGTTTGAGGAATCAAAATCAAATAGTCGATATACAAATTGTATTTTATTTTCGAAAGTATCTCCACTAAATAAAGCGAAGCAAGCGAGACATTCATAAACATCAGCTATTTTTGATAGATTAAAATGATTGTTTACAAAAAAGCGCATATTTATTTGCTAATAATTCACAAATTTGATAAAATCAAAATTATCCATGAATAAATTATATCAAAAATCAAAGACATTTTTTAATTACCCATTTTTAACTCTTTATTATTGGAAACCTGCTCAGAGAGCTTATTAAATATTGGCTCTGTATCATCCATTAGAATTCCAAAAATTTAATCGAATTCTTCATAAAATAATCTATAAGAAGTCGGATACTGCTAATCTATTATCTCGATGCATTCGTAGAGTTCTTTTAATGTGATTTTTTTAAGCGAAAATAATTACTCTTCTAGAATTTAACTTATTTGTTTTTGGTTTGCCTTTTCCAATAACTGGCCCATACACTTAATATTAAAACTTATAATTGTTAGTTGAATAGATAAAGAAATTAATTTGATCAGTATTAATTAATAATCTTATCACTCACTAATTCACTTAATAAATAGCTGTATAATACAGTTATTATACAAATTTATAATCTTATAATAAATATAAAGTTGTTACTCAATATTTCTCTCAGTTTTCATTCATTCTCTCCATCCATCTTTTAATAAAATAAGTATTTTCTATCTTTATTTTTCTACAACATAGGAGATTATAAACATTTCATTAAATACTCCGTCATTAAATAAAATATCAGTTTGTTAGTAAAATTAAATAATTATTATTAACTACTAGCAAATTTATTACAAATGAGAAGCTATTGTAAACATCTCTTTAGTCTAAAATATTCAAATTCATTTTATTTCTTTACTCAAAAAATGTTATTTATAAAATTGTATAAATCTTTTAACTGATAGAACAAATTTTTACAAATTCATTATAAATAGTATATGGATAAACTTATTTTTTGTTAATTTAAGTAAAACATTGAAAACTATGATATTAATTTTTAGCTGTTATAAATAGCTCTCATAATTTAAAATATTCAAAATTTTTTTATTTATTTAAATAAAATTTTTATCAATTAAAGATATAATTCAAATTACTTCCAAATGTTAAATTAAAGAGGATATTACAAAAATTTTGTCTTTTTTTACCTTTTTAATCATTTTTGTAATGCTAAAGCCTGTAAAAAAGCTCTTAAAATTTCTACAGATTAATATTTTTTGTGTGCTTTAAGAAGAATTATTTTAATTTTGATTTAAAAAAAATATTTTAAATTTAAAGCATTTAAATTTTAATTAATAATAAAATATATTTCACACAAAAAAAGTTAAACAAGTAAATAATTTATTTTTTTTAGAAACAAATACTTGAATTAATTAGTAAACTATGTAATCAAAAGAAGATTGTCCTAAAAAATGGGTGTCTATGTTTCTATATGCTATAGGCATTTGCAATCTTTACTACTCCTTCAACTAATATAGCACACTTTATGGGGTTTATAAAGAATACTTTTAAATTTAGCATTTTGATTTTCATTTTAACTTAATCATGAGCATTTAATATTTGATTCTTTGCGCTGTTATTATTTATATAGGAGTTATAGTTGATAAATATGGACCTGGGTTATGCTTTCTTATTTAAGGCATTTTGATTACAGTTGGATAATTGCTTATTTGTCTTTCTGTTTAGACTTAATTCTTTTTTATTATGTATTTTGCTAGGATATTGGTTGTTATTGGAAGCAGTTCTATTGCAGTTTCAAAAGGTGTGTATTGTAGAGATTATTTTTTATCTACTCATTTAGCTCTCACAAATTCTATCACAAGTCTCAGCTTTACTATTTCTTAGATCATGAACCTAAATTTGGTATGGCTTATATTGAAATCTCATGACTTAATTTCCGTAGAGCTATTTGCTCTTTTACTAAATTTCTCTGGGTTCTTACTAGCTCTTTACATTTACAAAATAGATACCAAAAATAACAAAATTCTATTTCTTTACAATTTTAAGTCAAAAATAAAAAAGGAAATCTAACTTAAAATATAAAACAATCTTGATATTAACCTTACAAACCAGCATCATCCTCTTAACAGTTAAGAAATTGGTGTATAGTAAAGACACACGTAATTAGATTAAGTTTAACTATTAGAGCTATCAGAAAAGTAATAGAAATCTCAAAAAAGTCTATCATTTCTTTCTTAATATTTAAAGGACATAGTAAGTCTTAAATTAAGCTATTGGCTTGGAAGCATTACAATAGCACTTTCTTACTTAAGCCTAAATACCTACATTGTGCTAGGTCCAGCAATATGCTAACAATATTTATAGATAACTCCTTAATAGTCAAGTTTTTACGTTTCCTTCTTACCAAATATAACTTTAATAATGCCTATTATAGGAAAGATAGTAGATAGATATAAAATATGGTTTAATGTTTATTACTTTATATCTTTTCTAGCTGTTTTAGGAACAGTCTTTTTAGTATATTAAAAGCCAACTATAGCATTTTGCTTAATAGGCTTAGCTTACGGTTCAAGGACTTCTGCAGAATTTCCATTGATTTGTTTCTTAGTGAAAAGTAAAGTTGCAGGAAGAGCATATAGCATAGCACGATCAATTTCTATGCTTTCAATTAGCTTAATCTTATTCATAAACAGCTTTTTAACTCAATAATTAGGATCATATTTTTATACTTTATTGATTCTTTTATTAGCATCCCTTCTCATTGCTATTTTTATTACATTAGTTAAAAAGCTTAAAAGCTATGAAGATTAGAATGTTTAGAATCTTTAGTATTCTCCACTAAAAAAAAAATCGTCTGAAGAAGATGAATAATCTAAAGCTTAGGAATGATATAATTTCAATAAATCAATAAATATTATTTTAAAATATTAAAAATTAACTTTCAAATAATTAATTATATTTAATTTATCCATATTTAAATGATGCTATAAAATATTGCTTTTACTAAATAAATAATAATACTTTTTATCATTTATTTGAATAAAATTAATTTATTTATTTTTTTTTTATGATTAACTAACACTTTTTATTTTTATTTTTAAATTAAAAGAAATATTAAAAAATTAATTAATTTAAGTTTAAAGAAAAAAATGAAATTTAAAATCTTATTTTTGAAAGCATTTATTTTTGTTGGTAATATTAAAAATCCTTTTATTGAATTATTTACAAAAATATGTTTAGCATTATTAGTATAGCCTAAAGTATGAGCCAAGCTATGAATATATATATTTTATATAGATTTAAATAGCTGATTAATGATTTAAACTATTTTGTTGTTAAGAGGTAGAGTTTAATTTAAAATTATTAAATGGCTTGAATAGTTTGATTTTAATTTTTAGTTTTTCTAAATAAAGTTTTATAAAACCTCTTTTATTTTATTTTAAAAATTATTAATGAACAGCTTAAATTATTTTATCTTAAAATAAAATTGCATTAAAACAATTTAAATATTCTCAAAAATTTTCTTTTATATTTAATTTTGATAAAAAAATAAGGATTTTTTAAATACATTTTATTTTGAATTTTTTATTAAAAATAAAAAATAAGTCTAAATTTAATAATTTAGTTAAAAAATAAATAAATATAATTGAATCTAATTTTAATTTAAATATTTTTTAATCTACATTTATTTATTATTAATTATTTTTAAGAAAGATTTGTGATTTTTTTTAATTGTAAAAATTATTTAGAAAATTAATTTTATATTTTTATTTTTAAATAATTTATTAATTAAATGAAAATAAAGAAAACTTTTTTAATTAAATGAAAGTTTTATCAAATTCTATTAAAATTTTTACGAGTTATTCAAAAGTATTTTATTTTATTGAACATTTAATAATAAACTGATAGAAAAATTAAAAAATAAAATAGAAAGGTGATACAATTTTGACAGCTTGAGTATTTATGATGATAATCAATTCATTCATTCACTCAATCAATCAATCTCTATTTTCTATCTTACAAAAATCTTATTTTTGTATTTTTGAACGAAATTACTCACTTTTGTGTGTAGAAAAGTAGAAATTTAGTAAAAAAAATCATAATTTTGATAAAAATAATAATCAGTATTTTAATTTAAGAAATATGAATGTAGGAAATTCAAGAAATACCTGAAAATTAATGTTAGTTCATAACTCAATTAATTATCTATTTATGAGTAAATAAAAGGAAACTTCATTATAAAATATTTAATATTCCTAAATTGAAAAAAAAATAATAATAATAGCAAATAAGTGTATTTTTGATCTAAAGCAGAGTCTAAATGAAAGGTATGTAAACCAAAGAAGACTGTCCTTATAAATGGATTACTGTTTTTATTTACGCATTCGCAATACTGATACTCTATTATTCTTTAATGGAGTTTAGTACTTTATATGGAGTTTACAAGACCTACTTTGATATTCCTAATTTTGACTTTCATTTCAATTGCATTTTAAGCGCATAATATTTATCTTTGTTCATGGTTATACTTTACGTTGGCATTATTACTGATAAGTATGGGCCTGGTTTTTGCTTTCTTATTTAAGCAATTATTATCACTTTTGGATAAATTTTGGTGTGTGTGTCTGTTTACACTAAATGTTTTTATTTGATGTACTTAGCTAGATGCTGCATCTGCATTGGATGTAGTTCTATCGCTGTTTCTAAGGGAGTTTATTGCAGAGATTACTTTCATTCGACTCACTTAGCACTCACTAATTCAATGACTAGCATGAGCTTTACTCTCTCATAAATAACAAATCTATACTTTGTTTGGCTTGTATATAACCATTATAATATACTTATTGTTGAGTTATTTGACCTGTTTCTTTGCATTTTGGGATTAACTCTAGTCTATTTTATATATAAAATAGATGCCTAAAACAACAGATACTTAAGTCTTTATAACTACAAAACAGATTATCAAAATCTCAATTTTGTTCATTCTAGCAAAGACAAATAAAATATTGACTAATCAAGCTCGCATTAACAAATTGAATTGAAGAAAAACATAAGCAACAAAAATTAGCAAATTAGTAGTGAAAAATAAGATGTGTATGTTTCTTAATTATAGATTAATTTTAATTAGTAGAAAAAAGAAGATAAAAACGTAGTAGATGAATACCTAAAAGATTTAAAAGACTTAAAAAAGAGTTACTGGGTAGGAAATATAACTGTAGCAGTAGCCTACGTCAGTTTAATGAGTTATGTTATGCTAGGACCTGCTATATGCTAGTAGTACATGGGTCTTACACCCTAAGAGTCAAGCTATTATGTAGCCTTTTTACCAAATATAACTTTAATTATGCCGCTAGTTGGAAGAGTTATAGACCATTATAAAAGCTGGTTTAATATTTTTTACATAATTAGCTTATTGGCTGTTGCTGGATCTTTATTACTTTTATTTTAAATCCCAATTGCAGCATTTTTAGCTATAGGAATGGCATATGGCTCTAGAACAACAGGCGAATTTCCTTTGATATGTTTTCTATCAGATAAAAAAATTGCTGGTCGGGCTTACAGTATATCTAGAGCTACATCTAATATGCTTTTAAGCATAATGCTATTCATTAATAGCATGATTGTGGAATATACTCGCTCTTATTTATATACATAAATCATTCTTTTATGTTGCGGATTGTTAGTCTCAATACTTATAACTATTGTTAAATATCTTCATCTCCATGAAGTTAAAATTTAAAGTAATCAAATACCAACAAATAATTGATTTGATTGATTGATTGATTGAAATAAAGAAATCTGCAAAAACCTTTTGAGGATTCTAATATTTAAATATATATATAATTAATTATTTTTCGTACATTAATAAATTAATATAATATTTTGTTTATTCTTTATATTGATATCTATTTTCTTAAAAATCTATTCTTCTTTATTAATGAAATTCTATATTTTAGATATTAAAATAGCAAAAATTATAATGCATTAACCATCTAATTATATATCTATATTGAACTAAACTGCATCAATTTTTTAATTTATATTTAAAAATATTTTTTTAAGCTTGAATGCGTTGTAAAGAACATCTAAAAGTTAATGTGTGTATTTATTTGTTTATTTATTCAATTATTTTTTATTTAATATTTTCTTTTTAATTAATTTATCTTTTTTATTTTTTTATTTGGATTTTTTTCAATTTTTATTTTATTTAATTTTATCTTGTAATTTATTTTATTAATTTTATTTTTATTTTTATTTAATTTATTTATTTATTTAAATTTATTTATATTAAAATTTCATCATCAATCATCAAGAGGCTAGATTCTCAAAAGGAGATTTAGTGTGCTCAAAGATTTATCTAATTAAAAAATATTTTTATATATCAATTTAAGCTAAGAGAGAATTTCATAATCGGGGTTTTGGGGCCACGTCCTGGGATGAAAAACTTAATCAGTCACTCATCGCATCTTTTGATTGATGTTATGGTGAAATTAGTCTGATTAAAATTCTAATTTTGTTAAATGCTTTTGTAAATTTATTTCCAAATTTAGTGGCTAAATATTGGAAAGTAGGATAATGAGATATTAAATATTTGATTGTTGTGACATTTTAATAGTTTGCTCATTATCCTTGATAAAAACTTATTACAAGCTTTAAAAAATTAGATTTCAGGTATTGTTTGTTTGTTATATATGATTTTCATATTTTTATTTGTTTCAATTATTTTCCCCTTTGATTATGATTTAAATTTTTCGAATTTAACAAATTTTCTTAAATTAATTTATTATAATTTTTTTGCCTAATATCTTAAGAAAAAACAAAATTTAATCAATTTATTAACTAACAAATAATTCAAAATTATTGCAAAATTTTTCATTTTATTTATCTTTTAAATTTTATTAGAATGAGTATTTCAAAAAAAAATATTTAATATCAAACAAAATCTTATTAGCATATTAATTTCTTATGTTAATTTTATTAAGAATAAATAAATCTCTTTATAAATGTATTTCATTTTCACTATTAAAATAATAATTTTTAAATCTTGAATTTTTACTTAATAAAACATTGATTAACAAGTAGAAGAATAAGTTGAAAGTACCTATATCATTAAAATGAATGAAACAAAATAAATATATTGATTAATTTCTTTTTTTCTTAAATTTCCATTTATTTTATTTACTTTGATACTCGAATCTTTCTTTCCTACAATATAAGCAAAATTGCTAATAAATATAACAAACGGAATATCAAATGATAAATTATGATTAAAAAAATATAATAAACAAGAATATGAAAATAGTAAATAGGAGCAAAATAAATGATATAATAAATATTAAGCAATTATTAAAAAAAATAAATAATCAAAAATATGAAATAGTAAAAGGATTGTGAAAATATAATAAATATGATTAAAAAATAAATAAATAAATAAATTTATATAGGAAATTTAACTAAAGTAAATCTTTTATTAAGATTAATTTAAAAGGGGGCACTCATTTTATATTACTTCAAAAAACAAACCTCTATAAAAATAAAATTTACAAAAATAAAAAAATAAAATAAAAATTATTATTAGATAAAATATTGATAAAGCTTTTTTTAAATCGATAAAAAATTATTTGTTTTATTTTTTAAAATTATTTTCAATATAAATTTTTCTTTTTGATGAAGTTTATTTTTCTTTATTAAATATTGATTGATTTTGATAATTAATTTTGTATTTGTTTTTATTTGTTTTAATATTAAATATTATTTAATTAATAATTATTCATTCTTTTTTCAATATTTTTTACCGTTAAGATTTATTTTTAATTTTTGTTATGTTTTTAATTAATAGAGTTTTTGATAAATAATTTTAACATAAAATTTAACATTTTATTAATGAGATTTTAATAGTAAGAATGGAAGGGAAAAAAAGAAAAAGAGATTAATTTAGATTGCTATGCTATGTTTTTAGTGTATTTTACAAAAGAAGACTCAACTGATGATTCATTTTTTATTATAATTGTTTTTTGAAAAAGAAGCAAGAGATAAAAAATTATTTAAGTTTAATTTTTTTGTTCGCATTTTCCTCATTTAAACTGAAAGATGAAGCATTAGATTTTATAGTTTAATACATCATTTATATATACTTATTCTGCATTGATATCTGTAAAATTAGATTATCTCAAAAGTATTAATTAAGATGTATATTATTATCTCAGAAAGAATATATCTATTTGATAAAAACTTCCTTAAATTTTATATCCTTTCTTTAATGGTTACGTGATTGAAAAACTAAAACTTTCTTATGCTTCCTCTTATCTGAATATTTACTTAGCGTTAGCTATAGATTGATTGTTTTTTTTGGATTTAATATAACTTTTTTCAATTAATTGTTTATAATACTTTTCTGCTAACAGTATTAATTAATTAGTTAGTTGTAGTTTCTTAATTAATATATTTTTATTAATAAGTGTGCAAATTAATATTTTTCTTTATAATGATTAATAATTGCAAAAAGTTAATCTATCAGGTAAGATATATGGTAAATAAAACACTTCAAACAAATACTTAAGAGGTAGAAAAAAATGTACACTTTAAGGATAAAAATCATTGATTATTATAAAAAAAAAAATCCATATCATATTTAGTCCCTATTTTGATTGAAAGAATTAGCTTTAATTAAAGAGAAAGAAAAGAAATGAATTAATAAATACAATTGCTATAAGTTAAAAAAAAAAATAATTAAATTTATATATTTATAGTAACTCTAAAAATTAGTAAATAACAATTACAAGAAAAAACCAAAGGTTAATAATAGTAGCTACTACTTAGGACATGAGATTGCTTTCCCACAATTTACTCTAGTGCAACGTTAAAAATTGCAAATCAAATAATTTCCCCTTGAAGATTTAGGTCGATAAATCCAACATTATAAATTGCGAATTCCGTAAGGAACCTCTTGTTAAGCTCATTCCTAAATTAGATTGGAATGCCTTAGCTATTACTGTCCATAATGTAATAAATCTCATTTGAATCTAACAATAAAAGCACTTCATTGAAACAAGCTTTCACATTTTTAGATTTAGCCGAATTCATTAAAATATAATTATTATTTATTTAAAACTAGCTTGCTAAGAATAAAGAATTCCCTGAAAAATTTAGCCCTGCTCTCTTAGATGATTAAAAGTTTATGCAAGAATTACACAGAATTTTGATGGAAGTAAAAAATAAATTTTGGTTTTCGTTTTAAAATAAACAATAATTAAGGTTTCTAAAGTCAAACTAACATTTTTTTTGCTGTAAAATAGACTCATATTATTGAAGGTGCTTTAATCTGTGAAGGTTGCAATAAGAGATATCCCATTAAAAATGGTATCCCCAACATGATTTTAAATGATGAAGAAGTTTGAAAGGTGAAGAAAGGAATAAAAATACAAATATATTAAAATATAGGTTCATTTAATTTAATAAGTAGCAAATATCTGGCTGTTTTGGTGCATAAGATAGTCAAACTCTATACATTTTTAGGGATCGCTTTTTAAAATTATAAATAAGTTGTTTAACATTATAAATTAAATTACAAGTATTTTATTTATGTTTCCTCTAAAAATGTATTTAAGTTTGGATTTCTTTCATTCATTCCATCCATAGTTTTACAATCATTTAACATAGTTTTACAATCATTTAACATAATTTTCAGGTCTTTAATAATTATATTAAAATTGCCCTCAAAAAAATATTTTATTTTAAAAAGTAAAGTTAAATTAGTATTTCATACAAAAAATACTGCTTAATTTTAAATTTAGAAAATAGATAGAGATATATGTTAATCTATTAAATTAAAAGACGCTATAAAGGTAGCTAAAGCTAAATTAATTTTCTTTTCAATGATTATTGAATACAATTTCTATAATTTTGTGAAAAATAATTTATTTATTTATTGTATTGCAATGATTAAGCAATAATGTATCTAACTCCATAATTTTTTCAAAAGTTAATATAAATTTGCATATATTACTTCAACTAATTATCCAATAAGCAAATTATTATATTTAATCTAAATATATAAAAGCTAATTATTTAATTATTAATATTAATTAATAATAATAACAAATTTAATCAAATTTCATTCGCACTTTATAAAATAAAAAATTTAACAATTCCTTAAAAAGTTTTTTTACTGATTCCTTCTGTATATTTTTAGTTCAATAATATAATTGCTTACTTTTAGTTCAGTTAAGTGATTTTTAAATTAGATAATAAATATTTCTTTATAATTTATTTAAAAACATTTTTAATTTATATTTTATAGATTAGAGAGGATAAGTTTTTAAAATAAAATTACTAATTTATATTTATAAAAAATTTTAAACAAAAAATATTAATTCATAATTTTCATCATGAAAGTCTTATTATTGGCACACCAACAAATATAACATTATCTGTAGCCAGTCTTTTCTTTGGTACATGTTTTTCAGTTAATTAATTAGCCTCATCTAAAGGTTTTTCTTCTTTCTTAGTATTTGCAGCACCTTTGCCTGCAGGTTAACCTTTTTTGTTATCTTCTTCTTTCTTTATATCAACTGGAACACCATTTCTGTCAACGTATATGACTTATGGCTCCTAATATGGAAAATAAAATTAGAAAATTTAAAATCTTTTATTCAAACTTTTAATTATTTTCTATTTAAAAATGATAAAACTGTTTTTTTATTTTAGAATTTTTAATATAAAAAAGGAATTTTTTCAATTATATTAATTAATCAATTTTTATTACCTTAAATTTAGAAAGTGTTGCAGATATGTAAATTTCATCATTGAGTTGATTTAAAAATGAGTCAACCATTTAAGGAATTAAGTTTGGTTCTACTGCCCATTGTGTTGAAGCAATAGAAGAAATTCCTAAAATGGTAAGGAGAGCTGATGAGTTTATAAGAGATTCATGTAAAGGAGTTTTTTCACCTTCTGGGTCAAGTGAAGAGTATTTTTCTAAAACTGTCTTCTTGGCATTAATTTTATCTATTATAACTACAGCTTTTGTTTGGCATATTTCATTCATATCTATCAATAAACGAGGAGTTAAAATATTCATTAGACCAGGATTACCATAAAAGAGAAGCAAAGAGCCATTAGAGAGATATTTTTACCATTCTCCTATACTTGCTATTCTATTGCAAGAAGAAACACCTTCCCACTTACAATTAGGCAATAAAGTTTTATTTTTTTCAAAAATAGGATCTATTTCATATTTATTATCAGGCTCATCTTTCTTAAACGAGTATGCAACATATTTAAGCTTATCTTTAGCAATTCCATAGCTGTTATTTAGAGTAGGTTAAAATCCTTTTTATTTTATTAATAAAAAAATTAAATTGCTAACTTTTAAAAAATATATTTGGTATTTGAAGATTTTGTTTTGAATTTCATTTTTTTACCTATCGATTTAAGTCTTTTTGAGAGTTAAAGGAGAGAGAAATCTCTAGAAATCGCAGGAATAGATTTAAAAATTGATAGCTGTTCGAATGGTAAGTTAAAGAGAGAAGTGTCAAGTAATAAAACAAGAGATTCTATTCCTGTTTTAGTAGGAGGAAGTGGACTTTCATACTCAAAAAGCTCATCTTTATTAGCACCTTTTTTGGGGGCTGCTTTATTGTCCTTTTTTGGAGGTGCTGCTTGAGCGGGCTTTGCTCCTTTAGCTCCTTTTTCTTGTTACTGTTAGAGCAATTATTGCTATAACTCTTATTCAAGTTAAGCATCTAATTCAGGTGAACTGTTAATTAAAGGACCTATTTCATCAGTAAAGAAAGAACAAAATTCTTCTATTTCTTGTAATATTTGAAGATATTCTTCTTCTTGTTGATTAACAATCGAGGTATAATCTTTTTCTTGAATAATAGGAGTCTTAACTAGAGCTGTTTTTATCAAGTTATATCTTAATTTTAATTTCTATATAGTTTAATGGTCTTCCAGCTTCATCTCCTTTCTTTTTAGCTTAACTTCTAACTTCCTATCTTTGCTGATTCTCAAAAAGCCAAAGTAAAGGAATCTATTTTAAGTAAAATTCATTTGAATTAATCGTAAACAATAAAATCTGTTAAATTACCTTTTGTCATTTGAAAATTGTAAAATTAAATAAGAAGATCCGTTTGGTAATAATTTAGTAATTATTTCAGTGTAGTCTTCAGTCTTGAAAATGTTATCCCATATTTTGAAACCCTAAGTGAGAGACTTAAAGGCTTCTTAATTCAAGTGTCCAGCTTGATTGTAAACGTGCTTTATCAAGCGCTAGTATGAAACAAACTTGTGCTTTCCATACATAGCTTATTTAGCCAAATTAACAACAAATTCAGTATACTAGTAATGCTAGTATTTAGCCAAAAATTCAAAACTTTTATCAGCACCCTAAAAGTTTTTATTTTATAATATTACTAAACATTCTTAAAATGATAAAAAAAATTTTACATGAATACCCAGATTTTCAAGGAATTCTTGGCAGAATTTTTTAACATATGAAGGGGCATTTTTGGATTTTATAGGATCGTCAATTGATTTATATTCATTAATATATAAATTGTTAATAGTGTTCAGACTATCAGAAAGATAATCAATAATTTAAGATTCTGAAGAAGGGCTTTACTCATCATATTCATCTTGTTATTAACTTTAAACAGTATTTGTGTTCTGTTAAAGATCGTTAGGAATATTCCCTTGAGAATTATTTTGCTATTATTAATTTAGAATGCTCTATTAGTCATCTGCTTCTGTTTTATTTTCTTTTATTTACCATATTTCTTGCATTTGTGCCCTATCTTCTGCCTTTTCATAATTAATTAGAAAATATTTAAATTAAATAAAAACAAAATACATAAAAATAATAAAATGCTATTCTATTTTAATATGAGAAGCTCAAACAAACAAACAAACAAAAACTAATGCTTTGTGCTAGTTTGTTTGTTTTGTTTGAGTATAAAGTTATCAAATAAACTTTATCACAAAAGATAAATTAATCAAAGTAGTATTTATTATCTTGAAGTAAACAAGCTAGACAGATAGATAACTTGCTGCTAGAACAAATGAAGAAATTAAAATAAAGAGGTTGGTTGGTAGATAAAACAAAATTAATTTATTTTTACTAAAAGTCTTTTAGCTCTAGCCCACTCAATATTAGCAATTACATAATCATATGAGTCTGTAGGGAATTTGCTTTTAATAGACTCTAAGATTGATATTGTTTTTTCGAATGATTCAAACCTTCTCGAAGTTGGTTAAAGCTCTAATTCGATAATCTTGTTGAGTTTACTAATGTATTCTTTTAACTTTAAATTTTTATCATCACCAGCTCCTTATGATCTGTCTACTCTAGAGGGATTGCTAATTTGATTTTTTTCGTTGATGAGATTTTAAATTAGTCTATTATCTTCCTCTTCTTCTCTTTAGTTATCTTCATCTCTCTTGCGTTTTTTGTCTTCATCTTCCTGAGTTACCAATGCTAAATGTATATCATCATATTTTTTCTTAATTCCTTTTATCAAACCATATTAACAGAATGAAGATGCAAGTTGAACTCTATTCTTGCAATGATAAAAGGTGAGAGGAGTTTATGCATTTTCAGATCTCTTTTCAATAAGAGATGAATATTTAAGGACATTAATCATGTGGAAGTCCATTTCAAACAATTATTGTTGCAGTTTAGATAGCAAGCGGAAGGAAATATTTACTTCATTCATATCAGAAAGATTCAACTTTTCGCACCATGAATAAAGCTTTTCAAAAATATTCAAAAGAATTTTAACTTGAATTAATTTAACACCACCCTTTGCAAATTGTTCTCTAGCACCTTTTAATGCTTTAAAGGCTTCTTTCTCCATCTCATCAGAATATTCTCTTCTCATAAGCTTGAGGTAAACCTTGGCAAGGAGCAAGTATAAAGTACATAATATTTATTCTATTTGCAAGATATTTGATGCCTGGTTTTATTTATCTTTAGCTCTTTATTGTATAAAATTTTATATTTGTAATTTAAAAGAGTTTAATTTAATTTATAAGTAATTACTGTGAAAAAACATCAATCATTCTTTATAGGAAATTCTTAATGTCTTCATATTTATTGAGCTTCTTTAATGTCTTGAAGGTCTCAACTGCGCTCAACTCCCTTTTTATTGTAAATAGATATTATTCAATTTAAAGGTTACAATGAGAAATATTTTTATTGTTTTATGTAACTTGATAATTAAAAATTTGCCTTAAAATTTCTTAGTGATAGAGAAAGTCTTAATTAAATTGTTTAATCTTTATATACAGATTAAAATTACCTTAAAATACTCTTACTTAAAAAATAAGATAGCATCATATTAGGAAATTTCAAAACTAAAAATTGTTTCGAGATTATCATTAAAATTATAAAATTTGTTTAAATATAAGCATTTTTTATTAAGAACATTACATTTAATGAAAACGCTTGCTCAAAAGAATAAATAAATACTCTTGTATTTCATAGTTTAATTTTAAGAATTATTCTTTAATTGCAAAGCATGAAAAATTGTTTATTTTATTTTGATGCTGAGTTAATTTTTAGCAAAATAATATTTTATTATTTTACATTTTTAAAAAAAATCAAATATTTAAATATTTAATTTTGTGAAAATTTCGATCCACTAGGTGTGATTAAAATTGATAAAGTGTACTTAGGTAAGACAGAATAAGTTTTGAACCGGTTATTTATAAATTACTAATTGCAAAATAAAACCAGCGGTGGATAAATTAGTAATTCATAAAAGCAAGCTGAAATTAAAAAAGACAAATCTTGAATAAAAATATAACACACTGTACCTTTTTTTACTATGTAAGCTATTTAAATTAACTTACAAAATATTTTCAGTCAAATTAGTTACTAACTAATTGAAGAATATATCAATTTAATTATTTTAAATGAAAAAAAAAACTTCACTTTTTCAAAAAAATTTAGATATAATTGATTTACTTTAAGTATGTTTGTTTGTTTGATGTTTATTTAAATATCTATATACATACTGTAACAATTTTTTAAATTTCTCCAAAATCATTAAAAAATCAATTTTAGAAGAAAGTACTGAAAATTTTTTTTAATTTCTTCAAAATTTACACTCACTTACATTGCTATTCATTTTAAGGAAAAAATTAAATTTTTTTACTTCGTTAAAAATTACTTTTTTATCTTAGGTTGATTAACAAAAATTTTAAGGCTTACTCATTTCATTTCAGTAAATTGATTGATGAAAATATCGAAGTATTAGAAAAAAAATAATAAATCTTAATTTACCAAACTGCTATTTCTTTTATAAATTTATGGGATTTCATATGATTTTCTAATGATTCAATATACTCTCCTTCCAGATATTGAATAGCGCCTTTTTTTATTTTAAATACTTAGACTAAGTATATTACTATAAGAAATTACCTAAATAAAGATGAATTTCTCCCATAGATTCTTTTTCTGAAAGTACTTTTGCATGCTTGTATGCCTCATTTAGCAAATCTTTAGCTCTTATAAGGTCTCCTATTTAGAATAGCTCTTTTGCCAAATCAATCCATATTTGGTAAGAACTTATTTCCTTTACGAGATTTGGTTTGGGAATAATTTGTTCACTTAGATCAACAGCTTTTTTTGTTGTAGATAAAACTTTTGATGATTCAGTTTTTGCCAAATAGTTTTTCCTTTCATGATCAGTTAACTTTAACTTTTACTAATTTACTGCAGGTATTTTTTCAGCTTCACTGTGGTAGCCTAAAAGATGCAAAAGCTTGACAAATTTCATGTCATAAAGCATTGCTAGGTGTTAATTCCCTATAATTTCTCTTGCAAAAAATCTATCCATTTTTAAAAAAACAAGAAAAATAAATATTTCCCCATAAACAAAAAATGTAAAAAAAAAAGTCATAAATGTTTTCTCTAAATTTTATTGAGTTATTTATTAATGAATATATTTTTTAATAAAATGTCTACCTTTAGAAAACGAGAAGAGGAACATTGTGGATATGAAGGCCAGCAGATTCAAATACATTTATGAGATAGTTAACATATGTGAATGTAACTTCAGCTTTTTCAAAAAGGAATTTACCCATAAATGTATAATCTTCAGAAGTCTTAGCCTTTTCAATGAATTTAGCTGAGAATTCAAGTTTGATCCAATCTTCTACATTTTATGGGAACTAATATTTTGGAAGTGCTGCTTCTTATTGCTCTTATTTAAGTTGATTTGCTGCTCCACCTGGTTATTTCTCATTAGGATTTTACTATTTTATGTTTGCATAGTTTACGGCATTAACTTCAAATTAATTTAATGTGTTGAAAGATATTTCAAATATTTTTATTAAGAAAAGCTTTGCATCTAGACAATATTGAATTTAGGTTTCCTGTTTTGGACTCACTGTAGCTAACATAGCATGTATTCTCATTAAACGTTCAAAGTGAGCACAGTTGAGACATTCAGGATTTGAATCTTCTTCTCTTTAAGTGAAGATGCTTTTACTTTGTTTTGATTTAATGGTTTTTGCAACTCTTATTGAGGCTTTAGACATTCTAGAACTAGCAGAGCCTCTTTTATCCTTCTATTCTATTTTTTTATTCGTCTTTGTAGTGTTTTTACTTGATTTCTTAGAAGCAGATGCTCTATTTAAAAAAAAGTAAGTAAGTAAATAAAAAAGTGTAAGAAAGATATTTTTATATTGCAACAAAATTTTTCTTGAGTGATAAAGAGAGATAAATATGTAGATAGAGTAGGGTGATAGTTTTTGAAATGCATCTATCACCTTTTTATGATATTTGATTAAATATACCCTATTTATTTCTAGTAAAGATATAAATCATTTAATTAAGGGTAGTTTGAAATCAAAAATTAAGGAAGGAAGTAAATAAATATCGTATTTTTTAGGGTAAGAAGCGATTAATATTCTTTAATTACAAAACTTATTTTTCAGATGGGTAGGTAGGTAAGTATTTATAATATTTAGCAATATCATTTTAATCAAAATAAGAAGATATTGAATAAAATATACTTTTGACTACCATTTTAGTGGGAAATTAGTGAAAAATTAACACTTTTAGTAGTCAACACCAAAAAATTTTTATTAAGTGTTTTTATTTTTATTTTTTTTCTTTAGAATCAGTATATATATTACTTGGATTTAGCTTTTGAATTTTTAGACAAGGTTGATTTTTTGTCGAGTCTAGAGAAAATTACTGAACCTTTTTCTTCATAGTCCATCATATCATCTTCTTAGTCATCACCATCATTCTCAATCCCAATAAGAATATCAGCTGCTAATTCTAGCTGTTAAACTACATTTGAGAGGCTTGATGGGAATCTCTCATTGTTATCATTATCTTTTATGGCCATAGCATTATTACTGTTATTATTGTTTTCAGGGTTCCTGAGAAGCCATTCAGCAAATTCAATGTAAACCTCAACAATTTCCTATGAGTTCTCTTTTTTCAAAATTTCAATTGCCTTGCTATAAGCATTGTATTGTTTGTAAATAGCATTAGAAGCTCTAGCCAATCTAATCCAAACCTTTAATTTAAATAAAATTTTTCATTGAAATTTTGTAATCAAAATGAGAAAAATTTTTTGATATTTAAAATAAACAATAAAAACTTAAGAAAATAAAACTAATTTTAAATTATTTTTTTAATTTATAAAACTATCTTAACAGATTATTAAACATTCATCATATTGTTTAGCTTTTATAAATTAGAAATTAATTTTTGTTCATTTATAATACTTACTTTTGATTGTAATGATGCATCTGCTTCTTTCATGTTTGAGATAGCTTATAGCTCATTTTTACCTTGCTTACTCATAAAAATCATTTTAGCTTCCCACACTGGTTTTTGCATAGACTTTGGTATTAACTCAAATACCATATCTGCAACATTCTCACCCAAATGATACTCTTCATTTTCTAGTGCTGCCCTGAATAGAAGTTAGCTCAATAAAAGTATTAAATCAGGCTCACTTTTTTCTTTGCAACTTTTAAGATAAAAAATAGTTGAAAAAATGGGCTTAATCAAAGCTTTTCTATTCAAAGCTGAGTCCTATAGCTTTGCACAAATATTCCAAACTAATTTAGAAGCATCTAAGACCAATGAATTGATACCAGCCTTCAAACCTTTATTTGCTCCTTCTACTGCATGTTTGAGAGCATGGAATAAAAGCTATTCTTAGCTCTTTTATTCTTGAGTTTCAGGATTAAGCATTCTGAGTAAGTTTTCACTATACAAATACTCTGCTAAACTGTACCATCTCAATCTACTTGAAGGAATTCCTTTTTATTGTAAATTTTTACTTTAATTTTGTTAAATTTTAGTTGTATACCTTAAAGATCAGTGTTAGGGTTTAGCAAAGATAAAGAATTTTCAACACAACGTAAGCTATATTTAAGCATAGTTATACTTTCTTCATTTAAAGAGAGCCTTGCCAATCTTGCCCATAATTCAGCATGCAGTTCAAGTTCTGTTTCATCGTTTTCTTTTGCCTACCAAGTTCTAAGTGTTTCAAAACATTTTTTAATTAAATCTTAACTAGTTTAGCTGTTTGTACTATTAGTGATAATTTCTAGCTATTTTATAAAAAAAATATTTAGAATAAAATTAATCAATCAATATTTATTTAAAATCTCTAAAATTAAATGTTATAAAATCTCTAAAATTAATTGTTATAAAATATAAATTTTTACTCTAATAGATTTTCATTTATATTAAAATCAAATATCCACAATAACCACTTTAAAAAGATTTTAAATAACTAAAAAATAATTATTTTTATTATGAAAGCCTGTTTGTTGGTAGTAAAGATCTTAATTTTTTGGTTTTTAAGCTAGAATTATTTTTAAATATTTGAGGAATTTATTTATAAGATAACAATTAATATATTTGAAGTTTATTGGTGAAAAAAAATTATAAATTAATGCTAAAAATTTAGAAAAAAATTTTTGTTTAGTTTATAATGAATCAATCAATTAAATTAAAGTATTAAATTAAATTGGTTAAATGCTTCTCCTTTGCAAATAAATAAACATTTACTAACTTATCATTTGATTAAAATCTCAAGAATTAGTTTAGAAATAACAATTTAATTGAATTTACCTGTGAAACTACTTCGAATAGCACGTGTTCAGTAGAAGTACCAGTTTGCTATTCTGCAGCTCCTCCCTTTACTGCTTTTCCTCCTTTTTCTGGTGCTTTATTACCTCCTTTTTGTGCTCCTGCAACTCTTGCCTTAATAGAATTGATAAGTTTTCTTGTGTGAGATCCTAGAGGTAGTTAGAGCAAGGCTTCGCAAACACGCATGACTTCTTCATATTCTTTTTTACCTTCCATTAATCTAGCATAAACTAAACCGATGTTGGCATTAACTTAAATTTTGGTGTCTCTGTCATAGTCAATGATTTATTTTTTTTCAAGCTCTTTAAAAGAAACTTTCATTGTTTCAAAGAACTTTTTAAGCAGAGTAGAAATTGAACTCAGTAACTTTGAGTCGAATATTGGATTTCTAAAAATAGATAAAAAGTTGTTCCAAATATATATAGCTCCGTTGAAGACAAGCCAGCTTTAGTTAATGCTATCAGCTAATTCAAGACCTTTTAGGAAGTAAGCCACTAGATTTTCCTTTTTTTCAAGTACTTCTTTTTTCTTTTCAGCAGAAAGTTCTTCTTAAACATTTTCATTTTCTTCTTCTGCTTCAATTCTTTCAGGGTCTGCAAAAGCAATAACAAAATTATCTTTAATTAGTTCATCGATAGTAATTTATGCCATCATGTAATAACATTAGACTTAAGCGAGAATCATTTCCTCCGAATTACTAATTTCCCATGTATTGGCAACAACAAACTCACATGCCTTAATAGCGAGATCATCTTACTCCCAGTCAAAAGCCATCTAAGCGATATCAGCCGCTTTAATTTTTTAAATAGAAAATTATAGAAACTTAAAATAAATAATATAGAAAATAATAATTTTTAAATGAAGAAAAAAATATATTTAACAAATAAAGACTTTGAGCAGAAAAAAAATAATCATCTTAAATTAAGAAAGTTGTGATTAAAATATTTTTATTTATTTGAGCCATAAAGTTTTTATTTTTAGCAAATTATTTCTTTGACTATCATTCTATATCAAAAACAAAAAGCAATCAAAATTTATTTTTTTGAAAACTTTTTTGTTGTGTAAAGTAAAAGTTAATAAAAAATATATAGGTTAATTAATCGATATGCAAAAGTGTGCATTCAAGTTTATAAAGTGATAAGAATTTTTTAAGCATTTCTTTTCTTTGATAATAATTAATTAATTAATCCTTATAATTGATTTGCTAGAAAAACAAAAATTCTATAACTCTTTAAAAAATGTAATTTCAAGAATTTTATCAAAAGAATTTGAATTGAAATAAATTAAAATGAAATGAAATCAAATCAAATCAAAAAAATTAAGTTACCAAGTAATTTTTTTTATTTATATTGATAGAGATTGTCCTATTTGTGTTTTAATTTTTCTTTGTTAATTTCTTCTTCAACCAAATCTCTCTTTTCGTCTAGCACATACTCTTTTTCTTCTAAATTAACTAGACTTCCCAAACATTTTTATAATATGTCGATTTTAGTGTTTTCTTGTTTCTGGTTCATAGCATTTTCTAAATCTAATATAACCTTTTAACCAATAAAATAATATTATTGAAAAAAATCAAAATTATTAAAAAAGCTTTTAAAGATAAAAAATATTACTTTTTCTACAACAGTTTTAGCTTCGGCATTTTAATTTGATTTTAAATTAATTTTGTCTTAAAGACTTTTTAAATATCTTTCGTAGGGTCTTTGATACAAACTTTTATCTTAATCTTCTTTGACTAAATTCTTGACTTTTGCAAGTGGTATCGAGTAGTCAAGCTGCAAAGCTTTACGAATATGAACTCCTGCATTAAGTGTGTTTTCTTCAGCCAATTCGCTTTTAGCTAGTTCAAGATGAAAATTCACACGCAAGGCATGATCATTACTTTATATTTTTTCCAAATATTCACAAGCTATAGTGAATGCCTTAACAACGTGTTATCTATATGTTGCATTCAAAAAAGGTAAACTAATATTCCAGATTAACACAGCACCATCGTATACTAAATCTGAATCTAAATACCTTGAGTTTTTGTTATTTCCTATTGCCTACATAGCCTTTAAAATAAATATTTTTGATATAAAATTACTTCAATAATAAATTTTTCATTAAAATTAATGTATTTAACTTAAAAATAAGCTATTTCATTTAATATACTTTCATCTAAATAAACCCAAAAATATCTGCCTTCTGATTATGAATATTAGCTAATTAAACATGATCAATAAAATTGATAGATTGACTCAAATGATTTTGCTCTTTGAAATTTTAAAATTCAAAAAAGGTACCATCAATATTAGCTTTTTCAACTTAAAAATAAACTATTTCATCTGAATTAATATAATTTCATTTAAAAAACCTAAAAAATTTTAGACTTAAGAAATTTGGGATGTTAGGAAAAATAAAGAGATTTATTGATTTATGTTGTGTTTGCTCTTAGAAGTTTTAAAATTCAATAAAGGCACTAATAAAATTAGTAGTGCATTCAATTTAAAAAAAATTTATTTCATATGTAAATATTTCCATATATAAAAACCTAAATGAATTTTATTGGGAATGTTAGTTATCTAACTGGTCTAACACTATATACGTTGACTGATGTGATTCTGATGTTTGAGTTTTTGAAATTTTTAACATAAACGGGTAAGTTCGGAAAGTTAAATTTTATCATTGTAAGTATTTTTGAGTCGATGTTATAAACTGTTTAATTATTTTTATTTGCGGCTATAATTTTTCCCCTTCTAATATTTTAATCAAAAGTATTCGTATTATGCAGTAGTGTAAACAATTTTTTTTCTTTTCTAATAAATTAAAACACAAATTGAAAAACTGCCATCAATTCATTATTTAATTATAATTAAATAACGAAAAAATTCTATTTGTATTTTACATGCATACTTGTTTGTTTGTTTATTTATTTTATTTACTTATAAATGAAGGAAGAAAGGAAGGAAGGAAAGAATAAATAAAATAGTAGTTAATAAAAAAATTATATTTAACAATAAATATTTTTCAGAATTTAAATGTTCGTTCAAAATTAAAAAATAATCAATTAATTACCTTTTCAAGTATTTTTAATGCCTCTATTCTTCTATCAACTTCTTACATTTTTATTTATACTTAATTTAATCTCATACCAGTTTTATTATCAATTAGAGGTCCTGCTTTTTTAATACGTAATTCAGCTTTGTTGTACTCTTACAGAACTTGCACGGGCTAGCGGACACGACTTAAAAATGAAGTAATTGAATCAGCTATATTAATTAAATTGTGATGCAAAGCTATTCTACCTGCTTCAGCAAGTCTTTCTAAAATAATTGGAGCAAGTTTGTTAGTCTATGCCATTTCATTACCAGGTAGAATTGAACTACTCATAGAATTAATCACATTTATAAGTTCTTTTTCTATTTGGGCTTCTAAAATTAGTCCTGATTTCATCATTTATAAAGTTAATAGCAGCTTCCAACCTCTGTCATCTTCTTTATTTGACTCTATTTCTTTTTTAATGTTACCTAATTAGGCAGGATTTTCTTTACAAAGATGGATCCTCAGTCTCAAAAGTTAATCTTGAAAATTGCAAGGTCCCTTCTTTTTAGTATTTTCCCATAACCTATCCAAAACCTTAATTGCTTCTTATTTCTAGTCGCTATCATATAAACACTAAAAGAGGATCCAAGTATATCTATAAATAAATAAATATATTTATTTATTTATTTTATAAAATCAAAAGAAATAGATAAACAATTTTTAAATTAAATTCTAAGTCAGCAAATTAAAATATTTTTTTAATTTTTTAGCGCTTTTTGCATATCTTTTTGTGAATTTATCTATCGCTCATTTTAATTATTTAAATAAATATAACTTCTTTTTATAAGATTCAGTGAATTAAAAGATTTAACAAATATGAAATTCCAAATAATGCCATATGTTTAAAAGAATATATCATTTGCTCTATTATAATTGACTGATAATTGAAGTGATAAGAATTATTATTTAAAATGAGTGATTTACCTACAACGCCAATTATAATCAGGTTCATCTACATCGTCAAATAATTAATCTAGAGTTTTAACTACATCTGTAAAATATTTAGACCAATTTTATTTAATCATAAAGCGAATTATGTTATAAACGCAAACTGAAGCATTGTAGATTAGAAACGAATATTTATTTTTATCTGAATTTTTAATAATTTCAAGTGCTTCATTTACATAGCCTAGAGATTTTTAAAGATTTGTTATCATTTCCTCTCCCTTTAATAATTCTTAATGTCCATTTAAAGCGATAAGCCTAGCCTTAACTAGAAGAGCTCTAATATACATTTAACCTTTTGATTTATTTCTTTAGAAGAAAAGGTCTATGTAATATTCGCTAAGTTTCTCATGACCTATAATTGTAATTGCAGTTTCTGCAAAATTGATGATTGTATCATAAGACAAGTTTATAAATGAATCACGAATGTTTTGCTTAATGAGTTTGTCTGCCTATTCTATACACTATATGCTCTTTTCTATTGAATCTTCTTAGTCTTTTTTATTTCTATAATAGACAGCTTCGCTAAGTAAATTGTTTATTTCTATTTCTATGCTATGAGACATCTTATATTACCTATTTATTTATTTGTGGATTATGCTGTAATATATAATGATGATCCTTAATTGTATAATATAATCAACTAGCCTTTTTATCTAATTAATTTGAAATAATCTAAAGTTCTTTTTTGATATCAATAAAATTCAAAATAAACAAACAAACAAACAAACAAACAAACAAACAAAAAAGCATACACTTTTATCTTTGATTAATCTTTAAAACAATAAATTAAATTAATTTAAATTAAGCTATTATAAAATAATAAATTTAAATATCCAATTTTATTAATCAAATTAACAAACTTTCAAAACAAAAAACTTTATGCTTTTAAATAAAATTATTATTTTAAATAAAAAGATTTATTTTTTTTTTATGTTCTCCCATTTTTAAACAATTAAATCTCAACAGAAAACAGACAAATTAAGAATCAATTAATCAAAAAAAGAAACAAATACTTTTAAAAATTAGAGTTAACATTATTTTTTTATTTCTTTATCTATGAAATCATATCAATATGTAAAGCAAAATGGTTTTATTTTTTTCTTAAATAATTAAATGATAAAATAAATATTTTTTATTGCTTAAAAAATACTAAAAATTTAATTTATCAAAAATATTTGATTTATAAAATTTTTTTTGATTAAGTAAAAATATCTTTATCCTAATTTCATTAAAATTAAAAAATTTGTAATGAAATTATTAATTAAACTTGTTATATTATTTTTAGGAGAAATTTTTACACATTTCAATAAGTTGTAATTAACTCTTTGTCTTCTTTAATAAATTATACATGAAAAATTTTAAAAACATTTTATAAGAGAAAAATAAAAGCCTTTAATTAATCAATAATTTGATACTGATGAAATTTTTTTCATCAAAAATTATAATTGAAAATAAAGATTGGGAGTTGATATTAAAAATAGAAATGGTTTACTTTGAATTTGAATTTGTTACAAATGTAATTGTAAATAATATTTCTTTTAAAAAAGGAGTAATTGCAATTTTATAAAATCTAAATTACATAATTGAATTAACTTTAAATAAATAATGATTGTCTTTTTTTCAAATTCTTCAAAATCAAGATCTCGAAAAAAATAAACCACTAAATAACTACCTCAATCAATAACTCACTTGATTTTAATTAAAATAAAAATTTTTTATTTAAAGAATATTAGTGTAAATAATAGATATTTGATGGTAATAACTAGATGTTAAATAAATTTTTAGTGGGAAGAGAAAACTCTTTTATTAAAGTGAGTAAAGTTTTGATTTTGCCTGATTAAACAATTACAAGAATAAAAAAAAAACAGTATCACAGTATGTATTTGAGTGGATTAAATTTTTCAATTACTATGACAAATTAATTAGACTTTAGAATGTTTTGCAGTATTTTTAATGAATTTATGTATTATGACGTGTTGACGATTAAAAAATCTTTTTATGCTTTTATTATTATATGTTTATTTGTACATTATAAATTTTGAACATATAAAATAATACGTAATTGATTCTATACTTTTTAAAAGGTTAGAATCTATAATAGGCAAGTAGTATTTAAAAGTAGTGTTTTTGAGTATTATTTTATTTATGTATATTTTTTTTTTGTGTAAATTAAATTTTTAGATTATTCGACTTGGTTTGTTTGATTTCAAGAAAGAAATATTTCAATAAAATGTGTTTTTATTTTTTTCTGAGGTTGATTTTTGATTAATTATTTGATGCTGCTTGTTTCTAGTAAATTTTGAATTTAAATGATTAAAATATAATATCTTTAATGACTATTTTGTTAAATTCATTTGATCCAAATGACTTCGTTTGCAAATACGATATATTCTATGTTGGGTAAAAGTGTTCGATCAGTCATGAAAAAACGAAACAAAAAAGTGAAAATGTGTGCTTAGGTATTTTGAGCAAAGATATGCCTTACAAAACTATAACCAGAAATAGACAATTTAATTTACTGTATTTACATACTTTAAATTGTTTTTCAATTTTTTACAATATTAATAAATAAAAAATATAACTTTGTTGATGATAGAGACAACTTTTATTTGTATTAAACTGATTTTACTCCCTAAAATGTATTATATAAGCTGTGTAAATAGAATAGGATATGAAACACTCAAACACCTATTAATGAAGCCATAGAGACTTAATAAATATTTTTTTTTATGAAATATTTACATAGCAATATAAATCAAATATAGGTGGTAGTGTTTGTTAGATGTTAAGCTATTTATTTATTCATTAAGTGAATACTTAAGTTTTCAATACTTTCTAATAGCTTTAAGCATATTAAATGCTTATGAAATTTTTTATTTTTGGTTACAAAATTTTATGCTATCATGTGAAATAGCTTATAAAAACAATTGAATCTCTAATTTAATTTGAGTGAGTGAGTGTATTTATTTCTCCTGTTTAGTAAATTTAATCCAATTTTCAATACTTAATTTTATATTAGTAAATAAACCAAGGGAGGGTAAAAAATTTTTATTATTGTAACTCATAAAAAAACTGAATGTAAGAAAATAAAGATTAAAGAAAGTGAAAGAAAATGCCAAAAGGTTAACAAATCTGATAGTGTTGAACTTTTAGTTAAAAAAAAAATGATATTCAACTAGCATTATTTTAATTAATTTTAATAAATTAAGCAAATTTTATGGAAATTTAGCTGCTTTTTTTTACTTTTGAGGACAAGGAAAAAGATATCAAATGAAAAATTTAATACAAGAAAATTTTATTTATTTTTTAATATTTGAGCAAATTTAAGTTTTAAGGAATAAATAAATTAATTAAATTAAAAATGGGAGTGTCATAAAATTTTTGATTATAAATTTATGGATAAGATAATCATTAAAGTGATGTAACTATTATATTTTTAGGGTTAAAAAAAATTTATTTCATATAACTATTAATTGATTAATATATATGCTAAATTTTGATCTTCTTTGATTTATCCTTCTTCAAATTAATCAAATATAAATAAAATAATTGCTTGAGAAGACAACTAATTAATTTATTTATTTAAAAGTATCTTTTCGAAAATATATTTTAATGGAGCTATAAAGCTGATAAGATTTGGATCGAACAGAACTATGTTAAAATTGAATATGTCTTAATATAAAAATTTTTATATATCTAAAGATAAAGCAAGTGTAACATATTTTTGCTTTAATTTAGATGTAGAGTAATTTTATTAAATTACGCATACAAAATCAATCAATAAAATACTTTTGAAATGATAGATATAAATATCTATTTATCAACTTAAATTAAAGATGAATAAAATATATAAACATCATTTACATATGCATATGTTAATATATATTTAGAATTAAGATTAAATCTTTCTTTTTTCTTCTTCTTCTTTCTCTTTTATGTATAGATAGCTTAACTAATTCATTCCTAAGCATTTTAACTCTCCTTCCAAATAGTTCTATAAAATGTTTAAAAAATAAAAAAGACACAATAATTTATTTTTTTAACTTTGATATAAAATTAAATATTCTAGCTCATAAAATAGATACATAAAAGTAAATCAGTAAATTTGTATTGTAGGATTTAAATTTACCTTTAATTCAGCCGTTCTCTTTATTTAAATTATAGCATCAATTTAATTTGCATCAAGCACTTAAATATCACGAATACTGCTTGAAACTAACTAATAAAAGATATTTATTTATTAAGTTATCAAGTCTATCTCTATAAAATTAATTACCCTTATTTTTTATTGAACTGTCAAAATTAAATAAAAAGGATAAAATCTTATAACATTATTCATTCCTTCAATCATTCTTTTATATTAAAATTAACACGCCTTATGAGTTTTACATAAAAAATCAAAAAATATAAACCCGCGTTAGAAATTATATTATTATTTGTTTGTTTCTGCTTATAATCGTATTCCGAAATATAATAAAATCATAATAAACATCATAATAAGCTTTTACATTTCTAACATTTATAAATAAAACATACAAATATCTCAACTAAAGCTAGAACTTCTTACTCTCAAGAATTTAATTTGATTCTATAAGAAATTTCTTTAAAAGTTTTTGGAATGTAGACTGATTGTCCTATATAATCAGAATCTCATATAAATACATACATACATTCCATTCATAAAGTAAGGCAAAATATTTCTATAGATTATTACTCAGAAATTAATTAAACATGGGTAATAAAATTTTTTATTAGAATTTTCAAATTTCGTGCTTACCCGTGCGTGATGTGACTTGACTTGATTATTTAAGGCGTATAAATTTTGATTAAAAGATATATGTTTTTATTAATTAATTATTTTTAGAGAACAGTATCATAGACAATCAATTAATAAGCATACAAAAATACTAAATATTTTGGGGTAGTATTTATAAATAAAGTTGAAAATTAAAGGTATTTAGTTTATTCTGAAAAAATATTAACACACGCTTTGTTTGTGTCTTATTTTCTTTTGAAATGTAAATATCGTATCAGTAGATGATTAGACATTAATAAATGACAAACATAATAAATATATAAACTCAAAAAAAGGAAATCTATTTCTTGAGAAATTTCCCAATTTATCAATTTACCTAGAAAAAAAAGAAAAATTCATATTTTTGATATTTATAATTTTATCTAAGAGCTTTGCTCATTGTAATCATTTTTTTTGTTGACATCTTTGATAAATAAATAAAAATAAATAATATTTAATTAAATGTATGAATGTATGCTAAATAGTTAGTGTACGTTTTCAAAATTACAAAAAAATTAGTATTTATTTATTTACTAATTTTGAAAAATGTTATAGAATAGTTTATTTTATTGGAGGCCAATATAATTATTAAAACATGCAAGAACTTTACTCGATATACTTTAAATTACCTCTAAAGTGGTTTATTGTTTAAAGAATCACAATACCAAGATATAGATTGATCTGTTAAAACTGCAAAGCCTACTTTCAACCCTATCAAAATAAATAAAAAGCTTTGAGAGGTATTTAAATTTTTCAAAATAAATTAATAAAAAGGTCTTTAATTAAATTTCATTGAGGATTTTTTTAGCAAGTATTTTGTTAAAAAATCAATAGACTGACTGACTGATAGATAGATATATAAATAGATTAAATCTAATAGAGTGGTAATATTTAATATACTCTTGTTCTAATAAAAGTAAAGCAAAACAAGCTTTACTTTAAAATCAATTTTCTAAGTTAATAATAAAAGATTTTTAAAAACGCATTAAAAATATTCTATTTTTTCGTTCATCAATCAGCCAGCCAATCAATCTATCAAAAATAATTTTAGTTAGCCTGCTGAGAGGTATTAGAAACATCTCATTTTTTAAAGCATTAGCAAATAAACAAATTGTCAAATAAAGATTATTTTTTAAGTAGGGAAGTGATGAATTTGACTATCCTTTAAAAAAGAAATGGCTAATTCTACCTTATTAAGAGATATAAGCATATTAGGTTGTTAAAGACTTATTCATTTTAATGTTTTGAATTAAAAAAGCATAGATTTCCTTAATTAATGCGTTATAATTAGCTGCATAAAGCATTTTAGTTTTTTAATATTTGCTAAAATTTCCATATGCTTGCTTTTTTACCTTACCTATTCTCAAATGATTTTATTAAATTTTTAGGTTTTTAAATTTTGAAATATTGATTAATTGATTGATTTATCAATTGTTTTCTTACTTACTTACTTACCTCACATGTTCCTTAATTGTTTTGCAGTAATAGAAAATAATATTTTTGTAATTTTTACAGCTAATTTAAAAGTTAAATTTCAATATTTCTAAATGCAAGCATAAAAGGATAAATACTCTTAAAAGTATTTATTTGCTCTAATTAATTTATTCCTTGCTTGTTCTTTTAGTTTAATAATAAATTCCATTCTTTGGATTATTGATAAAAATTTGGTTATCTATGGATAGATTATTTTCTTGATTTACATTAAGAGCAGAATTTCAATAAATCAAGAAAATACTTATAACTAAATTTTATCAAAAAATATGTGATTGATCTTAGTTAGAGACTTTGTTTCAGAATATTTGTATGAAAATGATTAAAAATATACATATATGTAGAACTTTTCATGCTTTAAAATATTTTGATTCTGATAAATAAGTCTATGAGGTAATACAGTTTAAAGTTCACATATTAATTCATTATTTTTTTTAAAGATATCTAAAAATTTTTTGGTTTTGATGTGTGTTAACAAAAGCTTAAATGTATTTTTAATTCCAATTTAACTATTCTGCTTAAATCAGAAAGTAAAATTTTTCTTACTCTGCAATTAAGCCTTGTTTAATGAAAATCTCGTATGATGCAATTTTTAAAAAATTAAAAACACTGCAGGAGCTTTTAGCACTCCAATAAATTTTCTATTTTTAATTCATTAAATGTTTAATGAACACAAAACAGAAAAAAAAAATCTGTGCTCTTTAAAATTGAAATAATTTACGAGGGAATTCAAAAGGAGTATACTGAGTTACTTGTTGAATCAGAAAATGAAAAAGAAGAAATGTAAAATCTAAGAATATTTTTTTAATTATTTTTTGCATCTGGTAGTGTTCTTTGCCATTATTTTCTTTTAGATGATGTCAATAAAATAAAAGTATGTGATGAATTTTATCTTATTTGTAAGATAAATAAAGAAAGATATGCAGGGGTAAATTTATTCCAACTTTAATAAAATGACAGTCAGTTGAATTTATAAGTTTTGAAAGATACATCGTAAATTGACCATAATCATCAATATACCAAATTTTAATTTTTACAAAATCTTATTAGTTGTTTAGAATTTATTATTTTAAATAAATTAATTATTTATTTATTTGTTCGTTTTCTGTATTCTATTTTTATGGGGTAAGATAGATTTTTATTTTGTAAAGAAAATTTATTTATTTACAATCTTTAAATGCGTAGATAATGTTTTTATGTAATTTGATGCTAATTAATTTTGATGCTATGAAACACTTATTATTATTAAAAAATAAATACTTTCAACACTTAAATATCTTGAAAGCAGCAAGCGTTGTTGAAAAAGAAACAAGTAATTTTACAAAAGAAATTAATTACGCAGTTTATAAGGCGAATAGAGTTAATTATAAAAAAAATATGGAATCTTTTAAGATACCATGAAAGATACATAAATACATTAACTAATTTTCTTATTGAATTACTCAAACTTGATTGATTTATTTTATTATTTTTAGAATTTAGTGAATCAATATAATGAATATTTTTTAATTAAAAATAATACAAAAAAAAAATAAAAAGATAAATCGAATAAAAATAATAATTTCAATTATTGATTGATACTTATCCAAAATAAAAACACTCGTTATTATAAACAAACCATCATTAATTAATTAATTCAATCTATCTATCTATCATAGATAAATACCTTCACATATTGATACATAATTAAAATAAAAGCAAACTAGAAATAAATAAACAAACAAACAAAGCAATACAAGCAAAATACTTATTAACTCACTTTCTAGTAAATAAATTAATTAACACTCCTAAATTATAAACTACACCAAATCAAGCAATCTCATCAATCCATCTATATTCCCTTTAATCTGCCTAACATATACAACAGCCATTATCAAAGGCTATTGGCATCCATCCTCTCACATCTAATTAGATTCCTTATCTGAGATCTTTTTAAAATACCTCGCTTGATGTAACAGTAAATGACTTCCAGCGAATCACTCGACAGAATCGAGTGTCCTTAATAACAAATTCCTAATGAATAAAAACTTATTTTAGACTAATAAAAAAGTGAATATGATAGCAACATACTTAGAGTCATGCTCCAAAAATATTAGGTAAATAACATTTATCTTTTATTATACTCATAAGAAGTAAATCCCACATAAAACGCTCATTGAGGCATACAAGTTCGCCATTCTTTTTTGGTCAAAATTTAAAAATTTATGACTGCATTCAATATTTCCTAACTCTTATTTTTTTTGTCTCTTTTTAGCATTGAAAAGTATCAAATCTTTTTTTCTCTTTGATTATGAATGAATGAGTGAACTTTTATATGGAATAAATAACTAATAAATTAAACATATGGGAGAAAAGAATGATAATGCGTAATCAATCAATTAAATGTTAGGAAAGAGGGTTTTTCCTCCTTCTATTAATCAACTTGACCTTCCATGTTTAAGCTACTACATACAAAAAATCTTTAAAAGGAAGGTACATAAATCATTTTTTAGAACTTGTTAAGCTAATTTAAAAAAACAGTTTAAACTTTCCTTTCAAGCCCTTTTAAAAATAACCTAATAAGCAATAAAACATGAGCAGATCGATAAATAAATATCATTTAACGAATATCTACCAGAATTTAGTACTTTAACAAAAGTTTTTATCTTCCTGACATTTAAAAAGTAGAATAAATTATTTTAAAAATTGCTCTTGCTTCCCAGAGCATGAGCACGCTTTTCTTCTTTTCAGCAATTTATTAAAGAATGAAAGCAAAATATCCAACGCGCTAATTTTTAGGTTTTTTCAATACAAATTAATGAAGAAATATTTTCTTTGAGAAATTTTAATACAACAATATTGATTTAATTGTAGGTCAAAAATGATCAGATTCTATTTTTTAAAGTAGCTTAAATAAATCGTTTTATTTTCCAACTTATCTGCAATTTATTCGTTAGCGAATGATCCCCAGAATTTGTCGAAAATTTTATAACAAGCAAATCAATTCGACTATCAGATTAAAATTATGTTTTTGCAATATGGCAAAAACATATTTAAAAAAATTGAACATAGATTAAAAATACTTAATACACAAACAAGCTAAATAGCTTTCAGTACTCAATAAAAAAAACATTCCTTTTTTTGATCGAATATCAAATTAATTATTAATGAGTTTGTTTTACTAATTTTCCCCACATTTGATTTTGCAAAAAAAATTATTGATAAATTTTTAAATTTCTAAATCTTTCTATTCCCCTTTTGCTTTGCCTCTCTCTATTGATCTAAATTTTCTTACTTTCTCTCTCTTTTTATTAAATAAATTGAAATTATAAATAAAGGATCTTTAATTTTTACATCCTTACCATAAATAAAGGAATGAATGAATAAATAAATAAATTAAAAGATTGACTGATCAACTATTTGTTTAGACTTCTTTTCTTCTTCATTCGATATTAAAAGTTTCACTAATTTGTCATATCTTTATTAAAATTTTAGAACTATTAAAAACTCTAAAATATTCTAAACACTATGCGGGATTTATTAAATCATCTTTTAATTTCTATATTTTCTTTCTTTCATTTTCTTGGATTTGGGTTAACATTTTCGCTATTTGATTAGAAGACACATCATCAATCAATAGTTTTAAAATCAAACAGAAAGTCTGATAGATAATTTTCCCTCACTCCCTCTAAATTTTAATTTAAATATATATTTCTATTCTTTAAATTTTCATAATTTTGAATTTAAAATTTCCCTTTATGAAATATATTTTTGAAGATTATTGTTTGTTTTTTAGTTGTTTTTTGCCACCCAAGAAATGAATGAATTATCAATATTAATCAATCAATCAATTAATAAATCTAATCTTATTTTGATTCATAATAAAAGGAGTAGCAACTAAATCGTATAGACATGACTTAGCAAAGTAGAAATGACAAGGAGAATATGAGAAATACTCTAAAATACGCAGTAATTACATAAAATTATTTCTTTAAAAACCCACCCCTTCAAAAATTTATTTACATTTTACGTCACAAAGCCTAATATAATTACTCAGAAAAGGCGAATAGATAAATCGATTTTTTTTTTCTTCGTCTTCCTAAATTTGAGACAAAGTGGTCTTGAAATTGACATTATAACACCTATAATTAATTCTGATACAAATTTGTTTTTTTTCTTTTTGTGGTGAATATCGAGACAATAGAGATTTCTTCAAAATTAATTTTTAAACATTTGATTTACCTTACATTAATTACCGATTATAATAACAAACAGTTCTAATAAATTCAGAATCAATTGATCACCTAAGCAGCTGACATGGCCTTTTCCAATATGCTCACTATCCAACTCTAAGCTCATAAGTTCATGGAAATTGCTATCTTACAAATGAACCAAGACGAAAGTTATTACAGCTTTTATGCATCATGCGCCACTAACATGGCATATAAAGTAAAGCACTTTTAATAATTATTCAAAATCTTAACTTAACTATTAAATTTAGCTTAACATTCACTGCATCGTAGATTGCTTCGAAAATTATGAAGTTTAATAAATACAAACTCTTTAATTTAAGACCTTTGAATTTGAAAAGAATATCAATAGATATTTAAATTGGAACTGCTAACTCATCACTGCAAGCTAGTTCTTCTACTATTTCATCGATTACCACTTCTCTTAAAGATAAGACTGGATAATTAGGGAAGGCATTTAACAAATTTGCGATAAAATTGTAGATATCTATCTAGGTAAGTATTTCAATCTCAAATCAATCAATCAACTTACTTAATTATTTATTTATATTATTTAGAATATTAATGGAGTGCTATTTCTATTGCTCTTGGGTTCCTTTCTTACATCTTCTAATAAAATGAAGAAGAATTTGATTACCTTTGTTTCATTATCTAACATTATAAATAGGAGTTCTCTTAACTTGGTTAAATTATTGATGAAGAATAAATTTTATAAGTAAGAGAACATTTGAATGATTAACAACTTCAGTAGTAACAACAATAACAACAACAGTATTAACAGTAACAAGATTATTATGAAGATGAAGATGATGAAGAAGAAGATGAAGAAGAAGAACAAGAATAATTATAATTATAATTATAAATATAATAGTACTAATACTAAGTCAACCAACAAATCTAAACTTGTTAGGATTAAAAATAATAATATTAACATGAATTTAACAATGTTTCTTCAGATAATGATTAATACTACAAAATACTCTCCAACTCAAGCTCTTAAACTATAAATTATGAGCAGGAAGAGTATGGCTCAATTAACAATATTGAGATATCTTATAACAAAAAAAGATCATCCACCTAATATACTTACTAATCATGCTATAAAAACTCATAGGATTAAAACACTTAAAAGACTGTAAGCAAAAGTAGGTCCTATAGCGAATAAATAAAGCTAAACTAGGATCATGAAGATATATTTGAATCAAAGAATGGTGATCAAATAAGAAAGAAATTCAAATAATCTAACGATTAATGAAATCAATAAATAATCAATTTAATTTATTTTAATGACTTTAGTCATCTTTAATTGTTGATTGATTCCTTTATTAACAAAACACATATTAAACAAAAATCATCTATTTCAGAGTAATTAACCAAAATAAATAATGTGCCCTATAGAAATAAAAAGTAATAAAAGCCTAATAAAAAGATTTGAGTTACTTTAATTTAATAAATGAATGAATAAAAAATAAATAAATAAATGAAAACTAATCAAAATAAATTTTATATATACATAAAAAATAAATAAATAAATAAAAATGAAAATAACATTTCATCGATTGGATATATAATTAATTCTTACCATTAATTAATAACCCTACAAATTTAATAATAAACAATTAAAATTATCAATTAAGAATTGAATAGCTCAGTTCAAATAGTTCAAAAAAATTTATGGTGAAGTGATAAAACTAATAATTTTATCAAGAAACAAATGCGCAAAATAAATATACTCCCTTTCAACCAGCATCTACGTATCTACCTCACTCACTCACTCACTAACTAAATAAATAAATAAAAATAATCTAATTAAAAATAAATAAATAAAATCTCAGTTTAATAATCTATTTCAAATATTAAAATCTATACTTAGCTCCTCTCTTATCAATTACTCTCTAAATTATCTATCTCTCGACCGAAAACACACAAACAAACAAATAAACACTCATAAATATTTCAATAAAAAATAAAATATACACAAATAAAAATATCAATCGCTATTTCAATCGATTAGCAGTATCTTTGAATAAATCACTAATCATATAATTCTTGTAATGCTGAATCCTAACTTAAGTTACTGTTTCATTACTAGAAGTATAAGAAAAGCTCAGCTTTATAGCTTATCTAAAAATAATAATAGAAACTTTAATAACGAAAAAGAACCACAAACAAAAACAACCAACCTACCTACCTACTTATTAAAAAAACAAACAAAAAAAAGGAAGCAAACAAAAAAAATAAACAAACAAAATAATTAAAAAACCACATACTTAGTCCATGCCACTTTATAATTTAATAAAAATACATACTTTAATGCATTAAATAAAGTAAGCAAATGGGAAGTATAAAGTAACTAAAGCTAAAAAATCCGAGTAAAATGGGATTTATTTTAAAATATACTGCTAATTATTCTTATTTATTACAAAACAAAATCTTCAAATTAAATAAAATTATTTCAAAACTTATATTATTTTATCGTCATTTCAATTCAAATATTTATTTCTATCTTTTATATTAAAGTATTTCATTCAAAACCATTTAAAAATGCCATAAAATTATCAAAAACTTTTACTTTTTTTATTAATTTTTTATTTTAAATCAATGAAACTATATTAAAAACTATTCTTAGAACTTATTGCTTTGTCATAGAAATGTTTTCTAGCTTAAATTTCTTAAAAGATCTATTAAACACGGTAATCAAATAGTAATAATGCAATTTATAAACAAGTAAGGTAAATATTTAATAGAACATAAGTGATATAATTTTATGCAACCAATAATGAATGAGGTTAGTTAATTTTTCCTTTTTTGGGAAATTGAAGAAAAAAATTTTGAAAATTAATTTGAGGAGTAAAAAAAACAAATTATTGCTTGATTTTATGTTGTGAATTTTGATATTATTGTTGTACATTTGGAGAAAACTTAATTTCTGAAGATGAAAAAACTTAATTAAGAATAGACTAAAGAAGGAAGGATGATTTGTTGTTTTTAAGATAAACGGTAATTTGAAAAAATTGTTAATAATTATTTCAAGTAAAAACTTAATATGAACTCAACTTTTTAGCTTTTTGAAAAATTGGTTAGGGTTTTAATAAATTAGAAAGGATTTTTTTTTTCATGTGATTGATTGTCTATGAATAAATCAATTTGCTTTTTTCTTTTTTGTTTGTTTGCTTGTTTGTTTATTTATTTGTCAAGGCAATTAAAATAAAAAGGAGAAAAATTGATAAGAGTTCTAATTATTTTTCAAAAATGTAATTTAATTAATATTGGCGAAATCTTATTAAATATTATAAAAATTATTGACGTAAAAGCTTTTGTTTTATTTTTTTTTAAATTTTATGACTGATAGAAATTCAAAGTATTTTTGATATAAATAAATTAGACACAAAAGCTATGTTAAAATAATAAAAATATCTTTTGAGTGAAAAATTGCGTAAGATAATTCAAGCAAATTTTTAAATTTTTGCTAGCTTTGTTTAATAAATTTATGTTTTATTAGGATTAATTTTTAAAAATCAGAATAGTTTGCATTATTTTTTATATAAATCAGAATTTTATAATGTTTATCAAGCAAGGTAGCAGATAATGCTTGTTTCAAATAAAGTTATTTATTTATTTATTTTTACTTAAAAAACTAAAAAATTATAATAAAACACTCCGTTGGTATTTATTATTGTGGAAATTAAAAGTTATATGAAGATTATAAATAGTAGTTTTTACAACTATTATAATCTCTATTCAAGTAAACATAGAGATTTTTATGTAAGCAAAGTGAGCTTGCTTCTACAAAATGAGAAGGAATGGATGGATGTGTGGTTTTAATTGTAATTAATTTATTAAAATATTTACAAAGATTATTTAAATTTGTCTGAATTTTATCATGTGATTGTAGTTGATTCTCATAATTAAATGTTATTAATTATATATCTATTAGTGATTAATATTCGTTTTTATCAAATAATCAATCAATGCTTCTCTTAACTTGTAATTTCCCATCACAAGATAAATGTTTTTTTTTTTTCCTTCTTCTTTTTGCTTACATTTAGCACTAAATTTAACTTAATCTTTTCAATGAGTAGAATCAAAAATCTTTTTTAAACATCGAATCATAATCAATCAGTTTATAAAAAATTCTTAGCTTTTAGCATTCTTAATTTAATTTAAAAATATGAAATTTTCTTGTTAAAATTTTTTGTTTAGCTAATTTTTGCATATGGCTTTAAAATCAGTATTCCAAAATTGACAATCATCGAATGTTTTTTTGAAGCCATTTATTATATTTTTTTCTTTTTTTTTTGATAATTGCAAAATTTGAATAAAAAAAGAAAAAAAGTGTGACTATGGGTGAGATATCATTTTTAATTATTGAAGAATTGAGAAATTAATTCACAAAATAGAACAGATTGTAATGTATTTTTTTTGAAATTAGAAAAATATCTTAAGAAAATCATTAAATAGAAAATAAATAAATCTACCAAGTACTTACATTTTTCTCTTAAAGCAAAAAATATTATTTTGAGCAAAGAATAATAAGCAACTGATTTTTAGCCTAAAATAATTATTAATGGACATATTTATAATAAAATTCATCTTATTTTTGAGATATTTATTTTTGATGATTGATTATTTTTAGATTTCCATAGCAAAAACGAAGATTGTTCGAAAAAAATATAAAACTTGTCTACTAACATAAATGAATGAGGCATCACATAATTTTTACTTAATTGTAAATATAATATAATAACTCATCTTAAATGTTTTTTTTCATCGTTTTAATAATAGTATTAAATAATTCTTTAAAATACTTGTAAATTAAATAAAAAAAATTATGTAATGTTTTATTAAAGTATAAGACAAAAGTTTATGATTATCAATTGATAAAATTAAAATTAATTTTGAAGGTTAGAGGAATCTTTCTTTATATTTATTTATTTATCTATCTATCTATCTACTTAACAAATAAACATTCTTATTGCAATTATATGCTCTTAATTAAACATGAACATATAAATCTATTTATTCTGAATAAAATAGATTTTTATTAAATCACTTGAATTGAAGTGTTTTCAAACTAATATTTAGAAATTATTATGTCATCATTCTTACATTCATTAAGAATATAATATTCACTTATACCAAACTATTCTTCCGTTAAAATAACACAAAATCTAAACAGTAAATATTAAATTTTAATTCTCCTTCAAAAAAGAAAAAGATTTTAAATTTGTCTCTTAACAATTAAAATTTGTTTTCTTGTTATTATTATTGCTAAGCATGAAACGGCAAAATATTAAGAAAAAATTAGGTAATCAAAAAAAAATAAAATTTGATTATAACATAAAAATACATATTTATAGATATCTTTTGCATAGTATTTTTTAAACTATTAAACACTTACTGAATTAAAATTTGGCAATAATATTCTCACTATTCCTATTTTCAGTCAAATATCTACAAAATTTGCTTTGATATTGTGTAAGTGAAATTAAATTTCAAAATTTTTAAATCTGTAATAATCGTATAATGACCATATCTTTTTATTTTGCCATATTGGGAATACGTATTTTAAAATAACTTAAATTAAAAAAATTTAGCGGGTATTTAATTTTTATAAATCTAGTAATAAAAAATACTCCAGTAGATTGATTTTCTTTAAATATGTAAATGAATTTGTAAAATGGCCATTTTATTTTTTATATTTAGGCAAAGCGATAGCAAAATCATGAAATGAAAAGTAAAAAGTTGTAGGATCTAAAATATTTTTTCCTAATTTAAAAAATTTGAGAATAAAAACTAAAAATTTGCTAGTATTTAACATAAATAGTGTAATGTTACAATAAAGAATAATTTTAACAACGAGAAAGAGCGTTAAATTTTCTTAGGAAACACTATATAAAAATCAACATTGATGTTTAAAGCGTTTATACTATCTCTGCTCTTACTACTTGTATTTTTTAAATTTAATTTTTGATTAATATCTTTGAAAATTCAATAAAACTTTAAAAAATTTGTAATCATTAAAAGCTAGCTGCCTCACTTATCTATAAATAATTAGAGAGAGAATAGAAAGTAATTGAAGATTACTAAATTTTTTACAATTTATTCATAAATAACTTTTCAAAGTTAAATATTTTGCTTTTATATTCAAATATTTACTGTATATGAAATCCATTCATATATTAGTAATATTTTTTATCGAAATTCATTTAAAATATTTTTCTACTGCAAATTCTATCTTTTTTAAGGTTAAAGGTAAAGAAAAATAGATTTTTTATTTTATTTAAATTAAAAATCAAACAAAAATTGTGTTACTTTGGTTTTTAAATTTTGTTTTTTTCTATTCAAGCTTAGTAGGTTGATAAAAAAAAAGATTCTGATCAAACTAAAAATTAACATAAATTGCTGTGTAAACTAAAATTCGAAATACCTCTCTTAACTTATAGAAAAATATAGTATAAAAATTCTCTTCGCTCCTTAGTAATATTAATTACAATTCCACTCTTCTTTTTAAATTTAAAATAATTTACCATCAAAAAAATCAAATATTAACATATAATTTAAAATCATTAAACAAATTTGAAGATTATAAATAAAGCTTAATTGTTAAGTAATATTAACTCAAATTTTCATATTTTATTATGTTAGTTACTTACTATTTTTATATTTGTTTGATGCTATTAGTTGAGATTAATTTTTTCACCAGTATAATTATAGAAGTTTCTTTTCAATAGAAAATTTAACTTGTTTTTTATACTATTTTACTTTTTTGCTTAACTATTACTAAAACGAATAAAAAATAAATATTTTTCCATTTTTATATAACTAATTACTCATAAATTTTAAATTAAATTGTTTTTTTATTTTAATTTACAGATTTTAATATTTAATATAGAGATTATGTTATTTGAGCAGATAAATTAATATTTTAATTTTACTTGTAATATTTTTTGTTTCAATACAATAAATCAGTCAAACTCTTTCCTATAAATACCATAAAAACGAAAATATTATTTATTATATTTTTTAATTTTTATGATATAAAATTAGGTAACAATCTTTTAATTACATTTTTAAATAATTGTTATAAAATCATAAATAAAAGATTAATATCTACTTAAATACAAAAAATGTTTCTTCAGATTTAAAGATTAATAAATAAATAAATAAATAAATAAAATAGTATTTGTATTTAGTTTCAACATTTAAAAATACATCAAATTACATTAAAAGTATTATTAAATAGTCTATCCTATAAAAAGTTATTTGTAATTTTACTTTTTAATTTGAAATTTAAATTCAAAATAGTTTTTTTAAAAACCAATTAAAAATTAAATCATAAATATTTATCATATTTAATTCTATTAAAATAATTACAACCTTTTTTGCTAATAATTTACTATGAATTAAAAATTAAATAAAAGTATAAACCATATTTAACCTATAAAAATAAATAAATAGATATTATTTAATTTAAAACAATCAAAAAGTAAATAAATTTTACCAAACTCTATTAAATAATAATATTAATTTATTTTAATTTAAAGCAATTAAAAATTAAATAATTTTTATTCATATTTAAATTAATTTAGTAATTAAATAAATCAATATTTTTACTATTTAAATTTATTAAAATATTAATTTTGGTTTTTTTAATTTAAAAATAATTTAATAGAAATAAAATTAAGTTTTAGTATTTTTATTGGTTATAATATTTAATTTATAAAGTAAACTTTGATGTTTAAAAATTTAATGAATTGCTATTTTAATAAAAATTGCTCTATTAATAATTAAATTTTAGCTAAATCTGTTTTTTAATTATCAAGAATTTTGTAAGAAAAGTTTAAAAACTTCTAAAACTATAATTTTTATTTTATTAATATTTTTTGTTTTAGCATGTATAAAAATAATTTAATAATAATCGAGAGGAAAAAAATTTGATTTAACTTATATAATAACTTTATTTTATTTTTCTTTTGGATACTTTCAAAATTTTTTATTCAAATTATTAAAAAATTAGACTAATGTTTCTATTAAAAAATGATTAATATGATGGATATTATTAAGCAAATAAAAATACTATTTGGTAATTTGATATTGATTCACACTTTAAATTTAAATTTAATTGGTTTTTAAATCAAATCAAATTAAATTGATTTATTTTAATTTAGCTTTCTTTTACTTAATTATTTATTAATTTATTTGTTTATATATTTTAAAATGATAATTGTAAAAAAGAGCAAAATAATTTAATTGATTTATATTAATTATGTTTTTTTTATTTTTAAAATGATAATCATAAAAAAGAGTTTATTTAATTATCTTCTTTAGAATTTTTAATATTTTTAATCTTTTAATTAATTAAAATATTGTTGTTGTGATTTATTTTACTTTCAATTAATTTTTAAAAGAAAGAATTTATTATTTTTAAGCTATTCTTTAAAGAAAAATTACATTTTTTAATCTCATAAAAATACAAAGATTAACTAGTTAAGTACAATTTTTAGTTTGAAGATTAATAAAAGTATTTTAATTGGAGTGTTTTTTACACAACAATATTAAAAACAAATAAAATTAAATTTATATCTTAAAAATTTTAACAGTATGATTTTTTTAATTTAATTTTAATTAGTAAAAAAGTAAAAAAATAAATAAATATGTAATTTTTAACAGTAAATTTTTATTAATTGAGATTAATTATGTTAAATCGTATTTTTTTTTTAAAAAAATAATTTATTTTAACAAAAACATACTTTGGTATTATCTTAATTAAAGATTGAATTTGTTTTAATAAGCGGGAAACGAATTAATTGATATTAATACATAAATTATTACTAGACACTTTAATGATAATAATAAATAAATATAATCTAATCAGCGGATTAGCTTTTCATAGAATCTAACTATGAGATCGGGAGAAGCATACTTAGCAATTTAGCTACTTGATACTAAATATTATTTAGGATGTTTTCCAATTGTGACTGTGTAAAGAGATTTTCCATCATCCTTAAAAACGTGCAATATGGAGGTTATATCACTCTTTAAAAGAAGTTTACTGACATCCTTTTAATAATTATGAATTTCCTTCCTATTTATTTAAATTAATTTAATTTTAAGTATAACAGTTTGTTTGCTCATTTCTATTTAAATTTCTTACACTGGATCTAATGCTTTTTTATCTAATTTAGGAGTAGATTTAGGATTAGATGCTTTTTCAACTGATTTTTTAACACTTCTCTTAGTAGTTGAGCTAGATTTACGTGTTTAATGAGTTGAAGCTCCTTTTTTAATTGATTTCTTAATGGGTGTCTAAGGTTTATCATTGCTAAGTAAATGCTTTCTAAATATAATTAAAATTGAAGTTAAAAAAATTATTCAACCATTTGCTTATATTAATTAATAAATTATGGTTGATTTATTAATTGATGTAATTGTAAGGGATTACTATTGGTATTTTTTAAGCATATTCTTATCTAAAATATTTTTAGCAGGTTCATAAGTAGCTTATTTGAGAGAGTAGCCTTTCCATTAGATATGGTATTCAATCTAACTTCCTTTTTTTCTATGTCCTATAATATTTTCTACTTCGTAAACTTTTGTCATATTTGATGCTTTTTTTTTTTTGATTTAATTAACTATTTCTTCTTTTATAAATATATTAACTGAATTTTTTTTGTTATCACAAATAAACTAATCAAACAAAAAAACAAGATATGCAGCACCAAATTTTTTATTTATTCTTTATATTTAGAAATTTTCTAATGTTATCCAAAATCAAAAGCGCCTATAAATAAAATTTCAAACGATTGTATTTTATTATTCTATTACTTTGCAATTTCTTCAGAATTTATTGATCAAAATAGTTTAAAATCTATACATAATTTTTATTGCTACAATTATTTATAACTTAAATTCTATATTCAATTAAATAAAACTAATTTTATAAAAAAAGAACTTTTTTCAATAAAAGATTTATTATTATCTTTTTTTATATTATTAAGATATTACAAAAAATAAATAAATATGTATAAAAAAATTAAATAGTTTCTGATCAAATTAGGGAGGGAGATTCAAAGAAATTGTATCATTTAAAATTTAATTATTTTAGATTTGTTTTACATATCAAACTAGTTTTGATAAAATAAAACTAAAAATTAATTAGTTTGATAAACCATATCAATATTTTATTAAAAATATTTTGAATAAATAAAAGATGAAATATTATATTCAAATACTTTAAAAGTTTGAAATAGACTTACTTACTTATCTTCACTATAAAGCTATAAGAAGAACTAATTAAAATGATTACTTATTTATTTATTTAAAAAATAAATAAATAAAAGTAAGAAAATTAAAAAATTTTAACTAATTTTAATAATAAACTTTCTGATAAAACATATTATTCTGTTAAAATAAGATTTTTGACTTGAAATAAGAATTTTTTGTATATTTCCTTGTTAAAAATAAATTTTTATTTCTTAATTAAAATAAAATTATAAGAAATTAATTAATAGAGTGACTTGAGTAACTTTAAAAATAAGAAAAAATATTTTTAATTATATTATTTGAGGTTTAGCTAAATATTTTTAAATTTTAGCAGAAAAAATATTATAATTTCTCTTGTTTCATATATTTATTTTAACTTTTTTGTTACAAAGATTAAATAAAATACTTAAATTTTTATTAAAAAAAATTAGATTAAATAATGAGATTAATTTTTTTTATAAATATGGATAAAATGAAATTATTTAAATTCAGCAAAAAACAAAACTTTCAATTTTAAAACTTATTAAAATTGGTTTATTTATTATATTAGTAAATTAATTGAGTTTTTGTCATTAAGCATCAGGGTTAATATCATTAATCTTAAGTTTATTTGAAATTAATTTGAATACAATTATTTATTTATTTAATTATTTTATATTCTATACATGTAGAAATATTTACTTTAATTATATTCAACATATTTAATTTGTTAATTCAAATTCTGAAATTTTAATACTTTTACAATTAATGTATATTTTTTATCTTAAAAATAATGACTAATAATAAAATCTTCCATGAATTAAATTTTTTCTAAAACAACACTAAGATGCAAAATAAGAAATAATTTGATTTAAAGAATAAATAATAATTTTAAAATTTAGGTATTAATGCCTTTTTTATTATTTTTAAACAAAATTTATAATTTTAAATTAAAATATTTATATTTTATAATAGTTATATGAATTATTAAATATTAATTTTAATTTATTTTTATTAAAGTAGTCAAATAAAAAAAGTAAAATTTTACTATATCTGAGATTATATAATTAAATTAAAAATTCATAAAATAAATATTTTATGGTAAAAATTAAAATAAAATATTTAATTAATCTATCTACTTTATAGCAAGTAAATCCAGGGATAAAGTTCTTACTTTGACACTTCTACAAGAATTTAATACATAGAAGTGCTATATATTGGTACTTATTTATTGCAAATTCATTTTTAATGTTATTAGAATAGAAAATTAAAATTCGAAATCATGTTATAAATATTAAATAAAACTTATTGAAAGAAAATAATTAATTATAAATAATTAAAAATTTTTCATTTCTTAAATTAAAAAATTTAAATATTTTTATTAATTTCAAAATGAAATTTCTTAAATAAATTAAGTAAATCATACAAAATTTAAATAAATTTCTAAAATTTCAAATTTTATGTGAATATTTTTATTAAAAATTTGATTATGCTAATAATAATTGATACTGACTTATTTTATAGAATAGATAATCTATAAAAAATAAAATAATGAGAATAATTTAATTAAGTATAAACTCTTAAATTATATGATAATATATATATATATATTTATTTATACACAGGAATTAAATAATTTTATTAAATTAGATATATATTAATATAAGTAGGTGTATTTTAAGTATATTAAAATATTAGTTAATATATTTAATATAATATATTGATAGATTGATGTTGTCATATATTTATTTAATCTCCATTTATTATTGATTCTCTTTTTATTTTTATTAAAATTAGTGAGATCTTTAGTTAAATAGATAGAAAGATTAGTTGTTCATTTGTTATAAACGACTTAATTACTTAGTATTCATTAGATGAGTAATAAGAATTTATAAACATTTATGTTTGCTAACTTTTGATTTAACCAAAATAGAGAATGAAGGAGTGTATTTACAGTTACTAATTTGTTACTTACTGGCATATTGGATAGAATAATTAATTATTATTATTATTAAGTGCATTTTATTCTTAAGTATATTTAATATATTAATATATTTAGTTAGAAATAAGGTCTGCAGCGAGGTGAAAACAGTAGTATTATTAGAATTACTTAAAATAAGTCTTTTGATACTAATGTGTCGTTACAGATCTTAAATCTCACTGATTAATTGATATATTTAGCGAATATAGGCTCGAAATAATTATACATATTTTATATGTTAGATTTCATATATGGTAAAATAAGAAGTCTATCCCATAGGGGTATTTTTGACACTCATTTTTCAAAATTTTAAAACATTTTAAAATTTTGAAAAATGAGTGTCAAAAATACCCCTATGGGATAGACTTCTTATTTTACCATATATATGATTTCAGCAGAAATAATCTTTCTCCTTGAATTAGTATTCAAAATACTACCATTGGATACAGATTTGATTTTGTTAATTAATTAAATGATGATCACTATTTGATTATTAATTATTAGTTTTATTGCTAAATTCTTACAATTTAATTTTAACATTTATATATAAGGATTTGATTAAATTATTTTTATGAAACTATTTAAATTAATTTTTTGAAATGGATGTGTGTTTGTTTGTTTGTTTGTTTGTTTATTAATTTGTTTGTTTAATTTGTTATAATTGATCATTAAAGAATGATTTTGGTTTAATCATATTGATAAGATTCATTAAGATAGATCTGCATGCTTGCTTTAATTAGATCATATAATAAATTGGTTTATATTTCAAATGCTAGAGCTATTATCAGGAGACTCAATAAGCTACAATGAATTAATGTAGCAGAGGTAGTAATTTTGTAAGTTGACTGAAAGGATTGTGGTATTGTCTCTATGGCATTGCTTTTCATTATATATGCTCTCAACAGCTTTCTATGGGAATTCTATGAATCCTTCACTGCACAATTCGTTAGCTGTACTGATATTGTAATCCTATTAATTATAAATTAATTTTATTAATAAAATAGATAATTATAATATTTAAATTAATCAGTTGGTTAGAAAGTAAGTAAGTAAGTTAGCTGAAATGATATTTTAATTAATCTGTTTGTTTGTTTATTTATTTTTTAAATTCTGTTTATTCGAGCTTATAAATTTAATTTTTCTTTCGCCTAACAATAGAATGATACTTTAATTAATTAATTATTGCCACTGCTTTATCTTGTAAATTAATTGAATCAAAACATAACTTTGTTGTATTAATTTATAATTTTTTTTGGATTGGTTGGCTGAGATAATCTGGCTGTGAATTTATTCAAAGACTAGCGAGTTATAAAAATTTAAATAAATTTCTCTAATTAAATCAGTTTCAATTTGTTAAAATCAAATGACAACTTTCACAGATTATCCATCAAAATTTATTTTCTTTTTAAACTAATTTAAATTTGCTTGCTCACTTAAATTAAATTACTGAATAATTTTTGCGCATTTTTTAAATTTATATGTGTGTGAACGCTTGCTTGATATTATCAAAAATTGATTTATTTATATATTAGTAAACCGGATAGACCAAACATTTCTAACAATTCTTTTAAATCATTCAAGGTATTACATATTTATTTAAATCTGGCATCCACTTTTTAAATACAAATAATCTTAATTATTGCTCTAATCTTCCTTTCTTTCTTTATTTTATTTTTTGCTTGGTTACAATAATTGAATGTATTTTGTTGGATAATTTTGAAAATATTTCAGCTAAATACTTAATTGTTTCTTTAATAAATGTAAACTAATTGTAAGTTGAATAATAATTATTATTTGTATTACATGCCATAAACCATCTGAAGCAAGGACTAAGAAGATGTCTCTGAATTAAAATTCACTCAAAAGTGAATAGATATCGTAGACTATAATTTCAGGTTCGGCTATGATAAATGGTTTGTATCTTTTATCGCCAAAGGCACGAGTCACATTTAACTCACCAGAAACTCTAAGCTAAGATCCACTTCTTAAACAGAATCCATTTTAGCTTATAATTCTTTCAACTTCATCTTTACGATTGCTAGGAGTATGATCAAAAGAAAGATCTCTTGAGTTTCCAAATTTATCGAAGATGACTGCCCTGCAATCACCAAGATTGGCTACATAAATATTTCCATTTACAATTAAGGCGCAAACACAAACACATCCGCTACCTTAGAACTCTTAGCTTTCTTAGAAATATTCGTCTAATGAAATGAAGGCTTTTGTTAAAACAAAAAATTAATTAATATAAAAAATATGTCTTAATTTGTAGATTTAATTTTAAGTAACACTTTTCAAATAGTGAATGCTTTTACATTAACAATGAAGAAATTATAATACTTTCTTTGCTATATGCATGAATAAAAAATAATGAATCTAATAATGAAAGTCATAGTAGATATTAGTGGGATGACTGATTGATTATATTGTTACTGAATTCAAAAATATTATGAAATCAGTATTAGTTTAAAAATTTGTATTTTTCTTTTGAAGTTGAAAGGACAAAAAAAATAAAATTAGAATTTTTGAAATTTTCAGTTATTAAAATAAGAAGTATTTTGAATTCCTTTCAAAATATTTCAATTAAGAAAGTAGACAAAAATAAGAAAAAGAGAGTAGAATTAATTACTGCTTGTTATAGCTTCTTCAACATTATTAAAGAAAGAAGGGTGCGAGAGAATAGCTTGGAACAGATTATTTTTGAGGTAATTAGCAATACTATCATTTCCGTGTCCATCAAAAACTCCGTAAAACTGAAGATTAGGATAAGAGATATAGACTGAGTACTAAATTTTTATAAAATGAAAAAGATAAGTAAAAAATTATAATTTTTGTTTGAAATCAATAGATTGATTGATTAATCTTGAAGAATATATAAAACTATCTATTTCTTTGCAAAATAAATGTGAATGAGTGAGTGTAATTGCGAAAAGTAAATTCATTCTAATTAAAATGAAAAGTTTAATTGTAAATTAATTAAAAATTGCAAATAGCTAGCTAACTAACTAAGGCTTAGAATAATATATGTGATTTTTGTTGTTAGTATATGGGTTTTATAAAAAGAGAGAGAACTAATAAATTAATTAAAACTCCTCCGTTCGCAGATTATAGCTGCCAAAATATTTTGTGTAGGACTTAGATTTATGCTAATATATTACTTTAGCTTTCTGCTTGTTTGAATAACAGCAAAAAAGAGTATTAAAGATTGTATTATGTATCTCTTTTGTGAGTAAAATTTAATGATTGTAAGTAAGTAAGTGAATTATTAAATTTAAGGAGAGTTTGTTTTCAAATAATTTGCAAGAAAAAAATATTAGTAGAAATGAAACTCTCAATACGATCTACAAGTTTCAAAATATTTAATTTGTTGAATGTATTTTTAATTGTGAATCAGGAGTTAGGTTTTTGTATAGCCAGTATAGTATCTAAAATAAGAAAAGAAAGAAATTTTGGTATTAAAGCTTTAATTATTACCTTGTCTTGCATTTCCTTTCTATTTCCTTTGATTGATATGCAAGAGTAAAGAGAATTAGATTCTTTTAAGTCTGAATCCTACTCAAACATATCTGATTAGTACTCCTAGTCACATGAGTAGGTGTTTTGATCAGCACTTTCCCCTTCTTCTTCATCGTCGAAGGCAAAGGGTAACTAGAGTGGCTTTTCTTCTGAAGAATCATCATCGTCTTCGACCCCACATACTTAAATATCATTTTCATTTAGTTGATTGTCTTAGACTTTCATTTCGCTATAAGAAAGATTGCGTAAGTGTGAAAAAGTCTTTTAATTTGTGTCTTCTCCGACTTATTGTGTGTTCTACGAGAGGTCATCCTAGTTGTTGTTGCTTTCTTCAGTAGAAGAATCTTGTTGCTGCAACATAGGATACTCGCGCAACTTCTCAAGACTCTCACTTTGGTAATTGTTTTGGAGTTTCTCATCCGAAAGACTTTGCTATCCTTAGTAATTATTATTGTCGATTGGGGAATTTTAGTAACTATTCACAGTAGTTTAAGTGGAGTCAGACTACATTTTGAAAGGAGAATTCGAAGAGAAAAAGATGTTGTTGGAATGATTATCGATCACTTCATGCTATTGTAAGGATATCATTGCAATTAAATAGTAAAATGACGAGGAAAAGATGGCAAAGATGGGTTTGTATATTTCTTGCTAAACTTCTTTTGTTATCGTGATTATTAGTTTTTTTTCTTTATATATTTTTGATTGTTTGATTATTTTAGTGCAAATAAGTTACCACTAATATTGATTAAGATCTATAATTGTTTTGTTTAATTATAGTTATTATAATTAATCTTATTGTTTTTCTTTTAATTTTTACTTTTTTAATATTTCTTTTTCAAGTTATTTTTTTTAGTTTATTTTTTGAATGTTATCAAATAATCTAATTAATCTAAACAAAATAGCTACTTTGTTTGTTTGTTTATTTGTTTGTTTGTTTTCTTTTTGCTTGCTTTTTTTGTATACATAAAGGCATTGTTTGCATACAAATATGAATTATGTGACTAAATATTATATCACTTCCTAAATCGATAAATCAATAATAAAAAAAAAATTTACTAAGTTAATTTTAATATAAAAAATTGATTGAATAATTCTCATTTTTGATCGATTTCTTTGTATTCATTTTATTTATTCGCTCTTTTATGAAGCACACATGCAAAAATATGAAAATATTATTAAACCAAATGAAACTTTTCTATTAAAAAAATAAATAAATAATAAATATAAACCAAAATATATTTGATTTAATTTAAGATACTATGCAAATTCGATATTAAGTATAAATTTTCTTCTATTTCCTTGCTAATATATTAAATTTAACTATGCCTTACTATAATTAAAAATGCTAATTTACATACTAAACATACTTTTAATCATAATTAATTATTTATCTTCTTACCAAATAAAATCAGAAGAAGAAAACTGCGAATTAATAATTCCCCTTTAATAAATTGCAGCTTATATGAAACTAAATAATAAAAAAGTTTTAATTTTTTTTTTCCCCTCTTTTCTTTTCATAATTACTTTTGTTATTTGCTCTCCTACTCACTCATATTTTATATAAAATTTAACTACTTTAACATTATTACACTCCACAATTTACAAATAATTTATCTCCATTATAATCTTATCAAAGGCAAATTCGAGTTTTCTATTGCCTCTCTCTGTTCATAATTACATTATTAGCATAGATTTAATATTTCAAAGTATATTTATAATAAAATATTTGAAAATATAATAATAACTTTTTAGAATATCTAGAATTAAATAGAATAGATTTGTTCCCTCTACTTTCTGATCAAAAAACAAAAAAATTACCTCTTTTCTATTAATTGCTTCTTATAAGTTATTTTGCACTTAAATAATAATGCTGATTAGTTTTTTTAGCCTAAAATATTTATGATATTTATCAATTTTGATTACATTTCTAAAGTTAGTAATAAAAAATTATTAGCATAATACAATAACAAATTAATTTGACTGTGGATAAAAATTTTTTAGCTTATCTTGTCTTTAGTTTTCATAGTAATATAAAAGAATTCTTTTATTTTATTTTAGATTTATAAAAAATAAACAAACAAACAAACAAACTTTTGGCTTGGCTTAAATATTTTATATACAAAAATTTTAACAATCTATATGAATTCCGCTTATGAAATTCGAATACATATTTAACCAAGTATTTATGATAATCAAGTTTTGTAACTTTTATTTATTTGCAGGATAAGTATCTCTGGGATAAAAATTGAAATATTCGAACAATACACTTTTAAATTTTAGATTATATTTTACAAATAAACAAAAAAAAATAAAAAAATAAATAAATAATAACTGTTTGCGGAACAATATCAAATTTTCAAAATTCTTCTTAAATTTTAAAATACTATATTTCTAAACTTCTAGAAGAAAAAATTCAAAAATATCCTTTTTAATTTAATAAATTATAAATACTTTTCTTCTATAGTAGTTGCATTTTAATCAAAAAGAAAAAAAGAATGAAAAAGAGAGAGAAAGAATTAAATAAATAAATAAACAAACAAAGGTTCATCTAATAAAATTAATCAAATAAATAAATCTATTTTCAAAAATTTTAAATGAAAATATCCTTCTGATTTATTTGAAATATCTTCTTTTTAAATAAAATCTATCAAGTAAGAAATATAGGTAAAAAGTAATTAAAACTTGGCAAGAATTAGTTGTTTTTTACAAAATTTAACAATTTATATTAGAAATAATTCTAAATAATCTAAATTCCTATTATCAATCAATTTCAAAAAAAAGTTTAATTAAACTAAGATAAATTTATAGTTAAAATTAAGTGAAATTATAAATTTAATTCGAAAATATATAATAATATATTAATTTTCCTTAAAAGAGCAAAAACTTAATTGTATATTTGAATACTATGATATATAAAATAAAGTTTAAAATAAAAAATTATTTTATAAATTTACTCCTCTACATTTTCTCAATTATTTTTAATCACGTTCTTTTGATCTTCGCTTCAATATTAAATTATCTAATTTAGGATAAATTTTTATCTTCTTTATTTCAATTAACTATTAATATGGATGGCGCCTCAAAATATATTAATTTTAAAATAGTTATATTTTTTTCTTTCTAATAATTTTACAAATTTTATTTGGTTTAGTTTTGATTTAAGTTATTTTTGAAAAACTTTAGGGATTATTTATATTTCGAGGTAATCGTATTTAAGCTAGGGATTACGATTTAAAATAAACATTTGTCATTTTTATTTTGAAAGGTGATTGCTATAAAAAATTTATCTTCTTTATAATTTAGAAAATTAATTTAAAATCAAATAGAATAAATGAAGAATGCAAAAAATGAGAAATATTTAAAGTTATGAATTAGTAATTAAGATATATATTTATATATATATATTAGATTGATAGAAAACTTTTATTATTAATAATAATATATTTTTTAATATTTCGATATTGAAAACAATAATTTATATTCTAATTCTTTCAATTAGTGTTTATTTTTTTATTTATTTACTTATTTACTTACTGATTTATTCAATGAAACACTCTATATTTCTGGAAATAAATGTCATCCATCTATCCAATTTAATCAGAAAAATATATATGAAATGGTATCTAAGTTATAATTTCTTAATATAATATACTTTTGCAGCTCAATAATTTATTAAATTGTTATTTTATTTATATCTTTGCAGTTAGAGAAAACTGAGTTATTATTTTATATAGTTATACTTAAGCATGAGAAACTGACAATTATTAAATAACTCTTTCTTTACTAAAGATATTTTTAATTACTTTCCAAACAATTTATGTTTGCTTTGCTTAGGTATTTATTTTTTTTATATTAATTTTGCTTGATATTTTGATTTGCATAGTTATTTATTTATTTACTTAATTGATTTCATTTATATTTAAAAATTAATTTTGTAATATCATAGAAATAAATATAATTTTTGTTAAAACTAATTATTAATTATACTTTGGTTAGGAATTAAAAAGTTATTTTAGTACTTACTATTGTCTGTTATAGCCTAGTAGGACAATCATTTAGAACTAACTAATTTGATTGCTTGTTTGGTGTTGATTTCTGGCTAAGACTTTTAATCTTATGTGGTTTATACACTATTTTTAATAGGGGAAGACTCTTTTGATTTATTTAAGTCATACTTGTAATATTTCTAATGGATTATTTCTATTTCTTATTTTTCTTTTAGAATGTATTCTTCTTCTATCATTCTAATTTTATTTTCTTTTTCTAACTCCAATTTCATTTTTTCTTCTTCAGCTAAGTTTTCATGAAAGATAAGTTTAATTTAATTTTAATCAACGTTAAAAATTTTATAAAATTACTTAATTAAGTCTTGCTTTTCTCAAGTTAAAAGGACAATTTTTCATACTCAAATTCAATTTAATCTATTTTAAAGTTCTTTTCTTCGTTAAGACTTCTTTTTTTGTCTGAAATAAAGTTAGCTACTATGCTGTCTATAACACTTATACTTGGTTTTTATCTATGCTGTCTAGATGTTAAGGCCTATTTCGGGGGAGCATTAGAAATATATTATTCTACTCCTGCATCAAAGTTAGAGCATTCTGTTTTGCACACATCTTTTAATTTATAAAATAAATTTAATATTTTTAATAAATGAATATATCTTAATTAATTTTAAAGAATTAATAAAATCATTAATAAAGTTTATATCAGCTTTAATATCCTTTGGCTAACTAAATTTTTAGTAAAAAGCAATAGGATCATGTGTAAAATTGTTCTAGCGTTATGAATTTGAAGATATTTCACTCGTTTTAAGATATGATTAATGGGTAATTTAATTTAACTTGTTGCTATATTGATTTAATTTTTAAAAATGTATTTTACCCAAATTTAAGTGAAATTTCTTAGAAGATCCTGATGGAGGAGTGGAACATTTTTCTTTGATTTTGATTCTTTTATTAAGACGTTTTAAGATGTTGTTCGTTTGTTTCTTAAGATCTTTTTCTATAATTATTTCTTATTCAATAACATTTTCATCTTAAATATCGATTAATTTTGTCACAATAGCATCAGTAATTCCTACTACTGCTTTTTCTTCAAATCCCTTCATTTTCTCCTTCGTTTCTATTTATTTTTTTTCCTTTTCTTTTGCAGTAATTTACATCTGACTTTCTTCGCTTTCAAATCTTATGTTTTGAATTTAGGATGATGATGATTCAGATGCGTAATTTTCGCTTTTTTACTTCTCATAAATCTAAGATTTTATTGGTGATTTAACAATTTATGGATTTTATTATCGAGGAGCAACATATTTATTCATCGCCTTAATTACATTTGCTTGCTAGTGAAGGTGAACAATTTTATTTTTATAGTAAATAAATTTATCATCATTATTTGAGTCATAATATTCAACAGCCAACTAATTAATTAATTAATAAACGGATAAAAATATTTAATTTCATAAAATCATTTTTCAAATTAAATTCAATAAAATAAAGTGATAAATTCTTAATGATTATTTTACTGTGTAAAGCATTATAAGCTCTTTTATTTTATCTAATTCAATTTCAGGAGTCTCCTCAATAATAACTTCTAATTCTCTAATGTTTTTTTCAAAATTTGGTGGTAATGTTCGCGAATCAAGATAATCATCAGATTCTACTGATACTTATGTGGAATTACCACTCTTCAGAGGACTTGTGTTTGTATTTACAATTTATTATATGTTGCTGTGCTTATGTGTGGTAATATTGGTTTGTTCAATTAATTCTTAAGGTATTGGATGAAATCCATTTGCTAGCTTGCTATTATAATTTGAATTATTCTTAGTCTAAATATTGTTTGTTTGGACGCAACTCTACGCGCTGCTTTGTTGTTTCCAAAACATGATTTTGAAATCACAGAAATTCTCTGAATCTGATTTCTTTTAAGTTATTGTTAGTCCGTCTAATAATACTATGCTAACCTTTAAATTCTTCCCTATATACTTTTAATTATTTCTCTGTATTTTGGAGAATATATATTTGGATGTTAGTTAGTTTGTTAAAAATTTAGATGAATGAATTATATTTTGCTTATCAAAAGTACTTACTTTTAATTTGCAAACAAGTACACTTTCTTCCAAATTGAAAATCAAAAATTTTTCAATTGATATTTATATGTATTAAGAAAACTATGCAAGCAACCAAGCTAGCTTTATTAGCTTTGATAGATTAATAAATTGATCACAAATAACCTAAAAATTTGTATTTTTAGAGATTGTTTCATCAAATCATGTTTTTTCTTAACAATTTTTTTTGTAGAAAGAAAATAATAAATTAATATTATTAAAATAAACTTACTATCATAAATAATATTTATTTTAATAAATGCCATTACATTTTTAACACAAATATTAAGAATTATATACTGATTCTGTCGAAATTAATGATTATTCACTACAATTTTAACAATTAACATTTCGAAAGATAATTGAAATTCAAAAAATAATCAAATTTATTACCGTTTTTATGCATTTATTATGATTCAAAAACATTTATTGCAAAATTACTCTATCTTTAACAATAATAAAATTTTTTGAGTGATTAATAATTATAATTATATTAAATCAATAGTTCAAATTTATTAAAAATATTTGATTTATCAACTTTTGAAGTAAATAAAATAAATAAATTTTGTTCTTTAAAAATATCAAAATTAAATATGTTTGTTTTAATTTTACTTTAAAAATATGTACCATTTTAACTTTACAATCTATATTTTTCTCCTTTTTTAAGATAAAGCTAGCAATAAAATTGAGAATAAAATAATGGCAATTATATTTTTTAAAATAATAATTGTAAAATTTTTAACAATTTTAAAGGTTGCATATTAAAAAATAAAACTCTAAATATGGTTGGTTGGTGAGGTTTTCTTAAATTATGAAATATCAGAATAATAATAAATGAAAGATATTACTCAGATAAATACTGAAATTACAAATGAAGTATTTTAATGGCAAACTTATTAAGCAAGTAATCAAACAAAAAGCATTATTTAAGCTTTAATATAAACATTAAAATGAGTTACATACAATTATATCTATAATAAAAAATATTTTTCTTGTAAATTAACTCTTATTTTTATTAATACATTTATGAAATTTTTATTTTTTAAATCAGTAAACCATTTGCATGACTTCAACCTTCTCCCTACCGTCTTAGCCAATATTTAAACCAGACATGTAAGCTATGAGATTTTGAAGAGCTTTTTATTAGTAGTTTGGATTAGTTTCATTGAAATCAACATTTGTCAAAGTTAAAAACAAATCCAAAGCAGTTAATAACTCTTCTAATTCTTATTATCTGCTTACTTTTTCCTTATCAAGAGTGAATTTAATTGCATCTTTTTTCATATCATAATCACTCATTATTAATTCTAAGAATTATTTATCTTTTTCGTTTGCATTTAAGTGATTAGCTGCATACAAAAAGTTAGCTAAATATTTTGCTACTGTGTCAACAAACTTAATCTATTTGAAAAATATAAAAATTTTTTTAAAAATATATTGAAAACTATTTTCCATCATATATTTGTAATAGCTTTGATAAATTATTATCAAACATTTAAGTTGATTATTGATAAAGACAAGAAAGCAATCAATTTTGGAAAATATTTAAAATATAAAACAAAATTTTACATTTTCTGAAAAGAGACGGGCAACATATTCCTTATTCTCATATTCAAACATGCAATTTCTAAATGCTTTCAAAATAGCTACACGCTTAGCTCTGCTTTAGTGGAAAATATACTTAAGACATTTTTCAGGAAGTTCGTTTTCAGGACGAATCAAGTATTTACGAGCTTCAATATCACTTGAAATGTTAGTCAAAATATTTGAGAAGAAACGAGTTAAATCTTAAATGGTATCTTTTAAGTAAAGTTCATAGAGAATACGGAAGTTATATCCTTCTTTATTTTCATCACCTAATTATAAAAGACCAGCTTTACCTTCTTCGTGTTAAGTCATATTAGAAAGAAGGAGGAAGCACAAATCGCAGACAAGCTTTTAAGGTTGAGTATAGCTAAGATGTTCATCTCCATTAAGAGCCTTTTTACCTGTGTTATCCTTTAAAACTTCAGTGATTGTATTCTTAATCAATTCAACTATTCTATCAGTACTCTTCAAGTCAATCAAATGCTTTTAGAAAACACCATCTTGAGTAAAATTAATCAAATTACTCAAACAAATAGTAGTGAAGCGCTAAATTTATTAAAATTAATATGAATAAGAATTTGAAGAGAATAAAATCTTTTAATAAATTAACTAATTAATATAATTTTACCTAATCACCTATGTTCTTCACAAGAGATGAAATAACATCTGATTCTTAAAACAAAATACGGTTGTCGGGATTGCTAGAGCACTAAATAAGAATGGCAAGTGCTTGCTTTTTAACTTCAGGTTTAGGATCCTTGATTAATTATGCCAAATCGTCAGCTATTTCTTAAGTTAATTCGAATTAGTTTTGAGTGGTATCTTCTGTTTCAGCCATTTTTGTATATTTAATATTATTTGCTAACTAACTAACTACTTCTATTATTGTTGCTTTTTTAGTATTTAATTTAATGATTTTTATAAATTTGAGATTATAATTTTGATATCTTAGTTGGGATTGGTTATTTTTATATTAATTTTTGATATCACTTTCTTTCTTATTCTACATAAATCTTAAATAAGTTTATATGCTCTCTATAATTCATTTCTTATAATTACTATTTCGATTATAAGCTTAAGTTTAGCATGAAATGTATCTTTTTAAACCAAAAATGGATAAGTAATCATAAAAATATCAGTTTTTAAATTAAAATTATTTTCAATAGAGGACTTATTTTATTTAGATTTTGATATTTACTTCAAGCATAAGTTGAAGAAAAAGCAAAAATTTTAATTTTAGCAGAAAAAATAATTAAGTAAAATAGACTTAAAAGGCACCTAATAATGGATATTTTGTTTTATAAATATTATTTTTAACGATAAATTGAAAGAAATTAATATTGATAAATTCTGTTTTTATTCATAAATTTTATAATAAATTCTTCCTGTTTTTTCGGGAGCTTTGAAAAAAAAAATAATAATAATTCTTTTTGCTTTAGTATATATTGGCTTTGATCAGTTTTTAATGTTCTTTGTTTCTATCAATTAGCTTTGTTTTTCGATTTTTCTAAGCTTTTATAGATGTTTTCTAAATATCTTTAAGAATTTTCGAAAGAGAATCAATAACTTTATCCAAATTTAGAAATTAGAAATTACTTCTAAATTTTTTAAATTTTGGCAGCATTCACAAATATTTTATAACTGTGTTTTGAATATAAAAGCAAATGGAAGTATTTTTCTAAGGATTGGGATTATGCTCTTTTGTATTAGCAGGCTCAATAGCAAAAAAAAAATTTTATCCATATTTAGTTAAAAAAAATATCTCCTTGCTTAAAAGCAAATACAATCCAAACGGAAATAGCTATGCCTTGATAACAGGATCTTCTGATGGAATAGGGAAGGAGTTTGCGAAATTGCTAGCATAAGAAAATATGAATATAATTTTACATGGTAGAAATATTTAAAAGCTAAATACCGTTAAAGAAGAAATCATTAAAGATCCTAAAACTAGCAAAGATATCAAAGTAGAAATATTCGAATAAAATTTAAATGAATTAGGGTTAAATATCGAATAATAAGCACAAACAGTATTAAATTAATACAAAATCTAATTATTGATAAACAATGCAGGCATAACATCTGTAGAATCATTAAAAAATTCTAGTGTTGATGATATGTAGCAATTAATTAACACAAACATAACATCTCCGATTGTCTTTTCAAAATATGTAATCTAAAATCATTTCAAAAACGAATAAGAAGAATATGGAATCATTAATATAAGCAGCTTAACTGCTGATTTTCCTATAGGATTTATAAGCATTTATTCTGCTTCTAAATCTTTCCTAAATGCTTTTTCACAATCTTTATAATAAGAAACAAGTTCAAATATTTAAATAACTTCAATCAAGCCTTATTATATCTCTACTAAAATGACCAGATTTTAAAAATTAAGCTTTGACACAATATCTACTTAAGAATTTGTTAATGGAGCAATAAATTCATTTTTACACAAGCAAAATTGTTCATGCGGAAATTGGAAGCATGAATTAATATATTTATACTACAGCTTAATACCATCATGGATATTGTAAAAAAAGTTAACTTAAAAAATGGAAATAGTTGCAAATTAGCTCTATAAAATAAAATAAATTGGATTAAAAAGACAAAAATTAAATAGTTAAAAATAAAGTAATTCATTGGAGGATAAAACTAAATGAAATTCATAAAATTTATTAATTAATTTAATTTAAATTGTTATAATAAAAAAATATTTATTATTTTTATGTACATTAATAAAATAAATAACTATTTTAAATTTACAAAAACATTAATTATGATTTTATTTAGTCTTTATTTGTTTATTTTTAACTTTTTAAAATTTATTTTTTCTTGAGAAAAATTTTATTCAACTTTAATATTTTAAATTTATAAAATTTTATTTTTGGTTTTTTATTTAAAAAAATAAAAATTCAGATCTTTTTATTTTCATTTTTATCATCAGCTAATTGTTTTAGCATTTAAAACTTTTGAATATATCTGTGATTTGTCAATTATAAATTGGCTTATTTAGGAAGGCTCTTAAAGCTAGACTCGCTTATACTTCTTGTTTTTTTATTGATAATTATCTTAGGAGGAGGTGGTGGACATATTACTGGCAATTTAATATAACTCACATCTTTTTAAAGATTTTTTTCTTAGCTTGTATCGGTTTAAAGCTAAGCAACACTAGAATAAGAGTATCCTGTAGATTCGTATCTAGACTGATTATTATAGTTGATATTTTATTTTAATTGATCGATTTTCTTAAAAGAAAGATTGTAATAACTTATTTATTAGTCAGATTATAATCTTTTTAGATTTTTTAAAGATTAGGATTTTTTTAAATCTGTAAAATTGCATTAATCTTTTAATGGTTTTATTTTATTTTAATTTTTATCGTTTTCACTTTCATTTTATCCCATTTCTTCGAAAAGGCTAGAAAAATTTCTTGATTTTTGTTTTGGATGCTATTTATTTATATTATCAAAAGGCTCATATTGCTCATCTGGAATTTCTGTTAAAAATTGAGCTATTTCTACAACTGATTAGTCTTGGTTTTCTTCAGTTGGAAGAGTTTTTATTTTAGGGTTTATCATGCTTTCTTCTTATTTTTGTCCTTCAAGTGATGTTTATAGAGCTCTAAAGTCTTTATACAATGGATTTTATTAATGAGAATAGTTTTAGTTTTAAAGAATTAGTTGTAATTTATTTGGGATAGACTTATTTTAGATAGAAGTCAAACTATTTTCTTAATTATCAGCATTATTTTCGCAAAATGACTTTTTGTACTTAATTTTATAAGTAGATTTTAACCTAAATAAATAAGGATCATAAGGCATTTTATAAGTTCCTTCAGGATACATGTGCTCAGATAAGTTAGGAAATCTAAAATTCTCTTTTGGGATTTGTTTGAATATTCTTTAGTTTTCTTCACTAGTTTTAGCAATTATCTCAGTTTATCTAGTGATATCATTTGCAATTATTAAATCTTATTATCTTTTCAAATATTTTTCTGAGAAATGTTTATTTAACTTCAAGTGTGATTGTAATTCAGCTGCATAAGTTTATTGCTCACTAAAAAATTTATCTACCACTTCTTATGTATGCTAATCATTTATATATATTAATTTATTATTGCTAGCTTGTTCAATCAGTTCTTCTCTAGCATGCCTGCTCTATAATTTAGCTTAGGCAGTAAGTTTTAAATTTTGTAAATATCCCTCAACGTGCACTTCTTCTAATAAAAGCTTTTATTTTTAAATATTAAATTAATAATCAATCATATATAAAATTAATTAATTTTATTTTATACTTTGTAATCAATTTTAAGAAGAGTTACTGTTTAAGATAAAACAACAGCAGAATTAGTTCTTTTGCATCCATTGAAAAATATATCTTCTTCACCAAACAGTTGACCTTTTGAATAGATTGTCAATTTAATGACATGCTATATTTTTAAAGTATTTCCTACTGAATTGCTAGGTACTTATTACTTTTAGGCTAATTGATCAAATTCTTCAAGCTCTTACCCTTCACTTTCTTTCTTTTCTTTTAAGTAACGAAAGTTTTTTTTTTTGGAAATCTTTTCGTCAATTAAAATCTGTGAAGGACTCTTTTTTTAAATGATTTCTACTTCGCCATCGAGTACCAAATACAAAAAGGGATCTAATTGATTTTAATTATAAATTGTTTGTTTTCTTGAATAAGACAATTATTCACTGTTTCATAAAATTCTTTGAATTGTTAACAAATGGATTCCTTTGAAAAAAGGTTTTATTTCTACTATTTTTTAGTCTATTTTTTCTTAAATTTAATTTTTGGCTTCTTTCACAGCTTCTAAAGATAAGCAGAGCACAGTGGCTTTTGATTCTTAAAGCTAGCTTCCTCCTATTGCAAATGCTTTTTTCTTTTAAGTGTAGCCAAAATCAGTTCCTTTAATTTGTAATGTTTCAATTTTTTTATAGAGTAAAACTCCATTTGCATCAAAGACGCGGATTTTTCCTTTTTCTTCATCAATTTTTTTGAATGCATCCAATTAAATTTCTTCATTTTTCTTTCTTTAGAAAAGCATTTCTTATTCTGAAATAACATTTTCCTTGTCATAGTATCTTTTCTTTTTTTTGCTTTATTCTTTTTAGAGTTCTTCTTATTTTATCAATTCAGCTTCATTTTAAACTTCTTGAAAAGACTTAGGATAAAATATATCTATATACCCATTTAATAAAATATAAAATTGCTATTATTCTTCATTAATCTTATAAATAACTTCTCCTTTGCTGACATATTTAATCTTCATAGAAGGTATTAGCATCATTATAAAATCTTCATAAAACTAATTTGGAATCTCCATTCCTTAAATTATTTAAGTATAGCCTAAAAAATTAATCACTTTCTACAAATCCTCTTGACTTTTTTATTCAGATTTTAGAATTATATCTATGAAATCCTTCATTTAAAAAAACTTCTTAATCAATAAAAATAAAATTTAGTTTTAAATTACTTAAAAAATATGAGGAAGATCTTTGGGTGCAGGATAGAATTTTTCTTTCCTTCCCTTTATCTTTGAGAGTTTGTACTCTTAATATTTTAAATAATCTTCATTGTTGACGTTCTCATCTCTGATTTAGTTAATTTAGTTACTGTCTTTGTTCATTTTTATAATAAATTGTTTTGTTGTTTAATTAATTAAGTAATCAATCAATAAATATATAGATTGAATAATTGGTTTATAAAAAATTTTAATAGCTGTCCTTCCAAAATCAGTAAGTTAATTATTTTGTAAATATTTCCTTATTGTAAGTTAAAAACAATTAATTTCAAGTTTCGTAATAACCAATCTGTAAAGATATCAAAATAATTTAAATCAGTAGTTAAAATTATTTTAATAAACTCTTATTAGTAAGTATTTCCAAAATAATTCATAAAAGTATAAATGAAAAGAAGAAAAAAAAAATTTGAGTATTCAGTAATTTAGTTTGTTTAAAAGAAATTTATCAAAGCAAAGTTCCAAAAAATACCACAAATTTTAGATATTAATAAAGGAGAGAATTTTAAAATATCCACAAAAAATAATACTTACCAGCTTATCAAAAAAAAAAAAAAATCTGCCAGAAATAATCTTTATCCACTTAATTATATTTTTTAAAATTACATTTCAAAATTTCAAAATAAAATATTTAATTCAAAGTTAAAAATATTTTTACTAAAATTCATTTGAATAATTTAAAAAAAATATTTTGAATGAAATTAATAAAATATTTTAAAAATGTAATAAATGAAAGAATAAAAATATAAAATTATATTATTTATTTTTTATTTATTGTAAATTAAAAAAAATAGATTGAGGATAATGTAAAATAAATAAATGACTTGTGGATATTTTATTGAAATTAAAGAGAAAATAAAACAATTTTTTTAAGTAAGAATTTATTAATTTTTTCTTCTGAATTTTTATTTTGAAAAAACGATATGAATGAACAAATTGATTGCTATTTGATATATTCATATTTAACCATTTTAACAATTATTCTAAAAATATTGAATTTTATTTACGAATTAATAAGTAAATAAATTTGGTTAAGGAAATTAATTAATTTACTATAAAAACATCAAAATTTATATTAAAAGTTGCTTTTTGCAAAATATTTATTTAGAATTAAACATAATTTATTTTGTATTATGCAATTAATGAAAAAGGTTTATAATTAAATAAATAAAATGTTAAATATAAATTATTTATTAATTTTTTTTAAAAAATTATTTTTAAAAATTGTTTATTAATTTAAAAAATGCTTAGATCTAAATAAAATATCCCATCCCATATTCATTTTTTATCAATTAGATTTTTTACAAATTTAAAAAATGAAAGCAAACAAATAATCATCTTTCACACCTTTGTGAAGGGTTTATTAATTTTTGATAAAAAAAATACATATTTGTTTAATAATATTTGTATCAATGGATAATAGCTTCTGAGAAAATAATTTTAAATCAAATGAATGAAAAAAATAAAAAATGTCAAATAATAAAATAATGGCAAATGAATGAAATATAATAATTCTTAGCAAAATAGAATGAAAAAAGATGAGAGAACTACTAAGTTTAATAAAGACTAAATTAATTAAGGCGAATTAATTTTTAGATAGGAAGGAAAGGATAATAAAAAGTAAAAGGGAAAAATAAAGGACTAATTCAAAGATACTGTTGGAAGGTCGAAAGCATAATTAAAAGAAAAAAGGATAAAAATTAATCTAAAATCAAATATAAAAAACAAAGACATAAGTAAAGAAATGAGCCAATAAAAGCCTCAATTAGTCCAAACTTTCGGCAGAAAGAAAAACGCCGTCGCTGTTGCCTCCGTCAGACCTGGTAAGGGTCTCCTCAAGGTCAACGGTTCCCCCATTGATATGATCAACCCCTAGATCCTCCAAGCTAAGATCTACGAACCCATCCTCTTACTCGGTCAATAGAAGTTCGCTAACCTCGACATTAGAATCAGAGTTAGAGGTTCTGGTTACACCTCTTAAGTCTATGCCATCAGACAAGCTCTCTCCAAGGGTATCGTTGCTTACCACGCTAAGTAATTAAACAATATCATTTATTTAGAAATGTTTTGAAATGCAAACGAGATTGATTGATTGATTAATTGACTGATCATTTACCATTCAATAAAAAATCAATACAATTTTGCTCCTTTTAGCATTCTTATTAAATCCAGATTAAAATAAAAAAGATAAAAGTCATTTTTATTACCATCAATCATAATTTTATTATTTAACTCAATATTTTTACGGGAATGCGCATGTAGTTTGCTACAAATTACTCAAAAAGGAAAATAATAACTAACTATTAGCTTGAATTTAGATTAGTAGATATCTATAAATATAAAGCAAATCTAGCAGTTTAGTTGAATTTAATCAGCTAATAAGTTAACAAATCTAGGCAAAGAACTTTCAAATATTAATATACTAATATAGAGGTTCTAAAAATAAAGGAATTACAAATGTATTTCTTAGATACTCTTGCAAAATCTAATAGCAAGGTTAGGAAACGAAGAATAACAAAAAATAAAGCATAGTAAACTCCTAAAATAATTGATATTCTGGATAAGATTCATAAATATTTATCAATAGCGATAAAAGAGCAAATGATAGAGCAATTATTCAGAAATTTATAAAAAAACAAAAGGAAAATTAAAATTATTAAACTAATAAGGAGTTAGTATGATGTAAATAAGTCTAAAAAGGATAGCTTGAGTAATTTAAAAAGCTGCTACTTAAAATTTTTTAGGATCCAAAGAAAAGTTTATGTTTGAGTTAAATAAATAAATAGCTAATTACAAGGCAAATTACTCAATAAATGTATCATAAATCTTAAATAAGATTATTGTTCAAAGCAAATAACGAGTATTTTAAAATTATGAAAGATTGATTGGTTTTAAATCTGCAATAAAAGCTAAGGAGAAGTTTAGCAAATTTTATAAAAAAAAAACATATTTTAAATTTTCAAAACTCATTATTTATTTTTTGATTTACTAACTAACTTACTAATTAAAAAATTTAGATACGTCGATGAAAACTCCAAGAGAGAAATCAAGGAATAATTGATGCAATACGACAGATCCCTCTTGGTTGCCGATCCCAGAAGAATGGAACCCAAGAAGTGTGGTGGTAGAGGTGCCAGATCTAAAATGCAAAAGGCTTACAGATGAAAACCTTTCTATTATAATAAATACTTTTTAATTGTTATAAATTGCGATAATATAAAAAATAACTATTAATACTTATAATAATACAAGGTTTTTATGTTTTCTCAGTCTAAATATGTTATTTAAACTAAATTTGAAGATATCATATTACTAAACACTCTCCTCACTATTTATTTAAATTCAAACTCATTCATTCATTAATACTTGTTTGTTAAATTACTTTCATTTTTTTCAAATCAATTGTTTTTGCAGCATTTTATTAATAATTAAATAAATAATTTTGTTTCTAAAAGCATATTTTGAGTATAAAAATACAACTCAAGTTGCCATATAAAAATAAATGCAGACAGACAGACTCTCTGATATTCATTTAGAATATTAAAAACTAAAAGAAGAAAATATTTTTGAAGGAATACATTGATTTTTCAATAAAATCATCTCTGATTTTTATAATTATGAATTCAAATCTCAAATAATATGAATACACATTTCTAAAATAAAATAAATGTTTCTAACAACACACACTTGTTTCCTTTTAAAAATTATAATTATATATAAAAATCTATTTTATTTAAGCATATCTTATTTTAAAAGTAAATTAGATTTTCTAAGAAGTTAATCATTTAAGATATACTAATATTTGATTGATATTTTTATTGTTTTAAATAAATTTCTAAAAATAATTAATAAAAATTTTAAATAAACTGCCATGAATAATGCTAGACAAAATTTGCAAAACACACAGAAAGTATGCTATTTGCAATTTTAGGATTAATTTAATCATATAAATAATAGTTGTTAAAAATATATAAATATAATAAAAATTGGTTGAATATAAACATAGTGATTAAATACTGAATTCGATTATATTTTTGTAAATATTAAGAAGTGATTGACTTATTTAAATCTGTATCTTTCATCGATTTAATCTATAATAACTGATTTATAGGTTTGTTTAATTGTATGTATGTAAGAATGCAATTTTGAATCTAACTATCTTTCTTTTAAAATTAAAACCTTATCACTCTAACTTAGTAATAATTAATGTTTCTATAGCAAGCACTATTGAGCAAATTTATTTATACTTTTTTTAGCAATGTTTTCTAGGTTGTGTTAGTTAAATTCAATTTAATGATATGCATTTTAATTAATAGAGGAAGGTATCTTTAGCATTAATTGATTTTTTAGAATTTTTTGAGTTGAGAGACTATCAATTAATTATAGAAATAAATAGCTTGTTTGCTGCTCAAAATAGATGAATTTTTGATGATAAGAGATTTATTATTTTGAAATAGGTTTCCAATATTTTACAATATTGATCGAATGATAATAATATAAATATAAAGACTAGTCGAAAAGCAATTCAGTACTGATGATTCAGCCAAATTTTATACAAATACATATTTTTAACAATTTATCTGATTGTTATCGTTCGTTTGTTTTGAAAGCGATTGAATAAAATTTTATTTTCATAAGTTAGCAGCTGTTTTATATCGAGCTAATAACTAAATAAGTAAATATGTTAAATATTTATTTATTTTTTTATTTCAAGTTAGTTTGTTGTCTGTCATAAATCAATCAAGCACTTATTAATGAGGTGTAATAAAAATTTTATATGTGTTAGTTGCATCATTCACAATAAGAATGAGCCTTAATAAAAGAGAGTAGATCTTTAAACTCAGTTAATTAATAAAACCTCCAATTCTTAATTTTCTAATGTGGCTTCATTATAATTTTGAACAAAGGTTTGTGCATCACTAAGCTAGTAATATGATATTTCAGCTTCTATTAATTTCTATTACAAAAAAAACATTTAAGTAATTAATTTAATTTCAAAATCTAAAATATTAATAAGAGGCCAATTATTAGTAGGCAATAAATATAATAAGTAAATAAATACAGAGTCAGAGTTGCAATTAAATGTGGTAGTAATTGAGTCAACTTTAACTTATTCTTTATCAGAGGCAAGTTCCTATTGGGATAAAAATTATTGTTTTATAATTTTATTGATAAATTAAATGGTTAGTTACATATATTTCATGAGAATTAATGCTAGAAGGAAGATTCTTAACCTTTACTGTGTAGAGTTTCTTAGGAATGGTCACTTTCTTACCCTTTTATTATAAGAAAATATACAGTAAATAATATGTTTTAGACAAAAATGTAAAATTAGATATAAATCAGTATATTTTACGGCATTTATTGTTAACTGTCTTGGAGGATTTTGTGAATTAGAACCTTGGCCGAAATGAGAATCATTATGATTGTCATCTTTTCTCTTTAATATTGATTAGAAAAAAATTAAATTGATTAGACACAATTGAGTTTAAGTTTAATGCAAAAGATAAAATGATATCAGAAACAAATTTTGGAATTAAGAAATGATTTATATGAGAAATTTTCTAATTCTATTACTCCCTTTGATATAGGCTTTGAAATCTTCTTAACTTAATGATATCTATCTTTATTGTCGTTTTTTTCATATCTGTCTTCCTTATTGTTGCGGTAGTTATTATTTCTATTATTGTTGTTGTTATTATTATTATGAATATTGGGCTTATTGTTTGTTCTTTTAATGAATTTATTGCCATTATTGTTGTTGTTATTGTTGTTATTGTTGTTATTATTGTTATAGTTTCTCTTAAAGCCCTTGTTATTATTATTTTTATCGCTCTTTTTTTAGTTTTTCTTGTCTTCTTCAATAAATTCGTCTAAAGCTACTTCTTCACTCATCTCTTTACTTTTTATACTATTTTCCTAATTTACTTTCTTTTTTTCTTTTGATTTTAAACAATTTATTTGTATATTTATTTATGATTTGTATTCATTCACTTAATAATCTTCTTATTTTATTTATCAATTAATTATTTAATTAATTAATCAAATAATTGATAACTAATTTATTAATCTTATCTCTCATTTTTCTCTTCTACTCGCTTCTTAAATTTTCATTGAATCAATCATTCATTATTCAATAAATCTTATTATATATCTATCAAATAAAGCTTAATGTATTTAAATCAATTAAATATTTATAAATTTAAGTTATCACAAACACAATCTATTAGTAATTACCAAAATGACACATAGGGACATTCCTACCTATTTACTCTCTAATTCAACAAAAAAATATTTTATATATTTTCCTTCTGATAAATATTATTTTAAAGCATTCTTATCATTTTCTGAAATCTTGAAAGGTAAAATAAAAAATATTTTTTATGTATTTAATAAACTGATTTAAATAAAAATGAATTTAAATATTTATTTTTTATGCAAAAAGCCAAAAGAAACTACTTCCTATATAGTTACAAATAAAAACAAATAGTTCAAAAATTCACTTTTATCTTAATAATTATTAAGCAATTTAGTGTTATTAATTTTTTTTAACTTTTAAATTCTATTTTTTTAAAAATTATTGTGTTATTTTTTTAATTATGATAATTAATAATTAAAAATCTAATTAAAAAGAATTTAAAATTTAATTTATTGCTTTGCTATGTAATATTTATACTGAAAAGATATTATTAATACTTTAGATTATTCTTTTTGAGGAATTAACCTTTAAATTAATAAAAAACTAACCTTAAAATTTTCAATCAATCTAAATAATTATAGTTGTTATTAGAATGAACTTTTTATATTAAAATCTATTTTTTTATTTTTATGAAATAAATTAATAATTTTTATTTGTAGAGAATAGCTTGAATTATTTTTAATTTTATATAAAAAAGACGTAGACTATTTAATTATTTTATATTAGTTTATACATTAGATTTTACTTGATTCATAAAAATTATTCCAGATTTTTTATTTTATTGTGAAGGCATAGATTATTAAATTATTTTATTTTCGCATTTATATATTGAGACTTATTATAAATCTTGTAGAAGGTTTGTAAGGTCATTACGAAGGGATTTAATTATTTCAATTTTACAATAATTTTTATTAGATGTTTATTTATGATTTGCAATTTATTACAAAATTAAAAGCATTAAAAAATTTTTTAAATTACTTAAACCATTTCATTTTTCTAAAAATAGCTTGATTTTTTTCATAATAATAGAATTGTAATATTGATTTTTTATGATTGTTTTAAGACTAAAGGAGGAAGTATTTTGATAAATTCTAGTGTAACATTAAAATTACTTTGATTGTAGTGCCATAAACTAGCTCTTGAACAAATATTTGGTTAATAAATAAATATTTCGTATCAAAGCTTTGTTAGATTTATATCACTAAAGTTTTTTTTAATCATTTTCAACTTTAAAGTGCATAAGCAAAAAAAAACAAATATATTTAAGTAAAATTAAAAAGGAATTTTAAAAGTTGTAATTTTAATAATATATAAAAATACAAAAACCTAAGGATGTTTGATAAAGGTGTCCATTTTAGGGATAACGTTGATGTAATAACTATTCATCCTTATTAAAATTTTATGAATTTTAAATATTCAAAAGTCTTAAAGTCGAAGCAGGACTCAAAAATCAATTCTGAGTAGCTATTCAATTAAGTAGAATTATAGAGAGTCTATTAATGAAACTTTAAACAGCGATGTAAGTGCAATAGCTAAATTAAGTGACTTTAAAGATTTACTAATTGGTAAAACATTTTTAGCATTAAAAAGGAGTTTTTAGATAGATAAAACATTTTAATTATGTCTTTTTTTATCATAATATAGAGGCTAGAACTATTAATACAACAGAAAAAGGATTAAAAAGTATGAAAACTTACAACAAATTAACGCTGCTTAGATAATTCTCATTTGTAATATTAATCCTATTAGCTTTTTTCGAAAGGCCAATTTGGTGCACTAATCAATATAATGTAATTAATTAGCTCAAAGTCTTACTCACTTACTTAATCTTATTTTTAATGAGGATTTTAGATAAATCAACAAACTCAAAATGTGATTTGTAATTTATTGACTAATGACTTATTTATTAACTAATATATAGGATTATTGTAGAGTATCGCCAGAGGGAGTAAGGATACCTACTTCAAACATTCCCTACATTTAAATACAATATTATTATCCGATTGAAATACTTGTTGTGTGTTTTTTGACTTACAATAGGTATTTAAACTAGTCCTTTCTTAAAGTTAATAAATAAAAGTATTGGTTTTATACAATTATTACGATTACATTAGTTCTTATTACTGAAGATATTGTTAAAGCAACGTATGATGCCTATCCTATAAACATTTCTTTATTTCTAAAGCCTCTTTACTTCATTTCATTTAAGTAAATTGAAAAAAAAATTTTGATACAATAAATTTAACTCAAAATAAATTTTTTTAATAGCCGCATTTTGAGGAGAACCATAAAGATATATGCAAAGATCATTTAAAAAGTTCTTCCTATATTTATAATAATTGCCTTAAATATAATGTTTTTTGCTCTTTTGGGAAGAATTATTTTTTACAGTAAATCTCTATAAAAAGCTTTTAGAAAATTTATATTTAAATTATACTAAAAATTTAAAAAAAGACTAACAAAATGAAAACTACTTTGATAACTTTTTCGATTCTTGGTTTAACTTTACAGTGTTATAAACTACAAGTAATTTTCCTGATGTTATGATGCAGTATTACAACGAACACAGATGGGCTCCTATCGTATTTGTGACATTTCTATTAATAAATCTTATTTTGTTACTTAACACAGTTTTGGCTGTTTTCTACTCAAATTATAAAAAAGAAATGGAAAATGATACTAAAAAATTCTTCTTCAAAAACAAAGAAAAAATTCATGAATATATTAATAAATACATAATAACAAATCCAAATAAAGCTTTAAGTAAATAAAATTAGCAACTTCTACAAAGTTTCTTGTAAATATTTACAAAAAGATTTCATCTAAATTAAAGCTAAATAAACTTTTTAAATTAATCAGGAAATTTCATGTTAGAAATTAGCACTTCTCAGCAAGTGAATAATTCAAACTTTCATAAGATCTTGAAATTAAGACATATTCTAAGTCATGGATTCTAAGATTATTTAGAAGTTTTCAATGGAATATTTTTACAGGCTGCTTGAGCTTGTTTAACTTTACAGTTTTGTATATCATGGTACCATCTTTGTCATAAAAAACAGATTTGGATTTATGGGCTAATGTGAATTTTTGCATTAATCTAGTTTATTTCTTTGAATAATTGATTCAGCTCATCATATTTTGTAAGTTAAATTCAATTTTAATTAAATAATTAATTAATATTTTATTTTTATTAATTAATTATCAGCAAAAAAATACTTCAAGGTTAAGAAATACTATATTTTTGACTTTTTTGCTTCGATAGTTATAATTACTTTATTATTAATATATTATTTTACTGGAGAAGACAGTGTATTGCCTTACTGCATGTACTTAATATGCACTAGATTAATTAGATTTATTTTTATCTTATTTAAATTCGAGTCTATCAAAACTATTTTTAGAACTGTCTATGAGTTTGTTCCTTTGTTTGTGAACTTATTTGGTGTTCTCATCATCATGTTCTTTTTTTTTTCAGCTTTAGGTATTTAAATTTATTATTTGTGCATATTTTAACTATCATGAAATATAATAAAAATCTAGGACAACATATATTTGGTGGAAAGATGACCTATAGCTATCAAGCATAAATAGATGAAGAATTACATACTGAATATTATGTTTTAAATAATTTCAATGATTAGGCTACTTCTCTAGTATTGCTTTTTGAGTTACTAATTGTCAATAATTGGATGCTTAATGTAAAAAAAATAATTTGAATAAAAAAAGATTATATTTTTTTACCAGTATTTTTGAAAGTTTTTAAATATTGTAAACATTCATGAAGCAAATTCATATTTATTTTATAAAAATTTACAAATCAACCCATAGTTTTTATCAACACCATATGTAAATTTAGAGTTTAAGGTGTATTAAAAAATGAAGATTTATAGTGTATATTAATTTTAAGAGTGATTTAATAGTTGAAATAATAAAATAGGTCTAAGCTCACTAAATTATCATGGGAACAAAAAATGTGAGATATTTCTTCATACTGTGGTATATCGTATCTGTTGTAGTTTGTATGAATATTATGGTTGCATTTATTATAGATCATTTAGTCAATAAGTTTAACGACTCTGATAATTAAAATGATTCTGCTTATAATTATGTGCAATAATAAATACATGAGTAAAAGTAATTGAACAAGCAACATTCTTTAAAGTTCTCTATCTTCTCTTAATAATCAGAAGATATTTTTCAAGAATAGCGAAATACATTACCACACAATAATGATGTAAAAAATAAACAATAATATTTTTAAAATTAATTTCTTTATTTATTTTTTTTGTTAAAAGTTTTCCAAGTAAAGTATTTAAGCCTTAGATGAAGAAGACGAAGAAGAAGAAGGATCATATGAATGATATTTAATTTTTCTCCTTCAAAATCTTATTGAATAATTGTTCTCTTTACTCATCTTGCTTCATTTTAGAAATAAAAAATTTTACTTATAACTATTTCAATTATTAATTATTTTAATATTGTTTTTGATTAAATTAATATAAATCAAAAACTTAAAATATTTTATATTATCTGTTAAATAGCTTTGAGAGATTTTAATTGATATTAATTTAAGATTTTAATATATTTATCAATTTTTTAATTTATTTTTTCTAAAAACAAAAGAAAAATTACTAAATTATCATATTTTTAAATACAAAAAACTATATAAAATTCAATGATTACCCATTTTGTTTGATCGATAAAAATTTAAATTTGAAAAATTAATTATTGGTTGTTGAGTAATGTGAGTGTTAATTTCATAATTAAAAATATTGGCTTAAAATTTATTTATTTTTACTCATTTTCAAATTCAAAAAGCTTTACTTAGATCAAATTCAATTATTAAATAATGTCAAAACGACTATGGAAAAAATAGTGTATCAAAAATGATTTGCTTAGAATGCTGCATCATAAATAAACATAAGCATTATTTTAAGAGATAACCAAAAAAGAAAATTTTTTATATATAATTTCTTAAAAAAGTAAGGAATTTAAAAAAATATATTCTTAAAACTACTTAGCTCATACCATTCATACCATTCGAGCTTAACTTAAAAACTCAACATTATTTATAAAAATAACTTTATAAAATAGAACTTAACTCAAGGATTCAAAAAAGTTATAATGCTTATTAAGTAGTATAGGATTTATTTTTATAAATACCAATATTGGTTTAATATGAATGAATATTTTTAGATATTTTTTAATTTCCAAATAATATTTAATAGCATTTTAGCATATCCTCTAATTCTAAAAACTTATCAATAGAATTTTTTGAAATATTTAAAATCTTAAGTAGATATAATTTAAGATACAAAAATTTAAAATATAAATTTACTCAATAATCTTTAATTAATATTTTTAGTGATAAATATAAATAAACTCAATTAATTCTATTTTTGTTGATCAATTTAAGGATTTCAGAGAACTGAGACTTCTCATTAGACAATAAAACACTAGGGTGATCGTATTCCACTACTTTTCCGTGATCCAAAACAAGTATTTTATCACTTTCAAGGATGGTTTTTATTTTGTGAGCTATGGTAATCATCAAACAATCTTTGAAGTTTTCATTTAAGATTTTAGTAATATGTTATTCCATCTTCTCATCTATATGACTTGTTGGCTCATCTACAATAATAATTTTATTTTTTCTAAGGAGGATTCTTGCAATACTGACTAACTACTTTTCACCTTCAGAAAGATTTTCACCCAGTTATTTAATCTAAGTATTAAAATAAAATATTTAGTTTTATTTTTCATTAAATTTAAATTAGGAATATAAAATAAAATAAAAAATAAGTGAGTTCATTACTTCAGTTTAAAGTCCTTTTTTAAAAGATGAAAACACTGAAAATCCACATTATTAATAGACTTGCAAGATTTACTATTCAGAATATTTCTCGTAGGGATCTAAATTTTGTTTGAGAGTACCTTCAAAAATATATGACTCTTAACTAACCACACTTATGATGCCTCTCAGTTCTTATAAGGAATATTACTTGATACTTTTTCCATTTATAATCAAGTCTCCTGAAACTAAATCTATTATTCTAGTAAGAGCTAGAGTAATTGAAGTTTTACCTGCACCAGTACGTCCTACAATTCCAATTTTTTAGTTATTTTCCATTTTAATATTTAAATCTTATAAGCAATTTGGTAGATTTTCTCTATATATAAAGCAAGCATTTTTAAATTATATTTCAACTTTATTTTTCCTTTAGCTTTGATTGTTAATCTCTTATATATCAGAATTTTAGCTCACCATTGAAGATTAAGAATTATTTGAAATTCTTGAGCCATTTAAATTTGCATTATAGTCTTCTTCAACTATTCCTCTTTTATTAATTAAATATTTTTAGATTTAAAATTAATACAATTTAAAAGTTAATTAACAATTTACTCTTTTAATTTTTAGCATCTTTCATAATTAACCATATGAGTTTCAACTTAAATATAAATTGCAGCAAGATTTATAAAAAAGGAGGATGCTGATTAAATATTTTGAGAGATTACTGTAGCATTGTTTACATCAGTACTGGTATCAAAATACTATTAAGTTAAAATACATACATTAATATCATCTTAAAAATATTAAAATAGAAATACCATAATTGTGCCACAAACAATCAAAGGAAAAACAGAAATCAAAGAGCTAATACATTCAAACCAATTTTAAACACCATTAACTGAAATTTGGTTGCTAAGATCTAAATCTACTGCTTACTAGTATTTACTCTTTACACTTTAATAATCAATACAATTTCTCAAGTAAAATATTCCTCTTATGTATTCAGAAAGGCAATTTAAAATAGGGCTTTTAGAAGTTGCCTCTGTTTATCAAATAAAATAAATAAATTAATTAGTTTATTTAATAATTGTAATAAATATTTTTTAAAAACATGAATTAAGATTTAATAAAATTATATTTGAAAATCATTTAAAATTCTATAAATTCAATTGTAATTAGATTAAAAATAAAATTTGTGGATAAATAAAATAAAATAAATACCTATTCTAACAGTTTATCTCTTTGCTTTAATAAAGTAAAAGGCTAGATAGATTCCAATAAATAAATAAACAATTACAATAGGAATGACTTTTATATTTCCAATGTAACAGCAGATTGTAAAACTGACAATAAGTAAAGCGATATTTATCATGATAGTTTTTAAATCTTGTTAAATGAAAATATCTATTTCATATATATCTTTGGATAATCTATTCATCAAACGACCAGTAGTGACTATATTGTAAAATTTAGTAAAAGATGCTTTTAAAAGCTTATAAACAGTTGTGTTGTGTAAAAACTTAGAGAGATAAATCATTGTAAACACAAAAAGTGACTCATATGCGAAAATAATGATCAGTTTTATAAATTCATACATGCAGAAGTACATAATTAATTTGAATTGATCATCTTTTTCTTTCTATGTTGGGTCTTTAATATTTTTCATATTTGATGTTGTAAGAGTAGATAGCATACTAACTCCAACCATAGCAGAAAGCACTTTTTAATAATAAATATAAAATTAATTTTAAACACATTCATTCCATAATTAAGATAAAAGCAATCTTTGTAATTTAAGTAAAAATAATAAAAAAAATAGAAAGAAATATCTAACATATGAAAAAGGCTAAGACAAATTTATATCCTCCAATAGTCCTGATGAATTCAAAGTAGATTTCTTTTTTGATTGTTCCTGATTGAATATCTTCTACTTGAATTAACTTTTTAGTAAGGGGTTCGATGGAACTTTATTGGTTCTATTTAACGTTGCTTTTAAAAATGACCTAAGATTGCTTTCTTTCATTTGCTTCTTCTTATTCTTTTTATTCAGGATTCTCATCTTTGTTTAAGAAATTTTTGATTTGTTAGTATTTTCCTTACTATACTATTTCTCCATCTTTTATGATATATATTATATCGGCATTTTCCATTCCAATAAGGTTGTTCACAAAGATTACTCTTGTTTTAGATTTGAGCATCCCGTTAAAACATTCTCTAGCAATAAATGTAGCAACACCTATGTCTAATGCGCTCAAAGGATCATCTAGAAAATAAATATCAGAATCTTTATAGATAGCTCTAGCTAAGTTAATTCTTTTTCTTTAACCTCCTGATAAAGAGTCACTATTCAAAAATATAAAAATTAATTTTTTTTAAATGAAAATTAATGAAATTAGTTACCCCTTTTCTGCTATGTTAGTTAAATCACCATCTACAAAATAAGTCAGATCTTCTTCTAAGCAACTTGCTTGCAGTGCTTATTTATACCTTAAGTGATTATACTCTTAACCAAATATTATATTTTCTTTAACTGTGCCTTATATGATCCATGGTTCTTGTGTACTTAAGCTTACTTTACCATTTATTTATACCATTTCTTCATAGGCTTTCTATCCTCCTTTAACCTCCATTTCACCAAGGATACCTTGCAAAATTGAACTTTTACCACAGCCCAGACTTTTTAAATTGATAAAAAGTTTACATTTAAAAAAAATAAATTTATTTTTAATTACTCTCCACAAAAAACAACAAATTGGCCATTTTTTATTTTTAAGTTTAAGTTTTTCACGCTAAAGTTTTTAGAAGCTATTGACAAAGATAACCTCTCTTTTTTGTTAAGTTTTACAGATTTTTCCAATTAGGAAACATCGATTGAGCTTTTCCATTCAAAATTAGCATTATCCAAAACAATAGAAAACTATTGAGTTTAATCTTCATTTGAGTTTATATTATAACCATTCTGATATTAAATTTATTTTCTATGGGCATAGACATAGCTTTCAGATAAAAAATGATCTATTCTTTTCATAGAGTTCTTACCTACCACTATACCTTAGATTGCACCAGGCATAGCCATAATGTAGACTAGCACAGTAGTGAATGAAGTAGTTATCAACAAATAGTTTTCATAAGTATTTATGCCAAATAAAAATGAAACGATTAAAATGTATAAAACATTAATTGAATTGGTAACAAGGTTATTCACTGTAGACAAAAAGTTTAGGTTTCTCAAATTTTACACTTCTTTAACTCTTTTATCCTTAATCTATTTTTAAAAAAAGAAACAAATAAATTAGATCGATCATTCAATTAATTAATTTTTTTTTGTGTGGTAAAAAAATTAATAATAAATAAAATTCAATGAAATTACTCTATCATTAAAGTAAGACTCCATACTATTATACTTGATTGTCTTAATGCCTCTGAACATTTCCTCTAAAGATCTCATTCTCAAATCTTTTTTATGCATAAATTTATTGTAGATTGATCCATAGAATCTTCCAAAAACGAAAGCAATAATCACATATACAATAGCACAACCAAGCATGATTAAAATTATATCAATCTTTTAAAGACCTAAAGCTACAAACATAATAGCAATTGCAACAAGAGGAAAAGAGAAAGAAAGGATAATTATATTTTATATGTAATTAACCACCTTAAATATTTTTAAAATTTAATCAATAAATAAATAAAAAATAAAATTATTTTAGAAATTGAAATGGTTGAAAATAAAAAGTAAATAAATAAATACCTGAAGTATATCTACTTAAATAAAATTAAGAATATCACCAATCTTATAATATTAATTTCTAAGAATTGGATAAGTATAACATTTTTCAAATATCTTAATGCTTAGGGCACCTGTCATTCTTATAGTAAGTAAACTCTAAGTAAATAAAAGATGTTTTTAAGCAATTTGTTTATATTTATATCAATAAATTACATAGTAAAAGTTGTAGTTTGTTCTTATTATTGATTGAAAGAGAATACTAACTAGTTATGCAAATATTCCTGGCAACAGAGGTGAAATAGATTAACCTCTATCATCAGAGTTCATAGCAGATAGTAATAACTAGATAGCAAGCAAATTTACCAATAAACCTGCTAGAGTTAAGAAATACAAAAGACAGACAATAGCAATTTCCTCTTTTTTTATAAATATTTTGTAAGTAGAATTAAAGAAATAAAATTACTTTTAAACATTCTGTAGAATGTTGTCCTGATTTTTAAGGTAATTTTTGGATCATTAAGCACTTCTTCAAAGATTTTGTTGAATTTCTCAAAGTTTACTTAGCTTGAATCCTTTTTGCTCAGTTTAAATATGTCATCTTGATTAAGATCTGCTTTTTAAGATTTCTAAATTTAAATGTTAAATTTAAGCATTTTTGATGAAAATAAATATCTACTTTCAGCAGAGGATTGACCCATGAAAATAAAATTCTAGAAATAAAGCTCATTTATTCAAATGGGCTTTCATTTTAATCTTTTTTGTCTTCTTCAACGAGCACTTCGTTCATTTAACTTTCAGAATGGCTCATTTTTATTAATTTATGAATGTATTTAGTAATTAATTAATTGTATATTAAAATTAAATAAAAGTTAGTTTTTATAACTTTGGCTAAGTTTCTGATCAGCAAAATTATTTTTTATAATATTTTAAATACAAAAAATATTTAAGATTTAATTAGGTTTTTAAGTTATTGTAAATTGAAATACTTATGTTTAATTTTTAATTTATTTGTGTCTGTCTATTTATTATAACCTTTTATGAAGTATAATATTTGAGAAATTAATTAAAAAATCTGTAAAACTTTCCATCTAACCAGAAATTAACATATAAATTTATAATTTGATGTATATTCTTAAATGAACTTATTTCAAATATATGTTAAATGCCTTGTAACATTTATTAAATTTCTGATTAATTCTTAATTAAATTTTAATTTTCATTATAACCATATTTTTTTTGATCATAATTAAATTGACCTTATGGCCTTCTGGTATAGACTTTCATATAACTATCTATCTATCTATATATGGTATGCAAAACCAAAAAAAAGCTTTTTATATATAAATAAAATATAATAAACATGGATGAGGTGTATTTTTATTTTTTTAATTAGAAATTCTAGTCTGCCTTTTTATGTATCCAAAAAAGTAATTATTTTTAATATTTTATTTAAATAAACTTTGTAATAATATTATTTATTTTATATTCATATTTTAGTTACATATAATGTCTTTTTATTCTTGATGTTTTTTTTTCTTTTACAATCTTCGAATCTAATTTGATTTTTAATTTAAAAAGTTATTAAAAATGCCATTTTTTCTTGAATAAAAATATTATAAAATAAGATTTTGCTTGCTTATTAAATATCCATTTCATTTGTAATTATTGAATTTTTTTAGTATATTTAATGTTTTTTTTAAAGTTAAATTAGTACATTAAAATATTCTGCTGTTACAGTAGTTATTTAATTTAATAATCAATTATTTACTGCTTACATAATCCTAAAAATAGCTCTTTAAAACCATAAAATTAAATTAATATTTTGATTTTTTTCTATTCAAAACAACCAATTTCAAGATACAATTTATTTATTGTTTTTTTGATAATGATATTCAAAATAGAAAAGCTAAATTAAAAAATTTATTCTTAAAAAGCTACTCACAAAATAATTTTTAAATAAAGAGAAACAAATCTAGGTAAAAATATTATTATGACTGTTAAATTTACTTTAAAAATAATAAATCTTATTCTTTAAATATATTTATATTTTTTGACTAAGTAACTTTTTAAGCTATCAATAAAATTACTTGTTTTAATAAATTTATTATTAATTATATTAAAAATTAAATTTATATTCCCTTAATAGAAATATGTAATTTTTAATTTATCAATCAAATTATCTACTCATAATTAATTTTTATATTGACTGATGATTTTTTATATGATATTAAAATAGATGTTAACCAACCAACCAAAAATTATAAAATACTTAAAAATATTTATTTGCTTATTTAACTAAAATTTCTCAAAAAAATTAATAAATTACGAGTAAAAATGGTTTAATTTATAAAAATAATCAAATAAATATTTTAATTAATAAATTTTTAGAATTTATTTATTAAAATTCTACTAATTGTAAAAATATTTGTAAAAAGTTTGATGATAAATAAAATAATCATAAATATTTTATAATAAACGTTAAGAGTTTAAACTTTTAGAAAAAATGTTTTTGGCTCTATTAATTTTTTGAAAATAATAAAAAAATATCTATTTTCATGTAATTGTTAAAACAGTCTTTTTTTATTGAAATTCTTTAAAAATTCAAAACTTTTTTTTACTTTTGAATTATTAGTATTAGTCAAAAAAATCTTGGCATTTTCTAAATTATATAAATAAAGCATTTAAAACAAAGTCAAGTTACCATTATCTAGAATTTCGAATAGTAAGTATACCTTCACCTTTCATTAAAACACTTTCAGTTTATAAATCATTAAGATCTTAACATTGTGAATCTGTCTATTTTTTCATGAACAATAATAATATTAATATGTATAATATAGATAGAAATCATAAATAAACTTATTTATTAAATATTCTAAATTAAAACTAAGTAAACTAACAATTTATCTTTAATTAAAATAGATCTAATAATTATAATTGAGTTAAATAAAAACAAGAATACCTTTAAAATTCTTATATTAAATCATTAAATAATATTCAAATTGTCAAAGAAGCATAAAAATAAAATTAAGTAATATGACTTTTTTTTTATTTCTAATCAAACAAAAATTAATTTCAAGTTATATTTTTTGTTAAAAAAATATTTTAAGTACTTCACATTCCATTATAATTTTTATTTTGTGCTTCAAAACTTTACATTTTGAGTAAAATTTTACTCTTTGGGTAAATGATGCAAAATATCAATTAATGCAGTCATAAACAACAGAATAGATTAACTTTGATTGCTAATATAATTTATTTTTCTTATTAAATAGTTTTTATTTTATTTTGTTATTTTTAAGTAGCTTTAGTTTGATAAAATAATTATTTATAATTAATTTATTAATAATAATTATATTTTAAATTGTATTTTCTATACAAATTTTGGCATTTCAAAATATTTTATTGAATATACTGTAAAGATCTCATCGTGTAAATAAATATTCACACTCTTAATATCGTAATTTATTAGCCTAACTACCCATGAATTTACTTATTTAGCTTTTCTATATTTTTTGAAGAATTTGCAATGATTTTGATAAAAAAAAAATGAATTCAAAATATATCCCTCATTTATTCTTTATTTAACACATATAAATTCCTTTGAGCTAAGATTTTTGACTAAATTTTTAGGAAAAATATTTATTTGTAGTTAACAAAAAAAATAGGCAATTTAGGAATAGTAAAAATTGAAATTATCTTACACTTTTAAGCATTAAGAATGTTAATTATTAATGTTAAGCAATTAATTTTTCGCTCACAAATTTAAATTTAATAAATGATTTAATTTGAGTAAATTATGATATTTAGGAAAAGTAACAAATAATTTTGATTTTCCTATCAACAATACAAATGGAATTATAACAAAGTTATTTTATTAAATTGTTCTATTTTTTATAAATTTATAAAATAAATATGTAATTTATGAATTGCTTGCTATTTTTAAGTATTTAAAACAATTGATAAAAATAATTTAATTGTATCTTTTGAATAAATTAGATAAAACTTTAAAATATATTTATTTGTTTAGTTGATATTTAATTATGGAATTGAATTCACTTACTATTATTTGAGAATAAATAATTCTTAAAGTAAATTAAATTTGTTTTAATTAAAAAAAACATAAATTAAGTAATCATACAGTATAATCTTTACAATATCTTAAAAGATAGATAGATTTTATGATAGCGCATCATTATATATACTGACGCTATTCTAAATGAAAATTCTATGGGCTTAATTTATTTATTTCGAAAAGATAAAGTAGAATATGAAATAACCAAACTTTAATTATCAAAAATTTGATATAAATAAATGCGTGTGTACGATATTGATTAAAAGTAATAGTAAAAAATATTAAAACAAACAAATAATTGCAAATAAGTAGAGTATTTAACAGATAGCAAAAATCAATTAATAATTAATTAGATAGCGAAAAATGGATAAATAATATCTTCCAACAGCCGAAACAGATCTTAACTACTTTGTATCATATTCAGCAAGAAGTATCTTCTTTTACAATGCAAAGTAAAGCTACTAAAACTCATATTTTAAGTTTTAAGTGAGAATAAATCTCATATTGTCAGTCTTTGTAAATATTTATGTTAACGATAATTATTATTAAAATAGTTACAGCTTAGTTGAGTACGTTATCAAAGAAAACTCTCTCGAATATTATAACAGCGTCACATTTGACTTCTCCAAGTAAGATATAATTTTTATTAGATTAAATTATTAAAATAGGATATCTAAAAGTGCAGTAGATGTTATTTTTTCTCATTTTTATTTACAATATCTTAGGTAAATTAATTCTCAAGAAGAAGTAAAGGATGCTATTAAAGTATTGCAATAAATCATAGAAAAGCTTTTAGCTGCACAATTGGAAAAATTTTCTTTGTGTCTCGCAGGGTAAATATATTTTAAGTTAATAACAAAATGTTTTATTAAGTATTTTTTCTTGTAACTTTAGTTGGGAAAGTGTTTTCACTGATGCTAACTTAGAGAGCCTTTGTAATTCTGTAAAGAAAATGAAGAAGCTTTAACATTTTTGCATATCATATGGATACTTATAGACAATCAAAGTAAATATTTTAAGCACCAATCTCATTAGTAATTTTTGAATAAAAATTAGATAACAGAAAATGCTGAATTAGATAAAAGAAATCGTTTTATTAAGAGTTGGTTTGGTCATCCTAATTCAGTGTTCACAGGAAAGGGATTGAAATACATGAATGAAATGCTGAAAAAAGTTGTTAGTAAAAGAAAAGACTTCAAATCATTTGATTTAGATTTATTTAGGTAATTAATGACGCAAGCAACTTAATTCATTTTAAATTATTATTTTAGTTATAGTGATTTATTTTATTAATATTTAAAATAAATATCTTTACTTTACTTTTATTATCTAGATGCTCCGAGCTTAATCAAAAAACTATTAAATACACAGGAGAAATTCTAAATACTTTGGCAACTTCTAAAAACATGGAAAATCTCTCTGTCACTTTGTGGTATCTTCAAGATGTGGACATAAAGCTTTTAAAAGAACCTTTCTTGAAATTTTTTAAAGCCAACCAAAACTTAAAAGAACTTAATTTCTGCTTTAGCATGTAATGTATTTTTATTTTAGGCAATAATTTTAACAAAAATTAATTCAGTAAATTTGGTTGATTTCTTCAATTTTTTTATTAATAAATTCCATCAAAGTTTATCAGTAAACAAATATTAAACATGTTTTATTTATATTTTTAGTATGAAGTTGACAAGAGAAGGTTTACTCGTTTTGGAAGAAATAATTGAGTGTTTGGTTGAGAGTTGCCAATAACTCCTTTTATTTAGAATCAATTTAAGTGCATCTAACGCAACTGTAGATAGCTACAACACTGAAGAAATAAATATTTTGAATAGAATTTTCTTGAGACTTGGTTGTCTAAACACTCTTCAGTATTTTTCTGCTACACTAGGAAAGTAAATTAAATTAATTAAATATAAAAATTAATTTTTTTGAGTTTGAGCTTGAATTTGGCTGGATATAATTTGATAATTAAATTAATTCTTATATAAAATAGCTGGTTGAATAAATAACATTTGACAGCTGACATTTTAGTATAATCTTTAATTTTCCTTTTGGAAAACAATCCTATCCATCACTTGGTCTTAAATATTGGTAGCGAGTAATAAAATTGAATATTATTATTTCTAAGAAGAATTTAACTAAATATTTTTATATAGTTTAAGAGGTGGAGATACAGAGTGCTTGAAAGATGCTAAAGATGTATTCAATATGTTGTCAAGATGCAAATAATTATAAACATTAGTCATTTTAATCAATGGCTGGAAAGACTGCGCTTAAGCTCATTGTAAGGTTGCTGAGATGCTTGCAGGCTTGATTGAAAAAAATGAAATTACTACTTTTGGTCTCAATTTAATGAATGCTCGTGATAACGACCAAGTTCTTGATAGAAATAGCTAAGAAATTCAATCTATTGCAAAAATGTTTAAAGTATTGATAAAGTTCCCATTTAAAAAATTTGGTCTTAGTTTGTCAGATTGGAATTTGAGCTAAGATGCTGTAGAGTATTTTGAATTTAGTCAAAATTAATTGAGAACTTATAGAGATATGAGATAATAACTAGAATTATCATCTAAAGTACTATTTAAACACCTCGAAGGGACATTTAGAAAGGAGCTCATTTGGGATATCCAAAGAGTTTGCTTCTTTGGAAAGATAAATGCTCCTTCAAATAAAACTAGCTTTTAAAAAACAAAAATAATTGAAATATGAATGTATTTAAAAATAAATTACTGCCACTCATTTCCCTATTTATTTATTAATTTAAAAGTCTCTATCTTTTGTTCAATATATTTCTATATTCTATATACATATATATATCAATTCATCATCTTTTGTATTGTCTTTTAAAACAATTCTTAAAAAATATTTGAAAACATTTATTTTATTTCGAAATTATACTTTTAAAATACTCTATGATTTTCAACATTTTTAATTATTTATTTCATTAAAAAAATTAGGTTTTTTTAAAACTTTGAAGTATTAAAAATATTTTTCAATTTAAAGGTTTTAAAATACTTACTATATTTAATATTATACATAAAATAGAGCAACATAAAATTAAGAACAATAAACTTGTATTATTATATATTAAATTATTTATATATATATTCAAGCAAAGCAAACAAGTAATCATATTTCTAATAGAAGATCTTCTAATTTTAATTTTTAAATTTGAGATTAGAAATACCGTTTGTCTTGTTAAATCAACTCGTTTTATCTTAAATCAATATTTATCTGCTTGAGATTAGTTTATTTAGATAAGCAATAAGCTAATCTTTTAAAAGAATCATAGTCGAATTCACTATTGCAAAAGTCTAATTTCAATATAGACATATTCTTTAGATGTCCTAAAGCAGAGACAAGATCAGCTGCTCCTTCTTTTCCGACTTTATTATTTTTTAATACTACACTCAGTTCTGTAATATTAACACATTATTGTAAACCTTTAAAAAGATTGGAGGCTCCTTGCTTTTTTATATTGTTTTTATTCAAATTGAGATAAAGTCTTTTGAGGTTTTTTAATTTTTCTAAGCAATTCCCGATAGAATTAGCACCAGGATCTTAAATATCATTATCACATAAATTAATATTTAAGTAAACTAATTTATTTAATTTTTAAATAAATTACTCTATACTATTAACTCCTATTTAACATATGTTATTTTAATATAAGCTTAGTCTTAAAGATTCTATTTTAGTATTTTTTTAGAGGGATTATATAATATACTATACTCCAACTGATTAAATATCATTAGAATCTAAATTTAAATCTAGACTTTTTATTAATTTCAAGTCATGTAATCTGCTAGCAAACCATTAAGCCCCTTACACTCCAATTTTATTATCACAAAAATTGAGTTTCAAATCTTAGAGTTAATGTAAGCAAGATAATCCTAATCCTATTTCATTTATTCCTTGAACTTAAATATAATTTTCAGATAAATTAAGATGCAATGAAGTTAAATTCTTTAATTACTTCAAACTAAATCCTATATGAGTTGCTCCTTCAATGCCTATAGCGTTTGTTTAAAGATCGAGAATCAAGAAAGTTAAATTTTGGCATTTTATTAAATTGGATTAAAGTTGATGGGCTCCCTCAGCAGTTATATTTTTATTTTTTAAAATTACCTCAATTTTTTCATATTAAATAGCATATACCATTTCCTCAATTTTGTTTACTTAAAAACATTATATTGAACATATATTGATAGTTTTAAGGCAATCCTAATTATAATAAAAAATTTTCAAACAGTCAAGGAGTTAGGATGGAATAAGCCTTTTATTTAGATCTGGGTTGACCATTTTGAATAAGATTTATTGTAAAAACAATTCATTTTCTTTTTTCTACTATTCTTCCATTCCTCTTTCTAAACTGTAAAGCTTTAAGTTAATATGTTCTCTTCCTTACAGACGCCTTTTTAAGAGAGCTTCAGTTATTATTAGTCCTACAGAAAACACATCCGATTTTATGTCAAAGGGTTCTTGTTTATCAAGTAATTCTGGTGATTAATAAGCAGCATTAGATCCTAGTATGCTTTTGGTTTTTTAGGATAATATTTGTTCTAATAAATATGAAACACCATAATCAACTATCACAAATTTGCATTCTGATTTATTGAATAAAATATTTTATGGTTTTATATTGCAATGAATAGCATTTTTTTCTTAAAAAATACTTAAACATTCTAATAACTATTTCGTTAAATTTACAACCTAGTCAAATGTAAATTAATTTGAATCTAAAATGCTCTCTAAATTGCAATCAAAATAGTCATAAACAAATCCAATGAATTTTTAATTTGGATCTTCAATTTATTCATATATTTAAATATTGTAATTACTTTTATCAATCAAATTAGAATATTTATAAATTTCATTTTTTATTTTTTTAAGTTGCTCATCTTCGAAATGTTAATATATGATAATTTTAATGGCAAAATTTTCTTTTAAAACTTAAGAATAGGCATAAATTACTTTCGAATAAAAATTTGAGCCAACTTGTTTTATGTATGTATATCTTTTCAGTGAAAGAAAGTCTTTTATTTGTTATTATAATTCATTTGTAGCTTAAAAGTTGTTCTGTATTACTTATTCGCTCATCCTAAATAATTGCTTGTAAAATTTTATTTCTTTTTTCTTTTATATTAAATTTAAATAATTTTGATTTTTCAGAAGAAAATTATTTATAAATTAATTAAAAAGGTTGATCAAAAAATATACCACATCCTTAATTAAAGCTTAGGAAAATATTAGATAAGAAAAATTATTTATTAGATTGAGCACATTATTTTCATTAAAATACTTTCCTATTAAAAATATTTTTTACTTATTATTTCAATAGATTATTACACATGCAGTTGCTAATAAATAGCTAAAACCTATTATCTTTTATCCATTCAGCAACTATAAAACTATTTAAAATAAAGAATTGACTAATATAATAAATATTTTATTTAGCGATAAAGTTTTCTAAATGGAAAAAATAAATAAGTAAAGCAAAATTAATTAAATAAAAGTAATTTATCTCAAACAAATTTTATTTTATTTTTTAAATACTTTAATAATTGCTTCTTTGCTCTAATCTTTTTTATTAAGTTATTCAATTAATATTTGGTAATTAAATTTTTTACCAATAAAAATTGAATATATCTAATATCCATTTAAAAATAAGTAACAAAATATTATTTCAATTCTTAAGAGTGATGTTAAATCTTTGAAAAAATTCTTTTTAACTTATATGAAAAAAAGTTTTTTATTTTTCTACCCTTTAATTATTTGAAGCAATACACTAGTTTATAGATTCAATATTTATGGTTGTTAAGTATAATAATCACAATAAATATTTTAAATATAAATAAATATTATCCATACAGAAATTTAAAGTTGTGATTCTTCAAAATAGATTAATCAAATTAAGTAATTAAAAAATTAAAATGTAAAAAATATTAAATTATTAAATATTGCACTTAATAATAGAATGATATATCATATTATTAAATAATAAATGTTTTACCCAATAATGCTTAATAAAATATTTCTTTATTTTAAAATATTTAAGAATTTATTTTTACCATAATTTTTAATTTAAAATAATGTTTCATTTGTTTTTTAAGTTGACTTAATTTGATTATATTTCAAATAAAACTCCTAACTCTTTTATTTTCTTCAATATGTATGAATAAGGTTAAATACTCTACAGATTATTTATCAATATAAAATAAATTTTAAATAGTCAATATTAGGATTATTCATTGAGTTTATTTTTTTATTTTAAAATAATTTTAAATTTGATAAAATAAATTGAATGTCTAAAAATATAATTTATTAATTAAGTAGATATTAAAGAATCTAAAAATAGTCAAAAGGAAAATAAAAATCTTAATTAATTTTCTTTACAAAATAAGTTATATAAAATTATCCTAAATACTTCAATAAAAAATTTAAAAATAAATCTTCATGAGCTTTTAAAAAATTGTTTTCGCTCAAAAAAGGTTAAATGATTTATTTAATTACTAAAATTTGTAGCAATAAAGTAATTTTTAAAAGCTTATGCTTAATATTATATATTAAACAAACATAAAAAATATCAAATATTGAAATATTTGTAAATTAACCTATAAAATGGTAATTAAGATTGGACATTTGGTGTGAAAATTAATGAAGATTTATTTATTATCATTATTATTGCTAATTAGATTCTTAATATAAGTATTCTTCATCTTCAGTTTTTATTAAGCAATTCAAAATACGTTGATCTAAATCACTTATATTTTCTTTTTGGTTAATTTATTGTAAATAATTTATAAAATATTATTCTGCTAGTTCGTTGTTATGATCTATTTTCTCAATCAACTCAAGATGATTGAGACAATTTGTTTTACTTTAATTAGAATTGCTAGCTAATGCTTCTTCTTTAACATCATTTTAAATCAAATTGTTATTTACAGAGTTTTTTTCCTTTGTTTAATCTATTTATAATTCTACTTAATTTAATTTTAAATGCGTTTATTATGTTTCATTATTTCTTTTCTCAATATTAAATTCTATTTTTGTGTCAATTTTGTTTTATTGTCCAAGAGCGAATTATTCGTTTTATTATTCTTTAGATTTTTGTATGTCTAAACCGCAATATTTAATTGCTGAAAATTACTCCTTTGATAAAAGAAGTCTTATTATTTTTTTTATTTATATTATATCCTTGTAAAATTCTCCTATATTTATATATTTATGAGTATTTTTAATTATATGATGAATCTACTTTAGCTAACTTGGTTTGTGGTCTAATAATTTAACAGGTATTTCTTTTTTAATGAAAATTTATAGCTTTTATAAAAAACTAAAATTTAATAATTAATACATTTTCTTAGGGAAAAATATTTTGCTTATTTTTTAATTCAAACTTGTAATTTTTTATGCACTGTTACTAGTTTAGTTCTCCAAATTTTGAAGTTCTTTGTCAATTTAACTTTCTTTTGGAGCAATAAATTATTAATAAGCTTTTATTGCTGTTTATTAGTAATAATATTTTAAATAGAGGTTAGAAAGCTCCTAATATATTTCTATCTCTGAGTAGATTTTACCTATGTTCCCAAGGATAGTTAAAAGAGCAAATACACTCATAAATTATGCAAATGTTTCAGTAAAAAGTGGATATTAAATAGTTATAAACCTTTGTTTAGTACTCATGCTAATTATTATTTCTCCAATAATAGGCAATTTAACTTATTTTTATAAAGTTTAAATCCATTTTATCTCTTAGATTTCTTCAAAAGAATCTAAATAATTATTGATTGATCTTTTCTATAATATAAAACCTTCAATTAAGGTTGTTTTAGATTAAATTAAATGCACCTAATGTCTAGTACCCACATACTAATCTAATATGTATGAATTTATTTATCTAACTGTCTCTACATTTTAACTTATAGTGTTAAACCTTTCTAATTTAGAAGAGAACTTAATAGAATTATATGCATTAAATAATACATTTACTATATCTTCATCACTTGCACAGCTTTAATCACCATTACATTGTAAGAAAATAATCTAAAATCCTTCTTAATTTAAACTTGAATAATTTTAATTATATTTCAAAGTCACTTAAGAAGGTAACGAGCTAAAGTCAATACATAAATAATCTTACAGACTAGTGTCTGAGCATTTTATTGTATTCAGTGTGGTAGTTTTTAGATTTTAATTGTTATCATAATATTAGTAATAAATCAAAAATGAAAAGTATTTTTTCCCTGTCTATTACTCATATTGCTAAATGTTTCCTTAACCTTAAAGAAAGAAATTGAATGCAAATGAGTCATTGGCAACTTAAAAAGAATCATTGTTTTAAGATAAATCAATTGTAGAAACCTTAGGTTGATACCCAGTAGTGAAATAGAGGTTAGTTATATAAATAAAATAGGCAATAGATAATGAGTAAACTATTAAGGTAAAAAATCCTCCTACAAAAGTTCTTTTAGTCTTTTCTAGTCCGTATAAACTAAACTAAAATGGCATAGAATATGTATCTATTTTCCTTAATATACCTTAAAATGCTGAGTCAGATTAAGAAGCCTCCATTTAAAAATTATTCAAATAAAAACGGTCTACTTAATAATATTTATTTTTGTGATATTTTTAATACAAATAATTTGCAAAATTAATTGATCACAACATAAAGCTGATAAATTTTAGATTTTTTTTAAATTAAAAACAAAATAAGTAGAAATAAATAAATAAATAGAAAATTAAATTATCAAATATATTTTTTTCTAAATAACATTTTGCTTAAAAAAATAACCATTATATTATAAAAACAGTTTTTATCGCTTGATTGAAAATATTTGATGAGAAAATAAATGATTTTATTTTAGTTTACTAAAAATTATCATTTTTTATATCATTAACATTACATGAACAAATTGTAACCTATATTAGCAATCTATAAAAAATTTAAATTTAACTAGTTTGTTTATATATTCATTACCAATCAATCAATCAATCAATCATTAATTTTATTATTTTATACTTTTTTAAATAAACATAAATAAATAAATTTTAGTAAATACCAATAAAAATTTAAATATTTTGATTAAATTAAAATGATGCTTATTTCATAAATAAGCAAATTTATAAATTAATTATATCAGCTTTTTAAAAAAAGTTAGTTTTTTTGTAATTTTGAATTAAGAAATAATTTAGAAATTGTTCAAAATCCTAACATTTTAATACAACTCTATTTACTCTATATTATTTAAAATAATAGTTTTTACCCTATGTAAATTTATAAATTAAGTAATTAAGTAATATAATTGTAATTTATTTTTATCATATTTATAAATTAAATTGATTATCTTAACTCTGATATTTTTCTTAAACTTAAATTAAGCTATTCAAAATTCTTTAATCTAATTCGCTTATTTAATCTTTTTACTACATATTTTTTAAGTATTTAATAAAATATTATTAAGAAATATTGTCATCTTAATCTATTTTTTCTATTTGTTCAAGATGATTTAGATAGGTTGTCTATTATTCAGTTATCTTTTCAAAGTTTATTTGTTCCGTAGTATTTTACTAAAATTGTCCTTAAATTCTAAACTCCTCTTCTTTTTAATCTATGTATAATTTTACTTACTTAGATGTTTACTACAAATCTGTTAATAAAACATCTTTATTGCTTTTGATAGTACCAGCTGATTATTTTTCTTAGAATTTTTAAATATCAGGAAGATATTCTTTAATTTATTATTATTTAACTTTTTAAATGTCTAATCCACAGTATTTAATAGCAGAAAACTATTCTTTTGTTAATAATAACCTAACAATTATTTTAACTTAAATTATATCCTTATAAAATTCTATCAAATTAGCATATTTATGAGTGTTTTTCATAATGTTATGGATCTGTTTTAGCTAAGTTGGCTTTTTTTCTAAAAACTTAAGTGGAATTTCTTTTTTTAAATAAATTTAGAGCTTTTATATTATGCCTAAATTTAAAAATTAAAACATCTTCTTTGGGAAAAATATTTTACTAATTTTTTGGTTAACGTTTAATATTTCCTAAGCATCTTTTAAAGTTTGTTTCTCTGTATTTTAATTTTACTATTCTGCTTCTTAATTTGATTTAGTAAAAAATTCATAATAAGCTTTAAAAGCTGTTTATTTATAATACTTCTTTAAAAAAAGATTTGATATTTCTTAGTATATTTCTATTTCAGAAAAGGTGTAACCAATTTTCCCAAGAAAAGTTAAAAGCGCAAAAACGCTAAAAAATTATGCAAATGTTTCAGTATATAGAGGAAATTAAATTGTAATAAACCTTTATTTTGTACTCATGCTAATTACTATTTCTCCTATGATTGGAAGCTAAGTTTATTATTGCAAAGATTAAAGCCATTTAATCTCTGAAACTTCTTCAAAAGAATCTAAATAATTGTTTAATAATCTCTTCTATAAAATAAAACCTTCAATTAACATTGTTTTTGATTGAATTAATTGTACTAAATGTCTCGTACCAACAAATTAATCTAATACATATGATTTTATTTATCTAACTGTCTCTACATATTAGTTAATAGTATTATACCTTTCCAATTTAATAGAAAACTAAATTCCATTATATGGATTATACAGTATATCAGCTATATCTTAATCGCTAGCACAGTTTTCACTTCCTTTACACTACAAATAAACAATCTAAAATCCTTCTTAATTTATGCTAGATTAAAGCTAATTGTATTTAATATTTATTGGTGAGGGCAATGAAGTAAAATCAATGCATAGATATTCTGACAAGCTATTATCTTAGCATTTAACTGTATTAAGTATCATATTTTTTAGATTACCATCACTATCAAAATATTAGTAATATATTAAAAATGAAAGATATTTTTTACCTGTTTCATTCTCAAGTTGTTAAATATTTCCTCTATATTAGATAAAGAAATTAAATGCAAATGAGTCATTAGAGACTTAAAAAGGAATATTTTCTTAAAATAAATCTATTGTAGAAACCTTAGGTTGATAACCAGTTGTAAAATAAAGATTAGTAATGTAAATAAAATATGCCAAAGATATAGAGTAGACTATGAAAGTTACAAATCCTCCAACAAGTGTTTTACAAGTCTTTTCTTATCGACAAAGACTAAATTAAAATGGCATCGAAAAAGCATCTATTTTCCTAATAATCCCTAAAAATTTTGAATCAGATTTTGAAGCCTCCATTCTTTTTTACAAAAGTAGATTTAGATTGCTATAAAAATTATCAATCAGTACTAATTTTTAAATTTGAATACAAAAATAGCAAAAAAGTAAAAATTAAATAATATTAATTAAATATAGCAAAAAAATAAATTAAAAAGTCTTTTTATCACTTATTTATTAAATTTAATGAAAAAATAGTATTAGAAAACGAAGAAAATTAAAAAAAATACTATTAAATTTTAAAAAAATAAATTTAAATCTTTATTTATTCTATAATAAAAAAAGCAATAAAATGTTCAATTATTTTTAGTTTATTATTAATTATATTGTAATAAATTAATTATAATGCTATATTTTTCAGTTTATAATAAATAAATATTGTATATCTCAATAGATTCCTATTTCTAAAGATTTATTATGGGTAATTTTCTACAGTTTTAAATATAAAAGATATTTAACATAATAAATGATTAGAAATAAAATTAAATTTAATTGCTTTTAAAATTTATAGTAATATGGTCGGGCACCTCATTCATATCTTCTGCCTTAAATGTTAATTTTAGTGAAAAAATGAATTAAAAACTTCAAAAAACCTCATTAAAAAATTATATAAAGTAGATTAAAGAGTTTTTTTTAATCTATTCTTTTATTTCTCAATTACATTTTTTGATTTGGCTATTTTCAGTATATGCAAATTTGTAAAACTGTGTATTATTTTACCTATTATAACTAAATTATTTATATTTAATCAAAATGGTTATCAGAATATTTCTATTTTCATTAAAAATAATCCATTCAATTTATTAATTCATTATCAAAAGATTTTTTTGTCAATTAATATTTTAATTTCTCAAAGATATTTTTTTTTGAATCTATTCTTTTATTTCTCAATTACATTTTTTGATTTGGCTATTTTCAGTATATGCAAATTTGTAAAACTGTGTATTATTTTACCTATTATAACTAAATTATTTATATTTAATCAAAATGGTTATCAGAAAATATCTAATTTCATTAAAAATAATCTATTCAATTTATTTATTCATATCAGAAGATTTTTTTTGTGAATTAAAATTTCATCAAAACTACTTCTCAAATATATATAATATCTAATTTCACCAAAAAATAATCAAAATAATTAAAATAGAGTCAATTAAAACATAATTTATAATATTCACAAGTAGTTAATTAAGTAGGTATATATCATTAAATGAAGACTCTATAAATTGAAAAGATCAGAGAACTTATGATGAACCCTAATTAAATCAGAAATATGTCTGTTATAGCTCACGTAGATCATGGAAAGACTACTCTTACAGACTCCTTGCTTGCTAGAGCTGGAATTATTTCTGAAAATAATGCTGGAAAAGCTTGCATGATGGACACTGATCCTAAAGAACAAGAAATGGGTATCACTATTAAGTCTACAGGAGTTTCTTTGTATTATTAAAATACAGTAAATAAGCAAGAAAGCATCATTAATTTGATTGATTCCCCAGGGCATATAGATTTTTCTGGAGAAGTTACTGCTGCTTTAAGAGTTACCGATGGAGCTCTCGTTGTTGTAGATGCTGTTGAAGGAGTTGCTGTTTAAACGGAAACTGTTCTGAGGTAGGCTTGTCAAGAAAGAATAAGACCTGTACTCGTAATTAATAAGTTGGATAGGCTTTTTAGTGAACTTAAAGATGATTATGAAAATATTTATCAAAGACTTATTAAAATTATAGCTAAGGTTAATTCAATATTAGAAATGCACGAAAATGACTCTATTAAAAATTACACTTTAGATCCTTCTTTAGGCAATGTTGCTTTTTCTTCAGGTAAACAATGTTGGGGATTCACTTTGAAAACTTTTGCAAGAATTTACAGCTAAAAATTCTCAACAAAAGAGGATATTTTAATGAATAAACTTTGGGGTGATAATTACTTTAATCCATAAACCAAGTCTTTCACTTAAGATGCACATTTAATAAATAATGAAGGTAAGAAGGCACAGCGCTCTTTTATAGAATTCGTTTTAGCTCCTTTAGATAAATACTATTCTGCTTCTTCAAATGCAGATATTGAGACTCTTTCGAAAATGGTAGAAAAGCTTCATATTTCTACTATTTTGACTACTGCAGAGTTAGATAGACTCAAATAATTAGAAGTTTAAGAAAGAATTAAGAAATCTATGAGAGCTTGGCTACCTCTAGCTGATGCAATTCTCGAAATGGTTTAAGATCATTTACCTTCTCCTCGAGAGGCTATGAAATACCGCAGTATGTATCTATACGAAGGACCTGCAGATGATGAAGCATGTACAGCTATGAAAGAATGCAATTCAGAGGGTCCATTGATGGTCTATATTTCTAAGATGGTACCTACCTCTGATCTTAGTAGATTCTATGCATTCGGTAGAGTTTTCAGTGGTACAATTACTCAAGGAATGAAAGTAAGAGTTTAAGGTCCTGACTATAAACCTGGAACTAAAGAAGGTCTTTTTATAAAAACAATTTAAAGAACATTTTTGATGATGGGTAAGCAGCAAGAAGCTATAGAATCAGTACCTGCTGGTGGTACTGTATTAATTTTAGGTATTGATAGTGCACTCACAAAGACAGGCACTCTCACTACTTCTGAATCAGCTCATAATATTAGAAATATGAAATATACGATCTCTCCTATTTTAAGAGTTGCAGTAAGTACTCCTAATTAGCAAGATCTTCCTCGTTTGCTAGAGGGTCTCAAAATGTTGCAATAATACGATTAGCTTGTTTAAGTAGAAATAGATGAAAACACAGGATCCTATGTAGTTGCAGGAGGAGGTGAACTTCATGTTTAGATTTGCTTGGAAAAACTTAATGATTTTACACATAATTCTATCAAAATAGTTGCTTCTCAACCAACTGTTTCATATAGAGAAACAATTAGCGAAAAGAGCTCTTAAACATGTCTAGCTAAAACAGCAAATAAACTAAATCGTTTATATGGTACTTGCGACCCATTAGATGAGGCATTAGGATCTGCTATATCAGATAACAAAATTAATATTCAAGAGGTAAATAGTTAAGAAACAATAAATACATTGGTGAATACTTATAACTGGGAGAGAGAGGATGCAAAAAAAATATGGTGTTTTGGTCCCTTAGAAAAAGAGTCTACAAACTGCATTGTTAATCTTACAGTAGGTATTCAGGGAATGCCTGCAATATAACCTTCAATAATTACAGCATTTGAATGGTGTACAAAGGAAGGTCTCTTGTGTGATGAACCTCTAAGAAATACCCGTTTTAATATTACTGATGCTGTCATACATATAGATCCTGCCCACCATCGTAGTAATCAGATAACTCCAGCTGCTAGAAGACTCTTTAAAGCGTGCTAATATGTGAGTGAACCTAAAATTTTAGAGCCTTTTTATTAATGTGACATAAGAATACCTGATGATAGTAAAGGCCCAATCTATGCAGTTCTAAACAAAAGAAGAGGTATAGTTGTTGGTGAAGAATATGAAGAAGCTCTTTCGATGATTCAAGCTCATATTCCTGTTTCAGAAAGCTTTGGTCTTGATCAAGCTCTCAAATCAGCAACTTAAGGTAAGGCTATACCTGCCCTTTCATTCAGTCATTGGCAGGTAGTACAAGGAAATCCTTTAGATCCTGAAACCAAATCAGGTAAAATAGTCACTGAAATAAGAACAAGAAAAGGTTTGACTGCTAAAATACCTGAATTAAATAATTATTTAGATAAGCTTTGAAAAAATAATTTTATTTTTTTTGTTTGTTAATTAATTTAATTTAATTTAATTATTTCTTCATCTTATTTCATGTAAATAGTTTTATCTTTTAAATTTAATTTCTAAAATAAAATTGGCAAAAAGGGTTTAAACAAAGGAATTTAATAAATTATTTTAAATAACGATTATCTTCTTAAATAAAGATAAATAAATTTTAATATAATTGACAAACTTATTGATATAATAAAAAAACAAATAATAATTCTTAGTGCTTTTTATTTTACCTTACTATGAAAATACATAGTATATAAAAAGTACAACAAATCAACTGTTTTTATTAAATAACTATCTTCTATTTTATTTTCTCGATCAGAAATTTTTTGAAAGAGTTAGTAAAAGATTATTAGTGAATAAATTTACATTCTTTTTTGTTCAAATAAATACCCGAGGTGAATTTTAAAGAAAATCTGACCTCTAGATAAGTTAATAGTCCATATGAATATCAAATCATTAAAATTTTCTTTATAATGAATTAAAAAAGCAAATCTTTAAGTAAATAGAAAAAAATATTCAAAGATGAGCAATAAAATTTTAGCAACAAATATTTAAAATAAAGGAAAAATTCCTCTGCTTTTAAATAATTAACCACATTTATAGATACCAAATGAATAAGTTAAATAAAATTATGATATATCCATAAATAATTTTTAGGATGAAACCACGCCAAATAATAAGCTGCAAATTTAGAATTTACCTTTTCATCCTTAAGATTAGATGATTTGTTTTCCTAGCGGTCAAGAAATTGTGAATCCTGAAGTGCTATATTGCAAATAAAAAATTAGGGGCTTGAATTCAGAGATAAAAATACAAATTTAATATTTGTTTATTTTATTGCAAATATTGATCGCTTAATTACCCTTAAGATTTACTTTTATTCAATTGATTTGTAAATCAAATATTTATTCTTCTTAGTTTTGTGAAAATAAAATATTGAAGCCATTGATTGCTGAAAATGTACATATAAGTGAGCAAGTAATTAGAGGAAGTTATGTTGCATATTGTGGCAAAGAGCTGAGTTTAAATATAAAATTTTAATCAATAATTTCTATTATTAATCTATTAGTGACACTAATCTTCTTAATAACTGCTAATTTGGTGATATTTAATATTAAATACTCTCAAAGCAATGCTATTATATATCTCAATGCCATTTACATTAGTTAAACTATTTTCTATTTAATTATCATAGCTTTATTTTTAGTAGGTACTTTTAAATGTAATCCAAAATTTGTATATGCTGCTTACTTTATTGGTATTCTCAGTTTATCATTAGCAGCTCTTTAATTATGCTTCAGTTTTATATTTAGCAACGATTCAACAGGTGCATAAATTTACAACGCAGTATCAAGTTTAGCATCCACTCTTTTGATATATTTAAGTACGCGCGCGATAAAAGCTGTATATACTGACTTAGTAAAACTACTAGTTCTACTTTCTCAAATTGACTAAAAATAATTATAAAATTGTGTTTGAACAATTAATTTATATTATAACATGTGCCCATAAATAAAAAGGTGTAAATTTTAAAGAATAAGATTAATCAGTACTTTATAAATTATTATTAATTTATCTATTCATAAAAATATGATAGTCTTTTTAATTTTTATTTAAATAAACAAAAATATTGAAAGAATGTATTTTTTTTATTTTTTTATCTTATCATGCTATTAAATGATAGAATTTATGAAATATAAAATAATTATCAGAAACAAATAATAAAAAATAAATTTGAAATGTATTTAAAAAGTGCAGCGCCATGAGTAAAGAGATTATCACGAAATAAAAGAAGTAACTCTTTGACTTGACTTTTAAAACCATAAATTATTATGACATTTAAACAAATAAAATTTTGAAATTAAATTTTATGGGTTCTCATTAAATAAAACTTTAATATTAGATATTTTCTTTAATAAAATAAATATTTCAATAATCAATTTAATTAAAAGAAAATTTTTGATTTCAATAAATTTATTTTATCTAAAAAACTAGAAAAAAAATGTTAAATTTAATAAGAATTGTTCCATTGTAAAGAGCCTTGACGTATGGTTTCTTGTTATTATCCTCATAACTTTTAATTTATTTAAAAAAAATAATTTTTGTAATAGAAGTTATTGACACATAGTGATTTTTACTATTAAATTTTATTAAAGCCAGTTATAAGCCATATAAAACAAAACAAAACAAAAAATTAACAGATTTTTAATAGTAAATTTAAATGTTTTTGTAAATATAAAATATTATTTCATAACATTAAATATTGAAGATTCAGAAATATTATTATTTTATTTTTCATATTTATTATAAAAATAATTTTATATGATGAAGAAGAGTTCAACTAAATTAAGTTTGAGGCCTTATTGTTCGTAATCTGCTAAATTTTTCTAAATGTTAATTTTGATGTTTTAAAAACTAGAGTGTTTTTTATTGTGAAAACTGAAATTCTTATAAAGTTTACTGGATGGGATCTATTCTATATTTATAGGACATTTATTAATCTTTGTTTCTCTACTTAGAGTATTTTACATGAAGCATTTTAAAAAGATAAATTATTACTTAAACTACAAAAAATAAATGAAAAACCACAAGCAAGCAATCTACAACTATTATTTTATATATTTAATAAAACAAATTTTTATAAAAGTAAGATATTTATTTAATTTTATTTACCTAAAGAAATGTTTGATTTATTAGCAATCAAAAGAATAGAAATAATTGAGGTATAGAATAGCTCCAAAAATATTATGTTGAGGTTCCTCCACCTATTTTTTATTGGCCAAGCATAGACTAAATATAAAATAAATACTAAATTTAAGCTAATATTCAGATAAATAGATTCCTTTCCCTATACAAAGACAATACCACAGACTATAATCAACTTTCTTAACTCAAAAAACATCCAAAATAGTCTTTGTTTTAGAAATTTATTCAATCCAGTAACTAAATATTTTTTTGACACTTAGGATATTTGTCTAACTTTACCATAATTTATTAATGATTTAACACTCCTTTAGATATACATAATGTAAACAGCTATAATTATTATTAAAAAATATATTTCCTCAAAATAAATAATCGAACCTTCATAGATTTTACTTGTAAATATACCTATAAATAACATGTTTGAGCAGATCATCCAAATTTTTACTAAAAAGTTATGTCTTAAATATTATTTCATTTTATTTTTGCAAGAAAACAGTTAAAAGCCCAAATAAATAGAGTACAATAAAATTATTACCAAGCCTTGATAAAAAAAATTTAAAACGAACAAATCCATAATAGGTTATACTTTAATTACCATAGGGTAGTATTGGCTTGAAAAGAGGGTTTTCATGATTTCATTTTTAGGGAAAATTTATTTTGTTGGAATCAAATTGAAATAGTTATGGGTTAAGACATATTTTAAAGCAAGTTCTTTTGTCATATAAAGAGAATCTATGTTTATCAAGCAATAGTTTCCTATCATTTATACTACTTAAATGTAATAAATGCTTAAAAAGCCCACAAATTTTAAATCAGTAAAGACTAAAATTACCATAAAAATGAGTGATATAAATGAAACAACGTTTTCAATTATGTATTTATCATCGATTGATGAAGTTAAATCTTAGCAATCTTTTTATTATTACACAAATCCTAGCGAATCGCATAGTTTTAATTTAAAGTATTATGCTTTTCTTGTTTCACTCATACAATCTGTTGATTTTATATCACTACAAATGGTGCAGTCATTAGCACTATTTTGGCATTTCTAGCATTTACTATCACATTACTCACATTTTGATATCATGTTATTTTATATGATTTTTGCAGGAGAGCCATAGTAACCATCTTTGCAAGTACCTTAGCATATGCTATCCTGTAATACTAATGGTTAGTCACATCTTAGACTACAATTTCTATATATAAAAGAAGTAATAGTATTTTAAGGACATATATCTACACATTAAAGTTCATAGGCAAAAAAAGGTGATTTGCATTAAAAACAAGAATTTTAATCACAAATTATACATCCCTCTCCATATGCAGATTAACATGTCAAACAAACTGGCTGATTGTTTATTAAGCCAGGGTAAAATCCATTACTACACTAGCTTTTACATTGGTTAGTAATTTTATCAAAATAAAGAGGCAATTAACAAGATGAACATTAACTTGGATCAGGTCCAAAACATGTTAAGCAAGTTTAATTGCAGCTACTGCAAGTGTTATTGATTGTATCTTTATATTAATTACTGTTACATTGAGTTAAGCATTAGTTAAGGGATTATTAATAAAATGTTCCATTATTACAACTCAGGCAATTGTCATTTGATCCACCTGAACAAGTTTTACACAATTTATGACAAAGAGTGCAAATACCTGAAGATGTATCACCATATTAATTACTGTTACAAACGTTAACACATTCTCCTGTCGACTACTATAGAAAAGTTGATTAATAGCAAGATTAGCAGTTGTTTTATTAACCGCCAAAACAAGTTTTACAATTTTTATGACATGGTTTGCATATATTTGTTTATAAATCTCCATATTAATCTACGTTACATTTATTAAGACATTAGTTAAGTGTTTATTAAAAAAACAAACCATCATTACAGCTTAAACAATTGCTACTTGTTCCTCCATAACAAGTTTTACAACTTTTATCACATGCAATACATTTATTTTGAATAGTATCTCCATAAAAACTATCATCACATTAACTAACACATTAACCTTAGTATAAAAAAGTGTTATTACCACAAGAAATACACTCCGTAAGACTTATACAAGAAAGACAATTTATTAAAGAGCACTATCAAAAATAATTAAAAATATTATAATTTATATTGATTTCATTAAATTTATATTTTACATAATGGATTTAAACATAGAACTCTCTTATACCAAAAGAATGAAAAGCTGAGAGCTAATTTAAATCAGTATAAATTAATATAGATAAAATTTATGATGTATGCTACAAGTTTAAAGCTGTAACTTAAACTATTTAATCATTATAGTTTATCATACCACAAATATTTTTTGATCCATCAAGAATTGTTTCTTATATATTTACCTATTAGTTATCAATCTCTAGATATATTTTATGATTTTACCAATCATCTATCTTAAAGGCTATAAAGCTTATATCTATATACCAATGTGCCTGCCTTAATTTATAAACAATATAAACTTAATTTAAATATTAATTAGATTTTATCTTTTACAAATTCGTAAATACTTTTTAGATTGATGCCCCTTTTGATGCAAGGTAAGCTCCTCCTAATATTTGATAATTCCCACATTGAGTAACCGTAGATCCAGCATATTGTTGATAAAAGAAATCCCCAAAGAAATTATTTAATTTAAACTAGTAGTTGTTAACTTACATTTCTCCAAAGGTATCTAAGGTGAGGCTTTTAAATAAGATTTTAGTATCTATTTTTAATGATTTTAATAAATAAAATTAATTTGTCAAAAAAGCTTATAATTTTAGTTTAATTTTTAAAAATGTAAATTTTAATAAATCCAATTACATTATTATGGAATTAATTTACTATAATTTTAAATTAATTTCACACATTCACCATCAATTTCATATGATTACAAAGGATTGCAACTCTCACATTTTAAAGTAGAAGAGTTATAATTTTCACAATACTTATTTGCAATTTAGCAAATTTAATTTATATAGTCTGCTAAAAATAAACCTGGACAAGAATCTACACAATTACCATAATGATATAATTATCCGTTATCACATAATGAACACGTCTTCAAATTAGGACTATATTTTTTGTTATCAGAACAACTCAAGCAGTTATTCTAATTTTTAAATGAATGTTTTTAATTTTATAAATTTGTATTAATATTTTACATAATTAGGGCCATCACATGTTAAGCATGATGGATGGCATGTGTTTAAATAAACGTATAAGTTTTTTATTCCAAATGCCTCATTTTAATAAAATTCATCAAGATGGGAATAAAACATAAGTCTAAAATTTTTAGAAGGACTAATTATAGCTGAAAAACGGACCATAGTATCTAAATATTGAGGAGAACAAATATTAAAACCGTCATTAAAATTATTATATTTTGTATAGTATTTAAGATATGTATATTAGCTTAGATTATTATCATAAACTGATATTTAAATAAAATCATTAGTATCTACTGTCATTAATAGTAAAAGATCTAATTTTATTGAAATTTAATAGTGGGGTATAGAATTAGAAAAATAATAACTGTATTGATGTTCTAAATCAAATAAACCATATATTTAACTAGAGCTAAATTCAGAAAAAGCAGACTGTACACAAGTAAAAGTTGAATAGGGATACTCTTAATTATTGTGATTATTTATCAAAACTCTACTCCAATTTCTCAAATCAGCTGCAGGTATTGGATTCTAAGTAAAGAGTGACTGTAACAAATATTCATCTATTTATTGAAAATTATATGATGAATTATTTAAATCAGTAATTTTTTTATTTTAATTTTACATTATAAAGATATTTGCAAAACCAAAAATTGAAGAAAAAAAACTTTATTTTTCATTTTTGTATTTATTTTTTCGTTTGTAATAATTATTATTATTTTTGGAAAATGAATTAAATCAGTTTGATTCTAAAAGATAATTTAAACAATTAGATTACACTTTTCTAGATATCGTTTTTCTGATTCATTCATAAATTTGGCTTTGTCTACTTACTGGAATTGCTATCTTATATTTCTCTTTAAAAAATTAAATAATTCTATTAAGAATCCCTTTTATTTTTAAATTTTAATTAATTTACTTTTTTAAGAAAGAGAAAATTTTCTTTTATTTTACTATAAGATACAAAAAAGTTTATATTTATTTTTGTAAGCTTTACATTAAAATAATTAATATTTTTTCTTTATAAAAAGTAGATTAATAAATAAACTTTAAAAATATATTATTCAAAAAATATAATAAACTAATTATAATAGACAAAATTATCATTCATTACCAGCAAGATAAAAAATCGCTGGCTTAATAAATATTAATGCAAACTAATTTAAAACATAAATTTATAAATTACAACAATATAGCTTTTAATAGCTATTAATCTTCACTAGCATTCGTATCTAATTATAGGTTTATTTAAATAAAAACATCATTTTTATAAAGTTTTAGGTTTTGATGAGCTGAATCTAACTAATTTTTATTTTTGACAGCTTTAATTTAAAAAGCTGAAATCAAAAGATTCAACATTAGAAATTTAAAATTCTATTTTAATTTTTTTGTATGGATCTAAGTATTTTATTTGATCTGATTTTTTTTTCTTGTTCTTTATCTCCAAATAGCGTTTATACAATTGTATAAGAAGATAAATAATAGCTTATATTACAAAAACTAAATGAAATGTGACTAGCAAGTACATTATAACTATTTTATAATTAATTATTAAAATATTATTAAATTCGCGGTAAATTCTCATATTAAATCCAAATATTTTAAGGTTTATTTTTATAAAATTTTTAAAATAATCAAGGTTTCTAAGGTGTATAAACTGAAATTGATATTGCCTTAATATGAATCATTACCGTGTATATTATTTTAAAAATAAGAAATTAAAAATACCTAATGAAAGCTTTAGTGTGTCAGCAATCAGAAGCAAAGATACTATTACAGTATAAAATATCTCTAAAAAAATTATATTGAAGTTTCTCCACTTATTTTGAATAGGTTAAACAAATATCAAATATAATATGAATACTATATTGAAGCTTATATTCAAATAAATTGATTTTTTTCCTTAAAGAAAAATAATAATGACAATTAAAATAAATTTTCTAAGCTCAAAGAACATCCAAAATAGCCTTTATTTTAGATTTTGATTTACTTCTATAAGTAAGTATTTTTTTGAAGTTTAAATCTAATCTTTCATCCAATCATAATACTTTATTTATCTTATACTTCTATAAATATTAATCAAGTAAATTAGTAAATTTGTAACAAAAAAAAATATTTCACCAAACTTAAGACTAGATATATCATAAAATTTACTAGTAAACATACCTAAAAGAAACATATTTGAGCATATCATCCAGATTTTTATTAAAAAGTTAAATTTTAAATATTGAACCAGCTTATTTTTACAAGAAAATATTTTAAAGACTAAATAAATAATGTGTAATATGATTATAATCAAACCTTGATAAAAAAAGTTTAAAAATAACAAATCCAACAAAGGCTACACATTAATTAGCATAGGATAATATTGACTTGAAAAGAGGGTTTTTATACTTTCGCTTTTTGGAAAGAATTGTTCTATTGGAATTAAATTAAAATAGTTATGGGTTAAAGCATACTTTAAAGCCAGTTCTTTGGTCATAAATAGATAATCTATATTTATCAAGCAATAGTTTCCAATCATTTATACAACTTATATATAATAAATGCTTAAAAAGCCCAAAAATTAATAATCACTTACAAAAGCAATTATCATAAATAAAGCAGAAATAAGGCTTATGATATTTTCAACTAAGTACATATCCTATGAAGATAAAATTTAGTTTTCACAATCTGTTTATGAGTCCGAAAGCCCTAGAGTATCACATATTTTTTATTTTAAATATTAACCTTATCTTTCTAAACTCATACAATCAATAGATTGTATATCACTGCAAACAGTGCAGTCATTAACATTGTTTTGGCATTTCTAGCATTTACTATCACATTATTCACATTTTGTTATCATGTTATTTTATATGCTTTTCGAAGAAAATGCATAGTAACCATCTTTGCAAGTACTTTAGCATATACTATCCTGTAGTACGAATGGTTAATCACATTCTAGACTACAAGTTTTATTTATAAAAGAAGTAATAGTATTTTATGGACATATATCTACACATTAAGCTCCATAAGTAAAATAAGACTATTTGCATTTAATACAAGAATTTTAATCACAAATTATACATCCTTCTCCATATGTAGATTAACATGTTAAACAAACTGGGTGATTATTAATTGATTGAGGGTAAAATCCATTACTACACTAGCTTTTACATGAATTAGTAATTTTATCAAAATAAAGAGGCAATTAACAAGATGAACATTAATTTGGATCAGGTCCAAAACATGTTAAGCAAGTTTAATTGCAGCTACAGCAAGTGTTATTGATTGTATCTTTATATTAATTACTGTTACATTGAGTTAAGCATTAGTTAAGGGATTATTAATAAAATGTTCCATTATTGCAACTCAGGCAATTGTCATTTGATCCACCTGAACAAGTTTTACACAATTTATGACAAAGAGTGCAAATACCTGAAGATGTATCACCATATTAATTACTGTTACAAACGCTAACACATTCTCCTGTCGACTACTATAGAAAAGTTGATTAATAGCAAGATTAGCAGTTGTTTTATTAACCGCCAAAACAAGTTTTACAATTTTGATGACATGGTTTGCATATATTTGTTTATAAATCTCCATATTAATCTACGTTACATTTATTAAGACATTAGTTAAGTGTTTATTAAAAAAACAAACCATCATTACAGCTTAAACAATTACTACTTGTTCCTCCATCACAAGTTTTACAATTTTGATGACATGGTTTGCATATATTTGTTTATAAATCTCCATATTAATCTACGTTACATTTATTAAGACATTAGTTAAGTGTTTATTAAAAAAACAAACCATCATTACAGCTTAAACAATTACTACTTGTTCCTCCATAACAAGTTTTACAACTTTTATCACATGCAATACATTTATTTTGAATAGTATCTCCATAAAAACTATCATCACATTAACTAACACATTAACCTTAGTATAAAAAAGTGTTATTACCACAAGAAATACACTCCGTAAGACTTATACAAGAAAGACAATTTGTTATAGTGCACTGTTAATAATTAAAAAATATTATATTGAGTTCATTAAATTTAAATTTTACATAGTGGATTTAAACATAGAATTCTCTTATACCAAAGGAGTGTACACTTGAATTTTAATCTAAATTAGTTGATATTTTTATATCTAAGCTTTATTAATGATGTGGCTAATCTAAAGCAATAATTTAAACAATTTGATCATTTTAGCTTTGTAAACCACAAATTTATGTTGGTGGTTAAAGAATATTTTTCTAAAATTGAATTAACTAATCATCAATTGTTACATTAAAAGCATAAATTGTATCAAGAATTTACCATTAATCTATTATAAAAGCTACAAAAGTTATATCTATTTTCCAATGAGGCTGTCTAAAGTAAAAAAAATTTGATTAAAAATAATAAATAAATAAATTTATTTTTTACAAATTAGTAAAAGATTTTTAAATTTAAGAATTTATAGATGCAAGATAAGCACCACCTAAAAGTTGGTATATGTTGCAAAGTGTTACAGTTGAATTAGTATATCTTTTCTCGTAGTAGAAATCATCAAAAAAAGTTATTTAAAACTAGTAATTACTGACAGTGATCTCTCCAAAGCTGTCTAATGTTAGACTTTTAAATAATATCTCTGAATCTTTTTTAATGATAATAAAAATTCAAATTATTTTTAGAATTAAAAATAAATAAAACAGTAAAAGATAAATTTTAAAGATTTAACTTGCTGCAGAAACTAATGGTTTATATAACTACGATATTTATGACACACATTCACCATCAATCATGTAAAATGAGATTGGCTTGCATCTATTGCATTTCATCATAGATAAATCATAACTATCGCAATTATTTTATATTTTTACACATATATAATTTTAATCTCCTTGAAACTAAGCAGGACAAGATGATATGCAGAGACCTTAGTGATAAAATTATCCGCTACTACATTATTAGCAAGTTTTTTATTATGCATCATATTTGGAACTATCTGAACAACTTAAACAATTATTCTAATTTTTATAAAATTTTATATTCCATTAGTTTAAGATATCTTTAATTTACATAATTTGGTCCATCGCATCTAAAACAAGAAGGATGACAAGTATTTAAATAAATATTAAGATTTTTAATTCCAAATCCTTCATCTGGATAATCTTAATCAAGCTTTGAATGAAATATTAAATTAAAATTATAAGATGAAAGTGATAATATTGTTGAAAAGCGGATTAGAGTATCTGGCTTTTCTGAACAAATTAAATACCCATCTGTATAGTGATTTTTTGTATACCAGATAGAAGTAAATAATTGATTATTATTTTAATCTGACAAAGCTATTTAAAAACCATCTTCTGGATCTACTGTCCTTAAAAGTAAAATATCTACTTTAATAGAAATTTAGTAATGTGGAATAATTCCATTCTAAAATTAATAGGTGTATGTATTTTCATCATCTAATATGCCAAAAATTTAATTTTAATTAAATTCAGAGAAATCAGTTTGTTAACAGGTGTAAGTTAAAGTTGGATATTCATTGCAATAGTCGCATTTCTTTATCAATACTTTAGTCCAATTTAATAATTCCGAACTAGTTATTGTGGGTTATGCAAAGAAAGATTCCAATAAATATTCATCTTTTTTGAATTATAAAAATTAAATATTAAAAAATTTTTTATTAAATTGATATTACATTGAAATGATATTTTTAAAGTAATAAAAATGAGAAAACAAATTTTTTAGTTCATATTTTTGAGTTTTTTAGCAAATAAATTTTATAAAATTATAATACAAAAATTATAAAAACCAGATATGTAAAAGAGTAAATATGTGTAGTTACATTTTATTAAAGGTGATAGTACCTCATAAATTAAAGCCATAAATCAATTTTTTTTAATTTAGATTGCGTATAATCAAATCCACAATATCTTAGAGTAATGTTTTTTTAAATTAATGAAGGTTACTGGTTTTAACATTGAAAGACATATCTTTAATTAAGAAAATATAAAATATATACAAATATCATTTAGCTTTAATATCAAAAAAAATTATAAAAAGACTGCAAATATTTTATTCAATTTACAAAGAACTGATTAATTTATTTTGAGTGAAGAAGTTAATCTATTTTCTTCTATTACTAAAATTTGAATAGATCATCAACATTGATTAAATCACAATTATTGTTTTTGAAAAAATTTATCAAATATTTTTAAGTTATAAAAAATGTTTTTTATAATTTAAAATGTTTTTCAATTTTTTATTTAACAAAATAAGATATAAATTTAGTAAATTTTTCAATTTAAATTATTATTTTATGAAATATAAATTTTAAGAGATTAAATAAACAAAAATAATAATTTAAATACAAAATAATTAAATATTTATTTAGTTTACTTTTATTTGAAGAAATTTTTATTTTTTCAATCTTTATAGAAATATATCTTCAATATAAATGAGCTTAAGGCTTTAACCTAATTATTCTACTAAATTTCTCTGAATATTAATTTTTTTACTATAGAGACTGAATAGTTTTATATTGAGAAAGTTAAAATTCTTGAGTTATTTACTAGAAAGGATCAATTTAGTATATTTTTAGTTTATGTAATTATTTTTTCTTTTTTATACTTTCCAATGAGTAATTCTTATGAAAAGCTATAAGGAGATAAATAATAGCTTGTACCATGAAAAACAAGTGAAACATTACGAGCATGTACATTATTACTATCAAATAATTTATAAAATAATTTATTAAAAATATTATTTTAGAATCTAAAATATTAAATTACCTAAAGCAATATTTTGAGTATTGGCTATCAAAAGTAAAGAGATTATTGCTGTATAAAATAGTTCTAAAAATACTATATTGAAGTTTCTCCACTTACTTTTTACAGGCTTGAAAATAATTAAATATAAAATAAATACCATATTTAAGCTAATATTTAGGTAAATAGATTCCTTTCCCTAATTAAACGCGATAATGCAAGCTATAATCAATTTTCTTAATTCGAAAAACATCCAAAATAATCTCTAATTAAACTACTTTTTTACTCCTATAAATAAATAATCATTTGAAGTTTGTCCTAATTCTTTTTTGCAATCATAATTTATTATTTGTATTAAACTTTTTAATATATAGCTCAAGTAAATAACTAAAATTACTATAAAAAAATATATTTCATAAAACTAAACAGTTGAACCTTCATAAAATTTGCTAGTAAAAAAGCTTATTAATAACAAGTTTGAGCTTATCATCCAAATTTTTACTATAATGTTATATCTTAAATATTACTTCATTTTATTTTTGCATTAAAACAGTTAGAATCCAAAGTAAATAGAGTACAAAGTGACGATTATGAAACCTTGATAAAAAAAGTTTAAAAGTAATAAATCCATCAAAGGCTATACTTTAATTAACATAGGATAGTATTGACTTGAAAAGAGAGTTTTCATACTTTCATTTTTATGAAAGATTTGTTGAGTTGGAATTAAATTAAAGTAATTATGAGTTAAGGCATACTTTAAAGCAAGCTCTTTAGTCAAATAAAGAGAATCAATATTTAGCAAGCAATAATTTCCTATCATTTAAATTACTTAAATGTAATAAATGCTTAAAAAACCCACAAATTTATAGCCACTTAAAAATAAAAGTATCATGAAAAAAAATGATATAAATCCTACAACATTTTCAATATGATATTTATCTTGCGATGATGAAACTGATTATTAACAATCTGCCTATGATTTAGAAAGTCCAAAGGAGTCACATATTTTTAATTGTATATATTAAGACTTTCTAGCTTCACTCATACAATCTGTTGATTGCACGTCACTACAAATTGTGCAATCATCGGAACTTTTTTGACATTCTTTACATTAACTATCACATTTTTCACACTTTCTTATAAGGTTATTTGATATTAATTAAGGAGAGGAAGCATAGTAACCTTCTTTACAACTGCTTTAACAAACATTATCTTGAACTACAAAGGATTACTCACAACTTTAACTACAAGTCATATCTTTAAACGAAGTAATAGTATTTTAAGGACATTTATCAACACAATAAATTCCACTGGAAAAAAATGTTTAACTACATTTATTACATTATTTTTAATCACAAAGAATACAGCCTTCTCCAAAAGCAGATTCACAAGTTAAACAAATTGGTAAATTATTAAATAAACCTGGATAAAATCCATTTTTGCAGGTATTTGTACATTAATTTGTATTTTTATCAAAATAAAGAGGCAATTAGCAAGATAAACATTAATTTAAATTAGGTCCAAAGCATGTTAAACAATTTTGGTGGCAGCTACTGCAAGTATTATTGATTGTGTCTTAGTATTAATTACTATTGCAAATAGATAAACATTAATTAAGAGATTATTAATAAAAAGTTCCATTATTACAACTCAAACAGTCACTATTTGATCCACCAAAACAAGTTTTGCATTATTTATTACATGGAGCACAAATACTTGATGATATATCACCATATTAATTACTTTGACAAACACTTACACATTCTCCAGTTGATTATTATAAAAATTATGGTGGTTAACAGGAAGTACAGTTATTTTTTTAGCTTCCATTACAGCCTTTACAGTTGGGGTTACATTTTTAACATGAGTTTATTTAAGGATCTCCATAATATCCTAAATCACAATTTACAACACATTATTTTTATGGGAGTTATAAAAATGTTCCATCATTGCAACTTAGACAATCATTTGATGTTCCTCCTAAACAATCTTTACATGACTTATGGCAGATAGTACAAATACTCGTTGATTTTTCACCATAATAATTACTACCACAATCGTTAACACATTTTCCTGTTAATTGCTATAAAAAATTTGGTGATTAACAAGAAGTACAATTATTATTTGAGCCTCCATTACAACCTTAACAGCTAGAATGACATTTTTAACAAGTGTTAGTTGATTTATCTTCGTAAAAACCTAAATCACATTTGACAACACATTAATTTTCAGGAAGTTTCAAATATCTCCCATCATTGCAACTAGTGCAAGTAGATGACTTTCCTTAACATGTTTTGCAAGAAGTATCGCATTAAGTACATAAACTAGTTTGATCATCTGCATATTAATTGCTATAACATTAACCATCACAAGTATTTATAGATGACTATAAATATTTCTTTGGATAACAAGACTAACAATTATTGAATTCACCTCCATTGCATGTATTACAATTAATGTTACAAGGCTGGCATTAATTATTTTTATCTGCATATTAATTTGGATCACATGCTTTAACGCATGTATTGATGGATTATTAATAATAAAGTGAATCTTAACAACTTAAACATTTATCAGCTTTTTCAATACAAGTTTTACAAATTTTATTACATTATAAGCATTAATTAGAAATATTATCTCCATAGAAACCATCTTAACATTTGCTAACACAAGTACCCTAATATAAAAAAGTAGGTATCTGACAAGAAGTACAACTATTGATATCAGAACAAGCAAGGCAATTTGGGTCAGGACACTATTAAATAGAATAAAATAGTAAATATAAATATAACAATAAAATTTAAATTTTACATAATGGATTTAAACATAGAACTCTCGAATACCGAAGGAATGAACGCTTGAATTATCATTTAAGTCAGTTGTTATTTTTATATTTAAATTTTGTAAATTATGTTGTAAATTTTATACTGTAATCTAAACAATTTGATCACTATAGTTATTTCTACCACAAATATTTGGCGATTATTCAAGTACTTGTTCATCAATTGTAGTACCATTCTAATCAACTAAAACTAAAATATTGTAAATTTTACTGGGTGTTTACCATTAATCTATTTTAAAAGCTACAAAGCTTATATCTATCTTCCAATGTGGTTTTCTAGAGTTTACAAAAATTTTGTATATATTTAAAAAATAAAATTAATTTATTATTTTACAAATTGGCAAAGGATTTTTCTATTGAAGCTCCTGTTGATGCAAGATAAGCTCCTCCTAATATTTAATAACCCCCACAAAGTGTTACAGTTGATTAAGTTAATTTTTTATTATCATAAAAATCATCTAAAAAATTATTAAGTTAAAACAAGTAGTTGCTTACAGTGATTTCTGCAAAATTATCTAATGTAAGGCTTTTAAATAATATTTCGGAACCTTTTTTTGTGGATAAAAACAAAAAATTATTTATAAAAATAATCATTAAGAATTCATATAAAAATAAATTTTGAAAGGTATTACTTTTTCCAGAATTTAGTGGTTGATAATTAGAAATAATTTTTACGCATTCACCATCAACTAAATAAGATATTGAATTACAACTATCACATTTCATAGTAGAAGAGTTATAGTTATTGCAATAAATATTCGATTTTAAACAAATTTAATTTGTTAAATCAGCTTAAAATTAGCTGGGACAAGCTGCTACACAATAGCCTTAATGATATAGCTATCCATTATCACATTATTAGCACGTTTTATTTGCAGAATCATATTTCGAAATTTCTTAGCAACTCAAACAATTATTCTAATTTTAATAAAATTCTATTTAATTTTAGAATCATTCTTTTATAATTTACACTATTTGGCCCATCGCATTTGGAACATGAAGGATGACATGTATTTAAATAAATGTAAAGATTTTTAATTCCAAAACCTTCGTCTGTATAATCTTAATTAAGTTTTGATTGAAATACTAAAGTAAATTAATATGATGGATTTATAATTTCTGAAAAACGAATTAAAGTATCTTTTTAATTGGAGCAGATTTTATAACCATCATCATAATTTGATTTTGTATAACTAGAAGAAAATAGCTGATTACTTTAATCAAGCACTATTACTTAAAAGCTATCAGTTGTGTCCACTGTCTCTAAAAGTAATATGTCTACTTTTATAGAGATTTAATAATGTGGAATAATACCATCAGAGAACTAAAAACTATAACTGTTATATAAATCAAGTATGCCAAAAATTTAATTTTAGCTAAATTCAGAGAAAAAAGTAGTCTAGCAAGTATAGGTTTGAGATGGGTATCCATTACAATTAGCGCATTAACTTTTCTTCCAATTTAACTCAGCACTAGGTATTGTATTTTATGTAAAGAACGACTATAACAAATATTCAACTTTTATGATATAAAATTCTAATTTAAATTCCTTTTGAAATAATTTTACATTCAAGGGATAATTTTAAAATCCAAAAAATGAAAAGGCCTCTAATTATCATTTTAAATTTTTTTTTTAATTATTATTTATGTAATAAATATCAAATCATTAAATGAATTGAATCTTTTAAAGAATTTTAATAAGACGAGTTACAGATATAAAAATCGAAGTTCTCATCTAAAAAAAATAAACTTTTTTTAATTTAAAAACACTTTTAGCTGTAAAGATTATTTTTACTTGTGAGTAAATTTTATAAAAAATATGTAATTAATTATGTGGATTAAGAAATTAAGAAAATTATCCTTTCAAATTATATTAAGAATTGTGAATAATTAATTTAAATATTTGTTAATTAACCTTAGTTTAATAATTATGTTGTAAAATATATTTTAAATATTCTAAAAACCATAATTTCTTAATTTAATTGAATTAATAAAATGATATTAATATTCAAAAATAAAGAAGATGGGAAGGGGCTTATCGATATAAGGCTCTTAAAGTATATAAAAATTAATCATATTTTTGTTAATTTTTAATTTAAAATTACCAATATAATTTCAAGGTTTTTTTTTTAACAAATTGTTTATTTGTTGTAATATTTTATTATTTTTCATTCATTTTTGTTTAGGAATTCTCCTTTAAAAAAAGTAGTTTTAAGAGTTTAGGTATATGTAAATAATATAAAATCCATAATTTTGTTAATTCATTACCTCAAATTACTAATTTAATATCAATTTTTTAATACATTACGATATAGTTCAAATAAATAGAATCATTTTATTAAAAAGTTTCAATTGGGAAATATCTTTTAAAAAATAATAATTTTAAAAGTTTAGGTATCTGAAAATGATTAAATAATAATTATAATTTTGTTAATTTATAATACATAATTATGAATATAATATTTATTATATGATAACTTATTTATTTCTTGAGTTAACTTAAAAAAACTTTTTATTAAAATCCACATTCATTTTTTAAAATGAAATTAATTTAAAAATTATAAAAGATGGGCTATTTCAATTTCTTAACTTTATTATTATTATGCTTTTTGCTTAACTTTATTTCTAAATATCTTAAGGCTTAACTTAATTTTATTTTATCTTAAGCTTAAATATTTAGATTAATTAGACTCTCATCAATTTGTTTAATATCTTTTATCATTTTATTTTCTTTTATTATAAGAATTTGTGAGAGTCAATAAATCTTATAAAAATAACAGTTTGATTGGAAATAAAATATAATTAAAATTAGATATACTTACTGAATAAGATAACATAAATAACCTTTATTCTAGGTTTATTTTTTCTATTCCCAACAAGCACAGCATTTATTGAGTGTACATTTTCCAAAATAAATGGGCCTTATCACAAATTAATTAAAAATAGATCTAAACGTGATTTAATAGAAATATTGAAATACTTAAAAATTAACTTAGATAATAACTTTCTCAAAGAAAACTAATTATATAAAATATTTTCAAGATAAAAATTTTGATATTATATTCTTTATTTTATAATTGTATTTTACATATTTAAAGATTGATATTTATTTTATAAATTTTTAATAAGAATTTTTCAAAATGATACTGGTTTTTAAAATTGAAATTTATTAGAAATATCATTTTAAAATGAGATATCAAGGTAATAAAAATATTATTTAATAAATTATCTAAAATAAAAAATTTTCAAACACCATTATGATTCAAAATTATTTTATATTTAAAATGATTTATTAAAAGTAATTGCAAGTATATTATTAAATTTTATTATAAAATATTTTAATGTTAAAAATTAAAAGTTTTTTTATATTCTCAAATATTCTTTTAGTCAACAAAACATAGACTAATTACTTTTTTTATTAATAATAATAATTTTTACGCATATTTAATTTTTATCTTCAATTAATTTTTTTTGTTTTTATCTTAAATTTTACAACCATTTCTTTTTTAAGATCAAAAGAATTTGCAAAAGAGTTCAAATCAAACATTTCTTTTTATTTTAACTGGTTAAGTTTATTGAATACTTAAATATCATATTCAATCTTTTTTTTTTATATTACTGAGTAAATTTTTCTTACTATTAAAAAGATACTAATGACATTACAAGATAAAAGAAACACTACAAGGATTGAAATAAGGTCTTTTGGTTAAAATTTAAATAAATATTTAATTCAAAATAAATTAAAAAATTACTTTAAATGCTATCAAGTTAACTCATGAACACTAATACTAGCTAAGAACTAAAGAAAATTATTTCTAAGAAAACTAAAAATCCTAACTCTAACTTTGAGCTAAAAGGGCGGTATAAAGTTAAAAACAAAATAAACACAAAACTAATAGTTATGGATACCCAAATTGATATTACTTATTTATTGTATATCACAACAAAAAGGCAACAAAACAATTTTCTCAACTCAAAAAGAACCCAATATATTCTTCTAGACAAATGAGCTTCAAGACTTTCAACTAAAAAAAATTTCTACAAATTACTCTAAACCAAAGTTACCTCAATTCTGTAAATATAAACTTAATATATTATATAGCTAAAAATTCCAAAATAAAATCCCAAACTACCATAAGCAACTATTCTATCAAATGTAGAAAGATAATTAGAATTTATTATATTATTTAAAGATGATAATAAAATCATGTTAGAACAAATTAAAAACAATTTTGGCATGATATTGTTCTTGAAATAAGCTCCGATTCTATATAAATGCTTGATATTTATTAGAATTATAGTTGCGAGCACAGCCAAGAAAAGTAGAATCAATTAGTATAAATTATTTAAGTAAAAAACCTTGGATAAATTATGGATATCCAAAATTAAAGTCTTATAATTAAAGAATGTCAACAAATCTGAATAATTTTCTCTTTCAAAAGGATAAGGTATTAGATTGAATGTATTAAATGCTAAAAAATATTTTGTTAAGACTTCATTGACAATTTTGAACTCTTATGTTTCTATTAAAACATAGTTACCAATCAATTAAAATATTTAGATGTAATAAATGCTAAAAACACCTATAAATGTGTGATTTCCTAATATTAAAGTGAGACATATTCCATTGCTAATATAAGAAGTAATATCTATAATATAAGTTTAAGCTCTACTTTATGTTAGCGTTTTGCTACATTTTTCAATTTAGCTTTCTTCCTTGAAATATTCGCAATACTGATTCTTTAAAAATGTATCAAAATCCTCTTTATCTAAACAATCCCATCCACTCCCTTAGGAACATACAGTGCAAAATGAGCTTTTTTTGATACATTCTTTGCATTTTTAGTCACATAAACTACAGATTATTTGATTTTGTGAATTAATTGGTTCTTTATAATATCCAGAAGGGCAAATCATACTACACTATTTATGCCTAATTAAAACTAAAGGATCATTACAATTATCTAAACAAATATAGTTTTCTATATCGAAGTATGTATTTTCAGGACATTAGCTGTAACATTTGTTCTGATATAGATAAAAATCTGGAGAACATTTTAAGCATTTGGAAGAATTACATAAGATACAGTTATTATCATATTAATCTTAGCACACCACACATAACTTCTTGTGGGTTTAATCAATATAAGTATTTGAACTACATTACAGAACGCATGTTCTGCTTTATATAAATTATGGACACTCTTAACATTGCTTTGGGTTTTCTATTTAAAGCAAATAATTTGGACAAGAGTCAAAGCACTCATTTGTAGCTATATTTACATAAAAATCACAATTTTCTACGCAATCCTTATTATATAAATAAATTAATGGAGAGTTTTCCAAGATTTAAGAGCAACTTAAACATTTACTAGTATCTTTGGATCACAGGTATAACAGTTTGCATTAGCACACTTCTAACAAACTTTTTTATTTATTTAATTAGATTAAGAAGAATTAAAAATTAATGATGAATCTATATAGTTAGGTGGACAACTGGAAACACATTATTAAGTATCTTCCAATATAAATAAATTATCTAAGCAAGACAAACATTTCGTTTCAGTGCATTTTTAGCAATTACTATATTAGCTGTAGCAATATGTACAAGTTTTATTTTTGTTATTAGGGAATGTTCCTTCAGGACATTTTGTAATACATATTTCATTTAATAAATAAAATGAATCTGAGCATGTTAAACATTTTGATGGATCTAACAGATTACATTGTTTGCAATTAGAATCTTAGCATTTTTTGCAAATTTTTATATCTTATTAGAAGGGATAATAATTATCTAGACAAATACTAACACAACTATTATTGAGTAAAAATAGATTAGAGCTAGGTATACAAGAAATACATGAATTTTTATCACATTAAGCACAATTAAGATCATATTTACTACAACTTTAGCATTAATTTAATTCATCAGAGAAATAACCTTCTTGGCATTAAGATAAGCATTAATGATCATTAAAATAAGGATATTCTGTTTTGCATGAAAGGCATTATCTAGGGTTTTACTAATCACAAGTATTGCATCTTGTATTTTCGCAATTTTAGCATAAGTTTGTTGATGTATTTCCATATTAACCTGATGGGCAAGTAGGTACACACGAATTTTATTATAGCTCACTTATAAATTATTATTTATCACATTTAATACATGCTTAAGTGTTACACATCAAGCAAGATAAGCCATATTTTGATGAACATGCTAAACATTTTAAACCATTTTCATCTAAATACTCATTATTTTCACACTTACTGACACAGTTACCATTTTCATTAAGATAAGGTTATTAACTATTTAAAAAACAGGAATCACAAGTAGAGGGAGTACATGTTTTGCAATATTAATTTGGACACTATTGACAAATATTTTCTTTTGGGTAATAGTTATCAGGACAAGAATCATTACAAGTATTATTGGAAGTATTTAGTTTTTTTTAAGGATTGCATTTTGAGCATTTATCTGAAGTACATTCAATACAGTTATCAAATAATTTGGAGCACTGTAGACAAGCATCACCTCCATAAAAATTTTTACCTTAGTATTAGCCAGTAGGGCACGGTGCATTAATACACTTGCTTTGAGTTTGATCTATTATATAATTATTCTAACATTTTAAGCATTAAGTAGAAGAATTACATAAAGAACATTTATCTAGGCAGGGTTTACATTCATTATTAATACTATCGAAGAATCCATCAGTACATTAGGTTACACAATCATCGTTTTAAAGCAAATTTTTACCAAAGTCAGGACAAGTTTTGCATTTACTAGGTTATCCTGGATCACATGTTAGGCAATTACTATTACTACAGGGCTGGCAAATCTATTCTGATTCTTTGATATAATATCCAGGGTTACATTTTAAACATATAAATTTTTAGTCACAAGAAGCACAATTATCGTAACATTTTTTACACTGCTAATCTATTTATACAGTCCCAATTGGACAATTAAGTAGACATTATTTTTAATCAACACTAAGTACAAAATTACCACTGCACTGATTGCATTAATTCTAGTCACAAGAATCGCATTAATAGAATAATGAAGAGCAATCTTTGCAAAATCCTTGAATGGCATACTAAGTATTTAAACACTTATTTACACATTATTATGTATTTTAATCAAAAAAGTAATTATCTTTGCATTAAGTACATAGATTTTTAGAGTTATTACAAATTTTGCAATAAGATTGTGTGCATGGTACGCAAACTGCATTTTATATATCACCATAATAGCTATCAGGACACTAAGGTATACATTAATTATTTAAGAAGAAGTAGCCATTCTAGCACTTATTACATGACTAAAGATTTTTATCACAATTTTAACAGTATTAAATACATTTTTAGCATTTATTTGTATTTTGGTCGACTGCCATTCCTGTTCCACAATTTGAAACACATCATGTGTCTAGAAGAGCTAAAGGAGGTATACATGAAAAGCATTAAGTAGAATCAGTTTCTAGGCATGTTAAACACTAACTATTCAAACAAGGAGAACAAGTAATTTATGCAGAGTCAAAATAAAAAGAATCTTAACAGACACATAAATTATCTTTGTTAAAAGTTAAGCCTTAAACAGGAAGACATTAAGTGCAAGAATGTGAGTTAGAGCAATTTAAACAAGTAGGATAACATTAGAGACAATTTCCATCTTATAAATAATACCCAGCATGGCATTCTGTACAAGTAGTCTAAGCATCACTTAGAGTACAGCTTTAGCAATTATCTTATAAACACTATAGATTTATTTAGTTAAAACAATTAATTTAATATTTTTAAATAAAATAAATGGTTACATTAAAAGCGTATATTGTAATTTCTCTCACCCCTAAATAAATATTCTTATTACTCCCTTTTTTTAATTCAAAATTAAATATATTTGAATTTAATATGGTTAAGCTATTCAAACTCTAAGAGTTAGCTAAGATAGAAAATGTGCCTATCACCTCAGAACCAAAAAAACCACAGATATCTTTTGCTTATTAAATCTATTCATCAGTTAAATAGATATTATTTTTTATATTATTTAGAGTTACTTAAATTAAAGAATCTGCTTTTTATGATTATTTTTGAATATCAATTATAATATATTTAAAAAAAACCTTCACAAAATTAAAGCCATTTGATTTGAAATTGTAGCTTATCAAGCTATTCTATTTATTTACAATAAACCCACCTAACAATTAATAGTCACCACATCTAGATACTATAGAGTCTGAATTTTATTGGCTCATAAATTATTTAATTTACAAATCTTTAACACTATCAACTTCAATACCTGAAAAATCGTTTGAATGAAAAGCTAATAATATTAGAGATACTATTTTTATATTAAATTAATTATTTATAAAAACATTTAATGTATATTTTCTTTTATTAAGTAAAATTTTTTTAAATTTTAGTAAAAATGTTTTTTCATTTATTCAATCTTTTAAAAAAACATTAAAAATACAGTTCCTTAGGGGTTCCTTATTGAATAAGTATAGTATTATTTTAATGTGTTTAAATAATTAAAATATACTTATATTTAATAAAATGCTAAAGAGTTAATTTAATATTTAAAATTTTTTTAATTTAGAAGAAGGTATGTAAACAAAATAAATCTAAAATGTTATAGAAAAACGATTACCGTTTTTATATCTGTCAGTTAAAAGACATTCTTAGGATTTCGTTTCAGGATTTAATACAGGTTAAAATCCTGAAGAACAATTATTAACACATTTATCGAACTATGGCAGCATTAAACCTTAGCACTTTATACACTTTTAGTTTTTGATATCCCATGATTAACAATTTTATATATAAGTGCATACTTATTCTGAAGATATTTTTTAGTGATAACCTTGGGCATTACTACAAATTTTAACACACTACCCATCTTAGAAAAAATAGCCTGAATCTTTACAAGAACACTTACCATTTTAAAAATTAGCATCTTAAGAGCATGAAGTGCAAGAGTTGGCACTTGAATCATTACAGCTTAAACATGTTTAATGGCATGTATTTATATTGATTTATATAGAACTAATAACTAGAGCTTTAAAATTAAACATTTGCTTTTTTTCATTTACTGATACTTAAATTTAGTTTCCGCTTTATTAATATTTTTATCGATCTAATAATAATTTAGAAAAAGTTAAATTCAAATTTATGTGAATGAATTTCAAAGATTCAAAGTTCACATTTATAAATATTTATTCTATTGAATGCATATTTAATGTTTTACTTTGTGAATAAAAATTATTATTTATTATGAATTTATTTATTTAAAATTAAATTAATTTACATTTTAATAGCTATTCGAATTATTTATAAGCTTCTTTTAACCCACCATATTTTGAATTACATAATTCTTAAATTAAGAAAGGATAATATATTTCAAATTTATTTTCATTTACTCCATCCAATGAAACTGTGATTTGATTGTTTCCATTCTTTCTGAAAAAAATAAAATCTATATTAACTTCTTTTTAAAAATGAGGAATATTTGTTTCAAAATTAAAATTATAAGTATATATCGTTTCAAGAGGCGATCCATAGAATTAATTTTTAAACTAAACTGATTATGAATCTGGGCAGTTGAATTTAACGACACCCATGTCTTAATTGCCATTGATGTAGCTAACAAATCTATCTTCTTTAAGTAAATATAATGTAAATACATTAAGAATAATTTATTAATAAAATTTTACCTCCAAAGCATGCAGAGTAGAATAAAGAAATATAGTAATATACAAAAATATTAAATTTGTTCATTTGCTAACTTTTTATTTAATGTAATTAATTTTATTAAATAAAAATTTTTATAAATTCAGAAAGTAATTAATGTATTTGAATTAATCAAACAAAATCAAATTTTAGAATGCTTAACTTTCAAATAATCTTACTTTGCTTAATTACCACTTGTACAATTAAAAATTTGATTTATAGAGACTTATATCAACTTTATTTTTTTATTTAAGCTTTAAATAAAAAAGGAATCTGTTTAAGATAAGGGATTTTAAAAATACATAAATAATAAGAGTATAATTTATATAATAAGTTTTAAAAAATAAAATTTTATCTTTTTTTGCTTATTTAAAATATAAATTAATGAAATTCTTTTATTCTAAACAAAAATATCAAATTGAAGAAATTAAATAAGCTCTCATTCATTATCTTCATTAAAAAATTCACAATAATAGTATAATTTATCTTTTTTAATAAGTTTCTGCTTATTTCTTAGCTTGCTTTACTTTGTAATTATTTTCTTTTCACATACCCAATTTTCTTTTTTATAAATTGTAAACATTAGTTTTTATTTTTAATTAATATGCATATATCAAAGCTAATAATTGTAAGGTAAAAATAATCATATATGACGCACCAAAAGCTTATTTTGCTTAAATTCTTTAAAGATAAAAATATATCACTATATTACAATTCCTTCTTAGTAATCACTCAATTTCCTCCTCTTTTTTTAGTGTAAATTTATATTAAGATCCTGTTATTTTTATAATTGAAATTTATTAGAAATATCATTTTAATATGAGATATCAAGGTAATAAAAATATTATTTAATAAATTCACTAAAATGAAAAATTTTCAAAAATCATTAGAATTCAAAATTATTTTATATTTAAAATTATTTATTAAAGTAATTGCAAGTATATTATTAAATTTTAGTATAAATTATTTTAAGATTACAAATTAAAAGTTTTTTTATATTATCAAATATTCTTTTAGTCAACAAAACATAGGCTAATTACTTTATATATTAATATAATAATAATTTTTATGCATATTAAATTTCTATTTTCAATTACTTTTTTTTGTTTTTATCTTAAATTTTACAACCATTTCTTTTTTAAGATCAAAAGAATTTGCAAAAGAGTTCAAATCAGACATTTCTTTTTATTTTAACTGGTTAAGTTTATTGAATGATTAAATTTCATATTCAATCTTTTTTTGTTATATTACTTAGTAAATTTTTCTTACTATTAAAAAGATACTAATGACATTACAAGATAAAAGAAACACTACAAGGATTGAAATAAGGTCTTTTGGTTAAAATTTAAATAAATATTTAATTCAAAATAAATTAAAAAATTACTTTAAATGCTATCAAGTTAACTCATAAACACTAATACTATCTAAGAACTAAAGAAAATTATTTCTAAGGAAACTAAAAATCCTAACTCTAACTTTGAACTAAAAGGGCGGTATAAAGTTAAAAACAAAATAAACACAAAACTAATAGTTATGGATACCCAAATTGATATTACTTACTTATTGTATATCACAACAAAAAGGCAACAAAACAATTTTCTCAACTCAAAAAGAACCCAATATATTCTTCTAGACAAATGAGCTTCAAGACTTTCAACTAAAAAAAATTTCTACAAATTACTCTAAACCAAAGTTACCTCAATTCTGTAAATATAAACTAAATATATTATATAGCTAAAAATTCCAAAATAAAATCCCAAACTACCATAAGCAACTATTCTATCAAATGTAGAAAGATAATTAGAATTTATTATATTATTTAAAGATGATAATAAAATCATGTTAGAACAAATTAAAAACAATTTTGGTATGATATTGTTCTTGAAATAAGCTCCGATTCTATATAAATGCTTGATATTTATTAGAATTATAGTTGCAAGCACAGCCAAGAAAAGTAGAATCAATTAGTATAAATTATTTAAGTAAAAAACCTTGGATAAATTATGGATATCCAAAATTAAAGTCTTATAATTAAAGAATGTCAACAAATCTGAATAATTTTCTCTTTCAAAAGGATAAGGTATTAGATTGAATGTATTAAATGCTAAAAAATATTTAGTTAAGACTTCATTGACAATTTTGAACTCTTATGTTTCTATTAAAACATAGTTACCAATCAATTAAAATATTTAGATGTAATAAATGCTAAAAACACCTATAAATGTGTGATTTCCTAATATTAAAGTGAGACATATTCCTATGCTGATATAAGAAGTAATATCTATAATATAAGTTTGAGCTCTACTTTATGTTACTATTTTGCTACATTTTTCAATTTAGCTCTCTTCCTTGAAATATTCACAATACTTATTCTTTAAAAATGTATCAAAATCTTCTTTATCTAAACAATCCCATCCACTACCTTTGGAGCATACAGTGCAAAATGAGCTTTTTTTGATACATTCTTTGCATTTTTAGTCACATAAACTACAGATTATTTGATTTTGTGAATTAATTGGTTCTTTATAATATCCAGAAGGGCAAATCATACTACACTATTTATGCCTAATTAAAACTAAAGGATCATTACAATTATCTAAACAAATATAGTTTTCTATATCGAAGTATGTATTTTCAGGACATTAGCTGTAACATTTGTTCTGATATAGATAAAAATCTGGAGAACATTTTAAGCATTTGGAAGAATTACATAAGATACAGTTTTTATCATATTAATCTTAGCACACCACACATAACTTCTTATGGGTTTAATCAATATAAGTATTTGGACTACATTACTGAACGCATGCTCTGCTTTATATAAATTATGGACATTCTTGACATTGCTTTGAGTTTTCTATTTAAAGCAAATAATTTGGACAAGAGTCAAAGCACTCATTTGTAGCTATATTCACATAAAAATCACAATTTTCTACGCAATCCTTATTATATAAATAAATTAATGGAGAGTTTTCCAAGATTTAAGAGCAACTTAAACATTTACTAGTATCTTTTGGATCACAAGTATAACAGCTGGGATTAGCACACTTCTAACAAACTTTTTTATTTATTTAGTTAGATTAAGAAGAATTAAAAATTAATGATGAATCTATATAATTAGGTGGACAACTGGAAACACATTATTAAGTGTCTTCCAATATAAACAAATTATCTAAACAAGACAGACATTTCGTTTCAGTACATTTTTAGCAATTACTATATTAGCTGTAGCAATATATACAAGTTTTATTTTTATTATTAGGAAATGTTCCTTCAGGACAGTTTTTAATACATATTTCATTTAGTAAATAATATGAATCTGAGCAAGTTAAACATTTTGATGGATTTAACAGATTACACTATTTGCAATTTGAATCTTAGCACTTTTTGCAAATCATTATATCTTATTAGAAGGGATAATAATTATCTGGACAAATACTAACACAACTATTATTGAATAAAAATAGATTAGAGCTAGGTATACAAGAAATACATGAATTTTTATCACATTAAGCACAATTTTGATCATATTTACTACAACTTTAGCAATTATTTTACTTATCAGGGAAATAACCTTCTTGGCATTAAGATAAGCATTAATGATCATTAAAATAAGGATATTCTGTTTTGCATGAAAGGCATTATCTAGGGTTTTACTAATCACAAGTATTGCATCTTGTATTTTCACAATTTTAGCATAAGTTAGTTGATGTATTTCCATATTAACCTGATGGGCATGTAGTTACACATGAATTTTTATTTACCTCACTTATAAATTATTGTGAATCACATTTAATACATGCTTAAGTGTTACACATCAAGCAAGATAAACCATATTTTGATGAACATGCTAAACATTTTAAACCTTTTTCATCTAAATACTCATTATTTTCACACTTACTGACACAGTTACCCTTTTCATTAAGATAAGGTTATTAACTATTTAAAAAACAGGAATCACAAGAAGAGGGATTACATGTTTTGCAATATTAATTTGAACACTATTGACAAATATTGTCTTTTGGGTAATAGTTATCAGGACAAGAATCATTACAAGTATTATTGGAAGTATTTAGTTTTTTTTAAGGATTGCATTTTGAGCATTTATCTGAAGTACATTCAATACAGTTATCAAATAATTTGGAGCACTCTAGACAAGCATCACCTCCATAAAAATTTTTACCTTAGTATTAGCCAGTAGGGCACGGTGTATTAATACACATGCTTTGAGTTTGATCTATTATATAATTATTCTAACATTTTAAGCATTAAGTAGATGAATTACATACAGAACATTTATCTAGGCAGCGTTTACATTCATTATTACTTTCGAAGAATCCATCAGTACATTAGGTTACACAATCATCATTATAAAGCAAGTTTTTACCAAAAACAGGACAAGTTTTGCATTTACTAGGTTATACTGGGTCACATGTTAGGCAATTAGTATTACTACAGGGCTGGCAAATCTATTCTGATTCTTTGACATAATATCCTTCACCACATTAATCCTCACATTTGTTTTTGTAAATAAATTTATCATTGAGGCATTTAATACAAGAATATTAGTTGCACTCTGAACAATCAGATCCAAATTTTTAAGAACACAAATCGCAAGTTTATTATCCATAATTTTAAAAATAACCATTTTTACATTATTAAACGCATTATTTATTATCATCCAAAAAGTAGCCTTTTGAACAAATTTAGCATTGATTGCTATTGCAAGGTAAACAATTTGTTTAAGTGCATGGATTAGAAGGAGTAGTTGAACTACAACTTGATTATTTTAAATTAGTATCAATATTTAAGAAATAGCCTATGTCGCATTGCAAACAAAATTAACTGTTACATTCTATGCATTTAGAATCATATTTTGTACAGCTTTAGCATTTTTTATCTATATCTGCATAGAATTAAGAGGGACATTACTATACACACTTTCCAGTTTTATCAAAAAATATATTTCTATTAGAATTATTAGAGTCGCAGCTCAAACAGAAACTAGAATCATTTTTATCGCAAGTTGCGCAATCTTTGTTTTAGCATGCTTAACATTAATTTAGAGAATCGAAAAACTAACCGATACTACAATTTTATAAGCACTATGACTTATTTATGTCAAGGTATTTAAAATTATTATCGTTACATTATTAGCATTCTTTAGATGAGCAAATTGAGCAGTTACTAAATAAAATTGAACACATTTTACATTAATTTTACTGATCAGGATAAAAGCCAGGAGGGCAAGCATTAATGCATATTCCTAAATGTAAATAAAATTCAGGGTTACATATTTAACATATAAAGTTTTAATCACAAGAAGCACAATTATCATTACATTTTTTACACTGCTAATCTATTTATACAGTCCCAATTGGACAATTAAGTAGACATTATTTTTAATCAACGCTAAGTACAAGATTACCACTGCACTAAGTGCATTAATTCTTGTCACAAGAATCGCATTAATAGAATAATGAAGAGCAATCTTTGCAAAATCCTTATATATCATACTAAGTACTTAAACACTTATCCACACACTAAAATGTATTTTAATCAACAAAGTAATTATCTTTGCATTAAGTACATAGATTTTAGGAGTTATTACAAATTTTGCATTAAAGTTATGTGCATGGTAGGCAAACTGCATTTTATATATCGCCATAATAGCTATCAGGACACTAAGGTATACATTAATTATTAAAGAAGAAGTAGCCATTCTAGCACTTATTACATGAGTAAAGATTTTTATCACAATTTTAACAGTATTAAATACATTTTTAGCATTTATTTGTATTTTGGTCGACTGCCATTCCTGTTCCACAATTTGAAACACATCCTGTGTCTAGAAGAGCTAAAGGAGGTATACATGAAAAGCATTAAGTAGAATCAGTTTCTAGGCATGTTAAACACTAACTATTCAAACAAGGGGAACAAGTAATTTTTGCAGAGTCAAAGTAAAAAGAATCTTAGCAGACACAAATTTTATCTTTGTTAAAAGTTAAGCCTTAAACAGGAAGACATTAAGTGCAAGAATGTGAGTTAGAGCAATTTAAACAAGTAGGATAACATTAGAGACAATTTCCATCTTATAAATAATATCCAGTATGGCATTCTGTACAAGTAGTCTAAGCACTACTTAGAGTACAGCTTTAGCAATTATCTTATAAACACTTAGATTTATTTCATTAAAACAATAATTTAATATTTTTAAATAAAATAAAATAAAATAAATACTTACATTAAAAGCGTATATTGTAATTTCTCTCACACCTAAATAAATATTCTTATTACTCCCTAATTCTAAATTAAAAATATTTAAATTTAATATGGTTAAGCTATTTAAACTCTAAGAGTTAACTAGGAGAGAAAATGTACCAATCACCTCAGAACCTTAAAAACCACAAATATCCTTTGATTATTAAATCTATTCATCAGTTAAATAGATATTATTTTTTATATTATTTAGAGTAACTTAAATTAAAGAATCTGCTTTTTATGATTATTTTTGAATATCAATTATAATATATTTAAAATAAACCTTCACAAAATTAAAGCCATTTGATTTGAAATTGTAGCTTATCAAACTATTCTATTTATTTACAATAAAACCACCTAACAATTAATAGTCACCACATCTAGATACTACAGAGTCTGAATTTTATTGGCTCATAAATGATTTAATTTACAAATCTTTAATACTATCAACTTCAATACCTGAAAAATCGTTTGAATGAAAAGCTAATAATATTAGAGATACTATTTTTATATTAAATTAATTCTTTATAAACTACATTTAATGTATATTTTCTTTTATTAAGTAGAATTTTTTTAAATTATAGTAAAAATTTGGTAAAACAAAATCTTTTAAAAAACATTAAAAACTCAGTTCCCCTAGTGAATCCTTATTGAGTGAGTATAGTATTATTTTAATATGTTTAAATAATGAAAATATACGAATATTTAATAAAATGCTAGAGGATAAAATTATTATTAAAAATTTTTTTAATTTAGAAGAAGGTAAGTAAGTAAGTAAACAAAATAAATCTGAAATTTTATAAAAAAACTATTACCCTTTTTGTCTTTGTCTATTAAAAGACATTCTTAAGATTTTGTTTCAGGATTTAATACAGGTTAGAATCCTGAAGAACAATTATTTACACATTTATCTAACTATGAAAACATTAAACCTTAGCATTTTACACACTTTTATTTTTCGATATCCCATGATTAACAATTTTATATATAAGTGCATACTTATTCTGAATATATTTTTTAGTGATAACCTTGGGCATTACTACAAATTTTAACACATTACCCATCTTAGAAAAAATAACCTGAATCTTTACAATAACACTTGCCATTTTAAAAATTAGCATCTTAAGAGCATGAAGTGCAAGAGTTGATACTTGAATCAGTACAGCTTAAACACGATTAATGACATGTATTTATATTTATTTATATAGAACTAATAACTAGAGCTTTATAGAAAAATTTCTCATGCTCATTTACTGATACTTAAATTTAGTTCTCACTCTATTAATATTTTTTTCGATCTTATAATAATTTAGAAAAAGTTAAATTCAATTTTATAAATATTTTTTCTATTGAATGGATATTTAATTATTTATTTTGTGAATAAAAAATATTTTTTATTATGAATTTATTTTATTATATTAAAATAATATAAAATTACATTTTAATATCTATTCGAATTCTTTATAAGCTTTTTTGAGCCATTTCATTGATGAATCACATAATTCTTTTAATTAGAAAGGATAATATATTTCAAATTTATTTTTTTTTACTCCATCCAAGTAAACTGTTATTTAATTGTCACCATCACCTCTGAAAAAAATAAAGTCTATATTAACTTCTCTTTCAAAATGAGGAATATTAGTTTCAAATTTAAAATTATAAGTATCTGTTGATCCAAGAGGATTTCCATAGAATTACTTTTTAAACTAAACTGAATTTGAATTTGGGCAGTTGAATTTAATGATGCCCATGTCTTAATTGCCATTTATATAGCTAATAAATCTATCTTCTTTAAATAAATATAATGTAAACTCTATAAGAATGATTTATTAATATATATTTACCTCCAAAGCATGTAGAGAAGAATAAAGAAATATAGTAATATACAAAAATATTAAATTTTTTCATTTACTTTAGCTTTTTATTTGATTTGATTATATTTTCTTAATTAAAAATTTTTATAAATTCAGAAAGTAATTCATGTATTTGAATTAATCAAGCAAAATCAAATGTTTGAATGCTTTACTTTAAATAATCTTACTCTGCTTATATAGTACTTGTATTATTAAAAATTTTAATTGTGGAGATTTCTATCAACTTTTATTTATTTTAGTAAACTTTAAATCAAAAAAGGAATCTGTTTTAAAAATGCATAAAATAATAATGTTATAATTTATAAAATTCGCTATAAAAAATAGACTTTATCTTTCTTTGTTGACTTAAAGTATAAATTAATGAAATTCTTTTATTCTATACTAAAATATCAAATCGAAGAAATTAAGTAAGCTCTCATTATCTTTATCTATAAATAATATAATTTAACTTTTTTCTTTTTTATTAAGTTCCCACTTATTTCTTAGCTTGCTTGCTTTACTTTGTAATTATTACTTTTTCACATATCCAATCTTCTTCTCTGTAAATTGAAAAAATATATTTGTTTTATTTTTTAATTAATATACTCATATCAAAGCTAATAATTGTAAGGTAAAAAGAATTATAAATGACGCAACTCAAATTTTATTTTCCTTAAAATCCTTTGAAAATAAAAATATATCACAATTTCAAAAATCCTTGTTAATAATTACCAAATATCCTCCTCTCTTACTAGCTTAAATATATAAACCTAAATCTATTTTTTATTTTTAAATATAAAAATAGATTAATAATAAAAATATTTATTCCATTAATCAATATAGATTGTCTACTATTTCATGTCCTATAGACAAATGGTCCTAAATTTTTTCAACCACTCATTAGTAATTTTTAAAGTATTCTAATTTTTTATATTATTTCTTGACCTAAATTCTTAACATACTTTATATTTAAATTAAAAATTCTATTTTCATGGCAATTATTCATTTAATTTACTTATTTCATAGATGAAACATTTTGCTTTATCATTTAAAATTCACCTTAAACTTAAGTATTTATTGAAATAAGAAATATATTTAATTACTGCTTAAATTAAATATATGCTCTACCCCTTGACATATCTAATTAAATTATAATTATAAGTTTATAAAAATTCTGAAATTAGTAAAATTTTATTTATAATATTTTAATTTAATGCAATAAGTTAATTTTAGTTAAATAAACAAATAAATAATTTTATTTCATTTTTAATTTTATAAAATCTTGGCTTTTTGGTGTACTTTATTAATGTATATATTGAGTTATAAAAAATAAATGAAGACTTAAAATAAATTTTTAATACATAAATATATATGAAATATTTTAAAAGTATAAATTTAAAATATTGTTAATTAAATAATTTCATAGAATATAGTGACATATTTTGCTATTGTTCAATATTAATTTAGAAATATATTTTGCTTATTTATCAATTTTATTTTTAAATTTTTTCTTATTATCTAAAACAAACAACCATTTCTTTTTTAAGATCTATCGATTTTGAAAATGAGTTTATAAAAGATAATTCGTTTAGTTTTATGTTCTAAACATTTGTTTGTAACTAATTTTTATATTCATTCCTTTTTTGTTATACGAACTAGTAAATTTTTCTACCTAAAAGGAAAATGTTAATTGCATTACAAGATAATAGAAATACTACAATAGTTGTCATTAGTTCTTTATATTAAAAAAATTTTAATGATAAAAATAAAATATAAATATTTACTTTCGATATTATCAAGTTAATTCATAAAAACTAATATCAATAAAGAACTTAGGTGAACACTTTCTAAGAAGACCAAAAATCCAGACTCTAACTTTGAGCTAAAAGGGCGATATAAACTTAAGAACAAAATAAAAACAAAGCTAATAGCTATGGATACCCAAATTGATATAACTTGTTTATTGTATATGACAACAAAAAGGCAACAAAACAATTTTCTCAACTCAAAAAGAATCCAGTATATTCTTCTGGACAAATGAGCTTCAAGACTCTCAACCAAGAAAAATTTCTATAAATTATTTTAAATTAAAGTTACTTCAATTCTATATTGATAAACAGTATATATTATGTAACAAAAAACTCCAAAATAAAATGCCAGACTTCCATAAATAAGTATTCTATCTTATGTAGAAGAATAGCTAGAGTTTACTATACTATAAAAAGATGATAATAATATCATATTAGAACAAACTAAGAACAATTTTGGTAATACATTGTTCTTGAAATAAGTTCCTATTCGCTTTAAATGCTTTGTATTTATGAGTATCACAGTTCCCAACACGGTCATAAAAAGAAGAGCTAATTAATATAAATTATTTAAGTAAAACTCTTTTGACAAATTATGGATATCCAAAATTAATGACTTATAATTAAAGAATGTCAACAAATCTTAATAATTTTCTCTATCAAATGGTTAAGGAATTAAGTTGAAGATGTTAAAAGCTAGAAAGTATTTTGTTAATACTTCATTTACAATTTTAAATTCTTAAGTTTCTATTAAAACATAATTACCTATCAATTAAAATATTTAGATGTAATAAATGCTAAAAACACCTATATATGTGTGATTTCCTAATATTAAAGCCAGACATATTCCTACACTAATATAAGAAGTAATATCTATGATTTAAGTTTAAGTGTTACTTTCTGTTACTATTTTGCTACATTTTTCAATTTAGCTTTCTTCCTTTAGATATTCACAATACTGATTCTTTAAAAATGTATCAAAATCCTCTTTATCTAAACAATCCCATCCACTCCCTTAGGAACATACAGTGCAAAATGAGCTTTTTTTGAAGCACTCTTTGCATTTTTTGTCACATAAACCACAAATTATTTGATTTTGTGAATTAATTGGTTCTTTGTAATATCCAGAAGGGCAGTTCTTACTACATTGTTTAGGACTGATTAAAACTAAAGGATCAATACACTTATCTAAACAAATATAGTTTTCTTTATCAAAGTATGTATTTTCAGGACATTAGCTGTAGCATTTGTTCTGATATAGATAAAAACCTTAAGAGCATTTTAAGCATTTAGAAGAATTACATAAGATACAGTTATTATCATATTAATCTTAGCACACCACACATAACTTCGAGTGGGTTTAATCTATGTAAGTATTTGAAGTGCATTATTTAACACATGCTTTGCTTTAAATAAATTAAGGACACTCTTGGCATTACTTTGGGTTTTCTATTTACAGCAAATAATTTGGACAAGAATCAAAACACTCATTTGTAGCTAGATTCACATAAAAATCACATTTCTATATGCAATCCTTATTATATAAATAAATTAATGGAGAGTTTTCCAAGCTTTAAGAGCAACTTAAACATTTATTTGTATCTTTAGGATCGCAAGTATTACAATTTTAGTTAGCACATCTCTTGCAAACTTTTTTGTTTATCGAATTAGAAATTAAATTTGAATTTGGATTATTATTTATTAAAGATGAATCAATATAGTTAGCTGGACAACTTTAAACGCATTATTAAGTATCTTCCAACATAAATAAATTTTCTAAACAAGAAATACAATTCTTTTCAGTGCATTCCTAGCAGCTACTAAATTTACTGTAACAATATGTACAAGTGTTGTCTATTTAATTAGGGAATGTTCCATAAGGACAAATTTTATTGCATTATTCATTTAGTAAATATGAACCTGAACAGCTTAAACATTTCGATGGATCTGAGATATTACACTATTTGCAATTAGAATCTTAGCATTATTTGCAAATCTTTATATCTTATTAGAAGGGATAATAAAAATCTGGACAAGTACTAACACAACTATTATTCAATAAAAATAGATTAGAACTTGGCGAGCAAGAATTACATTATTTTAAATCACATAAAGCACAATTAATGTCATATTTAGAAATACAACTTTAACAATTATTATCTTAATCTGGGAAATATCCTTCTTGGCATTAAGATAAGCATTAACCTTAAAATAAATAAGGGTATTAATTTATACATTTATCACATAAATTTGGTTACTAATTGCATGTACTACATCTTGAATTTTCACAATTTTAGCATAAATTTGTTGTAGTATTTCCATATTACCCTGACGGGCATGTAGAGACACACGAATTATTATTTATATCGCTTATAAATTAGTTTTTATCACATTTTATACATGCTTGAGAATTACATGACAAGCAAGATGAACCATACTTTGATGAACACGATATACATTTTAAATTTTTTTCATCTAAATACTCAGTACTTTTGCACTTACTAACACAGTTTCCTTATTCATTCAGATAAGGATTTTAGCCATTTAAAAAGCAAGAATTACAAACAGAGGTGCTACATGTTTTGCACTATGGATTTGTACACTATTTACAAACATTATTCTCTGCGTAATAGTTATCTGGACAAGAGTCAATACAAGTATTATTAGAAGAATTTAGTATTTTTTAAGAATTGCATTTTTAGCATTAATTTGAAGTACATTCAATACAGTTATCAAATAATTTTGAGCAATCTAAACATGCATCACTTCCAAAATAATTTTGACCTTAATATTAACCAGGAGGGCATGCTGTATTAATACAATTTTACTATGTGACATCTAATTTATAATTTTATTTGCACATTAAGCATTAGCTAGAATTACAAATAGAACAATTACTTGAGCATGCTGAACATTAATCTAAATTCTAGTAGTATCCTTAACTACATTAACTTACACAATCCCCATTTTAAAGTAAAGATTTAGAATTTGGGCATGTTTAGCATTAAATAGGATTTAATGGATTACAACTTAGACAATTATTATTCGAACAAGGTTAACAAAAATTATTATTATCTACATAGTATCCATCGCCGCAGCTATTTTTACATTGACTTTTGAAGATATATTGGTTAGGTTAGTTGCATTTAATACAAGAATTTTAGTTACACTCAAGGCAATCTTATCCAAACTTTTAAGAACACGAATCACAAGTTTATTATTAATAATTAGCATAATACTATGGTCCAGTACATTCTCTAACACATTATCCATTTAGCAAAAAGAAATTTTATGAACAAGCTAAACATATATCATTTTAGCATGCTAAGCAATAATTTGGACAATTATTTTAATTGCAATTAGGATTTGATGCTTTACATGAAGATTGCAAAGTATTATCTATTTGAAGGCAAAAGCTATCTTTGCATTAAAGGCATATTTTAGAGTTACATAAAATACAATTTGTATCATATTATTTACAATCTTAGCACACATTATTTAAATCTGCAAAGAATCCAAAAAGACATTACTTTACACAATTTCCACTTTAATCTAAAAATATATTTCCACTAGAATTGCTTGGATCACAACTAAGACATATGCTAGAATTAGATTAGTTACAAGTTGCACATTAAATATTTTAACATTTTTGACATTGATTCTTTGAATCCAGAAACTATCCTATTTCACAATTTTCAACGCATTACTTTTAATTAACATCAAGGTATTTATAATTACTATTAACATCACAAGTTAAACACTATTTAGATGAACAAGTTGAACAGTTCATAAATAAATTTGAGCATGGCTAGCACTTATTATATTAATCTGGATAATATTGTGGCAGACATGTCTAACTACATTATCCTTAATATAAATAAAATCCAGTACTACACTATTAGCAAACTAAATTTGAATCACACAAATTGCAGTTAGCTTTACATTAAATACACTATTAATTTACTTGAACTGTTTCTATTGGACACTGATTAAGACATAATTTTTAATCTACACTAAGTACAAAATTATCAATACATTTAGTGCATTTAGTTATGTCACAAGAAGCACAATTTTAGTATAATTAAGAGCAATTTTTGCAATATCCTTAATCAGCATATTAATTAAAAGAACAATTAGATATACATTTGCTTGAATTTATATCTACTAAGAAATTATTTTAGCATTTAGTACAAATATCTTTTGAGAAAACACAATTTACACATTCAGATTGTGAGCAAGGAATACAAATAGCATTCTACACGTCACCATAATAACCATCAGGACAATTTTGTTAACATTAATCGCTCAAAAAAAAGAAGCCATTCTAACATTTATTACAAGATAAAAGATTATTATCGCAATTAGAACAATTCTAAATGCAATTTTAGCATTTATTTGAACTTTAGTTTACAGCCATCCCTGTTCCACAGCTTTCAACACAATCTGTAGCAAGAAGAGCTAAAGGAGGTTTGCATGAAATACATTAAGTAGAATCATTTTCTTAGCAAGTTAAACATTTTTGATTTTTACAAGCAGAGCAAACAGTGTTAACTGAATCAAAAAAATAATATTCTTAGCAAACGCATTAATTACTTTTGTTAAGAGTTAATCCTTAAATAGGAAGGCACGAAATACAAGATGATGAATTTTAACAATCATAGCAGGTAGGGTTACATTAAATGCAAGTATTTGATTATAGGTAGTATCCTACTACACATGTTTAGCAAGTGGTCTCTAAGTTATTTAAAGTGCAGTTCTTGCAATTGTTTTATAAGCACTTTTTAAAAAATATAAATTGAGAATAGAATTTATAAATAAAAAATATTTTACATCAAAAGTATATATAGATATTTCTCTAACTCCAAAATAAGCATTACTATTTTAATTCAAAATATTTAAAGTATTATTTTAAGAATTAGAAATAGCATAGAGAGAAAAAGTTCCAAAAACTTCCAAACCTTCAAATCCACAAATATCAGTTGCTTAAGAAAGTTGAGATTAAGTTAATGTAATATTTTATTTTTAATTATTGAGAGTAATTAGAATTTAAGAATCTGTATTTTTTGGAAAATCTATTAAAATGTATTTAAAATTAATTTTTACAAATTTAAAACTATCTGCATTGAATTTGTAGGTTATTTAACTATTATATCTATTTATAAAAAATCCACCATATAATTATTGATTTCCGCATTTTGAGACTATAGAGCCTAAGTCATATTAAGTAACAAATTAATAAGGAGATAACCCACTTATGCTCGCAGCTTCTATGCCTGAGAATTCATTTGAATGAAAAGCGAATAGTTAAAATGATACTATTATCAAAAAATATAATTAATTAATTGAAGATTTAAATTATTAATTAATTTATATTGTACATTTCTATTGAAGATAATAAAATCTAATTAAAATTTTTAGAATGTTTATGGGGTAAGCAAAAGCTTAAATTAATTATTAAGATAATGTTACCATTTAGATATCTATCAATTAAAAGGCATTCTGTAAGTTTGGTTTTTTTATTTAATACAGGTTCAAATCCACTAGAACAACTACTGACACACTTATCTTATTAAGAGAGCATAGGATTTTAGCATTATAAGCACTTTTAATTTGTGATATCCCATGAAAGGCAATTTTTGATATAAGTGCATATAATATCTTTTTCTTATTTTTTGAAGTATTGTTTTGTTTAGTCACAAGTAGGAACGCATTATCCATCCTAAAAAAGGAATGCTGAATTACAGGTGCATTTACCATTTTTTAAAGTAGCTTAAGAGGTACATGTTATACATGAATTTTCTTTTGAATCAGTGCATGTCAAGCAAGAAGGATGGCAAGTATTTATATTTACTTAAATTGAGCTAGTTAATAAGGCTCTAAAATTAGACCAATAATCTGTTTCACTAACACGTATAATGATTTAATTCCCATTCATTGCATACTTTTGTCTATCTTTTATTATTAATAAAGAATAAAATTTTTTTTGAAAATACTTATTTTAAAGATGGTTTTTTAAATTAAAAAATAGATTGAATTTTATTAAAATTATAAAGATAAATAGCTAAATAAATAAATAATAGATATTAATAAAATTCTAGAAAAATTATTTTTATCATCACATACAAAATTAAATAGTAAAATAAGTTTAATTTACATTTTAAATATTATTCAAATTCTTTATATGCCAACATGTTGAAAAGATTGTATTAATTATCGCACAATTTAGTAACTTAAAATTAATTTTTATCTATTCCAAATTAACTTTTAGTAATTCCATCTAACTAAATTGTTATTTGGTTATTGCCGTTACCTCTAAGATAAACAAAATCTATATTCACCTCTCTTTCATAATGAGGAATAGGAGTATCAAATTTAAAATAACCTACATTTGCACCAGGTGATTTAGATAAAGTATCTTAATCAAATATTCCATAATATTTTTTTCTAAACTAAACTGGAGCTGCATTTGGACAATTAAATGTATTTAAACCCATATTTTAGCTTCCATCTATATAACTAATAAATCTATCATCTATAAAAGCAAACATGTATAAATAGTAAAAAATAATATTATAATAAAATTACCTCCAAAACATAGAAAGATTAAGAAAGAAATGGAGTAAAAAAGTATGATATTTACTTTTTTCATTTTGATTAAATTTGATTCTACTAATTTTTATATAAAATAAATTATTATCAACTCTTAGCTATATATAGATAGATGAATTAAATATATTATTTAGATATTATAGTTATAAAAATCTTACTCTGCTCAAATCTATCTTTAATTTGTTAATAAAGTTCTAAATTTTTATAAATGGAAATATTAATATACTTGATTGTTTAAAATTTATAAAGACAATAAGAAGTAAGCCACTTATATAGTTAGCAAAAGAAGAAAGAAAAAAAATATTTATATAACTTTACTAACTACTTTGCTGAATCTTATCTTAAGAGAAAGTAGCAATAATAATTGTAATATATTTTTTAGCTTACATTAATATTTCTTATTTTTAATTCCAATTTTTTTTATTTTTTTGATTGAAATTGCTTCACCATATAATTGATTTTTTATTTATTACCACTATTTAATGAAAAATTAAAAAACAAATATATTTAAATAAATAAATAATACAAATATTTAATTTTTTTAGGTTTTGTTAATCTAAAATCATTTTTTTATGGAATAATCCATGTAATTTAGCTGCGGAAAATTATATTTATAATTATTTATTAATATACTTTATAGATTGTAAAGATCTTTTATAATTATAGGCCTCAATTTTAAAATTAATTTGTATCACTAGATATATGAGAAAATGTGTAAGTTAAAAAGAGTCATATCCTACGCCACTAAAACAAATATAACTATCCGTTGATTTTGTAATCTTTTTTCAGAAATGATTAATTAAATTGAAGTCTTAGAAATAAAAAGTCTGATTCTAAAATCTATAAAAGATTATTTTTATTATAGTTTTGATTAATGAAAGGAAGTATTAATTAAGTGCGAATTACTTATTTAGGGTTTTTAAATTAAGATTCTTACATCAACCTAAAAAACTCAAGGTATCTTAGGTGGGGTAAACATACTTAAATTACTTAACAAATAAGCTTAACATTTAATAATTTATATTTTTATTAATATTAACAATATAAATTTTTTATTGCAATCATTTCAATTCATTTCATGAATAAGAATGATTATCTTCCACACAAATTTAAAATCCACCATAAAAAAATTCAATTTATTTATTATTTTACTATTAATTAACTATACTTAATTTGAAATAGCATCTTTTCTTTGTAATAGTTAAAATTTTCTATAGTTTGCTATGATTACTTCATCTTAAGTTAATAATAACATTAGTTTTTATGTAAAATAATTGACTTAAATCATTTAATACATGAAATTTAATAAAAATATTTGTTTTTTAAGTAAATAAAGTGGCAAAATAAGTGTTTTACATTTAAAATTTAATTAAAAAGCAAGCAAAATATAATTTTCATAATATTTTTAATAACTATCTTTTATGTATTTTAGTTAATCATTTATATAAAAAAATCAAAGGTTATCGAATTAAGTTCATTAACAAATTTGCTTATTAAAAATTCTATTATTTACATAAATAAAAAATAAAATTTTTTGAATTTTTATAATAGAAAACCTTAAAATAATCAATTTAAAGTCAAATATTCTATTTTTAATAAAAATTTTTTATCTATATTCCATAATTCTATTTTTATATCTTATTTCATTTATTTTACATCATTTACACTATTTTAGCTGAATTTAAATTTTCCTATTTCTTTCTAATAGATTGTATCAAAAAATGTGATATTTTCTTTTTATTTTTTTATAATTTAAAATTTTTTAACTTTAATAATTATACAAGATATTATTTTTTTTAATATTCTTAATATTTTTAATTTATAATTTGCCTAAAATTTTTTCTTTTTTTGTTAAATTTGATTTAATTTATGTAAATAATATCTTAAAAAATTATTTTTGTTAATAAATATATTTAATAAATCAATAAATAACTATTATTTACTATTTTTTTCAAATTATTTTTTTAAATTTTTTAAAATTAATATTAAATAAGTCTAAATATGTGCATATAATATCTTAATATAAAACTTCTACTTTTGAAAATATCCTAATGTTGAATACATGTTTTATTTTTAGTAATTTAGATATAACTTTTTTAACAATTTTTGGAAAAATTAAAATAAAAAATAATAAATTATTTTCATAAATAAGAAAATTATTTTTTCATTAGAAATCTTAATAATTTTAAATATTTATTTACAAATTTAATAATAAAAAAAACAATTTATAAATAATTTTATAAATTTATTTTGAAATATTTATCTATATTTTATTCATATTTTTTCATTTACTTTTTACTTATAGTAAACAGCCATTTCTTTTTTAAGATTAAAGGAGTTATCAATTGATTTCATAATAGACACTTCATTTAACTTAATAAGTTCAAAATTCGTTAGCTACTAATTCTTATATTCATTCCTTTTTTGTTATAAATATAAATACATTTTCCTTCCTACCAAGAAAATAATAATTGTGTTAGAGGATAACAGAAATACTGCAAATATCATTATTAATTCTTTTTATTAAAAAAAATTGTAAGTTAAAAATTGATGAAAAATTAAAATTACTTTCTATTCTATCTATTTAGCTCATAAACACCAAAATAAGCTAAGAACTTAAGTAAATTATTTCCAAGAAAACCAAAAAAGCTGACTCAAGCTTTGAGCTGAAAGGTTAGTATAAAGTTAAAAACAAAATAAAAACCAAGCTAATGGCTAAAGATAACCAAATTGATATAGTTTATTTATGATATAAGACAACAAAAACACAGCAAATTATTTTTCTAAATTCAAATAGAATCCAAAATATTCTTCTTGAGAAATGAGCTTCAAGACTTTCTACCAAGAAAAACTTCTATAAATTATTCTAAATTAAAGTAATTTCTATCCTGTATTCGTAGACTGTATATATTATATGACAAAAAACTCCTAAATAAAATATTATGCCTCCATAAATCATTATTCTATCTAAAATAGAAAGATAAGTGCAGTTTATTATATTATTTAGTGATGATAATATAATCATATTAGAGCTTACTAAAAAGATTTTTGGTATTATATTGTTCTTGAAATACATTCCAAATAATTTTAAATTCTTTCCTAATGAAAGAATTATAGTTGTAAACACTGCTATTAAAAGAAAGCTTAATTGATATAAATTATTAATGTAAAAATATTTTGATATATTGTGAATATCTATTATTAAAGTCTTGTAATTAAAGAATGTCACTAAATTTGAATAAATTTCTCTTTCAAAAGGTTAAGGAATTAGATTAAAGGTATTGAAAGCTAGAAGGTATTTAGTTAGGACTTCATTCACAATTTTAAACTCTTGAGCTTCTATTAAAACATAATTGCCAATCAATTAAAATATTTAAATATAATAAATACAAAAAACACCTATAAAAGAGTGATTTCCTAATATAAAAGCTAAGCATATTGCTATACTAAGATAGCAAGTAATTGCTATAATTCTTTAAAAAATTTTATTTTCTGTTATTAATTCATCAAATATCTTAATTTCACTTTCATTGTTTAGTTACTCATAATGCTGATTCCTAATAAATTTATGAAAATCTTCTTTATCTAAGCAATCCCATCCACTACCTTGAGAACAAACAGTGCAAAATGAGCTTTTATCTGTACATTCTATGCATTTTTCATCACATATTCCACAAATAATTTCATCCTACATATTAATTGGTTCTTTAAACTATCCTAAAGGACAGGCTTTACTACACACGTTTGAATTTATTATGACTAAAGGATATGTGCATTTATCTAAACAATTATAATTTTCGTTATCAATGAAAGTATTTTCAGGACATTAACTGTAGCACTTATTTTTGTAGAGATAAAAGCCTTAAGAGCACTTTGAACATTATTATGAGTTACACAATATACAGTTAGTATCATATTAATCTTAGCAAACCACACATAACTTTTAATGAATTTAATCTATATAAGTATTTGAAGTACATTCTTTAACACATTCTCTGCTTTAAATAAATTATGGGCATTCTTAGCATGACTTAGGTTATTCTAATTAAAGTAAATAATTTGGACAAGAATCAAAACACTCGTTTGTAGCAAAATTCACATAAAAATCGCAATTTTATATGCAATCCTAATTATACAAATATTAATTTGGTGAATTATCTGTGGTTTATGGACAGCTTAAGCATTTTTTTGTATCTCTTGGGTCACACGTATTGCAATTTTAATTATCACATTTCTAGCAGGTTTTTTTATTGCTTAAATTCGAATTTAGATTAGATTAAGGAGAATTCACTATTAAAGATGAATCAATATAGTTAAAGGGACAGCTTGAAACACATTACTAAATGTCTTCTAAGATAAATAAGTTATTTATGCAAGAAATACAACTTTTTTCAGTACACTCTTGACAACTACTAAATTAACTGAAACAATATGCACATTTGTTTTCCTATTAATTAACAAATGTTCCAAAAGGACAAGTAGCAACACAAGTTTCATTAAATAAATATGACCCTGAGCAACTTAAACATTTTGATGGGTCTAAAAAATTGCATTATTTGCAATTTGAATCTAAGCACACTTTACATTCTTTTATATCTTGATAAGAAGGATAATAAAAATCTGGACATGACTCCACACAAGTATTATTATACAAAAAAAGATCTGAACTAGGTGAGCAAGAGTGGCAAACTTCACTATCACATTAATTGCAATTAGGATCATATTTAGAACTACAACTTTAGCAATTATTATCTAAGTCAGGAAAATATCCTTCTTAACATTCAGATAAGCATTCACCTTAATATAAGTAAGGATATTCTTTCATGCATTAAGTGCATTAGCTTGGGTTATTCTTATCGAATTTACATTTACTACATCTTGTATTTTCACAATTTTAGCATAAATTTGTTTCTTCGCTTCCATATTAACCTGGTGGGCAATCAGTAACACAAGAATTATTATCTAGCTCACTAATGAATTAAGGAGATTCACATTTAAGACATGATTAAGAGTTACACTATTGGCAAGAAGTTCCAAAATCAGAAGAGCATGATGTGCATACAAAGCTATTAATAGTTAATTATTTTAAGTATTAATTGCTTTTGCACTGACTGACACAGATACCATTTTCATCCAAATATGGATATTAACTATTTTGAAAGCATGACAAGCAATTAGAGGCATTGCATGTTTTGCATTTTTTTGATATTGGACACTATTAACAATTATTATTTTTATCTGGGTAATAATTATCAGGACAAGAATCGTTACAAGTATTGTTATAAAGATATAGTGGCATCTCACATTATTAGCAACTATTCTAAGTACATTCAGTGCAATTAAAAAATAGTTATGAGCATTCAAAACATGCATTACTTCCAAACGTGTTAATTCCTTTGTATTAGCCAGAAGGGCATTTATTTTCAATACATTAGCTTTAAGTTACATCTATTAAAAAATTATCTTAGCACTTCAAGCATTAGGTAGAAGATTTACAATTTGAACAATTAGCAGGACAAAGTTAGCATATGTTTTAATTTTAAAAGAATCCTTCAGCGCATTAAATTACACAGTCATTATTTTAAAGCAAAATTTTACCAAAAGTCGGGCAGCTCAAGCAATTTTTAGGTAAATTAGGATCACAAGTAAGGCAATTGTTATTTAAACAAGGCTAACAATTATATTCTGAGTTTGCATAGTATCCATCGCCACATTGGTTTTCACATTTGTTTTTGTAGATGTATTGATTTGTTGGTTGACATTTAGTGCATGAATTTTAGTCGCACTCAAGGCAATCAGTCCCAAATTTTGTAGAACATAAATCACAAGTTTACTTTTAATAATTTGTAAAATATTTAGATGGAGTACCTGGATAAGCACATTAATCACATTTGTCATCTATTAAAAAATAGTTTTGTGAACAAACTTGACATTATCCATTATTACAGATTAAGCAATTATTGATATTAGTACATGTATTTGATGTACAAACTGTAGTAGGTCCATCACAAGTTGACGATTATAAATGAGCATCTATATTTAAACAATAATTTGCTTCACATTATAAGCAAATTTAGGCATTGCATGCTACACAATTAGCAAATTTTTGATTACATCTTAAACATATGTTATTTGCATCTGCATAGAATTCAGAAGGGCATTAACTTACACATTTTCCATCTTCTGTTAAAAATATATCCCCAATAGAATTATTTGGATCACAACTCTTGCAAAAACTGGTGTTAGATGAGTCACAAGTTGCACAGCTATTTTGACACAATTAACATTACATTTGAGAATCAAAAAACTATCCTATATCACACTATTATAAGCATTAAGTTTTATTTATATCAAGATATTAATGATTGCTACTTGTATCACAAGATAGACATTCTGTAGCTGAACAAGTTTAACAGTTATTAAATACACTTGAGCATGGTTAACACTAATTATATAAATCAGGATAATAACCAGAAGGACAACTCTAGTAACATTCCTCTTAATATAAATAAAATCCAGAGCTACAAACCTGACAAATTAAATTTATATCGCATTAACTGCAATTATTTGAACATTATATGCATTGTTGACCTTTTTAAACTGTTCCTTGTGGACAGCTTTGTAAACACTATTAAGAATTAACACTTAATATGAGATTGTTACTACATTAAGTGCACTGTTATTTCAAGTTACAAGAAATACAATATGTGTATAATTCTGAGCAGTTTTTGCAATAACCTTAATCATCGTATTAAGTGTTTGAGCATTGAGATACGCATTAGTATGTGTTTATATCTACATAAGAATTATTATTACATTTTGTACAAATATCATAAGATTGAATACAGTTAATACATTCAGATTGAAAGCAAGGAATGCATTTAGCATTCTTTTGATCACTGTAATAACCATCAGGGCATGCTGATATACATTTATTATTCAAAAAATAGAAGCCATTCTAGCATTAATTGCATGACGAAAGGTTATTATCACAATTTAAACAATTATTAATGCATAATGCACATTAATTTGTACTTTAATTAACAGCTTTGCCATTTCCACAGCTGCTAACACACTCAGTACCAAGTAGAGCTAAAGGCTTTTAGCATGAAAGACATTAGTCAGAATTTTCTTTGCATGTTAAGCAGGTTGCACTCAAACATTGTTTGCAAATAATATTAGTGGAATCGAAGTAAAAATAATCTTAACAAACACATTACTTACTTTCATTTAGAGTCAGTCCTTAAACAGGCAAACAATTATTACAAGATAAAGAGTCAGAACAAGTTAAGCACATCGGATTGCATTAAATACATTCTCCTTTTTACTAATAGTATCCAGGAATGCATTGCTAACAAATAGTCTATTTATTACTTACAGTACAATTTTAGCAATTATCCTGTAAACACTTTTTTTAATAAATTATTATTTAGAATTAATTAAAAATGTATTAAATAAATTATTTACATTAAAGGTGTATATTGATAGTTCTCTAATTCCTAAATAAGAATTACCCTCGTTAGTAATATTTAATTAATTAGAGGGCTTTAATGCTGAATAAAGAGTAAAGTTGTCTTAAAACTCAGGATCACTAAATCCACAAATATCTATTTGATCTTTTGATTAAGACACTTGGATTGTCAAGGATTAGTCATTAAGTTTAACTGTAATTTAAGCATTTCCTTTAGCTGAAATATCAATAAAAATATATTTAAAATAAACTTTTACAAAATTAGAGTTAGCTGCTGAAAAAGTGTAGGTAATTTTACTATTAATTTAATTAATAAAAAATCCTCCAAATAGTTAGTATTAGTTGCATTTAGAGACGTAAGAATCAAAGCCAGCAAATTGTTACAAAAAACCAGAATAATTTAATCCACTTATGCTTTCAACTTCTATGCCTGAAAAACTATTTGAATGAAATGCTGAAATTACTGTAGACACTGTTTATGTTAAATATTAAATAATGTAGATAAGAATCAATTTTAAAAGTTAAAAAAGTATATAAAAAATCAATTTACCTTGTTTGAATCTATCACTCAAAAGACACTCATCTAGATTAGATTTCTTGTTCTTAACTTTAATAAATCCAGAAGAGCAATTACTTACACATATATCTTATTAAGGTAGCATAGGACTTTAGCAGGCTTAACACTTTTCATTTTACCACTAAGTACATTAATTTATGAAAGTGCATACTTTTTTTTCTGTAGATTCTTTTTAGTCTTTATAGTGATAATAATTTTTATTATTACAACTTGCAACACATTATCCATCCTAAAAATAATAATCTTTATTGCAAGTGCATGTGCCTTAATCTAATGTAGCGTTTTGAGAGCATGAAAGACAAGAATTTTTATCTTAATCTTTGCATGTTAAACATGAAGGGTGGCAAGGACTAACATTTAATTAAATAGAGCTAATCATTAAGCCAGGATCTATAAATTTTTTTTTAGATTCACTAATATGGACTATTGATTTATTCACCTGATTGAATGATTAAAATTTAACTTTATTATTTTTATAAATATTTAAATTAATAAATTATCATTTTTATTTTATTTTATTTCTAAATATTTTTAATTTTTTATTTTGTTAATTATTTTATTATCTTTAACTATTTTAAATTTAAAAAGATAGATAGATATCTTGTGTTTTTAATGTTAATAAAATGAAAATTAATTTACATCTGAAGAACTATTCGAACTCTTTATATGTAATTAGCTATTTACTATTACAAAACTCTTTAAATTATTATTGACTTTCTGATAGGAATTCTCTTTTTGGATTGCCATCAATCAAAAATGTTAAAGTAGTAGAAGGAAAAGATCTCATAAAAACTATATCTATAATAACTTCTCTCTAGAAGTGAGGTACAAGGATATCAAATTCAAAATATGCAACGTTAAAGCCTCCAGATTAATCTAAAGTATTTGTATCAAATGGCCCAAAGAAGGTAGTTTTAAACTAAACTGAGTTTGCGTCAGGACAGCTAAAGGTATTTATATTCATATTTTTTTTTGCATCAATAAAGGAGATGTTTCTATCATCTTCTACTTAAAATATTATAATTAAAATCATTCTAAGAACATTTAAAAAAGTTACTTCCAATACAGTTACATACGAAATAAGCAATCAAGTATGAAATCAAAATACTAATTTTTTTCATTTGTATTAATATTTCAATAGTAAATTTTTTTATTCGAATTGTTTATTCTAAAAATTTAATCATAATTAATAAAAGCAAACAGATGATATCAAAGAAATGTACAGTATACATGTCTGTTCAAGTTGATAATATTAAAATTAAGTTTAGAAAGATTTTTTAATTTACGAAAATGTCTTTGTATTTTAATTGTAAGTTAAAAATGAAGAAATCTTATTAAATTGCTTCTTTAATTAATTAGTTTTTTTATTAATAATTTTAAAACCACTAAATTTTATTTATCTTCTAGTAATAAAAATGATGAAGCATTTTTAATTAATCTTAATAAATGTAAGTCATTATTATCTGAGCTTTTTATGCCAATTTATAAATTGATAGATTCTTTCATAAAAGATGATTAAATTATTTTTTATTTCTATACAAAGTAAGGCGTAAATTTTTAAGGTAAAAAACGAGTTGATAATTGATTCTTATTATTATTTATAAAAATGAAATTATAATTAAAATAGTGTTTTTATCAAGATATAAAAAATTATTTCCATAAAATTAATATTATAAATTTTTTTAACTGTAAATTATATGTGCTAAATATTTATTGAATAAATTTTAAATATGCTTTATATTAACTAATAAGCAAATACTAGATATTGAAGACATTAAAGTTACTGATTTTTAATTTTAATTTTTGACTAGATTTCGATTTTGAAAGTGTAATCTTTAAGAGACCACTTCTAATATAATTCCAAATTAATTCCCATAAAATATGTTTACTTATATACTAATAATTACTATTATATCTTCTTGTCTGTTTTCTATCCTTGGAATGTGTATTTATCTTTTTATTTTTTTATGGAGTGTAGATAAAATTAAATAATTTATTTTTTAGATTTTTCTAAATAATAAAATGTTTATGTCTAAATTAATAACTTCTTTAATAACAAATATTTTTTTTAATGAACTCTTCACGTAGAATTTATTAATTAATTTTTATCTCACAACTATACTAACCATTTTTTTTGAAACAATTAAAATTCTAAATAATATTAGTGTCTTATCAAAGAACAATTTCAAACTTTGCAAATATCTTTTTTATTTTAATAAAATTTATTTTCTTCTATAAAATTACAATTTTTACTAATTTATATATTTTCAAACTAAATAATGTTACGTTTTATAATTTATCATCTACCATAAAATCTCAAATTTAAGATAAACTTTAAATAAAGTTGATTTTTTTTATTTTAATGTAACATAAGCTGCCTTAACTTATTTTTATTTTAAAAATTTGAAAAAACTATTTAATTCTATTTTATTTATTTCTTCATTATTATTGTCTTTTGTATTTAAAAATATCAAATTGTTAATTTTTTACTTAAATTAACTATTTTTTTTGGAATACTTCAGATTTTCAGAATTTCTTTCTAAATTTACAATAATTTCATTCAACAAAATTATCATTTAAACAAAAAACGAACAATTTATTTAAAATATTAAAAATAAATAATGCCTTTAATAATCTTATAATAAGAAAATCAAAAATAATTTATTAAATTAATCATAATTTTTGAGATTATTAAGCACATACTATTCAAATATAAATTCTTTTGTATTTGATAAAATAATTAACTTGACCAATAAAAAATCAAAATTATGATGTTTTTGTATACTTTTTAAAAGGCTTTTATATTTAAAACTATTTTAAAAATTCTTAAAATAAATAATTATTTTAAGAAAAATCTCTACCTTTTATTCATATTTATATTTTAGTGTAAAAATAAAAAAATTATTTTGATTACTAAGAAAAATTTAGCTTAATATTATTCTAATTTCTGATAAAACCAAATTCAAATACTAATAGAAAGATAGATTGATATTTATGTGAATATAATTTAGAAATATTTACTAAAAATTGTATAAGTCATACACAGTATAATCATAATTTTTAGGCGTTAATTTTGTTAGGAATAACACCTTTTTTAATTAAATCGTAAGCGAATTCAATTAATGTTTTTCTATAATAAATATATTTAATTCCTAAATCATTTTTAGAAGCAGAGTTATCAAAAGTAATCATTCTACCAAAGAATGGTTTCACAAGCTCAACTTAATCATCAATGCATCCAGCCATAGAAAATAAGAGCTTACTTTCAACTTTAAAGGAAGGGAATTTATATCCAAATCTTTTGAATTCTTCTTTTAGTACTTAAACCATATCTGCCATCCAATAAGAACCTTCTACTAAAAGATACCTTTTAGCATTAGTGATTTCAAGTTTGTCTTGGTCAAGACATACTACATGAGCTAAAGCAACATCTCTGACATCAACTGTTTGAAGACTGATTTTAGGTATACCAGGAAGATCATTTTTCATTACTCTAACAACAAAGTCAGCACTAGTAAATTAATTTGAATGGAAAGAAGGTCCCTAATAAATTAACAAACAAAAATATTTAAGTTAAAAGATAGATACATTGATAGATTAAATCAAATTTTATTGGAGAGCTAATTATTGCTTAATTATTAAAAATCAGATAATTTTTAATTAAGTATGTAAGCAATTTACTTACTTAAATATGCGTTTAAATGCATTTTATTCCATTTTGAAAGTAGAAATATGTATTTTTTAATTACTTATATAAAGCCAGGGTTGATTATAGTCATTTGAATCTTATCTTTATTTTTATCATAAATTTCCCAAGCTTTTCTTTCTGCTAAAGTCTTTGATTTGTCATATGGAGGACATTGTGGCTATGTATTTATAAAAAACAAAATTGTTAAAAAATTATTCAAGTAAAATTATAATTACTATGTTTGACCAATCACTCTCAGTAAAGTTGTTTTTTTCTTTAATTCCTGTGAATACAGCCACAATAGAGGAGGTAATAACTATTTTTTTTACATTATTACGTAATGCTGCTTCATAAACTGAAGTTGTTCCTTCAACTGCAGGTTTTATAATTTCATCTTCATTTTTTGGCTTTGCATTTGGGAAAGGAGAAGCAACGTGGATCACGTAGTCCACCTCCTTCATTGCTGAATCCCAACAATCTTTATTCAAAAGATCAGCTTCAACAAGTTCTAAATTATCTTTTTGAGAAGGATAGATATCGTATAAATGATTAATCTTTTTAGGATCCTTTAAAGATCTCACAGTTCCTCTCACTTTATAACCTCTTTCAAGAAGATAGTAAAGAACGTGACCTGCAAGATAACCAGAAGCACCTGTAACGAGTACTCTTAAATGGCTATTATCCCTTTATTAACCTATTGATATTGACATTGATTATTTATTGTTGAAGCAATTAATATTAATTAAATTTAATATCTTAAAAGACTGATTACAGTATTTATATTTGCTTTTGAATAAATGATATCATATATATTTATAAAGAATGATTATTTTAAAGTGAAGTCAATTAAGTATTAATGATGCAATAGCTTGCAAATCTATTAATTTAACAAATTTTTAATAATCTTTTATAAGCATTCTTCTATACATAAAAATGTAAGGTACACTAAAAAGCTTAATTTCTTAATCATCTAGAAGATACTTATCTTTCTTTTATCTTCATCTCAAATATATTAAAAATAACTAAGATACTATTTATATACAACATTTATTTGCTTAACAATGTTATAAAGTTAACTCTAAGATATTTTTAGAGAGATTATTTATTTATTTTGTTTATTCATAATTAATTATAATTTATTTTTTTTATTATTCTAATGCAAATTATTTTATTTAAGAAAATTTAAATAAAAATAAAAAAATAAATTTTAAATATCTAAAGTATAAATTATTTATAATATATATTTGCTTAATAATTTTATTAAGTCAGCTCTAAGATATTTTGAGAGAATTTATTTATTAATTTATAATAAATAATAATTTATTTTTGTTATTATTTATTCAAATTATTTTATCATATATTGAAAAGTAAATAAATCAATTTTAAATATCAATAATACAAAAAGAATGTGAACTAACTAAAATAGTATCCAATTTTGGATGTATTTATTTAAGAGCATTAATTAATTAATAGAATTTTTACAAATATGACTAACTGGTCATCTCTAATACCTACTATATATAATATAAGTATATGTTTTAAATAAAACTATTAAGATTAAATAATGAATGTTAAATTTTTTTTTTATGTGATCTTTATCTCATTAGGTTCTCGATATTTGTCTGGCTGGAGTATATTTTATTTATAAATATTATTTTTATTATTATTAAAATTTTTTATATATTTAACTTTCAATTTATTTAAATAAATTATTATTATTATTATTATAGAAATTATCATCATTATTTATTGATTTTTATTAAAACAAAAATTTTTTTAGTTATTTTAACTTAATTTTAAATTATTTACTATTCATTTTTTATCATTTGATATTTTTTCTTCATTTTTTGTTATCAAAACTTACACTTAATAAAAGCAGTTTATTAGTTTTGGATTGTAATATTTTTAATTATAAAGTTTTTCAAACATTAAAGCTCTTTTAATTAATTTGATTTATTTTCCTTTTTCTTTTTATTGTGATTTCTTTTTTTTTTCATTCTTTGTTAATTTTATTAATTATTAATAAATCTATTATTTCATATTTTTCTTCATTTTTTTCTTCTAATTAACTAGAGTGAAGAAATGACTATTTAACTTACAAAAGGTAAATGTAATATATCTTAATAATAAATAAAGCTAAATTAGCTTTAAACAGCTTTAATTTTGAGTTTTTAGAAAGCTTTAAATTCATAAAATGTAAAATGTAAAATTTGAAATAATTTACACCGTATATTCTTATAACATATAATTTTTTTGAAAAAAATAAATTTTGAAAAATTTTACGAAGTATTTAAAAATTCTCTTAAAATGGCCTTAATATAAGTTGGCCTTAATTAATGAGAATGCACGGTATATGAATTATTATTATTTATTTGTTCTTTTTATCAATTTATAAGTAATTAAATTTCCATAAATTGCTATTCATTCAATACTAAAATTAAATAATAAATTTATATTAAATTTTTTGTGATATATCTTCTTCCTAAAAGCAAATTTATAAATTCATATATGTGAATTATTATTATTTATTTGTTCTTTTTATCAATTTATAAGTAATTAAATTTCCATAAATTGTTATTCAATAGTTTTGAAAAAAAAAAAATGATATAATAGATTTAATATTTCGACACATTAGAAGATGTAATTATTTATTTTTTTATGAATATTCTTTATATTTATTTTTATTAATAAAAAAAGTTTTCAAACTCTTCACTTTAATCTCATTAGGTTCTCTATATTAATTTGAGGTATATTTAATTTGTAAATATTATTATTTATATTTTTTAATAAATAAGCTTTCAATTTATTTATTTATAATTTAATTTTTCTAATAGATATTCTTATAAATAAATATTCATTGATTTTTATTTATACAAATATTTTTTTATCTCTGTTAATTTAATTTTTATTTTTTATTATTTGATATTTTTTCTTTATTTTTGATACTAATACTTTTAATTTGTTTTTTGTTGCGATATTTTTAATAATAAAAGTTAATTTAAAACAATAAAATTAATTTCATGTTATTTTGTGCTTTTTATTTCATTTATTTTTGATTTTCTTTTTTATGGTACATGTACTTTTTATTCTATCTTGTTAGATTAACTCATTTTTTTTATTTTTTAACTCTTACATTTGTAATTAATAAATTTATTTCATACTTTTTCTTCATTTTTTTCATTCTTATTAACTAATTAATTATATATATTTTTGTTAAATATTTAAAAAGTGACAGTGAAATTAATGATGACGATGCATTGGATTTATTTTTTTATTTAGAAAAATGCACTAATCTCTTAGATTTAACGCTTGACCTTAGGTAAAAACAGTTTATTTATTTTTGATTGTGGTTTTTTTAATTGTAAAAATTAATTTATAACAATATAATTCTTTTAATTTATTTTGTAGCTTTTTATTTGATTTATATTTCTATTAATTAATTCATTTCTTATTATTTCATATTTTTTCTTGACTTTTTGATTCTAACTAACAAATTCATTATATATTTTTTCTTGAATATTTAAAAAGTAACAATCATATTTGTAATGGTGCTTTTAAATTTGGTTCTTGCACTAATCTCTCAAAATTGACACTTTAACTTGAGTAAAAACAGTTTATTTGTGTGATATTTTTAATTATAAAATGAATATAAAACAATAAAAATCTTTTAATTTATTTATTGCTTTTTATTTTATTTATTTTTCTTTTTTAATGCAGTTGTGCTTGTTTATCTTCTTACTTTGTTAATTTAACTCATTTTTTCATTTTCAATTTGTGCTTTTATTATTAATTAATTAATTAATTTAATTTCTTATTATTTAATATTTTTCCTTCATTATACTTATTATACTTTTTCTTCAAAATTTAAAAAGCTACAATTAAATTGGTGATCTTGGTATATATTTGCTAGGTTCTGCCTTCGATAATTGTAATAATCTCTCAAATTTGACGCTTTAGCTTAGGTAAAACAGTTTATTTGTTTTGAATTGTGATATTTTTAATTATAAAATGAATTTAAAACAATAAAACTCCTTTATTTATTTTTTAGCTTTTTATTTGATTTATTTTTGTTTATCTTTTTTAATGTAATATATGCTTATTGTTTTTCTTTCTTTCTTTGTTAATTTAACTCATTTTTTTATTTTCAACTTTTGCTTTTATTATTATTTAATTCATTTCCTATTATTTCATATTTTTTCTTCACTTTTTCTTTCCAATTAACTAATTAATTAAATATTTTTACTTCAATATTTAAAAAGTCACAATTGTTTTGGTCATGTATCTAGATTAGGTTCTGGTTTAGCAAATTGCACTAATCTCTCAGATTTAGCGCTTTACCTTGAGTAAAAAAGTTTATTTGTTTTGTATTGTGAAATTTTTAATTATAAAAATGAATTAGCTCAATAATTTATTTGGTTTATTTTTCTCTTTGTTTTTTAATGTGCTTGTGTTTTTTTTTTCTTAGTTAATTTAACTTATTTTATTCCTTTCAACTTTTATTTTTATTATTAATTTATTAGTTTCCTATTATTTCATATTATTTCTTCATTTTTTCTTTCTAGCTATAATTCAGGCATATATTTTTTCTTCAATATTTAAAAAGTAACAATTATATTGGTGATTAAGACATATAAGACTTAAGTTCTGATTTAGCAAAATGCACTAATCTCTCAAATTTGACACTTAAGCTTAGGTAAAACAGTTTATTTGTTTTGGATTGTGATATTTTTAAATATAAAAATGAATTTAAAGCAATAAAACTCTTATATTTATTTATTAGCTTTTTATTTGATTTATTTTTGTTTTTTTTTTTAATTTACTTGTGTTTTTTTTTCTTTCTTTGTTAATTTAACTCATTTTTTTATTTTTAATTTTTTCTTTATAATTAATATACTAATTTCTTATTATTTCATATGTTTTCTTCATTTTTTACATCTAGTTAATTAATTAATTTTATATTTTTTTATCTATATTTAAAAAGTGATAATAAAATTGGTTTAGGCTTATGTTCTGCTTTAGCGAAATTTACTAATCTCTCAAATTTAACACTTTACCTAGAGTAAAAACAGTTTATTTGTTTTGGATTGTGATATTTTTAACTATAAAAATGAATTTAAAACAATAAATTGTATTATAACTTATTTTTTATATATTTTTCATTTTCTTTTTTATTGTGCTATTTTTTTTTGTTAATTTAACTCATTTTTTATTTCTAACTTTTGATTTTATTATTTATTAATTAATTTCTTATTATTTCATATTTTTTCTTCATTTTTTCCTTCTAATTCACTAATTAATTATATATTTTTTCTTCGAAATATAAAAAGTGACAATACTATTATTAATATTGATGCAAATTTTGCATCAAGCTTAGGTTTTGGTTTATCAAATTGCTCTAATCTCTCAAATTTGACACTTTACCTCGGGTGAAAACAGTTTATTTGTTTTGTATTGTGATATTTCTAATTATAAAAATTAACTTAAAACATTAAACAGTTTTAATTTATTTAATAGATTTTTAATGATTTATTTTTAATTTTACTTTTTATTATGCTAGTATTTTTTTTTGTTAATTTAACTCATTTTTTTATTTTCAACTTTTGGATTTGTTAATTTATTTCTTACTATCTCATATTTTTTCTTCATTTTTTCCTTCTAATTCTCTAATTAATTATATATTTTTTCTTCAATATTTAAAAAGTGAGAATAAAATTGGTGTAATTGGTGTAATAGGCTTAAGTTCTGCTTTATCAAAATGCACTAATCTCTCAAATTTGACACTTTACCTTGAGTAAAAACAGTTAGTTTGTTTGTTTTTGATTGTGATATTTTTAATTATAAAAAAGAATTTAAAACAATAAAAATTTTTTAAATTATTTAAAAGCTTTTTAACAAATTTGTTTTTCATTTTATTTTTATTTATTATTATTTTTTTTTTTTTTTTTGTAAATTAAACTCATTTTTTTATGTTCAACTTTTGCTTTTATTACAAATTAATTTATTTCTTATTATATATAACATATTTTTCTTCATTTTATACTTCTAATAAACTAATAAATTATATACTTTATCTTCAATATTTAAAAAGTTAGAATGAAATTGGTGCAACTGGTGAATCATGCTTAAGTTCTGCTTTTGCAAACTGCACTAACATCTCAAATTTGACACTTCACCTTTGGTAAAAATAGTTTATCTGTTTTGGATTTTGATATTTTTAACTATAAAAAAGAATTTGTTCATTTAATTTTTTTGTTTGATTTTAATTTATTTATTTTCCTTTTTTATGGTGGTTGTGTTTTTTTTTTTCTTTTTCTTTGTTAATTTAATTCATTTTTTATTTTCAAAATTTGCTTATTTTATTAATTAATTCATAGCTTTTTTTTCATATTTTCCTTCTAACTAACTAATTAATAAATTATTTATTTTTTTTATAATATTTAAAAGTCACAATTAAATTGGTGCTAATGGTGCATTAGCCTTAGGTTCTGCTTTAACAAATTGCACTAATCTCACAAGTTTGAAACTTCAACTTTAGTAAAAACAGATTATTTGTTTTAGATTGTGATATTTTTAATTATGAAAATGAATTTGTCTTAACTTTTATTATTAATAAATTAATTTTTTCTTTTTCATATTTTTTTCTAACTAAATAATTAATTATATTCTTCAATATTTAAAAAGCTACAATTTAATTTGTGATGAAGGTGCATTAGGCTTAGGTTTTGCTTTAAAAAATTTCACTAATCTCACAAATTTGACACTTTAACTTGGGTAAAAACTGTTTATTTGTTTTGGAGTGTGATATTTTGAATTATAAAAATGAATTTAAAACAAAAAATTCTTTTAATTTTTTAAAAGCTTTTTATTTGATTTATTTATTTTTTTTAATGTGCTTGTGATTGTTTTATCTTTCTTTGTTAATTTAACTCATTTTTTTATTTTAAACTTTTGATTTTATCATTAATCAATTAATTCATTTCTTAATATTTCATATTTTTTTTTCATTTTTTCCATTTAATTAACTAATTAATTAATTATAAATTTTTTTTTCAATATTTAAAAAGTCACAATAAAATTAATGCAATTGGTGCATCAGGTTTAGGTTCTGCTTTAGGAAATTACACTAATCTCTCAGATTTAACACTTAACCTTAGGTAAAAACAGATTATTTGTTTTAGATTGTGATATTTTTAATAATTAAAATAAATTTACTTATTTAATTTATTTGATTAATTTTGATTTAATTTATTTTTCTTTTCTTTTTTTATAATATGCTTGTTTTTTCTTTGTTAATTTAAACTCATTTTATTATTTTCAACTTTTACTTTATTAATTAATTTCATAATTTTCTTCATTTTTTCTTTCTAACTAATAATTAGTTACTTATTTATTTTTTCTTCAATATTTAAAAAGTTTCAATTAAATTGGTGATGAAGGTGCTTCAAACTTAGGTCACTCTTTAGTTAATTGTGCTAATCTCTCAAATTTGACACTTATCCTTGAGTAAAAACTGTTTATTTTTTTGGATTAGGATATTTTTAATTATTATAATTAATTTAAAGCAATAAAAACTCTTTTAATTTATTTGATAGCTTTTTATATGATTTATTTTCTTTTTCTTTTTTAATGTACTTGTATTTGTATTTTTCTTTTTTAATTATACTCATTTTTTTATTTTATGCTTTTGTTTTAATTATCAATTAATTAATTCATTTCTTATTATTTCATATTTTTTGGTTCCTTTTTTCTTTCTTTCTTTCTTTCTTTCTAACTAATTAATTAATTAAATATTTATTCTTCAATATTTAAAAAGCCACAATTAAATTGGTGAAATTGGTACATTATGCTTAGGTTCTGCTTTAGCAAATTGCATTTATCTCTAAAATTTGACACTTAAACTTGCGTAAAAACAGTTTATTTGTTTTGAATAGTTATAATTTTAATTATAAAAATGAATTTAAAACAATAAAACTCTTTTAATTTATATGATTTCTTTTTCTTTTTATTGTGCTATTGTGTTTTTTTTTTTGTTAATAAAACTCATTTTTTTATTTTCAGCTTTTGCTTTTAATATTAATTCATTTCTTATTATTCCATACTTTTTCTTCATTTTTTTCTTTTAACTAATTAATTAATTTATATTCTTTCTTAAATATTCAAAAAGTGCCAATAAAATTGATGAATAGATTGCATTATGCTTAGGTTCTGCTTTAACAAATTGTACTAATATCTCAAATTTGAAACTTTACCTTGGGTAAAAACAGTTTATTTATTTTGGATTATGATATTTTTTAATACAAAAATGAATTTAAAACAATATAACTCTTCTAATTTATTTATTGGGCTATTTTTCTTTATCTTTTTTATTTTACTAATATTTTTTATTTTTTAATTTAAAGTATAATTTTTAATTTAAAAAATTTCTTTATTAATTTACACTAATTTATAATAAAAGTGAAAACTAAATCAACAAATCATAATAATAATTGAAAGTAAATAGCAAGTTTCTTAAATCAAAAAGATTAGTTTTCTTGAAAATATATTTCTAATGATGATAAACAAGAAGTAAAAAAAGGATGAATAAATATTAAATATTTGAATGATATAATATGTATTATTATATAATATTTTGAAATAGGAGAATTTAATCTAAAATATAAATATATTTTATTTTTGTTTTTATATTTAGGAATATCATATTTTTGTAAGTTAATAAATAGCTTATAAAAAATAAAAAAATTTAAAAATTAAATTTATTTAAATAAATTAATTAATTCCTCTAAAACCAGCCAGCACTCATACATATTTCACCAAAAACGATCTAAGCATTTTATAATTGCTAATGTCATATTATGTCTTATTAAATTATATAAATGCAAAGCTTTTATATGCCAGTTAGATTTTTATCTTAAATATCATCCATCAATCTGTAATTTTAGAGGTTACAAATTGTAACCCCTAAATTTCTATTTATTTTTATTTATCATGAGAAATTAGATAGTATAATTTAAAAACTTAGGGAGAAATCAAATAGTACTTTTATTTTAGCCTTGATGATTTTTATTTTTACAAAGGTGACTATTTATTTTTACTTTGAAATCCGGATAAGTTTTTTAAATAGTTTTTTTTTATCTTCTTGTAGTTTTAATCTATTAGTTGTCCTAAAAGGGTAATTATAAAGAAAATAGGGTGATTATTTAAATTTTAAAAATGACTGAATAAATTTTTTTTTCATTTTTGAATTTTCGAATGATTTTTTATTAATTAAAAATTTTATATATAATAAATATATCTTAATAAAAATATAAATAAGTTTAAGCCAAAATTTAGAGATATATTTTAATATCTTTTTCTTTGACTATAAAGATTTTATGTACTCTTTTAGAGTACGCTATCTGCGCTTAATAGATTATGTGTGAATTGAATTATTAACTCTATTCATGTATTCAACAGAGTGATTAATGGCAAAATGCCTATACTCTATCTTAGAAAAATATGAAAAAGCAGGTTTTTTCTTAAAATTAATATAAGCTGACCATCAATCTGAAAATATTGTGCAGCTTTTTGCAATATTTTTTTTTATAATTTTGAATAAAACACCTTTTTTCATCTATCTAACTGTATAATAGAGTACATTTCTAGTATTAATGCTTAATACAAAATAACCAAATTCTTATCTTTGAAATTATGTCATTAGATCCTTTTCTTAGCTTATAAATTAGAGACTTGTAAATCTCATGTGCTTCTAGCTAAAAATTAATTTCTATTTTTTTTATTAACAATAAATATGAACTAAATCTTTAAATTTATTAAAGTAATTAGTAACTGTCTATTTTGCTAGCCTCTTTCCAGTAAGTAGCTTAATTAATTTTATAGATTTATATATTGTATAGTCATTAACAAAGCTATTAATTATTAAATAGAGTAGTTAGTATGATTAAGGAGAATTTTAAAATAGTGTCTTTTATAATATACTTTATCATAACTTCTACATCTAAATTTTGGTTATCAATTTAGGAAATTAAGTAATTTAATATACTAGGAGTGAGTATGCACAATATTATGATTATTTTACTTTTTTATTTTAAAAATAATTTTTCTGATTCATTACTACTTCCATTAATTATTTCAAATTTATAATTTATGTAAATCTTTTCTTAATTATGAATTTAAGAGATAATAAGAAATTTAAATCTTAAAAAATTAATAATTATTTTTTTTATCTTTTCCAAGATTAAAAAAATAAAAGTAAAAAATGAGTTGGACTGCAGTTTAATACAATTAATATTTATAATAGGTTAGGAATAATACAGAAAGGTTTCTAAATGTTGGAACAGAAGAGTATAAAATGTAAATTCATTTTATAAATCAGAGTGCTAAGAAAATTATGTCGCATTCTTTGGTATAGATTATATTTTATGCAATTTTCAAATATTTAATAGCCTTTTAAAATAGAAAAATTCTTTCTCAAAATTTATAATGCTGTAATGAAAGTATCAAAATACCCAAAATTAAATTTAGTATAATAGAGACTTAAAAAGAATTCACTAGCTAAACTATTGAAGAAAAGCTAATTAAAATTGCTAAAGGAACTAATAACATATCTTCTAATAATGGATAACTTGTCGGTCTTGCCTAAATAAAGCAGTTATCCTGTCTAGTAGAATAAATGTAAGATTAGTAGAGTACCTAAAATAAAAAATAGGGTCAAAGCTATTTTGAAATAATAGGTAGGTAGAGTTTAGTTGAAAGAAAATTCTAAAAAAAGAGATTTTAGTTAAGCATATGAAAAATGCCTCTAAAAAATATTAGAAAGTTTAGAAAATTTTGATATTTAATTGGAAAAATAACTAAAAAATTATTAAGAATAATAACAAGTATTTAATGAAGAAATTAATGCTAGTTTAATATGATATATTTATCAGGTTTTCAAGATAAATAATAGGTATATTATTTTGTTTTTAAATAAATTATAAATTTTATTTTATTTAAAAAGGTTTAAAAAGTGCTAAATAATTAGAGAAAAAAAAAAAATAAAAAAACATCTAATAAGAAGAAAATGAAACCAAAAGCAAATAAAAAATGCATAAAGAATTTAAAAATTATGATTTAATTGAAAATAATTAGCTTGAAGTCTTTTAATTGACGATTCATCTTCAATAGTCTCAATGGCATGAGTTATTACTTTGCATTTTAATCATCCCAAGTTATTTCAATATTCAATAGTCTTTAAGATTGGCCTAGACTTATTCAATGATTTTTAAACATGTGCTTTATGCTGACCAATTAAGAATAGTTATTCCTTATTGTTGAAACCGATTTTTAATGCTATTTGCTGAGTGAGAGGTAGCATTATCCTATTAAAAATAATAGGTATCTTTTAATAAATGCTTATTATCTTTTACATATTCCTTAAGTATCTCATTTTGATACTTTTCTGCTTTGAGTTTTCCCATCTACTCTACAAAAAGCCTCAGCACCTTAAAAACTGATCATTCCCGGCCAATATTTGTTTATTTTCATACTATTTTTTAAAATTAACCGTATTGATGTTTCGTTTTTTTTATTTTCTTCAATGAATTTTAAATGTCTTACTCAACTATATTTTAGGAAACTGAAGAAGAATTAAACTAAAGTGACATAGTTAACTAGGTGCTAGTTTCTATTATTCATTCAAAAGAAGAACAGAGATAGATTTTGGAAGAGCTTGAGCTCAAAGATATCAATGATTTTAATTAATATAGAGTAGGAGGCTTTAAAACAATTAACAATCTACTAAGACCTTATATGCTATGGCTTCCAACCTTATGCAAAATGATATAGTTGTGATTTGCTTATTATAAATTAGGTTAGTTTTATAAAAGACAATAATTAATCTACTGCCAAAGATATAGCTAATAATTTGAAGATATCTTTTTTGGATGAAAAAACAATAAATTACCAAATAATTAGCTCTCGGATTAACTGATTAGCGACTAATTAGTGATGCTTTTAAAGTAGAAGAAGTTTAATTAATAGCAAATTAAGTAGATGCTTAAAAAATAATAATTGATAATGACCAATAAATATCGGATTAAAGTTAATAAAATCCAAAAGCCAGACACAATTTTGAGTATTTTTGATCAAGTTGATAATAATTAATAACAAAATGACAATTCAAAAGTAAATTAGATTTGAAGTTAGTTTAAATACGAAAAGAAATAACGTTAAATTTGTGATAACTAAGAAAATTAAATTTAAAATGATTGAATTTATACTTAAAAAATAATGGTATTGACTAATTAATCTTTAAATGTATCTGTCGTTAATGCTTTTTGAAAATTGAAGTATAAATTTTTATAAATTAAATTTAATAATTCATTTTTACTTTCAATTATTTTCTAAGTCAATTTTACTATTAAAAAAAACTAAAAATAAAAAACAAAAAATCTTCTTCAAATAGTTATTACGGCATAATTTTTAAAATGAAAAGGGGTAAATCAAAAATGTATTTAAAATAAGGAAAAACTTATAAAACAAATAACTTCATATCTAAAATTTCAGTGTGTTGCCTTGAAAAAGACAGTACCCTAGGGTACTATACATATATATAAATTATTTATTTTTTAAAATTAATATTTTATTTTAAAATGCTTAATTATAAATATCATATTTTAAACTAAAAATATATCTATTACTAATATAAAATTTAAAGTTAGAAATTACATTTAAATATAAAAATGATTAAACAAGAATTTTATGAAAATTTAAAATAAAATAAAATAATTTAATTGGAGCAAATTTAGAAATTAAACTTTTGCGTTACACCATTAACAAGAATTTAGTTAAAATCAGTTAGTAATAAGTAAGTACTTTATTTTTAAAAGAAATATTTATTTTTCATTTGAAATAATTGCATCACAAAAATTATTTTTTTTTGTTGTTTGATACAAATAAATGAAAAATTTTAACTTTAGTGATTATTGAATTTAAATATTTCTAAAGTTATTGATTAAAAACTATTTTAAATTTTATTCTTTTCAAATAGTAAATAAATCAGTCAACTTACTTTTTTTATAAAAAGCAAATCCTGTTTATTAAAAATGTAACTAAGATCATGCTTTATTTTCCATATCTAAAATTTATGAAAGCTTTTTTATTTTCAGAAATAAATTCGAAAATTAAATATTTACCTCAATTTTTTATGCTAAAAGTATAGGAAGATTAAATAATAGTAAATAAAATATCTTATTGTAAAATATTTAAAGAAATATCTGACAAAATACAAAAAAAAGAATACTTACAGAAGCTATAAAAGCAAATTTACTATAACTATAAAAATAAGTTTTTGATTAAAATTAATCTACTAAATAATTAATTTAGATTTTTTGAAAAATATATTGTTTGTTTTTTGTTAAATTAATAATCAAAAAGAAATTAAATTAGAAATGAATTTTGTTTTCTTTAAAAAAATCATCTATATTTTACATTTTTTATTGTATATATTATTTTTTAATATTTTGTCACTCCACCCCCAAACTTTTTTGAAAAAAATTTCCAAAAATTTTCTAAAATGGCCTTAATTAAAGGTTAAAACTTAATTAATGAGGAATTATGGTTAAGAATTTAAATATTCCCTAAATTATTTCTTTTTGTCTTTTTTTATAATTAATTAATTTTGTAAAAAAAAATCAGAAAAATATTAATTTAAAAAGTAAGTCTGAATAAAATGTGCTGTCTCAAACTTTATCTACTATTTCTTGTTTTTCTAACAAATAAATTAAAATGCTAAGATTATTTAGATCATAAGATAAGATAAGATGATGAAAATGGCTGTTAGTAGGATATAATTGAATAGTTAGAATCATAAAATATATTTTATTCTTGTATTGAAAAAAACATTATTATACAAAATTAAGACTAAGTAAAGCTCAATTTGCATTTAAGCGATTCGCAGATAAGTTCAAATATATTTATTTCAAATACAAAAGAATTAGAAATAAATGATTTAATTCTTGAAAATATAAATCTATTCTAGGATGGCTTCATTTAATTTTCAGAAATAGAAAATCTTTATATTAAAAATCTAATTATATCTGATATAGAATCTAACTTTTAAATAATTAAATCATAATTAATTAAATAATTTTCTTTAGATAATGTACTAATCAAAAATATGTAGTATGGGTACTTTTTTTTTTTAAATTCTGAGACGATTTCTATTAATTAAATTAAATTTGAAGACTCTTAGATTGGCTCATTTACTATATATGGAAAAAATTTATTACAAATAAATAATTTATTAATATCAAATAAAGATGAAGAAATAATTAATAAATATCACTTAAATACTCCACTCTATTCTTCATAATCTAAAATTATTGTTTAAAACATATTTATTGAAATATACGAATTTTATTCTTCTTTCACAGGTTTTGTAGAATAATTTGCCTATTTTAGCATGCTTGATGAGTATGAAGGATAAAGAGAAATACAAATAGGAAATATAAAATTTATATCAACTAATGGCTATTCTTAAAAATATGGAGTTATCATTTTTAAAAGTACAAAAGAAACAGAAATTTAAATTGATACAATAGATTATCAGTAATATGAAAGTTTGTGCTCTCTGTAATTGCAATTTGAAAACATTAATCTGATTAATATAAATAAAATGAGTGTTAATGGATTAATAGGTAACGTTGGAAATGTAAGAGAGTCAAGTGTAATAAGATTCACAAGTGCTAAAAATTTTAATATATAATCTATAATTGCTTCAAGTAGCAGCGAAATTAAAGGTAATATCTTGTATGGTGATAATTCTTTAAACTTCTAAATAAATTAGCTCCAAATTTAATCTTGTAAAGTCAAAAAAAATTTTATGATTTTAAATAATATTAATCTTGTTAACATCCTTGAAATATAGATTTAAAATTCTTAATTTTTTAGTTATTTTATTGATGCTTAATAAATTTAGCAATTGAATATTTATGGGATTAAATCTGATTAAATAATTGTCAATTCTGGATATCTGTTTAATTTAAAAAATTTAAACTGTTTTTTAGAATAAATGTCTTTTTAAAACATATTTTCAGATTAGCAGCAAACAGTTATTTTTTATATTGAAATGGATTATTAGAATCTAAATAAATATAAAATCACATTAAGTCATGCAAATGCAGATTTATAATCAATAAACAGTGTTTAATTTTTGCTTTTAAATGGACATTCATATCAGTTTTAAATGACTAATTCAAGTATTTCCAACGGAAAATCATTAGATTTTGGAGGCTGTTTATGCTTTATGAATACCTTTTCTCCTAGGTTTATAGATTATGATATCAATATTTCTTATTCAACATTTACTTCATGCTAAAGTAAATACTTAGGTGGAGCTATTTCTTATGCTTCATAGAATGTTGAAATCAGTTTTTCAAAATTTGAAAACTGTAGCAGCTAAATAGGTGGTGCTATATTCAACATATATTTTAAAGATAATTAATATGACACAAATATTTTTAAAGATAATATAGGTTATTTAGCAATTCCTAATTTTAATAAATTGCCTTTAGGGATAAAGATTGAAGAAATATATGAAATAAATTTGAGCTCAGGCTCATATCAAAAAATTGAATAATTTTTATACCCAGGATTAACTTACATAATACAATTTTCACTTAATATAGATGGAAAGTGGTACAGCTCATTTAATGAAAATAGCTTTTTTGGTAATCTTTTTGACATATTAGTGAATCCATCAAATAATTTTATTTCTATTAAATTTCCTAATTTAACTTCGCAAAACTTTCCTTACTTAATTTGGTAAGCTTAGGATGTATCTTTCGATGGAATGAAAAGTATAGACTTGAAATTAGGGACTATTAATTTTATATGGCAATATTCTTTAAAATCAGATTTCTATAAAATTTACAATGGATGTAAAGAGCAAGGAATGGAAAAAATTTATTTAATGAAAAGCTAGTAATTCATATGTAAATACTGTGAAAATATGTTTGTCAGCTATAATGGAGTGTGTTAATAATGTTAAACAGAATATTTCACTGATTGCTATGGAGATTATTCTGCTCTAAAGTCCTCTTATTGGAGAAATGAATACAGTATTGATAGTGAAAATATCTACTTTTGCTCTAACAACCCTGAAAGTTGTGTAGGAGGTAAATTTTAGTATTTTTTATATTAAAATAAAGCAAATTAAATGAGTATCTAAAAAAATAATTAGTAAATTTCAAATATTTCTAAATTATTTTATTTAAAATAAAAAAATGAACTTCAACTATGTTTTCTATTACAATTTACTTTCAAATCACTTTTAATAAATTCAGTCTTTATTCATTTTGAAAAAATCAATAAAGGTTTAACTTAAATATTTTGTAATAGACTTAGCACAGTTGTTTGTTAAAATTTGAGTAATATTTATTTATTTAATTATGAAATAATAGGGAGTGGTATTGGAAATGAACTTTGCTATAAAGGTCATATTGGTCCTTAATGTATAGATTGTGATGTAAAAGGAATTTATTGGAAAGATTAATATTCTAGAATAGGTTTTTTTTAATGTGTAGAATGTAATTCAATATCATCTAATACATTTAAGATATCTGTTTTATTAGTATTACTATTTTTAAGTCTGTTAGTTATCTTAGTATCCACATTTAGAAGACTTCAAAATCAAATTTATACAATATATCTTTCTAAAATGGGTATTTCTTTCTTTGGTAATACACTTCTAAACCAGTCTCTCACCTCAACATACATCAAGATACTTTTGTTTCACATCTAAGTTTATATTACATAAATTAGGTTTACGAAGATAGATATAATTTCTACTGTTTCAAAGTTTTAATTTTTACTTTACAATCCCTTAAGCTCACCTTTTTTCTCTTTGAATTGCCTGATTGCTTAGTACAAGCCTGAATTCAATAGTATTGGTTATTCAGATTTATTGCTGACATTCATTTTATCAATAATTATATGCGTTATCATAACTTTCATATCTATTGTAGCATTTCTAATTAAGAAGAGCCTATTTAAGCAATGTGTTTATACAATCATTCTTTCATTTATATATATATTTATAGTTCTTTTTTACTCTATTCTTTTTGAAAAGACACTTTCTAGTTTTTTTTGCCTTTATCTTGAAAAAAATAAATCTTATTCTCTAATAGATCTGAGTTTGGAATGTGGTAATTCTTCTGAGTTAATTAAAATTTAGAGTTTAAGCTTAGTAATTCTAATTTTATTTTTAATATCCTTCCCTCTGATTATATTTTTGAAGCTAATATAATCAAGAAATAGATTAAAAAAAGTAAAAGTTATGTTTATGTATGGATTCTTATATAATGAATATAAACCTAAGTTCTTTTACTGGGAAATGATAAGACTGTTGATAAAAAATTTATTAGTTTTATTATAACTTTCGCTATAATAATATCCTTAAATTAGTTTGATTATGATATCTCTGATGCTTTTTTCTTACTTCATAGCATTAAAAAGCTATAATCCTTTCATATCTAAATCGTTGAATAATTTAGAAAAGGCTTCAATAATTATTTCTATCTTACTGTTATAATCTTCAAACGTTTTTATTTAATAAAGTTAAAATGAAAGACAAAAAATAGAAAGTTTTAGAACAGTTTTTTACATAATTATCTAAATAATTAATTTAATGTTTTTTTTCTACACTTTATGGCTAATTATAACATCTTTTCTAGAAATGTAGATATTAAAGCTTTAAAAATATATTAAATTTAATTGCTTTCAAACTAGAATTAAATCACCATAGATATTGAGAATAAACAAAAGCATAAAAAAGCTAATTAAATGTACACGAATAATTAAATAAAATTATTGCTTAAATAATGAGGATAAATCTTTGATATTTTATTAGCTAGAAGAGTTCTCATGTCAGGATGAAATTAAAATTAATTGAAATTTGTAAATAAATTATATATAAAAATAATTTTTATTGAAGGATGATTTATGTAATTTTATGATGTTTATTTAAATAAAATGAGATACTTTTATGTGGTATGCAAAATTTTTATCTTAATTGAGATTCATATTCTATTTCAAATATATATCTTTATATTTAATAAAAAAATATTTATTAGTTTTTAAAAATGAAATAATAGAAATAACTAAAAAATAAATTGGAAGTTTTTATTTTCTTAATTTAAAATAAAGAAAAATTTTACAAAATAAATGAATAGAGCTTTACTTAATGAAAAAATAATTAAATTCAATTAATCATATTTCTAATAGAAATATCTGTCAATAAAAAAGTTTCTGATCAGCAACAAATTTTATAATTTGATCAAAAACAAGGAATTTGCAAAAAGTTTTAACTTTATAATAATAGTTGATGGGAGATATGAATATTTATTTGTTATTTAAAGGGGAATGACTATCAGTATTAACATTTTTACAAAATAAATATTAAAATAATAAAATCAATAAAATAATAGATATTGGCAATGCATGTTGTTAGCGGAATAAAATATTTCCTTGACTTTTTTACGTATGTTAATATTTTATTTTAAAATGCTTAAAAATATCATATTTTAAACTAAAAAAATACATCTATTATTAATATATAATTTAAAGCTAGAAATTACAATCAAATATAAAAATTATATAAAAAGACTTTTATGAACAATTATATTAAAATAATTTGATTGGAGTAAATTTGGAAATTAGACTTTTGCGTTTCACCATCAACAACAATATAATTAAAATCAGTAAGTAATAAGTAAGTGCTTTATTTTTTAGGGAAATAAATATTGATATTACTTTTAAAATAATTGCATCACAAAAATTATTTTTTTTATTTAATACAAATAAATGAAAAATATTAACTTCAATGATTGTTGAATTTAAATATTTAGAAAGTTAGTTATTGATTAAAAAAAATATTTTAAATTTTATTCTTTTGAAATAGTAAATAAATAATTCAAATTACTTTTTTTATAAAAAGCAAATCCTGCTTATTAAAAATGTAACTAAGATTATGCTTTGTTTTCCAAATATCGAAATCTATGAAAGCTTTTTTTTCAGAAATAGAAAAATTAAATAATTTCCTAAATTTTTAATGCAAAAAGTATAGGAAAATCAATTAATAATAAATAATATATCTTATTTTAAAATTATTATTAAAGAAAAATCTGATAAAATAAAAAAAAAGAATAATTACAGAAGCTGTATAAGCAAATTTATTTACTATAATTAAATAAATAAGCTTTTTATTTAAAATTAATCTACTAAATTATTAATATAGATTTTTTGAAAAATATATTATTTTTTGGTTATAAAAGAAATTAATAATCAAACAAATCAAATTAGAAATGAATTTTGTTTTCTTTAAAAAAATCTTCGGTATTTAAAATTTTTTATTGTCTTTATTATTTGATTTTTTTAATTTTTTGACTATTTCTTTTGTTTGGAGAGATTTCTAACAAATCTTAAATGTACCACTAGAAGAAAAAATATAAGAATTTGAATATCCCCTAAATTTTTACTTTTTGTTTTACTTTATAATTAATTAATTTTGTAAAAAAACAAAAATCAGAAAAATATTAATTTAAAAAGTAAGTCTGAATAAAATGCGCTTTCTAAAACTGTATCTATTATTTCTTGTTTTTATAACAGATAAATTAAAATGCTAAGATTATTTAAATCATAAAATAAGATAAGATATTGATAATGGGTGTTAGTAGGATATTATTGAATAGTTAGAATCATAAAATATATCTTATTCTTGTATTGAAAAAAACATTATTATACAAAATTAAGACTAAGTAAAGCTCAATTTACATTTAAGCAATTCGCAGATAAGTTCAAATATATTTATTTCAAAAATAAAAGATTTGGAAATAAATGATTTAATTCTTGAAAATATAAATCTAATCTAGGATGAGTTCATTGAATTTTCTGAAATAGAAAATCTTTATATTAAAAATCTAATTATATCTGAAATAGAATCTAACTTTTAAATAATTAAATCATAATTAATTAAATAATTTTCTTTAGATAATGTTCTAATCAAAAATATGTAGTATGGGTACTTTTTTTTTTTTAATTCTGAGATGATTTCAATTAATTAAATTAAATTTGAAGACTCTTAGATTGGCTCATTTACTATATATGGAAAAAATTTATTACAAATAAATAATTTATTAATATCAAATAAAGGTTATCAAATAATAAATAAATATTACTAAAACACTCCACTCTATTTTTCATAATCTAAAATAATTGTTTAAAACATTTTTATTGAAATATACCAATTTAGCTCTTCTTTATCAGGTTTTGTAGAATAATTTGCCTAATTTAGTATGGTTAATGAATATGAAGGATAAAGATAAATACAAATAGGAAACATAAAATTTATATCAACTAATGGTTCATCTTAAAAAAATGGAGTCATCATTTTTAAAAATACAAAAGAAACAGAAATTTTAATTGATACAATAGATTATCAGTAATATGAAAGTATATGCTCTCTGTAATTGCAGTTTGAAAACGTTAATCTGATTAATATAAATAAAATGATAGCTAATGGATTAATTGGTAACGTTGGAAATGTAAGAGAGTAAAGCGTAATAAGATTCACTAGTGCTAAAAATTTTAATATATAATCTATAATTGCTTCAAGTAGCAGCAGAATCAAAGGTAATATCTTGTATGGTGATAATTCTTTGAACTTCTAAATAAATTAGCTCCAAATTTAATCTTGTAAAGTCAAAACAAATTTTATGATTTTAAATAATATTAATCTTGTTAACATCCTTGAAATATAGATTTAAAATTCTTAATTTTTTAGTTATTTTATTGATGCTTAATAAATTTAGCAATTGAATATTTATGGGATTAAAGCTGATTAAATAATTGTCAATTCTGGATATCTGTTTAATTTAAAAAATATAAACTGTTTTTTAGAATAAATGTCTTTTTAAAACATATTTTCAGATTAGCAGCAAACAGTTATTTTTTATATTGAAATGGATTATTAGAATCTAAATAAATATAAAATCACATTAAGTCATGCAAATGCAGATTTATAATCAATAAACAGTGTTTAATTTTTGCTTTTAAATGGACATTCATATCAGTTTTAAATGACTCTTTCAAATATTTCCAACGGAAAATCATTAGATTTTGGAGGCTGTTTATGCTTTATGAATACCTTTTCTCCAGGTTTAATAGATTATGATATCAATATTTCTAATTCAACATTTACTTCATGCTAAAGTAAATACTTAGGTGGAGCTATTTCTAATGATTCATAGAATGTTGATATAAGTTTTTCAAAATTTGAAAACTGTAGCAGCTAAATAGGTGGTGCTATATTCAACTAATACTTTAAAGATAATTAATATGATACAAATATTTTTTAAGATAATATAGGTTATTTAGCGATTCCTAATTTTAATAAATTGCTTTTAGAGATAAAGATTTCAGAAATATATGAAATAAATTCAAGCTCAGGCACATATTAAAAAATTGAATAATTTTTATACCCAGGAATAACATACATAATATAATTTTCACTTAAAATAGATGGAAAGTGGTACAGCTCATTTAACGAAAACAGTTTTTTTGGTAATCTTTTTAACATATTAGTGAATCCATCAAATAATTTTATTTCTATTACTCCTCCTAATTTAATCTCACAAAATTTTCCTTACTTAATTTGGTATGCTTAGGATGTATCTTTCAATGGAAAGAAAAGTATAGACTTGGAATTAGGAAATATTAATTTGATATGGATATATCCTTTAAAATCAGATTTCTATAAAATTTACAATGGATGTAAAGAGCAAGGAATGGAAAAAATATATTTAATGAAAAGCTAGTAATTCATATGTAAATACTGTGAAAATATGTTTGTCAGCTATAATGGAGTGTGTTAATAATGTTAAACAGAATATTTCACTGATTGCTATGGATATTATTCTGCTCTAAAGCCCTCTTATTGGAGGAACGACTACAGTATTGATAGTGAAAATATCTTCTTTTGCTCTAATAATCCTGATAGTTGTATAGGAGGTAAATTTTAGTATTTTTAAATTAAAAATAAAGCAAATTGAATGAGTATCTAAAATATTTAATTGATAAATTTCAAATATTTCAAAATTATTTTATTTAAAATAAAAAAACTAACTACAACTATGTTTTTTATTACCATTTACTTTCAAATAACTATTAATAGAATCTTTATTCTTATCGTAAAAATCAAAATATGTTTATTTTGAATATTTTGCAATAGATTTAGCACATTTGTTTGTTAAAAATTGAGTTGAATAATTAATTAATTAATATTTATTTAATTATGAAATAATAGGGAGTGGTATTGGAAATGAACTTTGCTATAAAGGTCATATTGGTCCTTAATGTATAGATTGTGATGTAAAAGGAATTTATTGGAAAGATTAATATTCTAGAATAGGTTTTTTTTAATGTGTAGAATGTAATTCAATATCATCTAATACATTTAAGATATCTGTTTTATTAGTACTACTATTTTTAAGTCTGTTAGTTATCTTAGTATCCACATTTAGAAGACTTCAAAATCAAATTTATGCAATATATCTTTCTAAAATGGGTATTTTTTTCTTTGGTAATACACTTCTAAACCAGTCTCTCACCTCAACATACATCAAGATTTTAATGTTTCACATCTAAGTTTATATTACATAAATAAAATTTACTAAGATAGATATAATTTCTACTTTTTCACAGTTTTAATTTTTACTTTACAATCCCTTAAGCTCACCCTTTTTCTCTTTGAATTGCTTGATTGCTTAGTACATGACTGATTTCAATAGTATTGGTTATTCAGACTTATTTCTGACATTCATCATACCAATAATCATATGCCTTATTATAACTTTAATATCTATTGTAGCATTCCTAATTAAGAAGAGCCTATTTAAGCAATGTGTTTATACAATCATTCTTTCATACATATATATATTCATAGTTGTTTTTTACTCTATTCTATTAGAAAAGACACTTTCTAGTTTTTTTTGCCTTGAACTTGAAAAAAATAAATCTTATTCTCTAATAGATCTGAGTTTAGAGTGTGGCAATTCTTCAGAGCTAATTAAAATTTAAAGTTTAAGCTTAGTAATTCTAATTTTATTTTTAATAGCCTTCCCTCTGATTATATTTTTAAAGCTAATATAATCAAGAAATAGATTAAAAAAAGTAAAAGTTATGTTTATGTATGGATTCTTATATAATGAATATAAACCTAAGTTCTTTTACTGGGAAATGATAAGACTGTTGATAAAAAATTTATTAGTTTTATTATAACTTTCGCTATAATAATATCCTTAAATTAGTTTGATTATGATATCTCTGATGCTTTTTTCTTATTTCATAGCATTAAAAAGCTATAATCCTTTCATATCTAAATCGCTGAATAATTTAGAAAAGGCTTCAATAATTATTTCTATCTTACTGTTATAATCTTCAAACGTTTTCATTTAATAAAATTAAAATGAAAGTCAAAAAATAGAAAGTTTTAGAACAGTTTTTTACATAATTATCTAAATAATTAATTTAATGTTTTTTTTCTACACTTTATGGCTGATTATAACATCTTTTCTAGAAAAGTAGATATAAAAACTTTAAAAATATATTAAATTTAAATGTTTTCAAACTAGAATTAAGTCACCATAGATATTGAGGATAAACAAAAGCATAAAAAAGCTAATTAAATGTACACGAATAATTAAATAAAACTAAATCTTAAATGACTAGGATAAATCTTTGATATTTTATTAACTTGAAGAGTTCTCATGTCAGGATGAAATTAAAATTAATTGAAATTTGTAAATAAATTATAAATAAAAATAAATTTTATTGAAGGATGATGTATATAATTTTATGATGTGGATTTAAATAAAATAAGATTCTTTTATGTGGTATGCTAAATTTTTATCTTAATTGAGAAGCATACTCTATTTCAAATATATATCTTTATACTTAATAAAGAAATATTTATTAGTTTTTTAAAATGAAATAATAGAAATAACTAAAAAATAAATTGGAAGTTTTTATTTTGTCATTCAAAATAAAGAAAAAATTTACAAAATAAATGAATAGAGCTTTACTCAATGAAAAAAACAATTAAATTCAATTAATTATATTTCTAATAGAAATACCTGTCTATAAAAAAGTTTCTGATCAGCAACAGGATTTTTAATAAGATCAAAAACTAGGAAAATACAAAAATTATTAACTTTTTAACAATCGCTGATGATAGATATGAATAGTTATTAACTATTTAAAGAGAAATATCAGTTTTAACTTTTTAATAAAATAAATATCCAAATAATAAAATCAATTTTATTTATTTTGATCTGGAAATTTAAGAAAAACTCTTATTTATTAAGTACTTAATTTAGGATTTTTGTGAAGTTTTTCTTATACTTTCTTTTAAAAAATATAGTTTGAGAAATATAAAATTATTAATTAATTAATTATTTATGACAATAATAGTAAGAGCAAATTATAAAAAGTAGATTAAAATCATGGTTGATAAAATAAAAATTTTCAACATATTTTTAATTTTAATAATAGCGCTATTGCAATAGCGTTATGTTGAGTGTTAAATAAAAGCTTTTAGTGATAGAATTCTAGCATAATATTGCGATTAGATGCTGATTGAGTAATTGGAATAATAAAATATATCTTATCAGTGTTAAAATACTGTAATTTTTATTCAAAACTTAGATACAATAGAATTAGAGCTATAAATTAAAGATCATTATGTTTACTCTCCAATATACATAAATAATGCTAATTATGTTAAAATTAAATAGCTTATTATATCTGATTCGTCATTTAAATTTATTGATTATTTTATATCATTGAGAAATATAAATCGCTTGGAAATAGGCTTGTTCAAAGTATCTAATATGTAAAAATAAGATTTTATTAACTTGATGGAAGGCTATACAATAAAAGACTGCTTGATTGATCAACTGTAAATTTCTAGTTAAGAAGGATTCGATGATTATTATTCAATAAGAATTAAATCAGATCTATTAGCTATAGGAGAAATTTATATCTAAAATATCTTTAACATTTTCTCTTAACTCAATGGATAAAATTAATTAAGTGTAAATGAAATTTTTATATCACAAAATATTAATCCTGAAAAACTAGAAAACTTTTCAAACTTCTAAATGTAGTATTTATCCAACTAAAGTATATTGATAAATATTTTAAGTATAGAGGTGAACAATATATAAAACGTATAAAAATTAGGTGAATAAAAATTTGCCTACATTGAAATATTAACATATGATAAAAGCGAAATATCAGAAATAATTGTCAAGTAAATATCATATACTTCTTCTTAAACTAAATTTTAAAATTATGGGATTGTTTAATTCAAAACTGAACAAAGGAAAACGTTAATTAGCCTAAATAGTATTTAATATTAGCAGATAGACAGTTAATATTACTTATAGATTTAAATGGATTAATTTTTTGAGTGTCTTATTCATAAAATCACCATACAAAATTTTGGAAATTCTTTAATGGAAAGCTAATATTAAAACTCTTTATTTAAATTAAAATACATTAACAAAATGGGTATAGAATCTATTAATTTTAAACAAAATTGCTTGGTTAATGGCACTCTTATAAATGGTAGTGTTGACCAATTCGAAATATTTTAACTGTAAGTAGAGTAATTTGTTACTTTTTAATAAACTTTATTAGAATTGTAAAACTCTCAACTTATAAAAATTATAAATTTAAATATTGAAAACTGCAAAATAAATGGATACCTATTTAATTTGAAAAATATATTTTAACTTTTTTGTATTAATGCGAGCTTAAATAAAATATAATTTAGTCAAAAATCTCTTTTTTATTTGCAAAATGTCAATTATTTGTACATAGATAAAGTATAACTTAAAAACTTTGAAACCTTTTAATAGCAGAGTGCTATTCTTTAAATATAATCATTAGATGTAGATCATGAAAATACAATATAGTTTGAAAGTATTATAGCTGATTTAAAAACTAATAAGAATCTATAATTTTTAAATTTTTATGGAATTCTTTCCTAAATTTAAATATAAAGTTCTTAAATAATTAATGGATCCTCTATAAATTTTGGAGGATGTTTGAATTTTTAATTTGATGAAAAGCAGAAATTTCAAAACATCGTGCTGTAACTTTCCTCAACAGTACTTAATTAATGCTAAAGTAAGTATCTAGGAGGAGCAGTTTCTGGAATATCATTATCATAATTAACTGTAGAAAGCAAAATAATAAACTCAAGTAGTAATATATCAGGTGGAATTTATTAGCTCAAACCAGATAATTAATAGAATTAAGATATATTCTTTAACAATACTGGCTATCTCACATCTAATAATTATAATAAATAATCTATTGAAGTAAAAATAGAAAATATTTATGAAATTAATCTTGAAAATGATGATGCTAGGTTATTAATCACAATTGATGACTATTTATATCCAGGATTAAAATATCTAATAAGAATAGCTATCAAAGTAGATGGAGAATGGTATTAATAATACAGTGAATAAAGTTTTTTTGGTAATATCTATGATCTTATAGTTGATCCTTCTGATAATTATATTGCTAAAACTCCACCAAAGTTATAAAAAATAAATTATCCATTTATTCTTTGGTATGCTGAAAATGTTGAATTTGATGCAAAGCAAACAATTGATTTTAAGTTGAACAATATAAATCTAGTTAAATAATATTCATTAGATACAAAATAGTACAAATTATTTCATGGATGTAAAGACCAAGGAATGGAAAAAGTCTACTTAGAAAAAAATAATAAATAGTAATTTGTTTGCAGATATTGTGAAAATATGAAAGCAGGTTATCAAGGAACTTGTTAAATTTGTTAAGCAGATTTATTTTCAGAGTGTTATGGAAATTATTCAAAGCTGAGAGAGCCGTATTGGAGATCTTCATTTACCATCGACCCTGCAGAAATATTTTACTGCTCTAACAATCCTTAAAACTGTATTGGAGGTATTAATTAGTTTATATTTTCTTCATTTCAAATTGATCAATTACTTTCAATTATTAATCAGCTAGCTATCTAATTGTTTTTTAAATGCAATTTAAGATGATAAAAATTTTCTCATTTAATTTTATGAAAAACATTTTTTTATTTTCAAACTTTTAAAGTATTTTATAAATAAATTTATTTTGAAAATTTAAAAGGAAGCGGTGCTGGAAATGAATTATGCTACTAAGGCCATGTTGGTCCATAGTGCTTAGATTGTGACATAAGAGGGGCTTATTGGGGAGAAAAATATTCATCTGCAGGATTCTTTTAGTGTGTAAAGTGTAGCTCCATTTCAATAAATGAAATAAAAATAGGATTATTATTAACTATCTTAATTGTCAGCTTGCTATTTATTTTAATTTCGACATTTAAATAACTGCAAAATTAAATCTATGCAACCTATTTATCTAAATTAGGAATCTTTTTTATTGGAAAGACACTATAAAAACAATCTCTTGCTTCAATTTACATTAAAATTCTGCTTTTTCATGTGCAAATCTTTATGGTTTCTAATTAATTTACTTAATTAGACATCGTTTCTACATTCACTTAATTTTAATTCCTTTTTTATAGTCCTTTAAGCTCATCCTTCTTCTCTTTAACTTGCTTAATTTCTAAATATGAACCAGAATCTAATAAAATTAAACTTTTGGATTTATTCTTTACAATTCTCATTCCTATTTCGATATCACTTTTCACAGTTGTCATCACTATTATTTTATACTTTTTCAAACAAAAATTATTCAAGAGGGGTCTTTATGCTACTTATCTTACTATTATATACTTATTTATCTCAGCTTTTTCTTCCATCCTATTAGAAAAGTGCTTGTCAAGCTTCTTTTGCTTGAATTTAGATACAAATAAATATTATTCTTTAATAGATTTGAGCTTAGAGTGTGGTAAATCAAGTGAACTTTAGCAAATTTAAAACCTTAGTTTAGCTATTTTGATTATATTTTTAATAATTTTACCTTCTGTAGTGTTTTTAAAACTCATTTAATCAAGGAACAGACTTTAAAAGGTTAAGGTTATGTACTCCCTAGGATTCCTGTATTAAGAATACAAACCCTAATTTTATTATTGGGAAATTATCAGATTTTTAGTCAGGTTTTCTTTAGTTTTGCTAAATGTTTCACTAAAACAATATCCTCAGATTAGTCTAATTATGATATCTCTTGTACTTTTTTCGTATTTTGTTGTACTGAAAAGTATCAACCCTTTAATAACAATATTTTTAAACAAAATAGAAAAAATCTCTGTAGTTATTTCAATCCTTTTGCTTCTTTCATCTAACATGTATTTGTAATCTAGCTTAAATTAAAATCAAACTTTAGAAAATTTTAGAATAGCATTCTATCTAATAATTTAAATAATAAATTTAACCTTTATCCTATTTTGCACAGTGCTAATGATAATATCATTCTTAGAGCAGTAAATACTAAAATTAAAAAAATACTTGAAATGCTTGATTATTTAAAAGATTAAAACTACTAATAATATTAGAATAAATAATAGTATTAAAAAATTTATAAATTGTGCTAAGCAAATTAAGTAAAGTTATTAAACAGGCAAAGAAAGTAATATATTTAATTTTTTTGAAATTAATCAAGAAATTTGACATTTTTTAAATATTATAAATAAAAAATAATTAATAATGTAACATATTTATTTATGTTAAGTAAGTGCTTTGTTTTTAAATTAAAAAAAGAGTTTTTTAAATTAATTTCAATTTTTTTTTACCTTTGATTTTTAACATATTTAATATTAATTATTAATGAATTAATCTTTATTTTTAAAGATATATTTTTTTACATTTTCTCAAAACATTTTTTGAATGTTTAATTGCAAGAAGTAAAATAAATTTTTTAGAAATAATAGAAAAATTAAAAATCATTTAAATATCTATTTAATAAATCAAAATCTTAACTTTTATTTCAAAGATAAATATGATAAATGAATTTTTAAGTAATACTTTGTTAAATATAAATATGAATTTACTCTCAATTAATTAATTTTTATATAAAACCTTAGTTTATGTTTAAATAATTTTGTAATTTATATATTAATTGATGAACTTTTTCACTATTTACAATTTGCTTTTGGCATAAAAGACATCTTTATCTTATTTATATTTAAATTACTTTATGTAGTATTATTTTGGTATGAAAGACTATTATTTATTTCTAAACTAATATCTTTTTATTTTGGAATTTTTTTAGTATTTTTAAAGCTAAACTTGCATGACCTCAGCTTTTTGTAAGAGCTCTTTAATGTTAAAATTAATATAGCCAATCCACTAATGCACTAGAAGAATATTGCCAAGTAAATAAAAACTATATATTTTAAAATTAATTAATTTAATATTTTTATTATCAAAGTTTATTTACCTGTTGTAGATTCAATAGAATTTGAAAAAGGTAGATATGTTAATAGAATTATTGTAAAAATTTCAACGGCTGAAATGCACAATGTTTAATATTTTTATTCGAATGGCCTATAGACAGACACATAAATTAAGAATATCAAGTTAAAAGGAAGGATTACCCAAACTGCGTTATCATTTTGAGGATATAAAATTATAAAGCAGATTGATACTATTTTTTTGATTTCGTAAAAGACCCAAAAAATTCTCCTAAATATAGAAATGTAGACTAAATTTTAAATAAGAATATTCTTTTGATAGAATTTTCTTTGAAGTGAGCTTTATATTTAATAATTTATGATTTATATGAACATTAAGCTCCATAAAATAGCATAGAGAGATATAGATACCACTAAGAATGATATATCAATTGAGCCATAAAACTACTGTTAGTAAAGCTATTTTAAGCAGCTAAGCAATATGAGGTTAGAAGATATCATGAAAATTTTAATAAAAAAGTTATTTCTGAAATATTGCATGATTCTTTAATTATTCTTACTTTTGATGGTTACTATAATTAAAATGATCATAACAAATATAATGCACACTTGAAAGAAGACATTTTCAAAAGAACTTTTGGAAAGATTAGAGTACGGTAGTATACTTTCAAAAAGGCTAAAATTTGTAAGCTTTTAACTGTTTTTGTCATTTTAAAATGGATTCGGGATCATTTAAAAGACATTGTAATTCAACAAAAACCTTAGAGCCATTTCTTTTATCAGCTAAAACTTATTCGATGTTAGAATAGCGTAATTAGCTAGCATTTAGAAATTTTATAGATAAAACAATGACAAAGTTGAATTAAAAGAGTGAGACAATAAGATTACAAGCAGATAAAACAATAAAGAAATTTATACTGCATAAGAAAATATAGCAACTGTTTAAGATTGTTCATAGATGGATTCTTCACACTTATCAAGATCTTGCTCATTGAGCTATTTGCATATTAATTTTTCAGTTTAAAATTTTATAGATTTTTGATTGAAACAATCCTGTTCTTCTCCTTCAAAGCACTCAGTGCAAGTGTCAGAAGTTTTTTCACACTCCTTGCATTAGTTAGAGCATTTTTAGCAAACTTGATGGCCATTTAATCTGACAATAAAATAACCTGAAAGGCATTTCTTTTAGCAAGTTCTATCTTATATAACTAAAGGCGGGTCACAATTATTAGAACAGGTCATTTAATTTTCTTAAATATAAGTCTTTTATGGACATTATTCAAAGCACTTATTTTCATAAAGATAGTTCTGATTGGAACATTATTTACATTAATTAATGTCACAGATACTACAATTTTTAGAGTATTATATTTCACAATCCTCACAAACATTTGGAAGTTCAGGATTTATATATGTACTTTTTTTGCATTCATTCACACATTCATTATTCTAAACAAATTTAGGACATTCTATGCATTTTTTAGTTTTCTCATCTTGAGCAAGTTTTTTTGGGCATTGATCATAGCAGTATTTTATATCTTCTTTTTAATATTGATTGCACTATTTAATACAATCATTTTTATATAAATAAGGAAGTTATTTTTCCTCTGAACAAGATTGACATATTTTCAGATCTTTTGGATCACAGACAGCACAATTAGCATTTTGACATTTTTCGCATTGTTTATTTTTAGACATATCATAATTTGGATTAACTAGTATTTTATCAATGGTATTGAAGGGGCATTATTTGTAACAATTTTATTATCCATCAACTTTAAAATAGTCTTTTTAACATCTTAAGCATTCAGAGTTTGTGCATTCATCACAGTTTGAAAATTTTATATTACAATACATACATAATCCTAAACTATCATCACCATACTAATCCTTTTCACATTAATTTGCACATTTCTGTTTAGATTGATTAAAATAGAAACCGCTTGCGCATTTTTAGCATTTTATTGGTTCGTTAGGATCGCATTTAAGACAATTATTGTCAGGGCATATTAAGCACTGAAGTGTATTTTTATCATTTGATGTATAGTATTTGTCTGAACATTATTTTACACACTTATTTTGATCTTTCTAGAGATAAATATAATTAGATTTTATGTCACATTTTGTGCAATTTGTTTTGTCACACTCAATACAATTTGAATCATACTTCATTTAACAAGATTAGCAAGCATTCTAATCATCAAAATAAAATTATTAAGGACAATGCACTATGCAATTTTTTTAATGTAAATAAGGATACTAAGAAGTTATATTACAGCTTATGCATTCAGTTGTATTTTTCAAGTCGCATTAATTGCATTTATCATTTTTGCATTTAGAACATTTACCTGTTGCAGAATCACCATATTATCCAGTAGGGCAGGGAGAAACACAAGAAAAATCAACAAAAATATTAATGAAAAAAGTAGGATCAGAACAAGTAATACATTTCTTGTTATTACACTTAGAACATTTTTCTCCAAAATTTTTAGAGCATTTAATACACTTGGAATCTTACTAATATTCGTTATCAGAGCATCTTTCAACACAATTACCTTCTTCTTCTTATAATAAAACAAATTTACCTTGTTAAAAGCATGAAATACATTTTTTAGGGTTATTACTATCACACTTTTAGCAATTAGAATTATCACATTTTTTACATTATTACTCGATTTAATAGTATTATATAGGGCAACTTTAACTACATTTTTTACTAACAGGATCGAAAACTTATTTTGTATCAACGCATTTAATGCATTAATTTGAATCGCAATCTTAACATCCATCAAATAACTAACTACAACTCATACATTGTTACTTATTATTTTTATTTGGTCCAGGAAAATAATTTGGTAAACACTGATCTACACAATTTTAATCTAAGGGATTTATATATTTTTTACTATCTTTGCATTCTAAACATTCATTTTCTGTGCATGTTAAGCATTCAGATTAGCATGGTTTACAAATTGCTTAAGCTTATGATAAATAGAAGCCTTTTGAACAAATACTGACACACTTACTATCCTATAATAGAAAAATAAAGTAAGCCAATAATAAAATAAATAAAAAATTAAATAAAATAAAATATTAAAATTAAAATTAAAAAATAAATAAATAATAAAATTATTATTACTTAAAGCAAGTAATTTATATTGTATTTTTTTTCAAAACAAGAAGTACAATTAGCTGGTTGTTTTGGATCACATCCTTTACAATTATAGTTGTGACACCATTGGCAAATTCCATTTTTATCAGGGTAAAAATTATCTGGACAATTATTCACACATTAAGTTTCCTTATCTTTTAAATTTCTATTGTAAAATTATTTTTCTTAAGTGCAGTCAGTTTCTAAACAATATGTAATAGTACATGATATACAATTCTTTCCTAAATAAGTTTTGCAATCTATACACTTATTATTACTTGTATCATTATAATATCCTTTGTTACACTATTTAGAGCATTAATCATCAAGTAGAAAATATTATTTCTTACAGTCTGTGCATTTACCGTTACTATCACATTTAAGACAGTTGTCATCCTTACAAGTCATTATTGGACATTAATTAGTAATATTTTTTATGCATTTTCCTGTTGAAATATCTAAGCAATAACCTGTATTACACATAGTACACATATTGCTTGTGCAAGATGTACATTAAGGATCATAATCATAACAATCACCACATTCCTTTTGTTCACGTGATTATTATTTATCAGGTGGTAGTATATATGAATTGTCTGGGCATTATTCATAACATTTACCCTTATAAAGGTAATATCTACCTGCAAATGTATATTTACAATCTATGCATTAATTTGGATCACTATCTTTGCATGAGTAGCAATTTGGATCTTAGCAATTCTAGCATTAATTTTTTAACTTTGAATAATATTATCCTTATTCACATTTACCAATACAACGAGAGCTACTAATGTCTAAATATAAATTATTACAGCTTTTACAATTATTAATATCACATTCTTAACATTAGCTGTATTTAAGATTGCAGGGTAAGCATTAATTACTTGTTTCATCAGCAAAGTTTACAGATTCACAATTTTTTTAACATTTATTATTTTCAAAAAAATATCCCTTTATACAACTAGAACAAATTGTTTAATCATTTTATTCACATTTTGTACAACCTTCAGCACAGCTTGTGCATAAACCTGTAGAATTGACTCCAATTTATTATATAGGACATTCTTAAAGACATTGTTTTTTATCTTAACTTAAATAAAATTTATCTACACATTTTATACATGTTTCTTATTAACAACTTAAACAATTACTTATTTTGTTTGTACAAAGTTCGCATATTCCATTATTATTGTATTCAATAAATTATTGACATTCATTTTCGCACTTAAATAAAGTTGAAACTAAATATGGATCCTTACATTTAGTGCATTTTTATGGTGATTGATTGCACATTAAGCAGTTAGAATCATCGCATTTGTCACATGTATTTGTTTAAGTGTTTTAGAAATAAGCTTCTGGGCAAGTTTCTACGCATGTATTTAGTTAAAAATATCCAACTTTGCAAGTTTTGCATGAGCTTTCGTCAACACATTCTAAACAATTATCAACACATGGTGTGCAAACATTTTGTTTATTAAAATATTCTTTTCCACAATCAGTCAAACACTATCCATTTAAAAGACCTCGCTAATCTGAGCAAGATGTGCATATTTAAGAGTTATCTTACTTACATTAATCACATAAGTTATTTTGACAAGAAGTGCAAGCTAATAGAAATAGATCAAAATATTATTTTGATGGGCATACACATATGTCATTCTTGTTTTTTTATGCATTTGCATCTTTGCAAGTATCACATTTTTATGCACTTGAACATGTCTGGCAACTCAAATCACATTATTTGCAATTGCCAGATACTAAATAATATCCATCTATGCATTTTGTACATTAAGAAAAGGCATCTAAAGAACACTCTGAACAAAAGTCTAAATTGCACTATTAATCAATAAAAAATAACAATTAAGAAAATTATAAATATATTCTTTTTTTAATAAATGTAACAGGATTTTTTATAATAAAATATAAAATAGAAAGAAAGAAAAAATATTTTAGGTGATTAAATTAAAAAATAAATTAAACTTAAAGATTATTAATTAATTTGTTACATTTAATAGTAAGATAGTGACTTCTCTTATTCCAAAATAAGTGATATTGTTGTAATTACTATCATCTGAATATTAGTTGCTATTAATTATGGTGAGATTAACTTAATTATTTATTAAATTTGTAATAGTTTAGAAGTCCCCTATGATATCGTTCCTATCTAAACCACAAACATTCTAAGAAGTGCTTATTTAAGCCTAATTTAGTTAAATTTAAACATTTTGATCATTAAGCCATATTTATATTTAAGATTCTTGCGAATTTTAATAATCTATTAAAAAGTACTTAAAATACACTTTAACTAATTTATGGCCTGTGCTTATCTATTATTTCAAGTATTAAATAGTACTTCCTTTTTTATTTATAAAGAATCCACCAAAAAGTTAATACCCACCACAATTTGATTGGATTGCGCTAAAATTATTTATTTATTTAAAACCAGAGAAAGTGAATCCCAACCTCTCAATTTCAATCTAAGAGAAAAAGTTATTGTGCAACCCAGATAATAAAATTTAATATCCTAAAATTTTAAATTATAATTTACAATGTGAAACAACTAATAGATAATTTTCAAAATTAAAAAATGAATAAACCTTATTTGTTTCTATCGATATACACGCATTCAAAGGAAATTGTTTTGGCTATTTAAAGCTTTTAGTATCCAGCAGAACATTAATTAACACATGATTCAATTTGAGGTAATAATGGGTTTTGGCACTTATCGCATTTTTATAATGTATTATTCCACTACGTACATTTATTATTTATGTAATAGCAAACTTTTTCAGATTGAAATTTTTAAAAATAGCCATTTGATATGTCGCATTAATTTACACATTTTCCATTTTAAAAAAATTGGTTAAGGTTAGAACAATTACATTAAATTTAGGGATTGCTAGGAATTGATTATTCTGAGCATGATAAACATTAGTCTTTATTTGGTCCAAAGCAAGTTAGGCATGAAGGATGGCATGTGTTTATATTCACTTACAGAGAGCTAAGCAGTAAAGATTATAGATAAGTATTATTTTCCATCTATTCACTTACTCTTACGGTTAAGGAATAATTATTGATTGTTTAGTTCTAGTAAAACCTAGCTTTATGGGAAAAAAAAATTAATATGCATTTCAGAAAATAAAGAAAAAAAAGACTTACCTCTAAAGAATTATTAAATAGTTAAGTTTTGGTTTAAATTAGAACATGGATAATTTAAAGCAGATTGATTACCAGTCAATTAAAAAGCAAGAATATCGTTTCCGTCTATATTATAAACAATATTTTTTGTCAAATTAGATCTGAGATATAATGTATCTATGACTATTTCTCTTTCAAAATGAGGTAAACTTATATTAAATGGAAAATATCCAATATTTATGACTTCATTATTAGAAGGAGGAGGAGTACTTAGAGAATCGTAATAAAAAACTCCATAGTTATACTTCATAAACTATGTTGAATTAGCTTTTTCACATTATGTTTTGAAATACTTTTCTGAAGGATCACTGCCATTCATGTAAGATATTAGAAAATCATCTTTATCAGTAAAATTATTAAATAAACATTAAATGAATAAAATAAATAAATAAATACCTTAAAGTGTTAAATGCAAAACTTGGAAAAAAAAAAGAGATATTTGAAAAATCTTCATTTTATTTATAATTTATTTTAGGTTTTTAAAATAAATACCTTGGGATGTAATTTCACTTTTCTTATTAGTTATTTTTTGCTAATTTAAAGATTATAACAATTATTTTTTGCTCTACATACGAGTATTGGTTATTGGAATTAATTAGACTTTTTTGATGACTTCAATTAAGATATTGGATGATGGATTTATATGCTTTATTAGATTTATAATTGATTAATTTTATGGTCTATTAAAGCAAAAAATAAAGCGTATTAAGCATTTATTCAAAAACTTTGATTAATTTATACTATTTATTTATGGTACTATTCTAAATAGATATTTTGAACTTACTTCACAAAAATTGTTCATCAGATTTTGAGAATCAATTTTAAGATTTATTAATTTCCCCAAAAGTTAAGCGAAGAAGAAAAATCTATCTATCTTATAAAATCATAGTTTACACAGTTTTAAAATAAATTGAAATCACATCTTGCATGAATTTAAAGTAAGATATTTTTTTATTAATGACTTTTTTAAAAGATAATTACACTAAATGAAATATTTTTTTTACATAACAAACAATATTTTAAGGAATTTAATATTATAAATGAATTAATTAAGAGAAATGATTGAGTAGTTTTTATCAATTTATACGAGTAGAAGAAATCTTTTGATTATATCTTACAATATATTTTTTGTAAATAATAATTAATTTGTGGTTGGCATCAATTATTTTTTATTGCTCTATTTTTTATTTCTTCGTACTTTCTTTATAGATTTTCCATTTAGGAGGATTTACTTTTGTTTGTATAAAGACCCGAAACTATACTTCCTAGAAAACAATTTGTAAAAGAAAAAAAATAAATATTAAATAAATAAATAACAAAAATATAGGCGATAACAAAACTTATATATAATTTATATTTTTTATAAATGAAATGATAGTGAAAAGAATCTACCTAAAAATGGAGAACCATCATTAGAATTCTTTCTATAATGGAAACTATTGTTATGAGACTGGTTCCTCTCTATTTCAATTGTAGGACGTGAAATGTTAAAAGAACTGTTATGATATGAGTGAATATTATGATTATTATTGCTTGAATATTACGAACTTAAATAATTTTTATTAAGTGGGGAATTAGATATCGAAGTGTTTTTCATATTAATATATGGAGGAGCATAAGTTTATTAATAAAAGCTGTTTTCAATTTATTAAACGGGCTGCTATTAATGCATATTTTATTGGTTATTGATTTAATTTTTTAAATCAAAAATGACCTACTCCAATTTACGTACTTTATCTTGCATTTCTGAGTAGCTTTCTATTTACAAATTATTTTGTGGCTGTACAATTTTATTACTGTTGCAGGAAATGTAATTTAATTACGTTTCATTTAAATTTGTGCTTCCAACGCTATTATTTTATCTTTATAAAAAATAAAAATTAATATATTGGAAACAAATTTATAAAAGTATTTATTTATTTTATTAAAAATAAATTTTAAATTTAAAATAATCAAAAAAAAGTCATTTTTCAAATTAATATTTAAATAAAAACTCATCTTTCATTTTAATTTAAAAAAGAATTTAATTTTTTTTACTGTTAGAGAATGCAAAAAATTTTGTTTACTTTTTAACGTATTTGATTTACCACTTAAAATTAAATTTAGTTTTATTTTTAAACTTTTTTTAAAAGAAAAATATTTATTTTATTTCTATCTTAATTTCATACTTAAAAAGGAATTTAAAAAAACTTTTTTGTTTCCATTTTAAATAATTTTCAAATTCGTATTTAAAAAAATCAATACTTTATTTTTTTATTATTTATTTTTATTGTTTCATAGATGATAAATTTAGTTTATATTTTAAGTAATTTGAATGATAAATTCTAAAATTAAAATTAATTTTATTTAAAAACTTTATTCTATCTTAATTTTAAATTTAATGTTAATAAAATGTTTTATTTGTTTGAATTTAAGTGGTTTCTATTTCACTTTTAAATAAAAACCAATATTTAATTTTTCAAAAAAAATTAGATTGTTTTTTTTATTGTTTTGCAGAAGACTGGCTATAAATTACATTTTAGTAATTTGATTACTTAAAAACGAAAATTAATTAATTCATCACTTAAACTTGTATTTATTTATATCTCAATTTAAAATTTAAAAAAATAAGTAAATATTTTTTTTTACTTAAATTTTAAGTGCTTTTTTAAATTTTAAAATGTAAATAAAAATGGATATTTTTTTCATTTTATAAAAATTAGAAAATTATATTATGATTATGTAGGTTATGAATTTAGTTTAAATTTTTAAAAATTTTATGTATCACTAACTTAAAAAGAAAATTAATTTTATACTTTGTCTATCTTAATTTAATATTTAAAATGAATAATAAAAAAATTTGCTTTTTTTACGTTTTAAGTGCTTTTAAAATTTAAATAGGAAATAAAAATTAATATTTTTTTTTTTAAATTTTTAACATAATTTTTATATTTCTAGAAGGCTTTAAATTATTAATTTCAAAATGAAAGTTAGTTATCAAGTTTTTAAAAAATTATAAGTTTAAAATGAAATAATTATTTGTTTTATATAATGTGATTTTCATATTTTAAAAATAGATAAAAAATTTGTTGTTTAAACAAGGAATTAATTTTTTGTTTTTTAATGAAGAAAATATTGATTTTATTGGTCTTTAAATAAAGCTTGTTTTCTTTTGGAGTAATTAGATTGCCAGAAAAAGTCGATATTTTTATTTATTTATTGTAATCTAAAATATTAAGTTGAAAAGTAATGTATTTATTTACTCTTTATTTATGTTTGAGAGGTCCAAGATAGGTTACTATTTAGAATTCAGTTCTATAATTTATTCTTCTAATTTGATTATTTTTTCTTATTTTTCGTTATTCAGCTTTTTTAATTCTTAAATGCTTTATTCTTATTCTTTTATTTGTACTTGTCTTTCTTCATTCTGCTTAGTCTCTCTTGAAAGACTGCTTTCAATACTGACTAAAGTGTCTTTTAAATTTTTAATTAGCTCATTCTAATTTTAATACTGCTTTTGTTGCGATTTTAAGTTTGAATATTCTTTCTAAAATTATTGAAGGTTCTTATTTAGGAGGTCATTCTTTTCCCTGTGAAGTTAAACTTCTTATTTGTAGGATTTAATTTCATTTATATACCTTTCTCTTTCTTCTTTCATTTAAATTTTTAGTTTTTACATATAATTTTCCATTTCTTTGATGTTGCTATTGCTTTTAAAATATTCTTCTTGCTACTATAAAGATTTCTATTTTTTAATATTAAATATTAAATTATTTTTTATACAATTATTTTTTTACTAACTCAAAATCCTTTGCAGTTTATTCCCAAAATACTGTATTGTTGCACTATTCTTCCATTATCTTTATTTTATCTTCCAATTTTTATATCAAAATTCCTAGCTGCTTATTGTGCTCTTGTAAATTTATATTCATATTTTACATTTCCTAAATTATTATGAAACAAATAATTTTTACAAGAAAAAAATGATTAAAATTACTCTGTAGTCCTCTTCCAATTTTTGATAACTTTTTTGTAATAGGCTTTCATTGATCTTGCTCTAGCTAGACTCTAATTCTAATTATTTGAGGTTTCTTTAAATTTATTATGAGTGATTCTCTAAGGTACAAAATTGCATTTTAACGTGATTTAATTGTTCATGTAGCTCTTTATTTTACTTTATCAATTCAAATTCAAAAATAATTTATTATAAACCAGCAATTTGCAAACTTATGAATAAGCAATTAAATAATAAACTTATATATAAATAAATACCTGTTACAGCCTAGAATTGTGCTATTATAATTGATCATTTTATCTTTCTAAGCATTCCTTACTTTCTAAAATTTATTCATATTTTAAATCGTTTTACTGCAAAACACTTGTATAGCTTTTATTTTTTAAACTTAATGGCCTTGTAGATGATAATTCCTAATTTAGAGTAGTGTTTTCAGCAGTAATTTTAGTAACTCTGTTTTCTTATTCTCTGAGATAATCCCTCAAAACATTATTTTAGCTTATTTGCAATTGAATTTCATTATTCAGAGTAACTATTTCTTGCTATTGTTCAGCTACTAATTTATCTAGCTCATTTAACTGTTTAAAAAAATTTTTTATTTGCAATCAAATTCATTGAAATTATAATACCTTTTTTGCATCAAGTCTATTTTAAGACTTTAAATTATTGCTTTCCATCTACTCTCTTTAAAAATCAATCATTAACTTAGTATAATCAGCCTTTAATTTGTCATAAAGATCCTAAATTTAATTCCCAGTAAATTTTAGTGAATGTGTTTCTGGTTATGACATTTTAGGGAGATTTTTATAGCTGTTGTTAAGTAAATGATGGTGTGACATTTACTGATTAATTGAATTAGATTTATTATTAAAAGACCTATTTCTATATGAAATTTCTTCAGTTTGAATATTATAGTCATGGGCATTCTCTTTATTGTATTCAGCTTCTTAAGTGTCCTTATAACTATAAGCGCTATTAGTTCTATATCTCTTTTATTCTCTCTCCATATTATTAATTAAATTCATTACTCTATATAAATATTTAATATATCAAGTCTTTCAATTTTTATAATTCAAAAAAATTGCAAATATTAAAATTAATCAATGATAGATAGATAAATAAATAAATAGTTTGATTGGATTTATTAACTTTAACAAATTCAAAAATTAATTAAAATTAAAAGAAATTGCTATTGAAATTAATATCTTTTTTCAAATTATTCAGTGAATAACATTTTATAATTTATGTTATTTTATTTTAAGTTGTTTTATAAATATAAATAAATAGCCACGATTAATCCATTCATTTAATTACTGACCCTTCTTCAAATTCTTCAAAGTAATTTTTTTTTTTTGAATTACTAAAACAATAAAAGAAATTAATTTTAAAATTGAATAAAAAATAAGATTTATTTTATAATTGAGATATTTATTTTAAAAATTATTGATCTATGCAAATTCTTATTTATAATTAAGTATAAATTAAACAAAATATTTATTTTTAAGATTACCAAAGATTATGAATTTTTATTTCACAATACTATATATTTTATGTTTTAGATATAATTTTAGGTAAAAATAAAAGAAAAATTTCGAAATGTATTTCATATTCTAATAAGGTAAATTTATGAATGATTATAATTATTACATGTAGAAACTTACATATCTTTTGAAAATATGAAAAATAATATACAAAAAACATAGCATATATAGATTTAATGATTTGTAAGATCAAAGTAAATTATAAATTGATTAAGATAAGAATATGAAGACTAATATATATTACAGATTTTTTTTGAAAGAAATTAATCTACTTTATTTATGGTTATAATTTTTTATGTTTTTTTTTTAAGTAAATTATTTAATTTATTTAAAATATTGCTATTTACATCTTTTTATTTTATATACAAGATTTTTTTGAAAATTTATCACATATTATTTGGAAAATTAAACTCAGTCTTAATAGTAGTATTCAGATGATTTACGACTAGATCCACTTTATTTACCATCCTGACTTTATTCTGAGAAGGAGGCTTTTCTATCATTTCTTGCTATTTTATCAGTTCTTTCCTATTATTTTTTTTAAGATTAATTATATTTAAATATTAAAATTATGTTTATTTACTTTGACTATTTGGAAAAAATTTGTTTCATTAAAATTTTATTGATCCTCCCAAGGCTATAGATCATTCATTAAGTTTGTTTTTTTCTTTTTTAAACTGGTTTAATTAGAGCATGAAAAAGGAGATACTTGCAAAGAATTTTATATTGAAAAGACCTATTTGTTTTTCTTTTGCTTGTGTGGAGAAGAAAAAAATGAACTTGATCTCCTTTTCTCCTTTTATTGCTAAAACTAGTCTTCTAAAAGATCATATTCAGTTAATATAGAATGAGCATTATTTAGCTATCTATTATACTTAGATATTGAATTTTAGTTGATCATAATATCTCTATTTTAAGATATCTACTTAGGAACTTTGTCATCGTTATTATATTTATTTTTATAATAATTTTATAGAAAGAAAAAATCAGCACTGGTTTCTTCCATATGATTAGTGAGTGAAGTTTGTTATGTTTCTGGAATATCTATATTTTCTAAATTGCTATTTGAAATATTAATGTTATTGTGATAGCTTTTAATATTCAAATGAGGTAAAACTATTTATTTGTTATTCTAAGCACTCTCTGATTAATTTGCTTTATCAATGGAGTGCTAAATGTTATTTAAATCAGTAATAAGAGGATGCTGTTTTAATTTTATTCGAATAGGTTTTTAAGCATTACTTTATTTATTGTTTATTGTAGATTATTATGAAAAAACTTTATTTTAGTTAGAGCCATCTTAACTCGTAACATCTAAATTATACAAATCTTTCTTTGAAGGAGATTATCCTGAAACTACTTTTCCAATCTATGCTGTATTAGCCTTTTTTCTAAATGTTAATTTAAACCTTTCTTGTTCTAATTTATGAGGATCGTATAATTGCAAACTGACTGGTGATTTAAAATGTTCTGTATACAACTCCTCTGATTCTAAGTCTTCTTTATTGATGCTAGAATTATCTAAGTGATATTTAAGTTTGTCTTCTTTGCTTTTTAAAATATTTAATATAAATTTAAAGATATTTTATCAATTTGCCATTTCATATTATTTTGCTGAAAATGTTTAATTGATTTTAACATAATTAGATTTGTCAAAATAAATGAATTTCAATTATTTTATAAATGTACATAAAATATATTTTCAATTTGAAAATTTGTTTTTAGGTTTTTATAAAAATAAAATTTTGATTAATAAGCTATTTATTTAAAAGAAATTACATGAAGGGAGACTAGTACTATTAATATTCTGCAGCTAAGTTTAAACTTGAGTCAATATTTTTTTTATTATTTATTTTTGGAGATATTAATACATCAGGAGAAGTGTACTAGGAGATTTTGCTTCCATTATTATAACTTAAGCTACTTTCCCTATAATTTTTTTTTCCTTTTTATTTGTTTAGCATGTAAATCTTAGTCTTATTGCTAAAACCCCTGAAAGGTTGAAGATATGGTAAACAGAAATCCTCATTGTAAGCTTACAATTCTTTTTTTATTGAGGATAATGGTGATTGAAGACCTTGTGTGTGCTTGTTGAATCTTGTTTGCTGTAATTTATTTTATATAATTTTCTAAGCTTACTGATTAATTTTTGCAATCATTTTATCTTCAATATTGATATCGTTTCCATTGTATGTAGGAGAAGTATTTAGGTTATTACCATTCTGATCAATCTTATCTTTCACATCTTGAAAAATCTTTTGATTTAGTTGTTTTTCTTGGTTAATAATGAAATCGAATTCGTTAGGTTTATTTATTTGGATATTATCAAGTATCTTTATGTTGTTAGATTTTGATGGAGAAATGCAGAGACTTTCTACATTTAAGTCTGTTATTTAATGTGTCATTTTCGATTAAGATTATAATAATTTTTTGCGTTCATTTTTTAAAAACATAGAATTCATATTTTTTTACAATTGCTAAGATTTAAGTTAAACTATCCACTCAAAACTGGAAACATGCTCATCATTAAAATCTATATTTAATTTTTATTTTTCAGCAAATCTGTATCCTGAGCTTCTGTATATTTGTTTATTCTTTTTAGATGTAGGTGCAGCACATTCTACAATACTATTATTATCTAAATACTCAAGAGCTTGTAAATCTTTCTAAGGAGACTACTAATTATGAGATCTATACCTCTGCTTTTTATTCAAAAACCTATCAGTCCTTTCTTAGGAATAGGATTTAAGTTGAACAGGCTAACCTATGTTAACTTAATTGTATTTCTTGATCAGATTTTCTTGCTATTTAAGAATTGTTTTTGAATCATATATCGCTGGTTCAGTTTATGTCATGAATATAGGCTCATTTATGTTTTTTTATGCTTTGCTTTTGGTACTATTTTAAGCATTAATGTTCATACTAGTTTTTACTGCTAAGTTCTATGGTAATTAAGAGCTCTCAACTTCGTCTTATTTTTCATTTGAGTTTTTCATAAATAATTTTAAAGAGTTTTTTGCTTCACTTTTTATGTATAAAATTTAGCTATTTAGACTTTAACATATAAAGAATTATGAAAAATTGAAATGAATTAATTATATTATATTAAATTCATTGATTGATTTATTTATTTGTTTGTTTTTTGTTTCCTGTTTGCTTATAAAAAAATATAAATAGATTGATGGACAGATAAAGAGATAGAAGTTGAGTGGAATTAAGAAATCTTTAAACTTTTAAAAGAAGATTTAAGAATACTTAAATGAATAATTTGAAAACTATTTAAGAAATAAATATAAATATGAGTGATTAAGCTTAAAATGATATATTTGAATAATAACCATTAATTTATTTTAATTTATATTAAGACTAAATAAAATAAGAAACAGTGTTAGCAGTAGTAACAAATAAGGTAAAAATCTCATAAATACAAATATGAAGATTTTACAAAAATTACACTTTAATTAAATAAATAATTTCAAAATACTTTATAAATTTTATGTTTTATTTTTAAATTATTTGTTGTTTTTTTTTTACTCTTTAAATTTATTTATTTTTTCATTCCACTTACATTTTATCGCTACCAACTTACTTTGAATTATTTCCATTAGAACTGCTGGCTTCTTAGACTTCATCTTCTTCCTCCTCATCTTCATTATCTTCGTCTTGAATATCTTCATTATCTTCTTCTTCATCCATCCTCCTAAATAATCCATTTTGTATTTAATTAACTCAATTGATAAAATTAAATAAATTACTGTTAAGATTCGGTTTATTAAGTCTTTTATTAGGGTAGAATTATTGACATTGTCCTAGGTTTAGAACTGTTTTTATTACTATCTCCTTTCTAATAATAGTCAATTAAATTTTCTTTCAACTTTTAAAGGGCCTCTTCTTTTGGCATGTAAACCAAATCTAATGGTCTAAAAATTTAAAGCGAACCACCTCCCATAGTTTCATGCTCTAACTCCTAGCAGGTACTTAAAATACTCCATGGATTTTCTGTATTCCAATCAAAATCATTAATCACTCCTCTGTTTTAAAAATAATTAATATATTTATATGTTTTGCTTTAATAAATAAATAGATATCTTACTTTTAACCAAAATGAGTAAACATAGGTTTTTCAATTCCCTAAGCATCAAATTATGGGTCATCCTTGAAATATTTAATTTTAAACTTGAATAAAAATTCAATTAAAATAAAATGAAAAGCTATACTAAGTTATATATGTATAGATTGTCTGAGCCTATAGCTAAGTAATTGCTTGATGGTTAAAAGCGAATGCTCATAATAGCGTTTTTTTATTGATCACTAGGTAGGTTTACATTTGAAGGAATCAATATAGATCTTACTTTCTTCATTTTTCTGATGTCTATAAGAGCAGCATTACCATCGCTAGAGCCTGTTGCAACATAGTTTTCGTTCTTTAAGCTCCATTCAACGCAATTAATGTCATCCTCATGCAAATCTAAAAGCTATCATTATATTTTTAAATATCATGAAGAGGAAATTAAATATTTTTAAAAATAGTATTTCTTAAATTCTATTAATTAAAATAAACGAAAAAATGTTAGGGGAAGAAGGAAGGTTCTTAGATAATTTACTTCAAATTACTTTTCTGAAGAAGCCCTGATATCCCAACCTATCAGTCTTTTGTCATCTCCGACACTAACCAGAACATCTTTGTGTGCAGGAGAAAATGATAGATCCTCTATCATGTCAGTGTGTCCTGTGAGGCAATAGCTATTTTTCAACTTAACAGGTTCATTTTAGTTTCCAATAGAATTCAATTCTCTTTTTGTGAATTAAGGTGTATTAAATTACTACATATAATTACTTGTAAGTCTAGTTTGATAATCATCTACATCCCAAATTAAAACACTCTAATCTTTACCTCCACTACCAATTCTATAATTATTTTTCGCCCAATCTAATGCAAAACTAGGAGTCTTGCTTGTGTGTCCTATTAAACTGATATAAAACAAACAAACAAATTATTAAAATTTAAATATCATTTTCTTATTCCAAATAAACACCAACTTTATTTAAAATTTAAAAATCCTTATAAATAGCTTGTTTATGATATTAATTAGAAAATGAGACAATATAAATAAAAAAATATGTAAAATAATTACGTAAGATCAGGCATGTTAGCATGTATACCATCTCTAAATTAATTTTACTATCTATGTTTATCTAAATCCCATAAAAACACTTAGCTTGCATCATTTTTTGTAGCTAACAATTTAGGATTTAAATTACACTTCTTCATCATGTTAGCATCTCCCGGGTGAACAATAATTTATTTCACCTTTAAATTTTTATGTTTCTTCAAATTATCCTACAAGTAAACGTTTCTCAGTTCTTAGTTAAACTGCTTACCGACTTAGGGAATGTCTTTTGATTTATAAACAAATAATTAGGTCCATATATTTTAAACATTTCAAAATCTCCAAAATGATATTTTCATTGATTTGCAAATGCTTATAATTTCAAATAGAAGCGGGTTATATTTGCTTATATCTTCTATCTAAATATAAACTCTTAAAATCTATACTTTTCTCTAAAATACTAAAATTTCTAAGCCTTTTTAAGATCATTTAATCAAATAACGGCAACTAAAATAATCTATTTACCTACTTGTGCAACAACTAGGAAACTTGGAAGTTTTTGCCAAGTGGTATCAGCTTCATTATATATACCATCAGTCCTGCAAGCAAAATAAACTCTTTGCTTTAATAATTCTGAATTTTCTGATATGATTGGACCCCAACTGCAAGTCGTACAAGGCCAATCCAAGTTATTGTCAAGCCTACAGATAAAAAAAAATATGAAAAACTTATTCTCTCAATATTAGCTATAAAATTTAAAATTATATTTACACATAATCATAGATATATGATTAATAAAGCTTCCATTTCTACTATTTATCAGGGATATTCATATCTTAAATTAATTTGTGTTTAATTTAATAATTTTTTAATTTCTAAAAAATATTATCGCAGACAATCGTATTTATTTAATTAGTTAATTAATTAATTTTTAATTGCTTCTAAGTTAATTACCAAACAACACAAAGAATAATTTGTTAAATAGAAACATCAAAAAATTACAAAATTTCTAAAATATTTTAATTTAAATGAAAATCAAATAAATTCATAAAAATTACAAATTATTTTTACAAAAAAATAACAATTTTAAAGTATTTTTTATTCATTTTTGGTATAAAAACTCTTCATAAGTTTCAAATATACTTAAGGAAGTAACTGAAACAAACAGAAGAGTTATGGTAGAGTAAAGAGCAATATGGGCATTATATTTGAAAAGTAATGCAACAAATCCAAGGATAACAGTCATGACAGTCTTGTAATCAATGGCATTATTTTTCAAGCTTCTTAAAAGCATCTTTTTGTATAAAAAAACAAAAATTAAAATTTTGCTTTTTAAAATAAATTTAATAAAACGAAATAAATATTAAATATTTTTACCTTCAAAGGAGTGTCTTGAGAGAATTAAAATAGAGAAGATTCATCTTGAGAGGATAAATAGTCATTTAGATATTCAAAATCAACTATATTATCTTGGAGATCAAGGATCCAATCATCGAATTCATTGATGTTATTGAGAAGGGCAATTTTCTTGTTTTCTTCAAGGAATGCAGCAGCATGGAGTTATTTAAGAGGATGGTTATGTTTAGGATCTTAGAGATAAGCTTCTAAAGTGTTTCTGAATTTCCAGTGCTTATTTAAATCAATGACTACAAATTAGATATTGTGGAAATTATCAAATATTCTTTCCCCTGAAGTGAACTTTTCGATTGACTGAGATTTGTATTATTTTCTGTATTTGTTAGCAGATTCCAAAAATTTATCAAAATAAGGAGATTGCTTAAATAAAAAGATGCATAAAGTTTGGTAATCATTTTCAAATTCTGATTCTTCGTCTAATCTAGTTTGTTAATTCTTGCAATAATACTTGAAATTCTCCTTTGAAATCTCAGGAGTAGCTCTGAAGTTCAAATAGTTCAATATTTTATAGAATTTTTCGGCATTAAACTTTCTTCCAAATTCAAATTCATATTTATTTCTCACTTGTTTTTCTTCATCGTTGATGAAAACTATGAAATTCTTACTTGTTTAGAAGGATGATTATATCTAAAGATAACATGTTATTAATATAAATTATAATATTCATTTCATTATAAATTAAAATATTACGCTGCTAGATTGGCCATAAGCATTTGTATAAAAGTTAAACTCTTTGTAATTCTAAATTTAATAAGTAAAATAATTAATCATCATAATTAAAAATTTTTTAATTACTTGTAAAGCAGCATATTTGAATTCAATAGGAATTCTATCAAGCTAAAATAGATAAACAATGTCAATCTTTTTGTTTGGCTCAAATTTTGACATTTCTTTGTATAATTATGATGCCTATTCTTGTTTTATTTATATCAATTTGCTAATAACTGATTTCTACACAAACTTAGCTAATTCTAAATATTTAAAATTTTATTTTAATCATATAAAAGAGGCCTTAAAATTAATTTATACCAGCTTCAATATTGTAAGAACTAAAAGTAGCTAATTAAGGAGAATCATAGTGAGAGAACGAAAATATTGTGGGGAATATACGGGAAGGAATTGGAAGTCTTTGGACTAATTTGTAGTCAATTTCAGCGTTTACTCTACCGAATTTCACAATATGTCCATATGTATTAATAATAGTTTCCCAGAAAGGAGACATTCTCTTGCAAGAATCATCGCCATTCATATATATTTATATAATCCAAACATCAGTACTTTGCATTACCAATTAATCATAATTGTATTCATTCAAAGTAATAGCTTTACTCTTAATCTACTACAAAACACCATTAGTCTAAAATTAATAAAAATATTTTTTTAAATTTTTAATATCGTGCTAAGAAATTTTGATTGTTTTTAACTAATTAGCTAACTAACTAAATGAATGAATTAGAATTTGATCTAAGAGTTAAATATGAATTTATAAACCAAGGAAATTGAAATTTAAAACAAAATTGTTACAGAATCATAGTTTTCTCTCTTTTGTGCATTTCCTAAAACCTTCCAAGCTTCTGTGATTTTGTAGAATTTATCAATGCAAGATTCACCACAATTAGGGTTTTTATCAGGATGCCTTATTTAATGATTATTTAGAAAATAAATTGATTGATTAGTGTCAAATTTATTGTATGTATTTATAATAAATTTTTCTTACCATATATTAGCTAATCTCTTATATGAATTTTTGATTTCTTATGCAGATGCACTAGATTCTACTTCTAAAATTCCATAAAGATTCTATTATAAAAAGCTTAAAATAAGAATTTTTTTTGAAGAAGAATAATTGATTGAAATACATCAGAAGTCTCTTAATAAGAATATCTTCTATAGTTATCTCCATAGTACTTAAATACAAACATTAAAGCTAGGGTTGCTACAAAGAAAATAACTACTAAGGGATCACAATAACTTTCATCTTTAGGATTTGATTTAAATAATTCCTAATCTGGTTCATCTTTCTATTTTTCTTTTCTAGCTGCCTTTTTTTCTTTTTCAGCTGCTTCCTTCTCTTTTTTTAACTTCTTTTTATCTACTTTTTCTTTTTTTGCTGTTTCTGATTCTTTTTTTTGATCCTACTTCTGTTCATTTTCAGAATCACTATCACTCAAGTTTTCTTATTCTATCTCTTCTTAATCAGAATCATCTAAATCTTCCTATTAATAATTTTCCTCTTCTTCTTTTTCTTCTTTTTGAATTTTCTTTTCTTATTATTATTTCTTTTTAGGCTATTCTTTAGTCTTTTCTTGTTGGCTAGGCTATTATTGTTATTATTATTCTTTTTGTTGTTTTTCCTTCTTTTTTTTTTGATTTTAAGTGTCATTATTGATTTGCTTAATCTGTTCAAAAATATTCTTTTTTTATGTTAGATCTTCTTCAAGCTCATCATTTTCCTAATTTAATTTCTACTAATTTTGATTCAACAAAGCCTATTTTTATTCGAACTTTCTATCTAGTTCGTCATCGTCTTAGTTTTCTAATTATGAATAATAAAAATGATTTTATTTAGAATATTTTATGCTCTTTCGAAATATAAGTTAATTTATTTTTATTTACTTTTGTTTTTTTTTGGGGCCATTTCTTATTATATTTTTTACTTAACTTTCTTAGAAAAAATTTTATTTACTGATATTTATTCTTATCAAAACTAGTTGTGATTTGTGTTTCAGATATCTTTCTTTCTTCCTTTTTTTTGGACCAGATATCTATCTATCTAAACAAGTGTTTAAACTTGTTGACTAAAGCTAAAAAATGAATCAACTTAATAAAAATAATTTTTACTCATAAATCTAATATAAATTTATTTAAAATAAAAAAATTGACTAAAAATAGAAAATGAATTTTATAATTATAAAAGTAATTAAATATATTTTTTGCTTAAACAAATAAAGATTTAATGAAATGGATCTATCTATGTATCAATATATTTATCTTTGAATTTGCTATAATGATTGATTTATCCAGTGTTAAATATTATTAATCAATCTTTTTATCTATAAATTTATTGAATAATTTATTTATTTTGTGATTTTATTTTATTATAATATCAAAAATAAGAATAAAAAATTGAAATAAAAACTGTGTTCGTTATATATATATATTTATCATAAGAGTTAAAGAAATAAAAAGAAATCAGATTAATTATTGATAGTAGGTATAACTAAATATATAAATAAACAATTAACAATTAGCCATCTTATAAAAATATTAAAAAGTAAAAAAGATTTCAAGGATATCTAATAGGAAAAGAAAAAGACTTTAGCATATTAGGCTTATATTAGGCAAACAATTTTAAATAAATGCAACCACAATACGTAAAAAAAATTTACTGAAATCACTAATTTGCATCATGCTATTTTTTAAATATTTAGGCTAATTAGCAAGTAGATTTTAACTACTAAAAGGGGTAGATAAATTATGGTAAATCTCCTTACATACTTTAATCTCCTTATAAGCTATCTTCAAGCTCAATAAATAGCTAAGTTAGCAAAAATAATGGTTAATACTCATCGCCAGTCCAAAATTTTTAGAGATCTCTTTAAGAATTGACATAATATCAGTAGTAAATGTAGTATAATTAAAATTTATAAGCTATACAGCAAAGTTAACAAAATTAACAACAATAATTGTCTTTTAATGCTACTCCTTAGTCCTATGCAACTTACTAGTCTCCAACGAAATAAGATTATGTTCTTTTTGAGAGATAAGATCCTTATCAGCGTTTTAATGGAAATGGTTTGCAATAAAATAAAATTAATAATATGCATCAGTAGTAACAATAGCCTTACTAAACTATCAATTAAATATAAAACAGATAACCTAATGTTTATTAAATTGCAACATTAAATACAAATACATTTAATAGTTAGGACAGATTAAACACTTAATTAACTGAGCCAAATCAAATAAGGCAAACAAGATACAATAATAATGGATATGTAAGTTCAGATGTTTAAAGTATAAACAGTGCTTATAACTCAAGATACACTGATTAATAAGATAAAAGTATGTATGGATATTAAATAAACAAATAAAGATAGTTCATGTCACCAGATTAAAAATCAGTTAGATCATAAAGGAAGGTAGTTAAATACTAAAAATTTATCTTATTTCTTTAAATATAATAAGAACATCTATTATTTTTTCAACAAACCAAGCAATGAATATATTTTAATTTTTTTAATATAGAAAATATTTTCTCCAATAAGTGATAAGACAATAGGATCAATCGAAAGTGAGTAATAAATTAATAAATGATATTAAGAATTTAAAAAAATCATCTTTAATTTAATAAAAATAGCATCACTTCGTTTTAGAAATATAGATAGGGTGGAGTTACCAATAGATTGATTAGCTCATAGCAAGTAGAAAAAGAGAGCTTATTTAAGAGCTAGAACTAAAATAGATTTTTAACTTAATAATTTAATAGCGGATAGTCGATAATGTCAAACAGCATTTAAAACAGAATGTATTCATCTGATTCAGATAAAAAAAGAATATTTAGTCCAGTGATGGACTACTCTAAGCTTTCTCCTTTGACAAAGGATAATAATAAAATAGAAGAGGAAGAGGAGATAATTTATAAAGGAAATGCTATTAAATCAGCTATTTAGCCAACTTAGAATATTTAAAATAATTATTATAATCGCTACAACTATCAAGAAGAAGAAGACTTCTCAAGTCCTAAGTTTTAAGATTTTGATTAAAATGGCAATGATGCTTTCAATCAAAGTGATGATTTAGCTGAAAAATTTTATGAAGCACAAACAAACGACAGAGAATAATCATCCTATTAATCTTTCAACAATTAAAATACGAGTAAATTGTTTGATTAGGATTTAAGTTAACTTTTTTTCTTAGGTTATGATGGATTTTAGAACTTCGAATATGAAAGAACAAAAGAGCAGATATCTCCTGAAAAGAATTCAGCTCTTAAATACTTACAAGTAATAAATAAATTAGTTTAAAATATTTTAGTTAAATCTTAATTTTTTTTCTGACTAAACAAAAAAGGAGGAAAGAGTTAAAAGGTAATTAGATGGCGAGTTTAAAAAAAAGTAAGAATTAGAATAAACTTTAGCAAAAAGAAGAAAATTATTTTTCTAAGGAGTGTTTGGATTGGTAGTTTTAATTATTTTAACTAAAATTATATTAATGATTAATTCCTACTTTAGGAGTTGAAAGAATTCAAGCAAAAAAACAAATAGACAAATAAAAAAAAATATTATATTTTACAAGGAATCCATACATTATAATAAGCACTTTTACCAAATGTTAGAAATAATTTTATTTTTAATTCATCAATTTAAATCTCTTAGTTTAATAATTTTTGCATAATTTATAGATGTATATAGTCATACCGTTCGTTAATAAATTTAATAATTGGCTTTATAATTAAGTCTAAATAATTAACTAAATATTCTATTTAATATTCTTTAATCATAAACATCTTTGATATTATTTTTTTGTATAAATTAAATTTTTAATATATAAAACAAAATTATAAAATTATTATTATTAATCATTTTTTATTATCAAAAAATTAATCTATGCTTTTGAGTTTAAAAATTAATAATAAATATTTAATGTTTTGATAATTTACTAAATCTAAAAGATTTAATAAATTCAAACAAAACAATATAATATATTATAAGAATCAATTATATATTTTATTTATTTTTATAAAAATAATTATCCTTATTTTATTAAAATATTATTTCAATAATAAAAGTTTGGATTTTAAATATCTTATTATTTGTAATTTATTACTGGTTTTCAATAAAAATTAATTAAAACTTATTTTTAAAACCACATGTTCAACTTAATGAATTCATTCATAATTGGATCATTAAATTATCCATAGAGGTGCTTTTATTTTATGATTTATCTATTTATTTTATTGAATGTTATTTATTCATATTGAATTAATATTTACTTTGATAATAACAAAATTAGTTTTTATTTCAGATTTTTATTAAAATTTTACTCATCTATTTATTATAAATTAGTTATTAACTTAGGTATTTGCTGATCGATTGTAGCTTATTAAACCAAATATAAAATATTACGCAGCATAGATTTATCAAGCATGCAATAATTTCATAGCTTTGGAGTAATTCTATAATATAGTCTTATACTTACTTTTCTCAAATAAATAAATTTTAACAAAAGGAACTTCGCAATTCATAACATAATTAGATTTAATTCTATCCATAGCCAACATCTCCCAGAAATTTTAAGCCTGATTTTTAAAGAGGAAGAGAATATTCTTTTTAGTTTTAGAATCAATAATAGTATTTTTCTGAACGAAGACCAGATTCACTTTTTTCCAAAAATTTAAATAATATAAACGTAAATAAATCATTTTTTATTAACTTTCATGTTTTAATTGAGTTTATTATAACAGACCAAAAATGAATTATTATCAAGCTAAAGCATGAAAATTGGATAAGAAAAATCAAGTTCGCCTATTAGGCAGATTTACGAAGCTCCTGCCTATCCTAATAACTGTACCTCTTCTTATTCAAATATGTACCCCATTACATATCAAACAATGATGAGTTAAAACCATAGATATTAAGACTATTCACCAAATACTAAATAAGTAGGAAATAAATTTTTTATTTTTTCAAAATCAAAAGTAGAAAACTAAATAATTCAGAATTTGAAAATCTTTTTTTTCCTAAAATAGAATACTTTAGTAGAAGCTGATTCTCTTGAAAACACAATAAAGAAATAATAAGATAGAGACTTTTATAAATATTAATTGTAGCAGATGAATGCTTAATAAAATTAGCTTTACTAGCTTAATTAGTCTCCATTTTAAAGCTAGACTATAACACCTCAAAAAAATTCTAGTAATAGACAATCTAGTTAAAATTTTTAAAATAGGAATTATTAAGCTCAGTAAAATTTTATAAAAACTGAAGATTAAGATTATTAATAATTGAAATACAGTTCACCTTCTTCTTAATTAGATAAAACAAATAGAGTACTATTCACTGCATCACCATCTACTTTAAATCAGGAATAAACGAAATAAGATTAAACAAAACTCTAATAATAGTCAAGCAAGTAATATTAATCAGAAAACAAAGATATGTATGACTCTATACATAGAAATGTGAATGATATAGTTAGCAAATATTTTAAGCCATTAAATAAAGAAGATAAAGGAAAGAGTGAAAAATTAGAAACATAATCTATGCATTAATTATCTAGTAATTATAAGAGTAACTATGAAAGTCAAAATACAAGAAATAACTCTTAGGTATAAGATAAGACTTGGTCTCCTCTTTTTACTTAAAATTCTAGAGGCAATAATAATTCCAATATTTCTATTTATAGCCAACCTTTTGAAATACGAACAGTTTAAACTTAACCAGATTCATAACAATACAAACTTTTTTAAGATAAACCTTCATTGAACCCTTCTTATTCTAAATATATAACTCCTGAAACTGAAAAGATTCTTCAAAAATGGAATAACGTAGGTTTTGGAGATGCAAAAAATCTAAATGATTAGAGAAAAATAAATGCAATTTAGCAATATGAAATCAATAACTAGGCCAAGATATATGCACAATAGTCTGCTTAAAGATAATAATAACAGTATTAATAAAATCAATATTTCGAATTAGATACCAAGCAATCTTTCAATCCCTAATTTTATTAATAAGAAAATATTCAAAATTTTAATAATTTTTTACCAAAACAACAAGAAAGTGTGATGAATTCAGCAAAAAATGTGATAAATAATTAAAATTATGTTTTATTTGAAAAAGAAAATGAAAATCACTCATAAAGTTAATTGAATTAAGCTTTTATACAAAGCAATCAATAAACGTTGTAAAATATATAGCAGCTAAATACAATAAATAATATATCAAATATAGACTAACAAACCAGGTTTGATATTAGCATATAAGAATAAAATAGAATTTTACAGTAAGCTAAAATGAATTCCCTAGAGGAGTTTGATTCATTCGAAAAGGACAAAGATGAATATATAGATGGTTAAAACAATATAATTTACGACTCGAATGAGATGTTTGATTAGAAAAATAAAGGAATTTAAAACAGAAAGAAAGCAAATAATAATTTCTAAGAAAGTGAAATCTTCCAAAGCTTATAAAGTACTTAATCGGATAGGATTTTAACACCTAGCTGCTTAAATATACCCTATTAAGATATAAATAATAGAAAAATTCAATAGCAATAATAAGCAGAATCTCATTAAGATCTTACACTCAAGTCATTATTAAATATCCCTAAATCCCTTTAAAAAATAAGTTAAACCACAGAAGGAGATAAGGTAACATTTTTGAATATTTTAAAGTGTTTGACATATTTTTATAATAAAAGAAAAAGTAAAAGACAAAATCTCTTTTAGCTTTTTAGGTGGTTAGCTGCATTTTAATATTAATACTATTATATGTTTTGTTAATAAAGTGATATTTATATTTATTTTATTAAATAATTAATTTTAATGTATAAATAGATAAATAAATATTTATTAAAACATAAATTATTTCATATTCATTTTTTATAATCCTTTGAATTTGGGTTTTCATAAATAAATCAATTAAAAATATATAAATAAATATTTATTTGAATTATTTATAAAGCCTATTTTTAATATGACCTAACTAACACTTAAGTCGTTTCTTATTAAATATTTCTAAATTTTTACAAAAAATAAGCTAAACCACTGAAGAAGGACAAGATTAGGTAAAATTTTTTATTATTTTAAACTGATAGATATGCTTTTTGATTAAAATAAGTAAATGGCAAAATATATTTTATCTTTTTTTTAATTAGATGTTTTAAGGATTTTAATGATAATAATTTTTTTATTTTTTGAGAACAAAATGATTTTAATAATGATTTTATTTAATTATTAATTTAATTCAATAAATAGATAAAAAAATATTTAGTATTATTAATAAATTTCCTATTATTTTTGATATCAATTAAATATTTTAAAGCTTTTCGTAAATAATTTGAAAATATTTTTAAGTAAATACTTTATATAGATTATCATACTGCTGGTAAATTTTGAGTATTAAAAATTTGAAAAAAATTTTACCAGTTTTACACCTATCTTGTAAAATGTTTGGTAAATTTACAAGATATCTAAATTGATTATGAATTATATGATATTCTACAGTATTTATTTTTGAATTGGTAAAAAATGTTTAATTAATTATCTTACTTAAATTATATAAAAAATTATAATAAAACTATTTTATTTAATCAATAAATCAAAAGATATTTTTATCTTAATAACTCTTTAAAATTTTCATTCATGTAAAAAGCAATTATTTGCTTTTAAAAATAAGGCTTAATAATTGTATGTTAATACTGCAAAAAAAAAATATTGTTTTTTAATTGTAGAATTCGTAGATGGTTTCTTATGCTTAATAAAACTTAATAAATCTTTAATTTCGATTGAAAAAATAAATTATAACATATAATGGAATAGCATAATAATGGATGGCATTATCATAGAGAGTATTGACAAGTAGGAGGGAAAACAAGAATTAAATATTATTAATATGATTGCAAATGAAATTAAAGAAAGTAGAAGAAGAAGTAAAAAAGGAAATGCCAGATATCACTAAGTAGGTATAGTTAGTAATGGTAATATATTAGCTAATAATTGATTGCATCATCATTTTTATGCTAATATAAAATGATTGAATTTTATTTCCTATGTATATATTTAATATTAGAATTTTAAATATATTTTATGCAATTTTTTTACATCATTAAATAGTTGACTTATTCTATTTAATAAAGAAATATGTATATCTTCAAATAAGGTGCATTATTATCTTTAACTTCTTCATTTTCATTTTTTATTTTATTTTAAAAGTGTTAAAATTTGTATTTTCTCAAGTCAAGTAGAATAAACTAATCTCCTCTTTTTTATTTATTCGTTCTCAAAAGCTAGAAAAAAATTAGAAGACCTTCTTTTTATTTATCTTTTTGATCAAAAATCCTAATATCTATAATATAAAAAGGAAACCAATTTATTGTTATTATTTTTTATAAAAAATAATATCTAAAATATAGAAATTTTATTAATTATTCATCCATCCAAAAGATTATTATCATAATTGATTTTATTAATGGGACAAAAAGCTTCATAAATGAATTCTGAAAACTCTAACTAAAAAGCTAACTCTTAATAGACTAATTAAACAACGAAGCCAAATCAGGAAAAATAATCAACTGAGTAAAAACCTCCTGCATAAGAAAAATATAGATACCCAATATATTATTACAATTTTAAAACAGGTGATTATGAAGAACATTAATAAGAAATTTGAATAATAAATAAAATTAAATAATTATCAAAAAAAATAAATATTTTGTTCTGTCATTTTTATTACTTATTCATTTTCGATTTAATATCAACTTTCTTTTAGATATTTATAATATATATTTAATTGAGAATCATATTTTTGCAAACTTTTTTATTTGTTTATTTGTATATTGATATCAAATTTAACACTAATTTCTCTATAATTTATGGAATTAATTACAAAGGTATCATTCAAATAATTCCAAAACTTAACTTTGTTTCTGGCTTTTATTTTTACTTTATGATTTTGATAGCTATTTTAAATGCATTAAATATTGTGCTTATAATAATTATATTTAGCTTTAAAATATTTTAAATTTGGATAAATATTTATTTTCGTTGATTAAAGTCTATTTATAACTAAAAAGAATAGAAAAATAAATTTTATTTCAAATAAAATAAATGCTCAATTTAATTTTTTTTATTATAATTTCCCTTATTAAAATTATGTAAATTATGTAATAAGTTTAATCGAATATATTTATTAATTAAATGGGACTTCTAATTAATTATTGTTAAATAAAATAATATTTTTAAATAAAAGTATTTTTTTGATTTTCTTTAAATAATTAATGGCTTTTTCTAACTCTAAAAGATATTTTTTAAAAATATTTTATCTTATTTTGCAATATCTTTACTACTTGCAGATTGAGGAATGATATTGATTTATTTTCTTGTCTAAAATTAAAATTTGTAAATATATTTTTTGGTTTTCCTTAAAAGAATTTATCTTTAAAAAATAAAGTAAATATATTTTTTATCAAATAAAATACTTTTTTTTTATTGTCTTAAATTAAAATTGATCAGCAATTATTGATGTAGAGGATAATCTAAAGGTGACACAAAAATTATTAATTAATTTATTTTTCTCAATCATATAAAGATAATTAAATAAAATCTTGTGGGTGACAAAGATTTTTAGCTTTAATTAAGGATTTGTTCTTCTGATAATTAATTATAATAAATAAATAAAATACAAAATATTAAAAAAATCTAACTAATTCAGAAAAATAAATAAAAGCTCTTTTTACTAAAGCAAATACATTTTCTACAGAATAAACTTTCAATGCTACCAAATAATAACTAATTTTCATCAACAAATAATCAATCTTAAATCCCAAGATAATAATAAAACCAATAAATCAATAATATGTAGAGTATGCCTCAAAGGAACTAATAATTCAAACCTCAATTACCATAACAATAACAATAACAATAGTTATAGTAGTAGCCTTTATCATTTTAAGTACCTCCTTCATAGGTCAATTCTTAATAATAATTTCATCCTAATCTATATCATTAATTCTCCAATAATCAATTTCCAACTTAATACAATTTCCCCGCATAAAATTTATTTTTGAATAACTAAAACTTTTAATAGCCTTAATATTAACAAGGTTTCACTTTACCTGATAAAATATCTTAAGAAATGTAATAGGAAGATAGTATTTAGGAAGTTGTAAAATCAAAATAAAATAAAAAAAATTCTTATGACTTAGAAAAAGGATTAAGCTTAGATGTTAAAACCTTGCAAAAGCACTTTTAATTCAGCAATTCTAAAGATCAGACGATACCAATTATGATCTCTGTAAAAACTCTTGAATAAACTAGTGATATGGAAATTGAATCAAATTTACTTGAAGGTAGACCAAATCTCGATTTAATTTGCGTTATTGATAATTCTGGATCTATGAGTGGCCAAAAAATAGAAAATGTCAAAAACACTATTTTATAATTGATTGATATGCTCAATGATAATGATAGATTGTCAATTATCACATTCAATAGCCACGCTTAATAATTGTGTGGATTAAGAAAAGTCAACAAAGATAATAAAGAAAATTTGTAAAAAATTACTAAGTCAATTTACGCTAATGGTGGCACAAACATTACAAGTGGTTTGTAAACAGCTTTTTCAATCTTATAAAGTAGAAAATAAAGGAATTCTGTCAGCTCAATCTTCTTACTTTCTGATGGTCAGGACAATAATTCTGATTCTAGAATAAGAAATCTCTTGTAAACTACCTATTAACAGCTCCAAGAAGAGTGTTTTACTATTCACTCATTTGGCTTCGGTAATGATCACGATGGCCCTCTCATGTAGAGAATCGCCTAAATAAAAGACGGTAGCTTTTATTATGTAGAAAGAAATGACCAAGTCGACGAATTCTTCATAGATGCACTTGGTGGTCTATTTTCAGTTGTTGCTTAGGACATTAACATTTCAATTAAAATAAATAGAAAAAGTGAAATGTTCTAAAAGTTCTTCTAAAACTCTTATGTTTCTAAAACTTACGGCCCTATGTGGAAAGTCGTTAATAATAACGAAGAATACACCATTAAAATAAACTAGATATTTTAAGGTGTCTCTAAGGATTTCATCTTTGAAATGGTAATTCCAAAATCTGATATCAAAGAATTGTAAGATTTTGAAAGAAATTTAGAAGTGATTAATGTTCAATTGACTGCTATTCCTATCGATTCTGAATATACCACTAAAATATTAAAAGAAAATAACTTAGTTTTGACACTCTTTACTTAAGATGAAAAAATAGCTTAGGACTCAGAAATTAACGACAATGTTGAATTTAACTATATAAGAGTAAAGGCTGCTTAAGCTATGGAAGATGCCATCAAGTATGCTGATAGAAACCAATACTAAGAAGGTCAAGCTGTTTTATCTGATATGTTGAAAAAGATAGAAAAATCTCATCCTAATAATTAGGCAAGACTCCAAGTTATTAAAGAAGATCTCTTTTTATGCTAAAAAAATGTGTAACCTTAATAATATTAAAATTAAGGTAGATTCATGGCTTAATAATAATGTAATAATAACTTTTAATAATAATCATATGCCATAAGAAGTAATGATATCTATTAAGCTCCAATGTAAAGACAAATGGTTTATAATTAATAGATATCTAAATAAAATCAAAAAAAATAATGATTTTAGAATGTATTAAAATGTATATCACTCAATAATAATTAAATTAAATTTTACACAGTTTAAAATGATTTATATTTGACTTTTATTAATTGTAGTTTTATTATAAAATTTTTCTAATGATTTAACAATTAATTTATTTTTTAATTTGCAGATATTTAGTATTAATGTTCTGGTATTTATTCTCTTTATATTGTGATTTTTAATTTTATTATTTATTTAATTACTATTTATTAGATAATACACTTATTATTTATATTATGATTACAAAAAACTACTAATAAAAATGTATTTAATTGCTTAAATTTATTTTATTTATGTTAGGCTTCTTTTATGTTAATATTAATTAATATATTCTTTATAGTTAAAAAATTTATTTCTGTTTATTTTGAGTTAAACTAAAATTCAAAAAATTTAAATAAATAAATAAACAATCTCTTCCTATTTGCAAATTTAAAAATTTTTTAAATTTATTTGTTCTTTTTTTCAGTTATAAATAATTAAATTTCCATTAATTGCAATTCAGGATTTTTGAAAAAAATAATAAATGACATAAAAGATTAAATGTTATAACAAATATATTTTTTTATAAATATAATTTTTTTATTTATTTTTAATTAATAATAAATCTTGACTTTAATCTCATTAACTTCTCCAGTTATTTTAACTTTAATTTTACTTTCCATTTTAAAATTCATTAATCATTTTTTATTATTATTTCATATTTTTTCTTCATTTTTTCCCTTCTAACACTTTTACTTGATAAAAACAGTTTATTTGTTTTGGATTTGGATATTTTTAGTTATAAAAATAAATTTTCAATAATAAAAATCTTTTAATTTATTATAATCATTATTTTTCTTTTTATTGTACTTGTGTTTTCTTTTTGTTTTTATCTTTCTTAATTAAATTCATTTTTTTATTATCAACTTTAATTTCTTAGTATTTACTATTTTTTCTTCATTTTTTCATTCTTCTTATATGGAATAGTAAGTTACATCCAAATGACGGAATTTTTGAATGGCATCTTGCTTTAATTAGTTTACTATTAACTATTTATTTTTTCGTTAAAGTAAAAACATTTTTTCAATATTTTTTTATTTTTTATAGATTTTATTTTTATCAAAATATAATAAACATCATTTTACATATTTTATCTCATATTTTACTGTATTTATTTATTATGATGTATATGATGTATAGCGGGATTTTAATTTTTTTTCTTTCTTTCTTAGAACAGAGCTAATAATAAACTAAATATCTTTTTTATTAAATAAAATACTTTTTTTTTATTATTAATTAAAATTCATTCAGCAATAATTAATGTAGAGGATAATTTAAAGGTGACACAAAAATTATTAATTAATTTATTTTTCTGAATCATGTAAATATAATTAAATAAAATCCTTTAGGGGACAAAAATTTTTAGCTTTAATTAAGGATTTGTTCTTCTGATAATTAATCATAATAATTAAAATACAAAATATTCAAAAAATATTATAAATTTCGAAAAATAAAAAAAAAATCAAATCAAAGAATTTCTTTTTACTAAAGCAAAAGCATTTTCTACAGGATACACTTTCAATGCTACCAAATAATAACTAATTTTCATCAACAAATAATCAATCTTAAATCCCAAGATAATAATAAAACCAATAAATCAATAATATGTAGCGCAGGCCTCAAAATAACTAAAAATTCAAACCTCAATAAACTCAATAATAACAATAACAATGCTAATAGTAGGAACGTTAACACTTTTAAGAACTTCTTTCATAGATAAATGTTTAATAATAATTTCATCCTAATCTTAATCAATAACATTAACACTTTTTAGAACTTCTTTCATAGATAAATGATTAATAATAATTTCATCCTAATCTTAATCAATAACAATTCTACAATAATCAATAAGTTTTCTCTCTTCCTTTTTAAATATCTTAAGAAATGTAATAGGAAGATAATATTTAGGAAGTTGTAAAATCAAAATAAAATAACAAAAATTCTTATGACTTAGAAAAAGGATTAAGCTTAGATGTTAAAACCTTCTAAAAGCACTTTTAATTCAACAATTCTTAAGATCAGACTATTCCAATAATGGTTTCTGTAAAAACTCTTGAATAAACCAGTGATATGGAAATTTAATCAAATTTACTTGAAGGTAGACCAAATCTCGATTTAATTTGCGTTATTGATAATTCTGGATCTATGGATGGCGAAAAAATAGAAAATGTCAAAAACACTATTTTATAATTGATCGATATGCTCAACGATCATGATAGATTGTCAATTATCACATTCAATAGCTATGCAAAATAATTGTGTGGATTAAGAAAAGTCAACAAAGATAATAAAGAAAATTTGTAAAAAATTACTAAGTCAATTTAAGCTGATGGTGGCACAAACATTACAAGTGGTTTGTAAACAGCTTTTTCAATCTTATAAAATAGAAAATAAAGGAATTCTGTCAGCTCAGTCTTCTTACTTTCTGATGGACAGGATAATAATTCTGATTCTAGAATAAGAAATCTTTTGTAAACTACCTACTAACAGCTCCAAGAAGAGTGTTTTACTATTCACTCATTTGGCTTTGGTAATGATCACGATGGCCCTCTCATGTAGAGAATCGCATAAATAAAAGACGGTAGCTTTTATTATGTAGAAAGAAATGACCAAGTCGACGAATTCTTCATAGATGCACTTGGTGGTTTATTTTCAGTTGTTGCTTAGGACATTAACATTTCAATTAAAATAAATAGAAGAGATGAAATGTTCTAAAAGTTCTTCAAAAATTCTTATGTTTCTAAAACTTATGGTCCTATGTGGAAAGTGGTAAATAAAAACGAAGAATACACCATTAAAATTAACTAGATATTTTAAGGTGTCTCTAAGGATTTCATCTTTGAAATGACTGTTCCAAAATCTGATTTCAAAGACTTTTAAGATTTTGAAAGAAATTTAGGAGTGCTTAACGTTCAGTTAACTGCTATTCCTACAAACTCTGAATATACCACTTAAATATTAAAAGAAAATAACTTAGTTTTGACACTCTTTACTTAAAATGAAAAAATAGCTTAGGACTCAGAAATTAACGACAACGTTGAATTTAACTATATAAGAGTAAAGGCTGCTTAAGCTATGGAAGATGCCATCAAGTATGCTGATAGAAACCAATACTAAGAAGGCCAAGCTGTTTTATCTGATATGTTGAAAAAGATAGAAAAATCTCATCCTAATAATTAGGCAAGACTCCAAGTTATTAAAGAAGATCTCTTTTTATGCTAAAAAAATGTGTAACCTTAATAATATTAAAATTAAGGTAGATTCATGGCTTAATAATAATGTAATAATAACTTTTAATAATAATCATATGCCATAAGAAGTAATGATATCTATTAAGCTCCCATGTAAAGAAAAATGGTTTAAAATTAATAGATGTCTAAATAAAAGCAAACAAAAAATTGATTGTTTACAGAATATTAAAAATGTATGATAATTTATATTTAATGTAGAAAAATTAAATAAAATTTTGAGCTGTTTAAAATTGTTTAAAAATGGTTATATTTTACTTTTATTAGTTGTAGTTAATAGTATGAAATTTGTCTAATGATACAACAACAGATTTTTATATTTGTTCTAATTTTTATTATTTTTATATATCGCTTAGAATTCAGACATTAATGAAAATGTTGAATTTAACTATTTAAGAGTCAAAGCTGCTTAAGCTATGGAAGAATCCATCTAACTCGCTAATAAAAACCAATATTAAAAAGGATAAGTTATTTTATAAGATATTATAAAGAAAATAGAAAACTCTCACCCAAATAACTCGGAAAAACTCAGTATTATAAAAGAAGATTTAATTTAATGCTAATAGAATATTTCACCTTAGTAGTATAAGCTTTAAGGTCAATACTAAGCATAATAATAATGTAATAATCACTTCAATTAATAATCATATGCCATAAGAGGTAATAAGGATCTGTATTAAGCTCCAAAGTAAAAATAAATGGTTAGTCAACTATAATTCAAAAAAAAATAAAGTCAAAACAAAAAATGAATTGATTATCTATTAAAAATAATTATTATTTTGATTTTTATTTAAATTAATTCATAAATTTCATTTAAAGCTAATTATTTGTGTTTAATAAAAAACTTACCTTTCGTGAATTAAATACTTTATTAATTTTAATTTTTGAAAATTTCCCTTTTTTTTATTTACTCTAAATTCTCTAATATTCATTCTCATTCACTTAAATATTATTTGCCCATAAACATTTTCACCCTCTCTCATTCGTTCGTTCGTTGACCTGATCTATGAACGAGGTTATGAGGTTTTACGGTAATATCATACATATCACTAGATATTAATAAGATTTTTCTCTTTATATATTAATAACTTTTATTATAAATTTATAATGTAAATTTTATGTCTTAAAATATTTTTGTTTAAATAATCTAACTAAGTCTAATACTATCAAAATTTATATATTTAAGTGTTTGGCTGTATAAATCCATCTATTATTTTATAAAATAAGTAAAAGTTTAATTATTTATTGGTTATTTTAGCATTTAAAATAATCTTTAAAAATTTTCTATTTTTCATTTTTTAAATTCTTATTCTCTGATTCTTTTTTTAAAATAGCAAAAGCCAATAATGAAATATTTTTTATACTTATTTAATGACAAAATATAATTAAAAAAGTATGAAATTAAATTTATTTTTATAATTTAAAAAAAATATTTTTAGCGTTTAATTTATAATTTTTTGATAAAATAAGTCTATTCATATTTGAAGATTATTTAAAAATATATTTAATGTTAACGCACGATTACGTTACAAAAGTATTTGATTAAGTTTCATAATTAAATAGAATTTAGTATTAGTTACTTTTCTAACGCACTTGTTTTTTCTATGTGATTTTGTAAATAAATTATTATTTTAAATATAATTTTCTTTATCTCATTTAAAATCAAATCAGAAAATATTTTCACTATTTAAGAAAAAGAAAATAATTTTGGCTTTAGTTCATCTTCTAAAATTAAATTAAGGGTTAATGAATGATCTATAAATTATTATTTTTTACTTAATCATCTAAAATAAAATGCATAATTTCCAATCATATGAAAAAATTAACTTTTAAGTTACTTAATAAATTTGAAGATTGATTTCTTTTTAAAATTTGAGGTTACAGAAAAATAAATGAAAAGAATATATATTAGCCCATTTAATAATTTCTTCAAATTAAATAATATTTATTTTGTAAAAAATCTGATTATTAATAGAACTATTTAATTATCATCATTAATACAAAGAAATATTACATTTAATTACAATTTTTATAAGCCTAAGTTTTTATTAAATTTATATTTATAACTAGAAAACTGAAAATTATTTAAATTTTTGAGTATTTTCTATTGCTTATAAATAAATTTTAGGGTAAAATAAAACAAATTTATAAGAATTTAGAATAATTAATTGGCAAAACAATTATTTAATTGAAAATATAAATTTAAAATACCATTTGATCATTAAGTATTACAAAAAAATTCCAATTTTAAGTAACATATATATTTTATTTAAAAGCTTTTCAATTTATTTTCATAAAATATATTTGTTAAAATGCTGATTAAGTAATTAATGTGATATGTTTTTTATATTGCATTAAAACTTTTTATTTTCAAATAAAAAAAATGTTTTTCCTTAAATAAGGTAAAAATATCGAAAGAGGTTAATATTAAAATCTAATTTATATCATGTCTTTTATTATCGAGATATTAATTCATTAGAAAGCAAACTCGCATTTAATTACTATTTAATATTGTATTAATCAAATCAATAATCAAAATTATGTATTATTTAATTAATATTTAGGTAAATATATATTATTAAAAGGAGTAATTAATTTATTATACTATTAAATGAAGAGCAAATTGTAAATATTTAAAAGATTCGATTTATTTTCTTAGTCTTTTGGTCTTCTTGTGGATTAAAAAAGCAAGAAGAAAAAAACTTCCTTAGGAGGAATTCTCTCTATTATTATGATTTTGACTTCTTGTTGTTATTTGGTGTATCTATTATACATGTATTTCAGCAATAAGTTCTTACCGAAGATAACTCAAACAATGTATAACTAGATTAACTAAATGGAGTAAAATTTCGAAAAGAGTTTATTTGGTTTTACATTCATCACAAATAATTAAACGATAGATGAGTTGGAGTAACAAACTGGCAAAAAATATTTGAATTACTTTGTATAGTATTAGAATTATTCACAAAATTCACCAAAAAACTATGAAGATATTCCTCTTAAATATTGCGATGATTCAAGTTTTGAAGGATTTATTTGCTTAGATTTAGATAATTAGCCTGACTATAAAAAAACTATATTTTAAAATTCTGGTAGTTTAAGCCAAGCATTTTATTCGCTTGTTGTTTAGCCCTGCTTGGGATTACCAAACTGTGCTACAATCGAAGAAATAAATAACATAGTTATCTCTAGCACTTTTTCTCTTTATATTAAAGTTAGAATAAATTAATTTAACTAGCAGAAAAAGGAGTTAGAAGAAACCTTTTAAGTTGATTACATTTAATTTGATGACCAGTTAAGTGTATAAATTCAATATGTCTTACAACAGTAGATTACAAATGTTTAAACAGGGATTATAATTTAAAATTCAGATAGCTATAACTATATTTCTAATTTTGCAAGAGTGTCAACATATTTTTCAAATCAAAATTTACTTTAAAAGGCAGGATATGAAGGCTACGGTTGCTTCTTATTTTAATTATATTAAAATTAAATTATAATGTAAATATAGTACCCTTTATTAACAGAAATATTAGCTTAATTTCTAACAGTTCTGAATATATTATTGGCTTTTGGTTTTATTGCTAAATTTATTTCTGGTACAAAAGTTATGCAAGATATTAGTTCTATATATTTAAAGGAGTACTATTAAAACACAGCAGTGAAGATAATAGAAGACCAAAGTGAATCAACTCCTTTAAAAGTATCGTTTATGTCATAAGCAGAACAAATTTATTCTCTTCATAATGATATTTATGAAGCAGATGTTCTAAAGAAAAAAAAAGAATCACAAATTAGTTTTAAAACAAGATTAAAGTTTTTGATTGATAAAATTTTTTGCAAAAAGCAAGAAATTTATAAGAAAGAGATTAATTTATAGAAAGAATCTATATCATAAATAATTAAAAAATTAGATATCTTTGAAGTTTACAAAGACTTGCTCTAAATTAAAAAAGCAATAAGGTTATTACTAACTGAAGATTAGTTTGCAGCATTATAATTCTGTGGTTGCGATATGAAATTTGATTCCAAATTTTAAGAGGAATTTAAAAAAAAATTTAATAAAAAAAATAAAAGTAAATTCTTATTTTTTTAAAGATAATTAATTTTTTCTATTGATTTTTTTAAAAAATATCCATTTACTTATCTTCCTTCCATTTATTTTTAGTTTAATTGTTATTTAATATAAAAAGCTTAGTAATAATAAAGTAGTAACTAACAAAGCTCTTTAGCTTAAAATAATATTCAAATTGCAAGTATGAATAAGTTATAGATAAACTCTAAATAAAATGAATATGAAGAAGGAAATAGTGCTATGGTAGTAAGTATTCTTAATGATAGAGAGCAATAAATTCAATCAGTATATAAAAGCCCGCGCAAAAAATAATTTTATAGCTAAAATTAGAAAATAGAGAGCTCAAAATCGCTCAAAGAAGAAACAAATTGCATAGAAAGAAATCAAAAAGAGATTTTAACAACCAATTAAATTTAATAGGAATCACAAAACAAATTTTTATTAGAAAGAGAAAATCACCTTTAAAAAATAGAAGAAATGATTAATAACAAATAAACCCTATTTTAATAGCTAAGTTCTTTTATAGAGAGAGTTAAATCCAACAATAAAATATCCCCAGTTGATATTTAAATTTACTCTTCTCTCGTTAATAAAAATTGTTTCTAAAACTATAACTAAATCAATTAATTAAATAAATAAAATTCATGAAACTTATGTTAAATTTGTTATAAAATATGTTTAATTTGTTTTATCTATTAAAATTAATTTTTTTAGTTATTATTTTGTTTTTAAAAAATAATAAAAAACATTCTTAAAGGTGTTTTAAAAGCTGAGCAAAAAAAAAATATTAAAATCTTTGCAAAGTATTATCATTTATGTAAATTTAAGTTTTTTAAAAATTAATTGCATTTTTTCTTATAAAATAATTATAGAAAAACAAACTATATATATAATTTTTTTTGATAAGCAAATGAAAAATATTTTTAGAATTGAAATTTTCTACTTTTTTAAAAGAATAATAACACTTATATATCTTATTGAATGATTGATAATTAAAAATATTTTAAATTCCAATTAAGTTCAATGCTAATTTTATACCTTTTAACAAATTTAATTTAATCTAAAAATTAACTATTATTATCAAATGAACAAAGAATTTTATTATTAAAGCTATAGGTTTACATTTTTATATTTTTAATAAGATATTTATTATTTTCCTTTAAATAAAAATGTTTTTCTAATTTTTTATTTGAAAGAGCCTTCTCTATCAAAGAATAAAATTATCATTTATTAGGTGAAAACTCTTCTTTTCTTTAGGTTAATGTTAAATAACCTCAAAGCTTAACAAATAGTGATAATAATTCTATTTTATCCCTAAAGAATTTAATTAGAAATTTACCACAATAAGATAGTTTCAGAATTAAATAAAATTTAGTATTAATTAGATTAGACATTAATGAATTAATTCTTTCTATATCAATCAATTTGCAAATAAATTAACAAAACTTCGAATCAGATTTTTAATAACTTAGAAATATTATTTTCTTTCTTTATCTCTTTTTAAAATCAAATCAGAAAATATTTTAAATATTTATAAAAAGAAAATAATTTTGGCTTTAGTTCGTTTTTCTAAAACCAAATTAATGGTTACTGAACAATCTCTATCATTATTTTTACTTAATAAACAAAATAAAATACTTATTTTCAACAATTTTTCAAGAAAAAAATTAATTTTTAAGTTACTTAATAAATTTTATGATTAATTTCTTTATACAATTTGAGGTTACAGAAAAACAAGTGAAAATAATATATATTAGTTTAATAATTTCTTGACATTAAGTAATACTTATTTTACAAAAATCAGATTATTTTTAGAACTACTTATTTATCATTATCAATACAAAGAAATAAATATTGTATTTAATTACAATTTTGTAAGTCAAAATTTTGTAAAATTCATACAACTCGAAAAATTGAAAATTATTTAAATTTTTGTGTGAGTATTTTAGATTGTTTATAAATAAATTTTAGGGTAAAAAAAATTAACAAGAATTAGTTCAATCAGGAAAGCAATTATTTAATAGAAGAAATAAATTCTATATGTTTAAAATACCAATTGATTATTAGGTATTTCAAAAAAATTGAATAATTTTAATTTTAAGTAACTTATTTGTTTGATTTAAAAGCATTTGAATTTATTTTCATAAAATACATTTGCTAAAATACTGATTAAGTAATTAATATGATACGTTTTTTTAAATAGCATTAAGATTTTTTACTTTCATTTATCAGATAAAAAAAATTTTCCTTAAATAAAGTAAAAATATAGAAAAAAGTTAATATACTAATATCATTAATTTCAGGTCTTTTATTGTAAAGATATTACTTAAGATTAAAAACTCTCATTTAATTACTACTTAATATTGTGAATAAAATTGTATATAGAATCAATAATCAATATTATGTATTATTTAATTAATATTTAGATAAAATATAAATAATTAAAAGGAGTAATTAGTTTATTATACTACTAAATGAAGAGGAAATTACAGATATTTAAAAGATTCGATTTGTTTTCTTAGTCATTTGGTCTTCTTGTTGATTAAAATAGTAAGAAGAAAAAAACTTACTTAGGAGGAATTCTCTCTGTTATTACTATTTTGGCTTCCTGTTGTTATTTGGCGTATTTGTTATATATGTATTTTAACAATAAGTTCTTGCCAAAGATAACTCAAACAATGTACAACTAGATTAATTAAATGGAGTAGCATTTAGAAAACAGTTTATTTGGTTTTACATTTGTCACAAATAATTAAACAATTGATGAGTTGGAGTAACAAACTGGCAAAAAATATTTGAATTACTTTGTTTAGTATTAGAATTATTCACAAAATTCACCTACAAACTATGATAATATTCCTCTTAAATATTGCGAAGATTCAAGTTTTGAAGGCTACATTTGCTTAGATTTAGATAATTAGCCAGAATATCAAAAAAAAATTTTTTTAAATTCTGCCAGTTTAAACCAGACATTTTATTCGCTTGTTGTTTAGCCCTGCTTGGGATTACCAAACTGTGCTACAATCGAAGAAATAAATAACATAGTTATCTCTAGCACTTTTTCTTTTTATATTAAAATAAGAATAAATTAATTTAACTAGCAGAAAAAGGAATTAGAAGAAACCTTTTAAGTTGATTACATTTAATTTGATGATCAGTTAAGTGTTTAGATTCAATACGCCTTACAGTAGTAGATTACAAATGTATAAACAGGGATTATAATTTAAAATTCAGATAGCTATAACTATATTTCTAATTTTGCAAGAGTGTCAACATATTTTTCAAATTAAAATTTACTTTAAAAGGCGGGATATGAAGGTTACGGTTGCTTCTTATTCTAATTATATTAAAACTAAATTTTAATGTAAATACAGTACCCTTTGTTAACAGAAATATTAGCTTAATTTATAACAGTTCTGAATATATTATTGGCTTTTGGCTTTATTGCTAAATTACTTTCAGGAACGAAAGTGGTTCAAGATATTAGTTCTATATATTTAAAGGAGTACTATTAAAGCACAGCAGTAAAGATAATAGAAGATTAAAGTGAATAAACTCCTTTGAAAGTATTGCATTTGTCATCAGCTGAACAAATTTAGTCCCTTCACAATAAAATTTATTAAGCAGATATTCTAAAGAGGAAAAAAGAATCACAAATTAGTTTTAAAACAAGATTAAAGTTTTTGATTGATAAAATTTTTTGCAAAAAGCAAGAAATTCATAAGAAAGAGATTAATTTATAGAAAGAATCAATATCATAAATAATAAAAAAATTGGATATTTTTGAAGTATACAAAGATTTGTTATAAATTAAAAAAGCAATAAGGTTATTACTAACTGAAGATTAATTTGCAGCATTGTAATTCTGTGGTTGCGAAATGAAATTTGATTCCAAATTTTAAGAGGAATTTAATAGCAAATTGAATAAAAAACAAAAAAGTAAATTCTTTTTTTTAAGATAATTAATTAGCCAAAAAATTCTAATTTTTTTACTGATTTTTAATTTATTTTCTTTGTTTAAATATACATTTACTTATCTTCCTCCCATTTGTTTTTAGTTTTAATTTAATTGTATTTTAATATAAAAAGCTTAGTAATGGTAAAATAGTAACTAACAAAGCTCTTTAGCTTAAAATAATATTTAAAATACTAGCATGAATAAGTTGAAGATAAACTCTAAATTAAATGAATATGAAGAAGGAAATAGTGCTATGGTGGTAAGTGTTCTTAGCGATAAAGAACAATAAATTCAGTCAGTATATAAAAGCGTAAACAAAAAATAAGTATGCAACTATCATTAGAAAATAGAGAGCTCAAAATCGCTCAAATAAGAAAAAAGTTGCATATAAAGAAATCTAAAAGAGATTTTAACAACCAATTAAATTTAATAGGAGTTACAAAACAAACTTTTATTAGAAAGAGAAAATCATCTTTAAAAAATAGAAGAAATGATTAATAACAAATAAACCCTATTTTAATAGCTGAGTTCTTTTATAGAGAGAGTTAAATCAAACAATAAAATATCTCCAGTTGATATTTAAATTTACTCTTCTCTCATTAATAAAAATTATTTCTAAAACTGTAACTAAATCAATTAATTAAATAAATAAAATTCATGAGACTACAGAAGTTTTATTTGTTTTATAAATGTTTGTTTAATTTGTTTTTTCTATTAAATTATTTTTTCCCCTTCTTATCAATTTAAAATAAATTTGTAAATACTTTATGTTAATTTAATTAAATTTTTAATTTGGAATAAAATATTTGAGTTTTAAAATTCAAAAAAATCATACGCTAATATTTATTATTTATAATTTTATAAAATATTAATATGTTAAGAATATTTAATTCAGGAGTTTACTCATTTCTTTTAAAGTTTTGAAACGAAGTAAGAAGCCAAACCTAATAAAACAAGTATTGAGCCTATTATTTCAAATATAGAAGGCACTTCTTTGAAGAAAACAACTTCAACTAAAAAGCTCTCTACAATCATTGTATAATTTATTAGAGTAATAGGTCCATGATTTTTAGTTATTGTTGTTGAAGTAATAAATGTTATCTAATACATAAAACTAACTAATCCTACTATAAAAATTAATCCAAGTACATCGTTTAAGCTTAAATCAAAAGGAGTTTCGCTCTATATTATCCCAACGGATCCAAATAAAATAAAAAAGAAGCATAGAGACATATTGATTTCAAAGGTATTTATACTTTTCATATATCTAACCATGATTATTGCCAAAGCCCAACCTAACCAAGTTAAAATTGATATGCCTATTAAAATATATTTTTCAGTACCCTAAATGTATTAATTATTCTCTTAAACGCTAGAAGTAGTTGTTTCCATAAACAAAGATTAAAAGTAACTGGGATCAGAAACCATGACAACTCCAAAGAATGAAACACTAATTCCAATAATATCTTTTATTGTTAATTTAACCCCGAAAAGAAAGTAATTCAAAATAAAAACAAATATTGGTCCTGTATTTGAAATTATAAGCAACAAAGATACTGGCAATTTATTAATAGCATAAAAGTAATAAAGTTATCCTAAAGCGCTTATAATATTTCTAAAGGTTAAAAGTTTAAAATCTTTGCTATCATTTACTTGCATGTTATATTTTTTAACATATCCAATCGTGTACATAAGAAAGGAAACAATAACTCCTCTCACAACCATAGCGTAGCTCCACAAAATTTATTTATTTTTCTAATAAATTAAAAAATTGAGTTAGTATTTTATTAGCAATTTTTTTAAATCTAAAATTTGAAAAAATTTGAATTAAATTAATTAGCTTATTTCTCAAAAAAATTGAGCTAATTTTATGTATAAAAAATATAATTCATTAAAATAAAAAAATTTTATTTATAAAATGCATTAAATCATACTTTTAAATGAATTTAATTGAATTATATTTATAGAAATTTATTGATTATTATTGTAAATTTTTTCGCTAAAGCTAATTTTAATAAGTTTTAATCTTCATAATTCTTTGAAGGTATAAATTAGATATCAAAATTGATTTGAGGAAGGCTAAACTTATTTATTTATTTATTTAGTTTGAAATATTTAATCATTTAATAATTAAAAAATGGTGAAAATTTATAATAAATTGTGTTTTAGTTTAAATGATTTATGATGAGTTTTACTTTTAGGTAAAAAGACACTCCCACATAAAAGAAGCCTGAAATAAATACTAGAAGGTATGCTAAATTGTCATTTCCGTACTTATTTCTGAATGAGTTTACCAAATTATCGACTAAATTTAAAATACAATTAAGTAATGAGTGGAGATGGCAGGCTAGCTTATAGAAAATGGAGTTTGATTTTTGAAAGGTGTTTATATTTTCATTAGATTCACTTTAAATACAAGGTTATTCTTATTGGAGTATTATTTCATTTAAAGGAGTTAATTTGCATTAATGGTGCTTTGTATGATTATTCTTGCTCATTATTTTCTAATTTAAACAATCTTTTATTTTTTAGTTTGAAAAATTATAGTTTATGATAAGTATTTGGATTATTTAAATTATTGAGGAATTAAATAAATTATAGAAATTGATTATGGGTGTCTCCAATTAAATGATGGTGAATGCGGTAAAATCAATTATACATACTTCTGTATTTTTGATTACTACGAATATACTATAAATAATTAAATTTTACAAAAAATGATAACCAAAAATATAGTAAATAATATTCTTTTATATACTTTACAAAATTTGAGTAAAATAAATGATATAACCATTTAATTTTGTTAAAAAAATCATAGAAAGATTAAAGAATAATATTTTTTCAATCTGATTGATCAAAAAAGTTTTTAAAAATTATCAATTTTATGTAACTAACTCTTTAATTTTAGAGAAATTTCTTGATAAATTAAAAGAAAAAATCCAAATATTTTTCAATTTATTTTTTTAAAGACATTTAATTTAAACTAAAAATTAATTTTTCAAATTCATTAAGCAGTTTTTTTTAGCAAAATTAGATAAAATTGTCTTTAATTTCACTAAGGTTTTTAATAAATTAATTACTTTTTTTATAAATGTAAAAATTCTATGGCAATAATACTCATTAAGAAAAATCTTAATTAATACCTGTAATGTTTTTGAAAGCAATTTTATCAAAAATAATCAACTTAAAAATAAAAATTATTTTTGAAGATTATAAACTTCTTTATCAATATTATTTTATTATTTGGCTATTAAATTTAGCAGAGATGTCTTTAATTTCTTTAATGATTTTAATAAATTAATTGTATTTGTTTTATAAAAATAAAAATTATATTTCACAACATTATGTAATATTTACTTTATTTTTGCTAAATTTTTAATTTATTTATTGAATTAATTTATAAATTTATTTTTTATTAGAAAATATGCCCAAAAATATTAGATTTCTTTTTAAGAGACTTCATTCACTAAAAAAGGTTTGTAGATAGATTATGTAATTGAAAAGTATTTTTACCAAAGAGTAAATTACATAAGTAATGTGTAAATTATTGATAATATAGATAATACACTTTTCTTAAAATAAAAGCAAAAATGTTAAAAGATTTGTTTGTTAGATACATTTCTTTTAGAAAAACAAAATTTGTTTATATAAATCTTTTTGGATTACTTATTAGATTGAATGGTAATTAAGATATTAATTTTATTTATATATTTGATGGTATGAGATATTCTGCAAATTAATTAAAGATCTAAATTGTCTTAATAAATAACAAAATAATATTTGCTTATTATTAATAGTTAAACAACATATATAAATAAATAACATGCGTAGATTTTAGTTTTTAAAAAAGGCAGATTTTTTTTCATAACCATTCAGATTTTTTGTAGAGGAGAATAGTTTACAAAGGTAAACTATTTTTGGAGGTGTTTTGTCTGTTTTGACTGTCTTGATTTCATTAGGCTATCTTACATATCTACTTTATTTATATTTTGATAACGATTTATTACCTACTATAAGCTCTCAAATGCATAACTAAACTACAGAAGTAAGCTAAACTTTTAACAAGAGCCTTTTTGGTTTCACATTTAATTCTCAGAATTTAACTATGGATTAGCTATATTAATAAACTGGAAAAGTCTTTCTTACCTTTTAGCTACAATAATTGACGTTCGCGTATAATACAATTTAAACAGTGAATCTTAATTATGTTAATTGTGATAATGATCCTAATTTTGTAGGCTTCAAGTGTATAGATTATGATAGTATTCCTGATTCTGCAAAAGAAATATTTTCAAATCCAACTAATTTGAGTTAATCTTTGTTCTCTCTTACTGTTGCACCATGCTCAGGTCTCCCAAACTGCGCTGACAACTAATTAATATAAAATTATATAATGCAAAATTCATTCTAGTTTTTAATCAAAATTAGAGTGAGCTAATTTAATGAAGAAGAAAAATAAATGGAAGAAACATTTTTACTTGATTACATATAATTCGATGATAATTTAAGCTTTTAAAATCAATATGTTTTGTAATTGTAAAAGACAACAATTAAAACTGGGTATATCTTTTAAGATTCAAATACAACTATTGATGTGGCTAGTTAGAGGAGATTAATTACTTATTACTCTCAAGACAACTTGTTGACTAAAGCTGGGTTTGTTGGTTATGCATAATTTTAGTTTTTCCTTGATTAAATGTAAGTAATAACTAAAATTTAATACCCACTAATAACAGAAGTGTTTGCATAATTCTTACCCATACTTAATATTTTATTAGCTATTGGTTTTATTGGTAGACTTTTTGCAGAGTCAAAAATGGTAAAAGATATTAATAATATCTACTTAAAAGAATATTACAAGAATACAGCAATTAAAATCATTTAAAACCAAAATAAAGAAATTTTTCTAAAAAGCAAACAGGGTTCCTACACAGAATAAATAAAATATCTTCATTAAAATATAAACGACATAAAATAGTTTAGGCAAAAGAAAGAAAAAACTAAACTAAATTTTAAATAAAAACTCTAGTCAGTAGTATATTCAATTTTCAAAAAAAAGGAGGAAGACCTTAAAAATTAACAATAAGCAAATTTATTTAAGCTAATTTAAAGTAAGACTGTGGAGAATATCAATATTTACTAACTTTATAGAGATATTATAGAGTTAAAAATGGCCATAAGGTTATTGATGTCCCCTGAACAATACGCAGCAATGTAATTTTGTGGTTGCGAGATTAATCTTAAAAGTTAGCCTATGTAAATCGTCTAAAATAAATGTAAAAATTATACTTTCAATTAAAAATACATTAAAATATTCAAATAATTTTATGTTATTAAGAAGAAAATACAAAAAAAGAAATAATTAGTGTATCTTATTTTAAATTAAAATATGTTTAATTTATTTTAACTAATTAATTAATTAGAGGAAGAATTATAAGTGAAGGAAGAGATAATAAATGTTCAGCAGAAAAATATGTCGCCTTTGTCATAAAATTAAGACTTAGAAGAATAAATAATTAGCATCTCAGAATGTAAAGAAAATACAGCTTAAGTGATTAAAACAAACAAATAAGTGCACTTAATATTCAATAGGGATAAAACTAAATCAAATGATGAAGAATAATTTAAAGAAGAAGATGATATTTTTTCTCATAAATAGCTAAATTAAATCTAAAAACATGACTAAGTGCAACAGACATCTTTACATAAGATAACAACTCTCTCATATAATCATTTGTAAGTTATCGAGGACATGTTAAATAATAAAGATAATATATTTTCACTCTTATAAAGCTTTATTGAAAAAATAAATAACAGTAAATAACAGTTATCACAAACTGATTTAAATATTTACTCTTCACTAATAGGACTTGATTAAAATATGAAAATACTAAGCACTTAAGAAATAAAATATAATTCATCCTTATGAAATTTAATTTTGTATTTGATATCATTTATTTTTTTAATTTTTAAAATTAAAACCATTCAAACTAATTTTAAAATTTTAGTCCTTTGTTATATTTATTATATTATATATCTATTTGAATATGCTAAAATATTCATAAATTTTCAATAAAAGTTTGAATTTGTATTTTAAATCATTATTTATGAATGTTCTAACCAAAAGCTCAATAAAATAAAATATATCATTACCGTATAATCTTCAAACTTGGTCCTCGTATTAGGAAAATCCGACTCAGATTTATCATTTTTAATTATTAATCAATAGATATAATTCTTTGAAATTAATTTATTTTTTTATGAAAAAATATGATATATGCATCATCCATTTCATAATTTAATTTTATATAAAATAGTTTACTTCAAAAGTAAATAATATTTTTTATTAATTAATCTAAATGAGCTTTAATTCTTTTGAATCAAAAAGAAAAAAAAATGTAAGAAATTAATAAAGTGCTTCAAATTCTAGATTAAAATTTAAAAAAATCTATCATATGTATCTATGTATACATGTATAGCTTAGGTTAAAAATTCAATACAATTGTGTTTAATAATTTATCGGATTAATTGTTTTAGTAAATAATTAAAAACAAATTATAATTTTTTGAATAACATAATTCCTACATTTAAATTAACCAATATTAATATTGTTAAAAAATATAATATGAGTAGATATCAATTGTTCAAAAAGGTCGACTTTTTTTCATAACCCTTTAAATTTTTTGTAGAGGAAAATAGTCAGAAAAAATAGACTATTTTTGGAGGAGTTTTATCTATTTTAACAATTCTGATATCACTAGTTTATCTCGCATATCTTTTGTACTTATACTTTGATAATTAATTGTTACCTAATATAACTTCTCAAATGCACAACAAAACCTCTAAAATTAGCCATGTTTTAAATAAAAGTCTTTTTGGATTCACTTTTTATTCATAAAATTAAACTCTAGATCAGCTAATATAATCAACTGGAAAAGTTTTTCTTACTTTCCAACTGCAGTTATTAACTTATTAATATAATTAAATAGATGCTTATGATCTTAATTTTGTTGACTGTGATGATAATGATCCAAATTTTGATGGATTTAAATGTATAGACTATTCAACTATTGATGATTCTTCTAAATAAATATTTACAGATCCAATTAATTTGAGTTAGTAACTGTTTTCCCTTACTGTTTAACCTTGTGTGAATCTCTCAAATTGTGCTACTCCTTAAGAAATATATGATTATATTATGTAAAATTCATTCTAATTTCTGATTAAAGTTAGAGTGAGTTAATTTAATGAATAAACCAGAAAAATGGAAGAAACATTTATAGTCGAATAAATTTAATTTGATGATAATTTAAGTTTGCAAAATTAATATGTTTTATAATTATAACAGACAACAATTACTTCAGGATATCTCTTTCAAGATTCTAATACAACTATAGATGTTGTTAGTTATAAGCGACTAACAACATATTATACCTAAGATAATATCTTGGTTAAATCTGGATTTACAGGTTATGGATAATTTTAATTTTTACTTGACTAAATGTAAGTTATTAGCAAAATATAATACCCGTTGATAACTTAAGTGCTTGCGTAGTTTTTACCAATACTGAATGTGTTATTAACTTTAGGCTTCATTGGTAGGCTTTTTGCAGAATCCAAAATAGTTGAAGATATTAATAGCATATATTTAAAAGAGTACTACAAGAATACAGCCATCTAAATGATATAAAGTTAAAATAAAGATTTCTTTCTCAAAAGTAAAGAAGGATCAAAGGACGAATAAATTAAATATATCCATTAAAATATAAACGATTTAAAATAGTTTAAGTAAAAATAGGAAAAGCCAAAAATAGGTTTAAAATAAAAAATGAATGAAATAATTAAAAATATTTTCAAAAAAAAGAAAGTTTAAGTAAAGAACTAACCTTAAAATAATTTATTTAAGCTAATAAAAAGTAAAATAATCAAGAAGATAAACATTTATTAGCTTTATAAAGATATAATAGAGCTAAAAATGGCTGTCAGATTGCTAATGTCACCAGAATAATATGCTGCTATGTAGTTTTGTGGTTGCGAGATGAATCTTAAAATAAAGTCTGATTAAAATGTTTAATTCGACCCAAACAAAAGTAAAAAATTCATTCTTAATTTAAATTAATAAATTAATTTATAATTTCAGAATAAATTATAAAATTTTTTAAATAAAATATTTTAGAATCAGAAGTATAAGCAAGAGAAAAAATTATAATAGATAATCAAATAAGAAAAACACCTTTGCCTCAAAGCTAAGAATTAGAAGATCAAATTAATGAATAAATTATGAATATGTTAGACTATAAAGAAAGTAAGGCATAGACAATAAAAATTAATAAATAAGCACACACAATATTCAATAGAGATAAGAATATGTCTGATTTTGATGGGGTATTTCAAGAGGAAGAAGATACTTCCACTCATAGATAAAATAACTTAATTGAAAAACATGATTATTTTTAATAATAAGCATCTCTATAAAAAATTTAAACCAATACTCAAAATCACTTACAGGTAATTGAGGATATGTTAAGTAATACTGATAATTTATTTTTATCCTTAAAAAAATTTATTGATAAATTGAATGACCCAAAATAAAAACTATCGCAGACTGACACTAATATTTACTCATCATTGATTGGATTAAATTAAAATATCTTAGCACAATAAGAAATATGAAATTCTAACTCAACATAAAATAGTATTTGGTATTTAAAACAAAAAATATATAACTCTATATTTTTTGTTGAAATAAACATCCAGCAATTATTATCAAACTTAATAAATTTTTGTTAGTAAAGTACAAAAATATTTATTTATTTAAATTTGTATTATTTATTTTTGTGATCATTCAATATTAGTCAAACAAATATAATAAGGAACAGTTAAGTAAAAGAAATTTCAAGTTATATTACATATTATATTTATGGTATTTAACAAATCTTAATGGAGTAAATGTATAAAAAAGTACAATAAAAATGATATAATATCCTTATTTATCTTATTTATGTATTTATTTTAGATGTTTTAACATCCTCTTTTTGATAACAAAAGCTTGAAATCAAAGCTTATACAAAATTAATTTGTTTATATAATTATTTTCTTTACTCTTAAAATACAAATAAGAAAATAAAAAAAAGTTTTGAATAGCTTTATATTTAATGATTCAAATATCTAATCTATTTAGAAAGCTTGATTTTAATTCTCAGCCATTTGGCTTTTTTGTTGAAAAAGACGAGAAAAAAAAGAAGACTGAAGTTGGAGGAATCTTGAGTATTTCGGCAATTATCATTTCAGCTATTTACTTGTCATATTTGCTCTACTTATTTTTTGGAAATCAAATAATTCCTAAAATAACTACCTAGTTATAAAATCAAACTACGAAACTCAATCAGAATTTCAACAAAAGTATTTTTGGAATCACTTATACCACTTCAGGTTTAACTCCAGATTAATTAGAATAACAAACAGGCAAAGTATTTTTAACTTACTAAGTGTAAAAATAAACATTTTTGTAGGGAAATTATGAATTCATAGATCTGAACTTGATTGATTGTCCAAATGATCCTAACTTTATAGGATACAAATGCATAGATTTTAGCAACTAACCAGATACTTTAAAAGAATTATTTACAGATCCTACTAATTTGAATTAATCATATTATTCTTTGGTTGTTTAGCCTTGCCAAGGGCTTCCTAATTGTGCAAATCCATAAGACATTGAAAATTATATAATGCAAGCTACTTTTGTATTCTTTATTAAAATCAGAGTTAATTAATTTAATCAACAAACTCAATAAATGGATGAAACTTTTTTAATTGATTTTTTTTAATTTGATTAAAATATAAGTATTTTCCACTAATACTTTTTACAACAATAAGTTTCTACTTTAAGTTAAGGATATTTTATTTAAGGGTCTGATACTAGAGTTGACATTACTAACTATAGAAAATCTACTGCCTATTACTCATAGCAAAATCTTTTACAAAAAGCTGGATTTACTGGATACGGATAATTTTTTTTTAGTTTAGATTAAATGCAAATAATAACAAAAATTCAATTCCCTCTGATAACAGAAACTCTATCACAATTTTTACCAATATTTAATTTTCTCTTAGCTCTAGGGTTTATAGCTAAAATATTTGCTGAATCTAGATTAATATAGGATATCAACAATGTATATTTAAAATAGTATTATAAATAGACAGCAATCAAATTAATTTCAGATTAGAATAAGGACTTGATTATCAACAAAGCATAACTAACATAAGCTGAATATATATAACAGTTAAGTAATGCTATTAATAATGCAAATTTAAAAAAAAAATAAAAACCTAAGCAAAAAACTAGTGTCTAAACCCTAAATAATGATAAAAAAGATAATTGTTAATTTGAGAGTGAAAGGTATTAGCTAATATTAGATTAAACTAAAAAAAAATTAAATATTTCTGAATTATACTCTGATCTAATTGAGATAAAAACTGCTATAAAATTACTCATGAGTCCAGATCAGTATGCTGCTATGAAATTTTGTGGATGTGATATAAGCTTAGCAGGTGTAGATCTCCAAGAAAGTATATAAATAAATACTTCATTTTTTAATAAATTATTTATATAAATAATTCAATTATTATTTTTAGTCATTATATAGATTTTTCAAATTATTTTTTTTAAATTAATCAATCAAAACACAAAATATTCATTAAAATAATTTCTTAATATTTAATAAAATGTAAATAGAGAAAAAAAAGAGACAATAAAATGCAGAGAAAATTGACAAAGTATATCCTTCTCTAATAACTTCCTTACCCTCTAAAAATGTAATCTAAAAAGAAGAACTTAACTTGTAAATGTTAGACCCATACGAAAATAAACGTATATTATTATTAAAATATTTATCTAATTTAATTTTTATCATTTAATAAAAAATTTAGTTAGTTAAAAAATGAATAGCAAGTAAAAGGAGGAAGGAGTATTTTCAAACTTAAAAGTTGAGTTAACATCAAAAAAAAGTAAATGTGAACAAGATCTTACAGATAATAACATTTCTTAATAATCAAAAAACCATCTAGAATAAATAGAAGAAATGTTAGCAAATAAACAAATTATGTTCTAAAAATTACAAAATTTTATTGAAAAAGTACAAAACAAAAATTAATTATTATCATAAACTGATATTAACATTTATTCCTCTTTGATTGGATAGAACTATCAAGATTTGGATTCAAATTAATATTTTATAGACAATATTAACTCTTGATATAAATTATTTTTATATTTTTACTTTTATAAAATTCATTTTATTTAGTATTTTTATTTAAATGGTTAGAAGAAAAATATTGCATTTTTTGTTTGTAATTGAGAGATAAATAGTGATAGGTTAAAGCTCTAACTTTATATTTTTCTAATAAAATTAATAAAGTATCAAAAATTAATTTTATATATTAAGGTGTTTATTTTTATAATTTATTTATATAATATGGTTTTTATTTTAATAAATTCTATAATTGACAATTTTTTTTGTTAAATTTTTTTATATTTCATTTATTTTTGAATTGAAGTATTAAAAATAAATGTTTTTTATGATACCCTCTTATCTAGGTATATGAAACCTCAACCCAAAATACCCTCCGAAGTCTAATACAAATAAAATATTATCTTTATAAGGTAAATCTATTAAATGATTTATATTGAAAAATATGAAAATTTTAAACAAATTATTATCTGAAATCATATTGATTAGTAACCCAAATAACAAGATTTAATTAATTTAGCTGATTTGTAAAATATTTACTTTATAAAATGTTGTTATTTAGAAATAAAGTTTGTGTAGTATAAATAATAAACTAATTAATTTTATCATTTATAAAATAATGTTAATTTAATAGATTTTTATTTAAATTGTTTGTGTAAATTATTTTAAATGATATTTTTCTCATTGATAAATTTAAATATTTTAATTATTTTCTTAAATAGATTCATTATAGTTTACTTCAAAATTAACATTTTTATTTATTTATTTATTAATGTAAATGAACTTTAATTCTTTTGGAATAAGAAATGTAAGAAATTAATAAACATGCTTAAAATTCTAGATTAAAAATTAAAAAAATCAATAATATGTATCTATGTAATATCTATAGCTTAGATTAAAAATTCAAATTGATTGTGTTTATTAATTTATTTATTGGATTAATTGTTTTTGTAAATAATTAACAATAAATTATTATTTTTGAATAACATAATTCATATATTTAATAAATCTTTATTAATATTCTTTAAATATGAAAATGAGCAGATATCAATTTTTCAAAAAGGTTGACTTTTTTTCATAACCCTTTAAATTTTTTGTAGAGGATAATAGTCATAAAAAATAAACTATTTTTGGAGGAATTTTATCTATTTTGACAGTTCTGATATCACTAGTCTATCTCGCATATCTTTTGTACTTATACTTTGATAATTAATTATTACCTAATATAACTTCTCAAATGCACAATAAAACCTCTAAAATTAGCCATGTATTAAATAAAAGTCTTTTTGGATTCACTTTTTATTCATAAAATTAAACTTTAGATCAGCTAATATTATCAACTGGAAAAGTTTTTCTTACTTTCCAACTGCAGTTATTAACTTATTAATATAATCAAATAGATACTGTGAATCTAAATTTTGTTGATTGTGATAATGATCCAAATTTTGATGGATTTAAATGTATAGATTATTCTACTATTGATGATTCTTCTAAAGAAATATATACAGATCCAGTTAATTTGAGTTAGTAATTGTTTTCCCTTACTGTTTAACCTTGCGCGAATCTCCCAAATTGTGCTTCTCCGTAAGAAATATATAATTATATTATGTAAAATTCCTTCTAATTTCTGATCAAAGTTAGAGTAAATTAATTTAATGAATAAACCAGAAAAATGGAAGAAACATTTATAGTTGAATAAATTTAATTTGATGATAATTTAAGTTTGCAAAATTAATATGTTTTATAATTGTAACAGACAACAATTATTTCCGGATATCTCTTTTAAGATTATAATACGACTATAGGTGTTGTTAGTTATAAACGACTAACAACTTACTATACCTAAGATAACATATTAGTTAAATCTGGGTTTACAGGTTATGGTTAATTTTAATTTTTACTTGACTAAATGTAAGTTATTAGCAAGATATAATACCCGCTGATAACTTAAGTGCTTGCATAGTTTTTACCAGTACTAAATGTTTTATTAACTTTAGGCTTCATTGGTAGGTTTTTTGCAGAATCTAAAATAGTTGATGATATAAATAGCATATATTTAAAAGAGTACTACAAGAATACAGTCATCTAAATGATATAAAGTTAAAATAAAGAATTCTTTCTCAAAAGCAAAGAAGGATCAAAGGATGAATAAATTAAATATATATATAAAAATATAAATGATTTAAAATAGTTTAAGTAAAAAGAGGAAAAGCCAAAAATAGGTTTAAAATAAAAAATGAGTCAAATCATTGATAAAATCTTCAAAAAAAAGAAGGCTCAAGTAAAGAATTAGCCATAAAATAATACATTTAAGCTAATAAAAAGCAAATTAATCAAGAAGATAAACATTTATTAGCTTTACAAAGACATAATAGAGCTAAAAATGGCTATTAGATTGTTAATGTCACCAGAATAATATGCTGCTATGTAGTTTTGTGGCTGCTAGATGAATCTCAGAATACATTCTGACTAAAATGTCTTATCCGATCCAAATAAAAGTAAAAAAATTCATTATTAATTTAAACTAATTATTTAAACAAATTAATTAATAATTTCAGAATATTTTTTTAAACTTTAAATAAAATAAAATTTTTAAAATAAAAATATTTTAGAATTTGAAGAATAAGTAAAAGAAAATTTGTAGGATAATCAAAAAAGAAAAACGCCTTTGCCTTAAAACTAAGACTTAGAAGATCACGTTAATGAATAAATTATGAATATGTTAAATTATAAAGAAAGTAAGGCACAAACAATAAAAACTAATAAGTAAGCACACACAATTTTCAATAGAGATAAAAATATGTCTGATTTTGATGAGGTATTTCAAGAGGCAGAAGATACTTCCACTCATAGAGAAAATAATTTAATTGAAAAACATGATTAAATTTAATATTAAGCATCTCTATAAAAAATTTAAACCAATACTCAAAATCACTTACAAGTAATTGAGGATATGCTAAGTAATGCTGATAATTTATTTTTATTCTTAAAAAAATTTATTGAAAAATTTAATGACCCAAAATAAAAATTATCGCAGACTGACACTAATATTTACTCATCATTGATTGGATTAAATTAAAATATTTTAATACAATAAGAAATATGATATAATAAATTAATATAAAACATATTTTATTAAAAAAAAAATGAAATCTATTTATATTTTTTATTGAAAACTTACAATTAAAATTAAAAATTAATTAATAAATGCTTCTTGCAAAGTATAAATATATTTATTTAAATTTATACTAATTATTTTAGCAATTATTCAATAATAATCAAACAAAAAATAGAAAGGAACAATTAAGTAAAAGAAATTTTAAGTTTTTTTGTATAATAAATTTATGGTATTTCAAAGATCTTAAAGGAGTAAATGAAAATGGTACGATAAAAAATTATGTTATTTTCTTATTAGATATTTTAACTTACTTCCTCTTTTTAATAAATAGCAAAATCAAAGTTTATAAAAAATTAATAAGTTTTAAATAATTATTTATTTTTCTTTCACTCTTAAAAAAAAATAAGAAAATAACAAAAAGTTATTAATAGCTTTATATTTAATGATTCAAATATCTAATCTATTTAGAAAGCTTGATTTTTATTCTCAGCCATTTGGCTTTTTTGTTGAAAAAGACGAGAAAAAAAAGAAGACTGACGTGGGAGGAATCTTGAGTATTTTGACAATAATTATTTCGGCTATTTACTTGTCATATTTGCTATAATTATTTTTTGGAAATAAAGTAATTCCTAAAATAACTACCTAATTATAAAATCAAACTACGAAACTCAATTAGGCTTTCAACAAAAGTATTTTTGGAATCACTTATACCACTTCAGGTTTAACTCCAGATTAATTAGAATAACAAACAGGGAAAGTATTTTTAACTTACTAAGTGTAAAAATAAACATTTTTGTAGGGAAATTATGAATTCATAGATCTGAACTTGATTGATTGTCCAAATGATCCTAACTTTATAGGATACAAATGCATAGATTTTAGCAACTAACCAGACATTTTAAATGAATTATTTACAGATCCTGCTAATTTGAGTTAATCATATTATTCTTTGGTTGTTTAGCCTTGTTAAGGGCTCCCTAACTGTGCAAATTAACAAGACATTGAAGATTATATAATGCAAGCTTCTTTTATTTTCTTTATTAAAATCAGAGTTAATTAATTTAATCAACAAACTCAATAAATGGAGGAAAATTTTTTAATTGATTTTTTTTAATTTGATTAAAATATAAGTATTTTCCACTAATACTTTTTACAACAATAAGTTTCTACAATAAGTTAAGGATTTTTTATTTAAGGGTCTGATACTAGAGTTGACATTACTAACTTTAGAAAAAATAATTCCTATTACTCATAGTAAAATCTTTTACAAAAAGCTGGATTTACTGGGTATGGGTAATTTTTTTTTAGTTTAGATTAGATTCAAATAATAACAAAAATTTAATTCCCTCTGATAACAGAAACTCTATCTCAATTTTTACCAATATTTAATGTTCTCTTAGCTCTAGGGTTTATAGCTAAAGAATTTTCTGAATCTAGATTAATATAGGATATCAATAATGTATATCTAAAATAGTATTATAAATAGACAGCAATCAAATTAATTTCAGATTAGAATAAAGACTTGATTATCAACAAAGCATAACTAACATAAGCTGAATATATATAACAGTTAAGTAATACTATTAATAATGCAAATTTATAATAAAAATAAAAACCGAAGTAAAAAGCTAGTGTCTAAAGCCTAAATAATGATAAAATAGATAATTCCTAATTAGATAGTGAAAGGTATAAGCTAATATTAGATTAAACTAAAAAAAAATTAGATATTTCTGAATTATACTCTGATCTAATTGAGATAAAAACTGCTATAAAATTACTAATGAGTCCAGATCAGTATGCTGCTATGAAATTTTGTGGATGTGATATAAGTTTAGCAAATGTAAATCTCCAAGAAAGTAAATAAATAAATTATACTTCATTTTTTAATAATTTATAGAAATAATTCAGTACTTTTTTTTGTTATTATTTAAATTTTTCAAATTATTTTTTTTAAATAAACCAATCAAAACACTAATTATTCATTAAAATAATTTCTTAATATAAACTTTTTAATAAAATTTAAATAGATGAAAAAAAGAGGCAATAAAATGTAGAGAAAATTAATAAAGTATATCCTTTTCTACTCCCTTCCTTAACCTCTAAAAATCTCATCTAAAAAGAAGATATTAACTTGAAAAGGCTAGACTCGTTAGAAAACAAATGTATATTATTATTAAAATCTTTCTCTAATTTAACTTTTATCAATTAATAATAAATTTAGTTAGTTAAAAAATGAATCGTAAGTAAAAGGAGGAAGGAGTATTTTCAAACTTAAAAGTTGAGTTAACTTCAAAAAAAAGTAAATGCGAAGAAGATCTTCCAGATAATAATAATTCTTAATAATCAAAAAACCATAGAATAAATAGAAGAAATGTTAGCAAATAAATAAATCATGTTCTAAAAACTACAAAATTTTATTGAAAAAGTACAAAACAAAAATTAGTTATTATCATAAACTGATATTAACATTTATTCCTCATTGATTGGATAAAACTACCAAGATTTGGATTCAAATTAATATTTAATAGATAATATTATCTCTTGATATAAATTATTTTTATATTTTTACTATAATAATATTCATTTTATTTAGTATTTTTATTTAAATGGTTAGAAAATGAAAATATAACAATTGTGGATTTTTTATTTGCAATAGAGAGATAAATAGTGATAGTTTAAAGCTATAACTTTATATTTTTCTTAAAAAAATAATAAAATATTAATTAGTTAATTATATATTAAGGTGTTTATTTTTATAGTTTTTTATATAATATGGTTTTTATTTTAATAATTTCTATTATTCACAATTTTTTTGTTAAATTTTTATTTTGACAATCCTATTGATATTTTTTAAAGAGTTCCGAAATTAAAAATATACACCTATATTAGTGTTAAATATTTGATCTATTTGTAAAATAAAGTGTTAATTAATTATTATTCTTTTAAACAGTTAGTTACCTATGTGAATTTAGTTTCATGTTATAAGTATAACTTATTTTTATTTATTAATAATTTAAAATAGTAGTTTTAAATATTTATTTTTAATTTAATTATTAATGAGACTATCAATAAATTATTTTAAACGTTTTAAAAGCAATCCTATAGAGAAATTTAAAAGCTCTCTTACATATCAATATCATTATTAAAATCGAAATAGATTTATATTTATTTTTAATTTATTTGCTCTTTAGCTATTTATAAAAATAAATAATAAAAGACTTACTTAATGATTATAAATCATATTTTCAATAAATTGTTTAATTAAATAAGGGTAAATAAATACTTGTCTTTTTTTTATTTATATTAACAAAAACTTTGTTAATACTTTTGTTACTCTTAATAACTCAGCCAGACACGACACAGATCATAAATTTGCATTCAAAATAAATTATTAATTAATTAATTAAAAAAACTCAAGTAAAAAAATTTGTGGATTAAGTGAATAAAAACAAACTAAATAAATATGTAGAAAATATAAGTAGTTGCATAAAAGATAGATTTTTTTTCTTCGCCATTTAGCTTTTTGGTTGGAAGTCAAAAGTAAAAGTAGACCTCAGCAGGAGGTTTTATGACAGTAGCAGCTTTGAGTCTATCCCTTATTTATCTTTGTTACCTACTAGTATTATACTTTGATAATTAGCTATTACCAAAAAAGACATCAAACATATTTAACAAAACAACGCGTTAGGAGATAATGCAAAGCTAAAGCATCTTTGGATTTACTTTTAATTCAAATGGATAGACGTTAAAATAGTTATAACCTAAAGGAGGTTTATAGTATCTCCTTTTTTAAGCTTAATATCAATATTCTACATCTCTAACTTCTGATTCTATAAGTATTCCTATTAACGATTGCTAAGACCCTAGCTTTGACGGGTATTAATGTCTTGATTTCTCTAATTAATCTGAGTAAGTTAGGAATTTATTATTGGATCCAACTAATTTATCTATTTCAATGTACTCTTTAACTATATAACCATGCTAAGGTCTGCCTAACTGTGCTAGTCCTACTGATATAAATAATTAAATAATAAACAGCAATTTCTCCTTTTTTGTAAAAATAAAAGTGAGTCAATATAATGAATAAACTAAAAGCGTTGAAGATAGTTATATAATAGACAACCTTTATTTTGACGATAGCTTGAGTTTTGTTAACTATTATTCTTTAACTTAGACTATTACTACTGTGAATAAAGGCTTCCTATTCTAAATGTCTAATGTTTATAATTACTTATCGGGCTACATTAAATCTGTTTCATACTTCTCATAGAACAATTTGCAGTAAAAAGCAGGATTTACAGGATATGGTTAGTTACAATTTTTTTTAGATTAAAACTAGAGTTTAGATTAAGTTTAATTTCCTTTAATAACTGAAATTTTAGCTTAGTTCATGCCTATATTTAATATTTTAATTGCATTAGGCATCATAGCTAAGCATTTCGCAGAATCAAAAATAATAGAGGATATAAATGACTTGTACATGAGAGTATACTGTAAAAACACAGCACTTAAATTGTTAAATGTAGAGTTAATCGATCAATAAAATAATACTTAAAATAATTTAAATATTAATAATAATAAGTAAAATAATAATGATTTAATTATTAATGAATAAATTAAATATCAAAATAGCTGTAGAAGTGGATTAACAGCTGAAAAAGTTTATTATTTGTAAAATTAAATAGATAGTCCAGAAAACAAAAAAGAATAAAATGGTATTATTAAAAAAGGATTTATATCATTTTTAAAATAAATGATAGTAGGATTATTCAGGAAGGAGTCAACTAAAAAAAGTATATATCAGCAAATGTATTCATAAGCAGAGAAATTTATTAATATATATGATATTTATGAAAGTCTATTTTAAGTCAAGAAAGCAATAAAGCTAATGTTAAGCAAAGATTAATACGCTGCTCTTTAATTTTGTGGTTGTGATATGAATTTTGATGAAATTGATAATAATATAATGTAGCATAAAAATCAAACAATTTATAATAAAGAGACTCCAGAAAATATAAACAATTTAAACTAAGAATAAAATGAAAACTAAAAAATAGTTCTGGAGAGAATATCTTAAACACAAGAAAATAAGTAGCAAAACTTATAAGAAAAAATGTAATTGATATAAATTCGCAAAAAAGAGGATAAAGATATTGAATTATCATAAAATAATTACTAAAAAGATAAATCTGAAAATATTTCATCTAAATAATATTAGGATTTAAAAATTTAGGGACAATATATAGCCTAAACCGCATTAATCTAAGATTAAGAAAAGATACAACAACAATAGTAGCTCATAGTCAAAAATATTTTCTTTTCAGCAAGAAATCACTTAGATGATTAGGATTAAATTGTAAACAATAAATAAAAATTATTTAAGTATTTAAAAATTTTTATTGATAAAGTGAATAAAAATTAAAATTTATCCCAGATTGATTTAAATATCTTTTCATCTTTGATTGGATAAAATGAGCTTTCCCAATCAGAATGCATGTTAAACAACATTTAATAAAATGTTTATTAACAATGAATGGTGAAATTACTTTGGTTATTTAAATTTATACAACAAAATACACTGAATTATCATATATTTAATTTTTGGACTATCACCTCATAAGGACTTTTGACTTGAAATTTTATAGACTTAATTTAAAATATTAACATTCCTTGTTACCTCATCAAGTGTAAGGAATTATGTATGGTATACGAGGATTTAGAGTAATTAAGAACATTAAAGATAAATGATATTCTTTATTTTGTTTATTTTTCAAGTCTTATATTCTTTTTATATAGCTACAATTTAGATTTACATTTTTTTATTAGCTTTAAAAAAATTTAAAATAATAAAAACAAACTTATATATATATTATCAAAATAATACGTTGTTATTTATTTATTTTTGATTAAATTATAAAGTCTTTATCGGAATTCATTTTTTTATTGAATGTATTTTTTATCTAATATTATTATGTTCTAATAATTTTTAAATTTAATAATTTAATTTATGCTTATTTACTTATTGTAGTAAAAATATTAGAGTATTTATTATAAATGAATTAAAAAAATATATAATAAAATACTATAAAATTATTTTAATAATTCATAAAATATATTATTAAATAAATAAATAAACAAGAATATAATACTAATGAATTGTGGAATGTTTGTTTGTTTACTTTACAAATTTTATTATTAAAAGAATTAATTTTTGTGTTATTTAAAAGTAATAAATTGACTTTCGAGCTGATTATTCATTAATTTAAAATCACTTGAATGGTTTTAAGAGTGTAAAAGATTCCTCAGTAAGTAATATAAAACGATTATATTTATATTGAAAGAGTTTCTAATAAACAACTATTTTTGAATTTAGAAAATTTTTTATTAAAAAAACCAAAATATTAAAAAAACAAACAAAATAAATTAGATTAGAGATTTTAAATGCATACTATTTTAAAAAAGATAAAGAAGCTTGACTAATTCTCTGAGCAGTTTAATTTTTTTATTCAAAAGAGAAGTAAATAGAAATAAACTTTAGCTGGTGGTATTTTTTCTTTAACAATATGCATAGTTTCGATGTGCTACTTAGGATACCTTTTATTTTTATATTTTGGAAATAGATTACTTCCTAAAATAACTACACAAACATATATTAGCACCTCTTATTAGGAATTAAAGACTAATGTAAATATGTTTGGGTTCTCTCTTATGCTGCCTGGAGGAATTACACTTGATTAATTACAATAAAAGACAGGGAAATAGTATATAACATTTTTATTACAACATTCTGTTTATTAACAGAACTAAATGGTACGAACACAAATTCCAATTTATAATTGCTAAGATCCAATGTTTTTAGGATTATTATGCATTGATCTTTAAAATTAATCAGATTCAATCAAAACATTATTTTAAAACCCAACCGATCTCAGCTAATCTTTTTACCACTTAACCGTTTCACCTTGCTAAGGACTTTCAAACTGTGCAACTCCTTAAGAAATTTATGATTTAATATTCTAAGACTCAGTAGCATTTATTATTAAAATAAAAATAAATCAATTTAATTATATAACTTAACAATTTGAAGAGACTTATAAATTTGACTATTTATAATTTGATGATTCTTTAAGCATACAGGTATAGTATGTGCTTAGATAGTCAAAAAACATTATCAATTAAGGGTTGATTTTCTAGAACACTGATACTATTTATAATGTTTAAAATTTTTAGAGAATTACGACTTATTTTAGTAAAAACAATTTACTTTAAAAAGCTGGGTTTGAAGGATATGCTCATTTCCAATTTGAGATAGACTAAACATAGCAAATAAATAATATTTAGTTTCCATTAGTCACTGAAAGTTTAGCTTAGTTCTTACCAATTTTAAATTTTATGCTTTTATTTGGTGGATTAGCTAAACTATTTGCCAGCAAGAGAATATTAGAAGATTTAAATACTCTTCAAATTAAAGAGTATTATAAAGATACTGGATTAGAGCTTATTTCTTAGCTTGAAAAAAGTGAATCTTTAAAAAAGGATATCGCTTAAACACATTAAACTTAAGCAGAGTCTATTTACTATCAAAATAATTAACTAAAAATAACAAACTTCAAACAAAAATTTCATTAATAATTTAAAATTGGATTTTTACAGTTTTTAAAATAATTATTTTTGGAATTTCTTTTTTCGATTTTCAGTAAAAAAAAATTAAAATAAAACAAATAATAAGTTTATGAAAAGTTGATGAAGAATACAATTAAAAAAGTCAACATTTATTAGGTTTATCGAGACTTAATTTAATTGAAAACAGCTATAAAACTGTTCATGACACCAGACTAATATGCAGCTTTATAATTCTGTGGGTGCGAATTAAATTTTTAAACTAAAAAAGAAAAATTAAGCCAAGCTGAAAACATATTAAATCAAAAAGAAAAGGAAATAGAAAGTCCAAAAACAGATAGTTTAAAGGAAAATATAAAATCTTTTAATCAAGAGCTGAGTAGCAGAAGTAATAATTAAAATAATATATAGAGTCACTAAATATAACTAGCCGTCCTTTCTGATGATGAAGAAGTTTTGAATATCTAGGCTCAAAACTAAACTAATACAAAAGACTGCAATGAGGTTGTCTTTTATTCTAATTGCAGCAATATGAAACAAAAAATAGAAATGAATTCAAATTTAAGCCTAAATTAGAAAAATCATCTCGAAATACCAACAAAACAGTAAGATAAATAATAAGCTATTAGTTAAGTTGTAAATTTACCATAGTAATTAAATATTAAAAATAAGAAAAACCATCTATAAGAAATAGATTAAATTCTAAATAATTAGGAATCTCTCATGTAAAATTTAAAGCTATTTATAGAAAAAATAAATAAATCTTCAGACATAACAGATTTAGATTTAAACATTTACTCATCTTTAATTTAACCACACTATTTAAAAAATTGAAATAACAATCTTATCATTGCATTGTATGTATACAAAACAGTATATTTATTTAAAAATTAATTTAAACTAATTCTGTTGTTTTCATTAATATTCAGTTTAATTTTAATTATTATTTTTAAGCTTTCATATTTGAAACTTTTTTAATTTTCTTAGATCTTTGTTTAGTTTATCTTAATTTATTATTTGTAAAATCTTTTTAATAGATTAAAGAATCTAATGCTCCTTTTACTTTTAATTATTTCATTGTTAAGCATTTATTTATTTTTTTGAATAAATTTTGTTGATAATTTCTAAAATATTTTTCAGTTTGAAAAAAACAATAACACTTGATATACAGTAGATAATTTAAAATTATTTTAAATGATTCATTTATTTTTATAATTTTCTTGACATTATTCTTTCTCGAATAAAATTTTAAGCTTTAAATAAATAAAAAGTCCTAAAAAACTTTTGAGAATAATTTATTGTTTCATTTATTTTACATATTTTCTGACACAAAATTATAATACCCATTTTTTAGAAAGATTTATTTAAATAATATGTTAAAATTTTTGTCATAATATTTGATATTTTTTAAACAATTGGCTTGGTATTATTTAGATAAAAACTTATGCTCCATTTAAATATTTTTCATTATATTTTTGTGATTAGTTTTTAATAATTTTTTATTTTGGTTTTACATATTTTTTGATTTGGATATATTAAAATTATTTAATTTTTTGAATGAATAAAAATACCTATTTATTTATTCTTAATTACAACAAGGTAGATATCACACACAAAAAATATAATTTTCAATAAATTGAAGATTGAGGTTGATAATTTATCGAAGGATACTTGCCAAGCAATTATAATAATAATAGATCAATTAATAATTCAGTATCTTTTAAATTATGTTTAGTGAAAATATTTAAATTTTAGATAATTAAAATAGCATGAAATCAAAAAACTAATTTTCAAAAGCTAGCAGTGAGCTAATATAAAAGCTTTAATAATTAAATTTAAGTAGCTCTAGCTCTGTAAATAAACAAATATTTTGAACTATTTATAATTTTTAACTTCTTCATAAATATTTAAAAGGATTCATTTGATTCTGAGTTCAAATAGCCATTTCTAAATGCTCTTAAATTGAATTAATAATTAGATGTTGACAAACCTAATTTTAAGTAGAATAATTTCTTTAGTGAAAAATCTAATGAGAGCAATGATCTAATAATATAAAAGTAGATAATCGAAAGAATTATTCAAAATTAACTTCGAAATAGCTTTAAAGAAGCTACTTTATAAGCAAACAAAGAAAACTTTTAATAGAATAATTTTTAGAACGCTTAAAGTGATTCAGAAAGAAGCGAAATTTATTTATTTCAAGATGGTAAAGATTAATTTAGGCGGATATCATAAAGATTAAAAACCTCTCCAAGCCTATAGAAAAAATTAGTTGACAAGAACCTAGAAGATGAGGAAGACCCCTTTAAAATTTATGACAAGCTGAAAGAAAATATAAACAAAGAAATAACTCTAAGCAAATAGAGAAATGAATAGTACTTAAATGAAATAAATCATTTATAAAATGAATTGATGAGCTTAAAGCTCTAAGAGGTGGAGTTCGAAAAAGATTTTCTACTTGGCAGACATCAAAATTTTGAGAATAAAATATTTACTTTCAATACTATGCCAAACAATAATGAGTTGTAGTCTAATTAGAAACTCTCAGATGCTATTTAAAGCAACAATTTAAACCACCTTTACAAATAGCCTCAATCATTCATAAACCTTCACCACAGCATTCCTAAATTTTAATAGCTATAAAACAACAATAATAATGATTAAAATATTTCTATGAATTATAAAATCCCGTATCAATATCGTTCTTTTTCTACTCTGGACAACTCAAATAAATTTGATAGATATGAAAAAAGGCATTAAAATAAAAGTTTGTAGCTGTTTCACAATCAAAATTAAAATAATTCTATTTTAAATTATACAAATTAAAATAATTCTATTTAAAATTATACAAATTAAAATAATTCTATTTAAAATTATATAAATTAAAATGATAATAATTATGACTATGATAATATTTTATACAATCAAAGATAGCAAAACTTCCCTAAAAACAGTCAATTCAAGGAACCTTTAAATTATAATAATGAGAAAATTGTTTTAGTAAATTACCCTAATAGCAATATTATCTAGCAAGAATAGCTTTAATAGACCAAATAAAATTACTAATTTGTGAGTTTACTTTAGAATAGCAGCTAGCCAGATACGCAATCAATAAATGTTCTATAAAAGTGTAACGATTAGCAGTTGGATATTTCATAAGAAAATGAAGTTCAATATGATTATTTCAAGCCAATATACAATTCTGGGTACTAGCATAATCAATCTGAATTGCAAAAAGAAATCAGCACTCAAGAAAAACAAAAGTATAAAATTAGTAGAAAATTTTAATTGGCAAAATTTTATTTTTTAAATTAACAGAGCACAAAAAAAGAGAGTCATGAGCATAAAGCCTTTGTAGCTTTAGTCTTAAAAGACATTAAAATAAAAGACTATTTAAAAGTAAGATGGGTAAGTAGATTTTTATAAAAGTCCTCTTTAAAACATAAGAATAAAAGAACAAGAGTAGATTTCTGACTAGAACAAAGTTTCAAAAGTTCAAAAGAAGCTTAATAAGTTAGTTAATCCAGCTATCCATCAAAGCAAATCAGAAGCATCAATAAAAAAGAAAGCTCACTCTTTGAAAAGTTTGGAGTATTCTCATTCATATAAAGACTAAAAGCAAAACATTATAAATAGCACAAATGAATCTCATTAAAGTCCTAAGAAAAACAAAAGTCAGAATATAAAAGAACTAAAGCAAAACAAAAAAATGAAATCACTTTATGAATAAACTCAAAGCAAAAATATTTCATAGATATCTACTAAAAAGAAAGATGTCACTTCCTCCAATAAGTAAAATTTATATTTAATAAAATGAATAAATAAATTAATTATTTGGTGTTTCACTAAAAAAAACCATTTATAATAAATTAGTTTGTAACTAAAAAAGATGAATTCCCTTTAGCATTTAAAAGTTTAAAGCAACTTATCAAGTAAATAAGATTTAAAGTAAATAAATGTTATTGATTTTTATCACTTTAAGAAATTATTTTTTGAATAAACATAAACAGAAAGAAAGAAGCATGTAAAGAATGCCTGAACCTATTAAGAAAAAATATTTCTACAACATACTGCACTCAAAAACATAATTAAAAAAATGCAAGTTAATGATAATGAAATATAATATTTATTGATAAAAAATATTTATTGCTTAAATAAAATTATTATTTAATATGAACCAATGTTCTTTAAAAAGTTTGATAATTATTTATTAATTTATTTGTTTGTTTGTTTGATATTATTCAAAAATTTAAATAGAAAAACTTATAAAATAATACAGTTTTTTTTCAATTTTTATATACCGCCCGCCTAGCTCAGTCGGTAGAGCGCAAGACTCTTAATCTTGTGGTCGTGGGTTCGAGCCCCACGGCGGGCTAATTATTTTTTTAATAATAAGAAAGTAAAAATTTAGATTTGAAAAATGAAAGTATTTTAATGAATATGAATACTATTTTAAATTTTGAATGTAATATTTGACAATTAAATAAAAATATTATAAATTATTTTTCTCTTTAAAGCATAATTTTCTAAAATAAATGTAAATAAGTTATAATTCCTTTGTAAATAAATGAATAATAATAAAAAACATTAAAAGTTGTTGTATTTTTTAAAATTATGGATCTTTATAAAATATAAAAAATAATTTCTTTTTATTTATTTTTAATTTTATGTAATCAAATTACTTTTAGTTGCTGTGTTTTATGGTATTTTTTATGAGAAAGTAGTTTTTTTATAAAATTACTTTATAATCATAATCTTAATAATATATCTAAAAACGGAGTCATTGGTTAAGTATTGAAATTTAATAATTACTTATAAACAGAATATTAAGAATCATACACTAAATTAAAAACGATATTATGCCAAGCTTATAGCGAAATGTTCTATTGAAACACCAGTTTAAGTATTAAGCTATCCCTGTTAATTTGATGAACATTGAAATTAATTTAGAGAGGCAATAATGCGAGCTAATGGGAGCATTTGGTAAATGACTCATTTGAGATCAAAATAATTTTTTAAAATTTAAAACATAGGTGTTACTGTGCAAGTAATATTAGGGTTGCTTTCTTTTTCAATTCTTCTCCGTAAAATTATGTATTATTTAGGATAGTTAAAATTAAATATTTTTATAACTATAATAGTTAAATAACTCAACTCAAGCACAAAGAGAAGTTGGCGCATTTGGTGTATGGTAATTCATTAAAAGCATATTTATATTTTCTAATTGAATAATTTGTTAATTTATTTATGAATGAAATAACTTAGGACACTTCAAAATAAGCTATCGGCTCCTTTTATATACATACGATAAATGTGATAATTTCTAATTACTTAACTTATACAGTTCATCCTTAAAATTAATCAGTTACAGCTTGCAATTGGTAGTTATTTTGGATTATTTTCCATTTTATTCTACTTGTCTGATCCGCTTTTTTGAAATTAATTTAAGGTACTTAGTAAATTACTTACAAGATTTTATATTGGGTAATTCTATGAATTTCTTTGTAGTTTATATGATAAAGAAGTTCAACGATAAATACAAGATACCAGCACTCCAGTTTGGGTAATATAATAGCTAACAGACTATTGAAGACTACTATCCCTAGCTATTAGCTTGGCTAATATTGATTTCGATTGTAATTTTTTAACTTTCTTTTCAAATAAATGTATCTTAACAAAACAAAATAATAAATTTAAAGAACAAGATCATATTGATGAGTAACATTTTTATCTTCTCTAAGTTCTTTCATGAAGTTGGTAAATATATTTATTTATTTATTTATTATTGCTATGAAAGTAAGTTATATTAAATTTAAAAGATAACCATTTATTTAATTATTTTAGGAGATTCTCTACTTAGAAACTTGAAAAACTACCCAAAAACTTAACTAATATTGGTAGTTGTTGTAATTCCTTTAATATTTAACACTATTTCATACTGGACTACAGATAGTTTTCTGAGATCTAAAGATGAAAACCAAATTCTCTCTTAGTAACCATATGAAAAAAGTAAATTAACCTAACTAATAAATCTATTTTACCTTACTAAAGAATAAATTAAATAATAGTTTAAGGCTAAATTAATTAAGAGGGAGATGACGAAGAAGAAGAATAAGAAACTAAATTTAATTCAAATTAAGATCTTTTTAACAATGGATCAAGTGATGAATTAAATTCAACATAAGAAATTTTTTCTGAAGACAACTTAAAATTTTAATAAATTTGAATTTTACTGTATATTTATTTACTATTTATGTACTGAATTTCTTAGTAATTTCTAAGTAAAGATATTGAAATTCTAAAATTCAAAATTCAAAGTTGGATCAAGTAGATAGATAGATACTTACTTAATGAGGATTTAGAGTTTATGATTTATTAATTAAAATGAAGACATTCAATTTTATGAAACATTAAATGCAACAGAAATAAAAACTTTTAATATAAATACGAAAATTCAAATTTATTTAAAAATTAAATTAAATAATTTTATATGAAAAATCTATTAAAAAAACATTTTTTTAATTGTAGTCAAAAATGAAATTTTTTATTTCAATTTTAAATCAGCACTTTTCATTTAATTAATTAGACATTTTCAAAAGTTTTTAAAAATAATTTATTTATATTCTCCTGATTTAAGTTATAATAAATGCATATTTTTAAATAAGTAATCAATGATAAATTAATTATTGCATCTAAAAGTAAAATTGTGGTTAGAATAATCTATGAAGGAATATTCTAAAACTTATTAAAGTGAAAATGTTAGAATTGAAGAAGTAGATTAACGAATATCTTTATAAGAAATACTTGGAATAAAGTTTGGTGTATGTATTATCAGAATTAATTTTGATATACGTGGCTGGCAGAAATTTTGTAATTAATTAATTAATTAATCAATAAATCAATTTCATTCATACATATACAATTAAAAGTAAAAATATAATATAGTTGTTTTTTAGAATTAATTAGCTTTGATTGATTAATTGAATGATCAGTTTGATAGCTTATTAATTTAATACAGAAAAAATTAGATTTATAATGGAAATATGTATTTATTTATTTATTCATTTTAAAAATATTTTTGTAAGTGCTTTATGTCTTAAAAGTAAGTAAGAGTCATTTAAATAAAATATTCATATTTCCTCTATTTTGCTATGCAGAGAGGCATGTTAAATTTAAACTTAAGTAGATTGATAGATAGATAGAAAGATAGATAGATATAGCTAGCTAGCTAGTTAGGTAAATAAATAGATAGATAGATACTTTAAGCTTTGTAATTATAAAGGCATATATCAATTTTTTAATGATGTTTAGAAGCGAATTAAAATCATTCTTAAACAATGGCTTATTCACTTTATTCTTATTATTATTACTATTTTTCTTTAGCAGTGTGTTTGATATTTAGGGCTTGTTGTCTTTTCTTCTTTGCTTAAACTTAAATTTCATGATGCTTTTTTCTACGTTCAGCATTTCTTTTATGTCTTTCTTGTCTTCTCTTAGCATTTTTACTCTTAGGATTAGGCTTTGTTGGTTCTTTCTTAATTACTTTAGTCTTGTTTGCTGCTTAATTTGAGAAGAAGTGAAGTCTGAAAACGTTAACAAGTTAATCTGATTCTTTGATTGACTTGCCAGGTAAAATCTATTATGCGATTTAAAAATAAGTTAACAAATATCTAATTTTGAGGCTATTATTACTTCAGCACATGTGCTTTAATCGTTGTATTTGGCTCTGTATTTAAGAGAATATAATTAAGTAGGGTTCAAAAGAGCTTCGTTGCTTAATTTCTCAAGTTGAGCCTACTTTTTCTTTCTTGATAATTGCTTCTTCATTGATTTTACTCTATCTAAATAATAACACAAAATTTGTTAAAACTTGCTATGTTGATGTTGCCAAATGAGGCTATTTACCTCTTTTAATAGTAACTGTAATCCATCCTTTCTTTTCTTTGGCTTACTAAGTCTAAAAATCACTTAAAGTAGATAAAAATCCGTCAGTGCTTTACAATCCCATTTTTGCTTGCTTTACTATTTTAAATATTCTTTTAATTTAACTTTCTTCTTAATGAAAATTATTTGAAGAAATTTGATTTGTCTTACTTAAAGTTTTCTTTTTCGCATATAATTAATATTGGTGAATTATAAGATCCAAATGTGATGCCAGACGACAGATATGAACAAACAAACAAACAATTATTATTCTTAGGATATTAATTAATTAAAATATCAAAAAATATTATATTATTTATTAAAATGAATTATAATTGCAATAATTTGATTATTATATTGGATATAAATAAATTCAATTATTAAAAATAAATATTAATATATAGACAATATAAATCAAGACTTCTACTTATCATAGGTTATTTTTAAGCATGCAAAGTATTAAAAAATATTCTATTAGAAAAGAAGATCTGAATATAGATTATTGGGAGTATGTTAATGAAGGAAATTAACATTTGTTGATCAAAACAACAGATCAAACTTCACCTATTTTTGGGTTTTTACTGCGTTTTAATAAGTAAAATTTGCATCAAAACCATGTCTAAGAATCTCAAAACAAATAAGAAACTCTTCAGAGCGAGAAGTAAGTTGAACAAAAGAAAAATGAATAAAATAATATAAAATTATTATCAACTAACTTATAAAATTATGTGCAAAAATATCTATTTAAGAATATAAATACATTAAACAAGTTCTTGTAAGAAGCGATAGTTGTTGATTATTCTGAAGCTTAAAAAGAATTTTAAGAATTCGTTTTAAAAGTGGAAGAAAAAATAAAAAATTAGAGAAGCGAATTCAAAAGAGAAAAGAAAATTGATATCAGCTAAACTGTAGAAATAATAGAAAATTTTTAACAGGATTATGGATTTAAAGATAGTAGGTTTAGTGCTATGGTAGAAATAAAACCTAAATCTCCTCTAGAAGAAATTTATACTTAAAATTAAATAGAGAAGGAGTTATAAAAATATACATAAGAAGAGTAAGATGTGATTTTGAATAGGTTAAAATAAGCAGATGAGTATGAAAAATGTAGATTTTTTAAAATGTAATTAAATAAATTGCAAAACGACCCAGAATGCAATTAGTTATCAAAATATAAGCCAATTAATTTTTATAAAGGGAAAATAACAGAAGAAATTAATAATTTGCTTTTAACTCCTTTAAATAATCTGAGCATCACATAGTATGCTGGAAATAAGAATGATACCAGTTCAATACTAGAGTAAGTTGACGAGTTAAAAGTTGCTATTAACTCAATTTTAAGAATGATCCATCTGTATGTTGATTTTAATATAAAACTTAAAGATGTTTTTGAAAATTTTTTAAGTTAAGCAGAATTTTATTTATAAAAAAATGAGGAGTTTTATCAGTTAGTATTAAATGAAATATTGCAAGAATTGAATAATGATTCATCTGATTTATATTAATTGTTACAGAGTGATTTTAATAAGTTAAATGAAAATAAAGAATTTTATCAATGTAAAATTGTAATTAAATTTTTATTGTCAGTCGCATTCAGGGACTTATCCATTTTAATTAATGTTTACACTTCTTAAAATTCAATAGAAATTCTTAATAACCAAAATTAGCATTAAAAGATGTTCCTCACTTATAAAAATGTAAGTGTTTAAAATGAGCTAATACACTCCAGAGTAGCAATTATAGACAATGACCTTAAACCTCTCACTACCTATGACAAATATATGAAGATAGAAAAAACTAATTTATCACTTTACTTTTAACATTTGCTTAAGAAAGAGAAATAATGAGCGAAAAATTCAATATTTTTATGATTTTAAATTAATTTTATTTGTAAATGTTTTGAATTGTATTAAGAAGTTAATGAAATTTAAATTATTAATTCAAATTACTATAAAAAATTATGATTAAATTCATTTTAAAAATATTCACTAAAATGAATGAATAAAATAAGCTTTTAAATCATCCAATTACACGTTTCATGCATAGTTTGTTTTTTTTAATTATATTTTTCTAATAACTAATATATAATATTTTATCAAATATCTTTTTTAATTAAATAAATTTATAAAGTAATGAATTAAAAAGTTTAAGCTGTAAACTAGCAGCAGAAGTAGCAATCTTAGTAGCCTTAAGCTAGCCAATTAAATGTGCTTGATTGGGAATAATAAATAAATTTAAGCGATAAAACATTACAGATTCTGTAGTAAATAGAAGATCAATAAGAAGAAAAGATTAATCTTTCTAGCAATCAATAATAATAATAATAGTAGTAGTAAAAGAGCCAAGTTAAAAAATAGAATGAGTAAGAATAATTAAAAGATTTACAGCTAGAAATAGGATTGGATGTAAGTGCTGTTTTGCAAAAGATAGACATCTCTAATTAAGAGCTAAAAATGATAACAGATATCAAGATTGCTAACAAATAAAATTAGTATTTTTTGCAGTTTCTGAATGATATTTTAAGCTCTCTTGAAGAAATTAAAAAGCACTTTTAGCATTTAGAAGACAACAAAAAGCATGTTGTAGAAAAAATCAATGAATTTTATTAAGAATCCTCTAAGTTAATTGATGAGCAGAAAAATTTGCTTGAACTCCAGCAAGAAGTTAAAAGTAATTTGTAATATTATCTAGCTGTAGAAGAAATTGAACAACAACTTGATTCTGTCCAAAAAGATATGGTTGCTAGATCTGCATACGAAGACTAACTCTAAAGATATCTTAGTGAGATAATTGATGGCATAATCTTTTTCTAATCTCATCCTAGTTTTTAGCAACAAGTTAACTATTTGGCAGTTTATTAAAAACTTAAATTGCGTATGACTCAGCTCATCAAAAATTTCTTCTTTAAAATATTTAATAAAGAATTTACATTCATAAATACTCAATTAACAAAGAATGTATTTAAAAACTGTTTATCCATCATGAAGGAATATAAAAATTTTCTTGAATTTAACATCAGCTACGACAATCAAGCTAAAAAGGATGTCTTCTAATGCTTTATGGGAAGCCAGCCCTAATTCTACAGGTAAATTTATATTAACAAACAAGCAAAATTTGAAAGAAAGAAATACTGGAATAAATATACAAACAAAGAAGCAAATAAAGCTATTTGTTAGCATTTACTTAAACAAATACAAATAAAAACTAAAATAAATTTAAAAATGATTAAAAAAATTTTTTAAATATTTTATTTATTTTAAATTATATTTTTTATTTAGATGCATGATCAATATTGGAGTATATCCTCAGCTGAAAAAATGCTTTATCCTTGATCACTATTTAGAAAAGTTAGTTGAATCTGGAGTGAAAGACCTCCACTTATTTGAACTTAATGATACTTTGAAAAACTTAATCAGTTTTATAGAAGTAAACAGCGAGAATGATAGTGATTTAGATGAACTCTACACTAATGTTTTCTTAAAATACATGACTTATTGTAGAGTTAATTTCTAGAAAGAGTTGCTAGAAAACTTCTAAAGTATTCTTTCTTCTTTGACTTACAATAGCAGCAGGGATGAAAATTTCAAAAAATAAGATGCCTTCAACAGCTTTTGTCATTTTTCTTTCGAATAACTTTTATGCGAATTTATTTACACTGAATACCTTTTCAACTTCTCAACTTTTAATACGACTGAAGCAGTAAAAGCTCACTGGCAAAATGTTATTGACATCTATTATACTACAGCTCGCCCTTTAATATGCTGGGACAATAACAATCTAGAACTTTAATTTAACAACATTGATATCGTGACTGGTTACATTTTTCACTTTGATGAAATAATTGATTACTTAAAAAATAATAATATTATTTATAAGCGACTTCTTGAGAACATTTAAGGTAACCTCACTATTTTCAAGGATATGGTCAGAAATTACTTTGATAAACTCCGTTAAGAAATAATGAGCAGATTAATACAGTAAGCTTAAATTTACATACAAGATAAAATAGTATGCTTTGACATAAATCAATACTGTAAGTAAAATGCTTTAATTGTCTATAGGTTTGACTAAGAGCTAGCAGAATAAACTCCAAAAAACAATACAAAACATATACTAACTCATTCTTAGTCTCTCTCTCTCACAGTTTAATCTGATCCTAAGACCCCTTAAAATACTACTTCAGCTTCCTCTTCTAGGAAAGGTTCTTTAATTATGCCTGCTTCATCTCAGCCTAACTATCGCCTTTAAAGGAGAGATGTCTTTCCTGCCATCACAAATGCAATTTAAACATTTAAAAATCTTAAGAATAGAGTAGAAAAATCTATATTCTAAAATATGGTCTGTGATATTGTTAGTTCTTGTTTAAGTTCTATTTATCTAACAGCAGAAAAGTATGAGTAAAAGTTTGATGCCATGCTTTTTGTCATAAAAAATACTTTAATTTTAAACAACAACATTTAAGATCTTGGAGTTGACTTCACTATCAAAGAATAAGAACTTGACTTTACTGAAATGAAAACTTTTATTTCAGATATACAGCAAGGCAAACTCAGTCATCTCTACAAAGGTGATAATATAAAGGCAGAGAATTTGTGGAATACAACAACAAACTTCTTTAAGATTTTATATAAAGGAATGCCAAAACTGAAAGAGTTCACTATTGACCTTAAAAACAGTATGATAACGTAATTGAAATAAGCTCTAGAGAGTCTAAACAAAGATATGACTTTTATAATATCTAAGAACATCATTGATTTTATCAAGCGCTACCATTCTTTCAAAAATTGTTTGGAAGAAATAAGCTAAAATGAAGAGCTCCCTGAAGATTAAGCTCATTTAAAAAAGAAACTTCCATTCACATAAGAGGACATTCTTAAAGACCTTAATACTTTATTAGATTAAGAAGTAGTCAGTAGATGCTATCATCTTTTCATTCAAAATTGTTAAGAATTTATTGATGAAATGATATCAAAAATGAATAATTTCCTAGAAGAAGATTTATTTATTGTGATTTCTAAGAATATTGAGGAAATCATAGAAAACTGTATAGAATTATTCTCTTAGTTTTGTATAATCTTATCAAAGCATCTCAAAAGCGATTAATACGACGCTCTTCAATTCCCTGACCCTTCCGTTCTTAAATAATAATGCATTTCAAAAGTTAAATTTATAAAGCTTGAATAATGAATGATATATAATTTATTAATTAATTATAGTGTAATTTACTTATATATTTTCGCAGTAAATAAAACATAATAATTCAATGTAACTTACTTTAAATAACTAATAAAATATAATTCAAAAAATTAAATAATCAGCTTATTTTTTAATTGAAAATCCATATTATTCGTTAACCCTTTAAATTTTTATCAGTAAAGTAAAGAGTTAAGATATGTACTGTAAATCCTATATATTTAAGTCCCTATTACCGTTTTAGACCTTCTCCCATAGATTTTTAATTATTTAATTACCAAAAAATCTACCTTAAATAAAAAAATCTTAATATATTTTTGAGGATTAACAGTATTTTTTGTATGAATTTATTTGAGATTTAAAAATTTTAATATGAAAATACAATAAAATAAAATAAACAATACATTTATATATAATTAAATTTATAAATATCATTCATATAAGTTAAAATCTTTTTTAAAGAAAGAATGAATTTAGAAGTGATCAAATGAGTGAATTTTTTAGTTAGTAAATATAATTTAGTAGATTAATAAATAATAGGTATTTCATCACTTTTGTTGGAATGAAATACCTGGACCAGGTAATTTGTTATTGAAGTCATCATCTTCTTATTCATTTTCCTCAATTTTGAGTGTGCCTTGTTAGATTACGTTTGCAGTTCTAATTCTTTTTTCTTCTTTGTCTTAAAAGGAATTCAAAATTAATGACCTGTTGTGTTTGTTAGTTTTTGTTCTCATGGGGAGCTAGTCAATCTAGTTTCCATACATATTTAAATCAGTTTCATATGGGATATAGCTCTCATTGTGAGTCATGTTATTATAGTCATCACTACCACCTGAACTACTCTTTTCTTCTTAATTAGTTTTTAAGGGTTACTCCTCACCTCTTTTAGCTTCTTTACTTGGGTCATTATTTAAAATATTTGAGTTTTATTATTTTTTCGAGCTTATTTCCTTTTCTTTGTTTATGCTTTCAACCTTTTAATGCAGATCATTTAACATTTTTTCATCTTTTTATTAATCACTGCTTTTTTCCATCTAGTTTTTATCATTTTTAGTAGAATCATCTTAACCTTAAATTTGAGCTTGGTCTTTAATTTCTTTATTAGGCTCTTATTGAGCTTCTTTTTCATTGTTTTTAAGTTTAGGTTCTTCTATGCTTTAGCCAGTTGGTACTGGATTAATTTTAATAATGGGGTTTTCATTATTTTAAGAATTGTCCTAATTCTTAGAAACAGCCTAATTTTCATTGTTTGATTTTTCACCATTTGGTTTTGGCAATGAATCAGGACCAACTTAACTATTCTTTTTGTTTTGTTCTTGCAACTCTCTTTACAAGTTTATTAAAGTGGAAAGTGGAGAATTTATTTATTTTTTAGGACTTGCAAATTTGGAATCCAAATTATTAAATGGCTTAATAAAGATGGTGTTATCTTTTTAATTACTATTATTTTTGTTTTCTTAGTCTTCCTATTATTATTTTTATTAACTTTTTTAGAATTTAAAAGCAAACTTTAAAGGAGATGAACACTCTTCTTCTTCTTAATATAAATCTGAATTTGATCCAGGTATGAAACTCTTTTTTTACTCTAAGTGGTCTTCAGATCCTCTCAAGTTAGTAATTTTAGAAGGGTTTTCCTTGGGAGGCAAAACAGTACTATTTTCTGAGTTATCAATTTTAGAGGGATTTAAATTAATTAATTTTGATTGCAGTGGCTTTTCTAATTATCTTTTTTACAAGATTGGAGAAAATCTAATGCTGAAATCTTAATCATTTGGAGAATCACTTTTTCTGATAGGAGAGAGATCGTTGGGGGAGTTTAGATCACTCATGCCTTATCCACTTTTATAATTAAAGGCATCGGTATAGAAGCTATTATTATTGCTATTAAGCCCAATATTTTAAAGTTAAATTGTAGAATTTTGTAGTATTGATTTTTCTGGACTAAATATGCTTCTTTTCTTTTAGTGAATACGAATCTCTTCGTTTTCTTCTATTATTTTTATAGGCTTCAAATCCTTGCTGGATGGCTCTTCCATTATCCTTCTGCCAGTTGTGTCTCCTCCTTCCTTTGCTATAAACTAAGAAGCTTCATTATTATTGCGGAAAGTTTAAGGTACACTATATGGTAATCTGTTAAAAGACATTTCTTCATCAAATTATTTTCTTTTATTTTCTGAGATAGCCTGCTATAAATCGGGAATGCTTTTATTAACGTCATTATTGTTGTTGTTGAAATTTTTAAAATCTTGATTATCTATTTCGGTTAAAGATTATCTGTTAGAATCAACTCCATTTAACAAAATCATTGTCTTAATCATACGCTTCTCTCTATTTCTTTCAAAGAGTTATTTTTATTATTTGAATAACTCTTCAGCTTACTGACGTATTATTGTTAATTATTACTAAACAGGCCTACGAATCATTTCAACTTCCTAGTTTCCATTATTTGCCTGTGAAGAAGTTAATTATCCTCCTTAGTTTGAATTTTTTTTGTTAATGTTAAAGTCATCATCATCTTCTTCATCTGCTTCCAAAAGCACATTACTTACACTTTAAAATGGCTTGATTAGCTTACCCCTTTAACTGAAAGCTCCTTCAGATTACTAATTTTATAAAATAGTAGGAGAGTTATTGCGTGAAAGTGTTTCGCCCTATCTTGGAGATTAATCATCAGGACTATCACCTATCTTTTTTGCTAATTCTTATCTCTTTCTATGGTTCTTTTCATCATCTTCATCGCTAGGATGACTTTTTTTATTTTCATTTTCCTTGAGACTTTATTACTCTTCATCATTATTTTAAATAGGGTTTTTAATTAGGTTTATTATCAAAAAGACAATACCAGCAATTCCAATAAATAAAAATATGACATATGCTAATATAAGGAAGGAGCAAATAGCTTTAATTGCTGAGATCTAAGTCTATATATGTGCATCTTCTGAGGCGATTGATGTAAATATAATGAAACAAATTAAAGCTATTGTTTCAAAGAAGAAGAAGAAAATATTGTGCAAACGCATTTAGAATGGTCTAGCTATGAAACTGAAGATTACAAAGAGTATTTAAACTAGCAAGAGGAGACCCATTTAAACTTAAGGATTTTCATATATGTACAAATTAATTAATGAGAAGAATAATTTTCTAAATATTAAGGCAGTAAAGAAACCTCTTTGAATAAAATTGTGTTGCTTAATAAACACATAAAGGAAATAGAACATGGATCTATTTTATTGTAAAATAAATTCCTGCTCAATTAATTTGAGCTTAAGCTCTTCTTCTCTTAATTGCATATTTTTATTGTTTTCTAACTCTTTTTCAATGCTGCTCCTTACTTCTAATTTATTTTCTTCTTATTAGTTTTAATCTTACAAATTTTATCCATCGATTTTTTTTAAATTCCCATCTAATGATTTTTAATCATCCAATTTATTATTAGGTATTAAATCTGCGCTACTTTTATGTTTGCTGATATCAGAAAGTAATTAGAATTTCTTAGGTTTAATAGGACTGTCATTTTCAATTTAGGTGCTTTCATTATCTAAATTTCTAGAAATATACTACTATCCATCCAAAATATTAATACTTTTCTATTACTGAGATAATTGCATTCTTTCACTATTTCTTGAAACGCCTTTATTTTCTTAATGATTTTCAGACTGTTCTAGGTCTTTTAGTATCATGCTGTGAGCATCGTATTATTCATTCTTTTCTCCGTTCTACTTTTAATTCAGTGGTTTTGAGTTAGTTAAATGAGATTTTTTAGAAAAGACATCATCATTCTCCTAATCCTAATCTTCTTCGTTGCTTTTTTCTTCTGCTCCAGATCTCGCAATTAGGCTTTATAATTCAAGCAGATATTATTTTAATTAAGAAGTTTATTTCTCTTCATTTAAAACTTGCTTCAAGCAAATGTGATAGAACATATATCCAAAAAAACTAAATATATATATAAGTGCCAATAACGCAAAGAAAAAGCTTGTAGAACTCAAAGGCGTGTTAAATGTTACGTTTGAGAATTGAAAAAAAGCGAATAAATTTAGGTCATTGAAAGTCAAGATGTAAATAATAATCGGTGTAGAGACTTAGAATAAATAATGATACTTAACATCATTTTTACCAAAAACTGAAATCAGCCAAGCTATTGTGTTCAGGATAATAAGAAAAATAATATTAACAATAAATGAAGTATCTTTGTCATTTAAGAGGATTTTAGGATTTTAAAGTGTCCTTGTAGAAGTTGTCGTTGCATTACTGCTTGATAATGAATAATCTGAAATTTACTGAAGAGTAAGAATTTTATCTAGGTGAGAATTAGTGATATAATAAGCAATTTAATCAAAATTTAGAGTGCTCTGCTTATTAACGTAAGCCATTTGAGAAATAACTTGACTAAATTCATTGAAACTTAAAAAATACATAGGATTCCATACAACAAAGCTTGTTAATAAATTTACTCCAAAAGCACTTGAAAACAAAGCCTTGATTGCGATTTCTAGATTTTGATCTGATGAGCCACTGCAAGAGCCAGGTCCTTCATCCACCGAGCCTAATCCGCACAAGCATATGCTAATTTAACCATTTATGCTTTGTTTCATGCTTCTATTTCCAAAACAAGACGTACAAGAATAATAATCATCACCCAAACAAGAACTGCAAGTGTAGTAACAAGATTAATCTCTGCCCTCAAGCTTATTTTAAGTTTAAATTTACAGCAACCTGTCATATTATGCACTCCATTCAATTCCTAGTAAATTTGATATGTTATATCTCATCCAATAATAAGAATTATGTAATAAATTTTACCTTGTTTTTCATCAATCAAATCTTAAAAATAGCTGGAATCATATCCTCGAATTTGCTAGCTACTGCTGGAATTAGCATCGATTTTGTTCTGATAAAAGATACCAGTATGATCAGAAGCAAAGAAGCTTGCCTTACATACGATATTGATTACTGAAATTTATATGAAGATAATTTTAGTAATAATTCGCATTTGTACAGATATGCCCATTATTATATTTATATGTGTTATTTGCTAGTTTATTTGTAAAAATTAAATTAAACTATATTTTTATGGGTATTTTCTCTTTAAATTAATTACTTTTTTTATATCACTTTGATTAAAATCTCCCTTATATGATAATTTAGATTGAAATTTTACTTACCCAAGTTATAGCACTTTAGAGTTATAGCTCTTTGGGGGAAATTTTAATAATGAAAAATTAATATCCTTACAATTAATAAAATTAATAATTTATGGTAAAAACCAAATACTAATAACTTTTAAATTAAAATTCATTGTAAATGAAGTAAAGGCAGAACCAAATACTATTAAATATCATTTGAATAATCAAGTACATCAATTAATTTCGCAGTAACAATTTCAAATTCTTTTTTTCTTTATTCTATTAGATATATCAATAATTCAAATAATCAAGTTTTATGCATTAATTTAAATAAGTCAACTTAGAAATTTACAAATTTCAAATAAAGCCAATAATTAATTTATTCTATTCAATTACTTCATTTTTAGATAAAATCATTAATCACCAACGCATTTTGTTATTTCCACAGGATTCATTTTTTAATTTATTCAAATTTATAGCCTTTTTACAATCTTTTTTTAATCTGTCAAAAAATTCCAATTTTCTTACTTTCCTTATTTCTGCTTTTCATTTGCATTTGGTGCTAAGATTACCAAATTATAATTAGTTAGTAGTTTGTTAGTTTTTTAACTTCGTACTGGATTTAAATTTGGGAAAAGCATAAATAAATCATAAATGATATATTAAGATATTAATTAATATGATAAAGAGAATAAGAATTTGGAATATCATCAAAATTAAATTTTACTTGAATCAAACTATTATTAGATAATAAAAAAGAACTCAGTCTATTTTTCTATTTTATAAAAGAATAAATGTTTCTTTAATTCGCTTATAAAAAAGTAAAAATAATATATAAATTTTACATTATGCTTATTTAAAAAACTGTTCGAAGTACTTAATTAAATAGCGCTAAATTAAGATCTTCTAGATAACCTCAGTTTATAAATTTGTTATAGTTAATTCTCAAAATTATTCTAGCTTTCTAGCTTTTTTGATTTTTAATCTTGATAAAAATAGTGTCAAAAGACAGATTTTTTTTTTTTACTGATTTCATATCCTCAGTTTTCATTTAAAAATATGTAAAATACTATTAAGTAATAAGCTTTTAAAACTAAAATTGTAATTTTCAAAAAGATAAATGAAGGAAAAGCTAGAAATAGGCTTATTTAAATACAACCACAATTTTAATTCAAAATGCGTTAAAAATACTATTGATTAAGTATTATTTTACATTATTATAACTGATTGGTATTTATTTGAAGGTAATTTGGTGAATTGCAGCTTTGAATGTTATTTTCTTTTTTAATTTGAGTAAATCAATCAAATCAAGTTACACCAACCATAAATTATATTTATTTTACACTTTTGTTAATTATCTTAAAACCATTATCAAAAATTGAATCCCAGGTTATAGAATAATTTTAGATTCAATTTATTATTACAATTTAATCAATCATTTAGTTTTTTTACTTAAATAAAATAAATATTAATTTCTTTATTTAAATATTATTTCTACTACTGCTATTACTGTATCTTACATTAAAATTATCAAGAAAAAAATTTTAATAAATCTATTTATGTATTTTTATCGATTTATTTGTACCTTAAATTAAAAAAAAGATTGAATAAAGAAAGAAACTAATTTTAAATGATTAGCTAGCTGTCTTTCAATCAAAGGTATATTTATAAATTTTATTTCATTTAAGATTAAAAAATAATAATTAGTCATTAAGTCTTTAGATAATGCAAATATTTGTTAATTATTTTTTAAAAATAATATGGAGTATTTTAAGCTTAATAAAATTGAAGTTTTTATTTTACTCTCTAAAAAGCAATTCAAAAAAGCAAATAAATTTATATTCTTTTAGAAAAAATATTACTTTATGGAAAATATTAAATTTGTCTTTTATAATTTTACTAATACTTTGAATTTCTTCAATAGCAATTTAAATTAAATAAAAATAATTCAATAATTTAAAAATTATTTTTATTTGATATAATTTTTAATTTAAATTTTTTGTAGTTTAAACCTAAAAAATATTTTGACTTGATTATTAATAATATTAAATAATTTATTTATCTTTACTAATTAATAACAAAATAAAATGAAAAAATATTAAATTTTATCTTCAATTTTAAATATGTATTTTACTTTATAAAAAATCTATCTTATTTAAAAATTTAAATTTATAAATTTTATCAGTTTTTATTTAAATTAGCATAAAATAAATTTAGACTATATTTATTAAATTAATTTAACTAAATCATTAAATTGAATGATACAAAATTAACAAATAATGGAATTTTAACAGTTTACAAAATAATTTAGGGTTAATAATTAAACTGGATGATAGATGAATGAATCAATCAATCAATTAATTAACAAATAAATGAATGAATCATTTTCAGTTTAAATTTTTATTTTTTTAAATAAGATTAAAAGAAGGAGTTATACTTCCACTTTACATATATGTTTGCTACTAGTTTACAGAGTTTGCATCGTTTCTAAAAGATTGATGTTAAGATGAGGGTTAAGATTGATTAAATGTAACCATCTTGTTGTATTATTTTTATTGGTTCTAATTTTCAAATTGATTTATATTGCTGTTGATATTAAATGCTGTCCCCATTTATTCATTATTGCTTTGGTTTTATCTTTATTAATCTCTGTTTCTTTCGTTTAACTTATCTGCAAAATCATAGAAATTTATTGGACTATCTTACAAATTTTATGCAGCTTTTTGCTTTTAATTGCTTTTGGCACTATTTTCAACTTATTTTTTTGAAAAGAAATTATTTGTAGAGCCTTAATTAGGTTAAAACTCAGGCATTTCTTCAATAAACTCATCATTATTTCTTAATTAACCACTTTTATACATTTTTTCTAATTCAGCATGGTTAGAAATAGTTTTTCTTCCTTCAGACTCATTTTATTTATCGTTTTTATAAGAAAAATTAATTTCATCTATAAATTATGCTTAGAAGGGAGATATAGCATATCCATCTCTAGGATTAAATTAACTTTATTAATTTTTAGATTTAGATTTTTCTTCTTCTTACTACTCTTCCTCGTATTAGAGTAAAAGTGAATAGTAAAGAATAACCATGCTAGCTAAACTAATAGGGATAACATAAATATAAGATTTCATGGTAAAGATAATTGGGACGCAATAAGGAATAAATCGTATGTTATCAGTAGCATTAAAGTACATTATGACTATATATGAAATAACAAAGCTCGAAATGATGACAATACTAACAAATTTGATGGCTCTAAATGCTTAGTTTTTAAGAGAATAGCAAGAAACGCATACATTTATAACAGTGAAAAAAGCTAAGCTAACTAAATTTTCTATAGTTATTGAAAGAGCAATAGTTGAAGCTTCCTTAGAACAACGCTCCTAATTAGAAGAAGTAAAAATCATGAAAGCAAAAACGGTATTTGCACAGATATTGACCTATCTTAAAAACCAATCTGATTGCTTGAAAATAAGAGCTCCTATTTCTATTTCTTTTTTAATGCAAACAAACAAAAAGGCCTTTCGAAATATGATGACTGTGTTGCATTCATAATCCCTTTATAATACAGTTATCAAGCTATAAACTAAGAGCACAGAAAACCAGCCTAAATTTAATCCATACATTATAAAGAATTCTAATCTCGCAAAATCTTGCTATTTAATAATGTAAATAAGAGCAATTAAATTAAAGACAACAAAGCAAATACAACCATTTTCAACAATAATAATGTAATATCTTCCATCGGATGAACAATTATTTTATTCAACCGTACCATCAATTAAAAGCAAAGCTATCTTACTATAAATGATAATGTACAGATAGTTTTTTATGTACTATATAAAAATATTTATGAGTTAGAACTGCTAGTGCTTCTTTAATCTATCCAGAAAATGCATTTTTCAATCAATCGATCAACCTATTTAACTAACTTTATTTTTAATATTTTAAATTCTATTGAATCTTTATATATATACTTGTCTTATATACTTTAAATTAATTTTAATAATTAAATAAACAAAGATACTAAAAAAAGTTTCTAAATTTTATTATTGATTGAATCAATCATTAATTAATTTATGGAATTATTTGAAAATCAACTGAAAATGCAATTAAAATTATAAATTAATTTTGTATTAACACATAAATAAATAAATACATATAATAGAAACAAAATATTTTTTAATTTTAACATCTAGCTGATTGCTATCTTTTTTACTACTGATTTCAAAATTGTTAATTATTTATTATTTGATTAATTAATTTTAAAAATAATTTCCTTTTATTTATTTATTTATTTATTTATTTATTTATTTATTTAATAATTGAAATTTCTTATTAAGATATTTGATATATATAAAGCTGCTCTTTAATTTTTTTACTATAGGAATTTAATTTAAAAAAATAATTTAATTTAAAAGATATTGAAAATAAATAAATTAAATTGTTAAAAATAAAATTATTTTAAATGTTAAGTTTATATTTTAAAAGACTAAAATGTATGGAATAAAGCATAGAAAATGAAAGATGGATAATTTAATTTTTGTATAAAATAATTGATTTATTATTAATAAGTTATCTAGTTTTATTAAAAAATCAATAAATATTTTATAAAAAAATATATTTTAAATTAAAATGTTAGTAGAAAATTTAACTTTTTCTTATTTTCAAATATTGGGGTTGGGGTTGGGGTTGGGGTTGGGGTTGGGGTTGGGGTTGGGGTTGGGGTTGGGGTTGGGGTTGGGGTTGGGGTTGGGGTTGGGGTTGGGGTTGGGGTTGGGGTTGGGGTTGGGGTTGGGGTTGGGGTTGGGGTTGGGGTTGGGGTTGGGGTTGGGGTTGGGGTTGGGGTTGGGGTTGGGGTTGGGGTTGGGGTTGGGGTTGGGGTTGGGGTTGGGGTTGGGGTTGGGGTTGGGGTTGGGGTTGGGGTTGGGGTTGGGGTTGGGGTTGGGGTTGGGGTTGGGGTTGGGGTTGGGGTTGGGGTTGGGGTTGGGGTTGGGGTTGGGGTTGGGGTTGGGGTTGGGGTTGGGGTTGGGGTTGGGGTTG